CCTGACCACGCAAACACCAGCAGCATGCTATTGCAATTCGACCGGCTGATCTCACCTATCTACACCTCCAGAGTATGGGCGAAGCACGGCCAGAGGCACTGGAAATTGGGGCTCTTGGCGCGCGACCCGCGCAAGGCTGTCGCCGTCCCCGGCGCCGTGCGCGCGTTGCTGCAGCCTGTGATCGAGCTGGCGAGAGCGGAGGGGAACCCGATCTGGCTGGTCACGTCGAGCGAGCATGCCAGACAGATCTATTTGCATTTTGGGTGGGTAGATGTAGACGTTGTCGAGGTTGGTGGGTGGAGGCAGTGGTGTTTGATTCTGGAGCCAGGGAAGAGAGGCACATCACTAACGAATTAGCTAGCTAGACTGTGGGGTTCGATGTGTATTTCGATGGACTTGCTATGCTAACTAGTGTACTTTTGCTTCATTTGCCTGTTGCAAATGGAGTGGTCTCGTGAGAGTCCATGACGTTTAACAAGACCTGAAAACGTCCCCACTATCCGGAGACAGTATCATCACACAAGAAAGCCATGAATCGCACTGTACAGCGCATGCAGAACCGAGCAGATCACTCATTATATATCAGACAATAACAGTGCCAATTGAAAAATTGAAGCCACCAAGCGAATATATAAGTATTTACAATTTGCTTCGCAAGTTCTGTCTCTCGTCTTTCTTGAACAAAACCTTCGAGTCTGGGTACGGGTCAAAGACGACCGAGTTCAGAGGGTTCAGCTCGCTGGCACGGTGGAACATGTCTTCATAGACCTTTCCGTCATACCGGCCCAGAGAGCTGTCGAGCTGCCAATCAGGGAATTTCCAGGCATCGACCAGGCGTAGGGCGTGCGGGCGAATCTCTTCTAGCAGAGTCATGACGGCTTTGGTGCGGGCAAGAGTAATCTGGCGTACAGTGACGGCGGCAGAAGAGTAGAATTCACTGGCTTCCTTTTCGAGAGTGTTCAGTGCATAAAGGCGGAAGAGCTTGTGGAGTAGTGAAATTGTGCCTGCATCAACGCTCTTCTTAGTATTTGGGTCGTTAAGAGCTTCATGGAAGTTCTTGACGACCATGTATTGAGCGTGGGCCGTGGATAGACGCCAGAAGTCGACTAAGAGACTGTTCCATGACTGTTTGTCTTCATCACGGTGACGAAGCGCTTCGAATGTGAGGAATGAGACTCGCCAAGCGAATGCTGCTACTAGATCTTCATCGTTTCCAATCACATCGAAAGCGGCACCGATATCGCGACGGCGAATGAATTCCGAGAGGATTCGGGTGGTATCGTTGTCACCAGCATTGCCCTTGAGGACAGCACGAGCTGATTTCAACAGGTAGCGACTCACTTGTTGGGTGAGCATATAATTATCACCCTCCCAGGTGACGGTGGGGAGATAGTCGGCATACCAGCTACCAATACCAGAGAATGACGAATAACCATGACCACCGCATGCGCGGCGACAGACCTCAAGACCCTCGGCGGCGGTTGTGGAGGCAAGAGCCTTCAGAGCGCAACTTGTAGCATGTAGGTCAGCAAGAAGGTCGGTTCCAGCATTCAATTCTTCGGGTCCGGGAGCACGTCTTGATTCGGGAGCAGCTGTGCTGTTCATGCGCTGTTGGTTTTGATTGTACAAAGCAATCATACCTCTACCTGTGAAATGGAGAGCATAGGTTGCGGCGAGCAAAGGGAGCAATCGAACTTGAACCATAGTATAATTTAAGACTTGATTCTCACCAGTCTCAGTGGCTGGGGCATCACGGTCTTGGAATTGTCGTCGGACAGCACAGTAGCGGGTTGCAATTGTGACACCACGTGCGAGAACTGAACCTGACTGTAGGACAATATGACTTCGAATATAGGTGAGGGTGCCGTAAATCAAAGAAGGGTTCGAAGGTCGGACGTATTTATTTGTCTTGGGCTCGATGGACGAAAAGCGGGCAAGCATATTGATATGAGGAATCTTGACGTTCTTGAAGAGCAAAAAGCCATTATCCATGGTGTTGTATCCGAACTTAGGGCCGATGTCACCAACATGAACGTTTGGCAGTGGTTCGTGGGTCTTCAAGTCTCTGATTGGGACCACAAATGGATGAGGGCCGTAGTTCTTGCCAGCAATGAAGAGCTGTGCCATGACTACGGCATGGTTGGCGGTCTTTCCGAGAGAACCGATCCACCATTTGGAAGCAGTCAATGTAGGAGAGTGGATGGTGAAGGTTTTGTCGTCGGCGTTCCAGGTGGCGGTTGTCTCGAGACCTCTAACGTTGGAACCGTGTCCGAGCTCGGTCTGGGCATAGCATCCGATGATCTTGTATGCTTCTGCTTTCTCCAGGAACAACTTGTGCTGCTCAGGAGTACCTTGCTCGCGCAGGGTGACGAGGAACATACTGGCGTGCAAGCCATAGGGGGTAGGCTCACTGATCAGACTATTTGCAGTCTCGAATTCATCCTTGGACCAGTTGTGTTGAACTTGGAGCTGTTGTAGCCTTTTTCCTCGGGCCAAAGCAGCTTCTATCCTTGCATTTCGACCTCTGAAGTAATTCTGTGACTTGTCGAAAACGGGCTCCGCAAGAAGGATGTTAAGGATTCTTTCGTTCCGTTGTAAGACCTCCTTGGTGAACATAAACTCGGCGAGCTGATCAACGTTCAGATCTGATTTGGCTCTTTCTTGTGCGAGTAGCTCTGAGCCTTGGGGCCCAGAGGGCTTGAGGGCTTTGACCCATTCAGGATTCGAAGGCATATTGAGGGACGTGGGGAGATGGTGGGGAGACGGATGGTTGTGGAGGGAGAGAGGACAAAGGAAAAGAGACGGAGAGACTATGATACGGAACTTGGATGTGATATAGAGGACGACAAACTCCGTGTTTCTACCGAGTCGATGGCTATTCAGGGTAAGAGTAATCAGAGGTGTCGGGAGGCAGATGCGAATAGAGAGAGGTTAGTAGCGGAGCGGAGTCTGAGCTGCGATGATGTCGTTCAGTTTTGACTTGCCGTGTCAGCCAGCTTCTCACGTGAGGGACAGATGCCTCGGTAATTGCCTCATTGGGGAGAAAAGTCAGGCTGCTTAGCCTGGGTAGAGCCTCCTCCGTACGTAAGGGACAAGAAGCATACACGGGCTCTCCGACTTCGTTTTTTCTTTCTACCATCTGAACAAAATTTTGGCCTCCATCTGCTTCCGAAACAGGATAAAACACCTTCTCTTATCCGATGTACTAGCGGGCATGCTCTATTGGATCCCTGAGCCATATGCAGACCCATGCAAACCAATCTAGAGACTACCACGGTTTCCGATCCGAATTGGATATTCAGGATGTTTGTGATCAAACTTGAGCCTCGGCTTGATATCTGGGAGTACTCATCACCTGGATTCTGTCCTATCGATATCAGATAATTTTATATTTCGTATCGTCGTATCCTCACGTATAAACCCTTGCGAGGAATCTTTGCCAGGGGTTCTGTCTCATCTGACAGAATGGAAAACTTTCACACGCATCAAAGAAGCCTCGGACATGTTGTTCTGTCTCCAGTGCTCACATGTTTATTCCGATATCGGCTGGGTACCGTTCGGGAACACATGCTTTGATGTTGGAGCGTTCACGTGGTATAGACTACCTATTTCAAGATCGACCCTGTCAACTTCCACCACCCATTGTCCTCCGCTTCAGCCTATCCGTGCTCTCCTTAATCCCCCACCCATGCCGCAATAGATCTCCTACTTCCTCCAGTGCAAGTCCCATGGTCTCAGGATATATTCGCCAGATGACGCACCAACCCACCGCACAAATGGCAGCATAGCAGACAAATGTCCACTGCGGAGTCAAGAGATCCATCATGGGTAAGAACGTCAAGCCCACGATTGTGTTACATCCCCAGTTCGTGGCCGTCGCCAAACTCGATCCGACTGAACGTACGCTGAGAGGAAACAATTCGGATTGTTGCCATGGCACAACCCCTAGCCCTGTCGCATACGTGGAGACATAGAGAAGGATAGAAAGAAGGATACAAATTGCTGGAAGGCGGGAAGCATTTCCGGCGGCGCCGTCATTTGGTGGCTCGTCCCGAGAATGATGACTATTTGGGAGCCTGACAAACACAAAGCTTGCAGCGCACGCAAGTAATGCTACCACCATTAATGGAATAGTAATCAACAATATCTTGCGCCGCCCGATTCGGTCGATCAGGTGGAATGCTGCAATCGTGAAAATGAAGTTGGTCCCTGCGACACTCAGAGATGTAAGGGTCGGAGAGTCGAATCGAAGCATCTGAAAGATGGTCGCTGAGAAATACATCAAGACATTGAAGCCACACGCCTGTTGCAGGGCTTGCAGGGAGCATGCAATTGTAAGAGCACGGGCATGTGGTGGGTGCAATAGAAGCGACTGCAATGTGGGTGGAAAGAATCGTGAGCTAGAGGTGCTTTTGATGTTGACATGAGCTTCCTCCTCCTCGAGAATTTCCTTCTTGATGGCGAGCATCACCTCATTGACCAAAATAGTAGTGTCTGGCACCATGCCACGATACACTTTCCCAAGTACAGCTTTAGCCTCCATCTCGCGCTGTGCTTTGGCGAGGTATCGAGGCGTCTCCGGCATGAACATCAGCATGATGAGCTGAGCAAGAGCAGGAACGGCGCCTAGACCGACCATCCAACGCCAGCCAGAAACTCGTGCTGAGAAGAGCCATCCTATCACATATGCGATGACTTGCCCACCAGTGATGAACAGTAAAGACACGGTCACCAGCCTGCCGCGTAGATGGCCCGGTGCGAGCTCAGATATGTATAAGGGGACAATCAGACTTGCACCTCCAATTGCCAGGCCCACAATGCTTCTTCCAAAGATCATGCCCCAGACTGATGTTGTAAAGGCCTGCCACAATGCGCCCAGGGTAAACAGTGCATCCGCACATAGTATAATATTCTTCCGACCCCATTTGTCCGCCAATACTCCGGCGCCAGGGCTGGCAATCAAGGCAAAGAGACTGGTGCAAGAAGTGATGAGACCTTTGTCGAGGTTTGTCAATTCGCGAGAGGAAAGGTCGGTTCCGATCGACACCAGTGTGCCACTGATAACGCCTGTGTCGAAGCCGAAAAGAAGGCCAGAGACGCAGGCGGAGAGCGTCAGAGCCCAGACGAATGCGTTGCCAGAAGACTGGAGTATCGAGGTTGAGACCCGGCGGTTGTCTCCTTGGCCTTCACCGTGGTCGGCAGTGATGAGGGGCGCGTTTACGGCTGTGTCGTCGTGCAAGGAGGTCATGTTTCCAAGTTCCACCTCCTCCTCTGGCAGTGCTGGCCCAGGGCGGGATGGTCTATGGTGGTCATGGAGTGTCATAAAGGCATGGTGGCGATCGAGTTGGTGGTGGGCGCAGGATCGGTAGGAAGGATGGTGTCAACTGCCTGATGAGGTTCACATACGGCGGGCGTCCGGTCCTAGCCGCAAGATCATTCAGTAAATCTACCACCGAGTCTTCACCAGCACAAGTAGTCTGCTCTATATTTACAATCTAGCTCTGCATCAGGTGTGGCAGTAGTTGTTTAAAGTTGTTTAAGATAATGATTCTCTTTTCGTTTCATGGGTTTGTACATAGGAGTAGTCACTTCAGCTCATCGGTCTCGGTTGCAACAGGCACAGCACCCTCATCAACACCGGCCGAAAGGCTGACATATCCTAGAGCACGTTTTCTTGCCATTCTCCGTTCGTGTTTAGCAGCTCGCCGTTCTTTCTCCTTCAACTCCCGTTCATCCACCAAAACTTTGTATAGCTTTTCACCCATGGCCGCATTTGTTCGTTCATTTCCGTAACGAGTTGCCGCGACCTTTCGAATCGACAAATGATATGCATCCTGCCAAGTGCCAGTCATTCGTTCATCTGCCACATGGCTTCCTTGGGAGGCAGGAGACCCTCTGTTCTCATCGCTAACATGTCGTTCAACCAAGTCGTCCCACACATCCTCATGTTCCGCCATGTTTCGCGCTTCTTCCAAGGACTCCAGCATTTCTACAGATTTGTAATTCCGCCGCCATTTCTGTTTGATGATCCGGTTTATCAAAACTGGTTGCGGGCCAGGGTACTTCAAAACTGGTATTCCACTGGTGATAAGATAACGCGGCACCTTTCTTCTTGGCCAGGTGATTTCAGACAGTGGTTTTGGACGGAGGAAGATTGCAGGGCCGTTTGGCGAGGGCCGTTGAAGGTCTTTCCGGGACACACGGCGGATATGTTCAATATGTGGCAGTCTCTTGGGAGAAGCTGCCTGCCAGAAGGTGGCATTCCTTGCCTTGATGGTTGCTGTGGCCTCAGCCCGTGACATGGCTGACTGCAGTATCACTTCGAGTTTGTCAATTGCAGTGCCAGATCTTGCGACACACGCCTGTAGAAGCCGCAAGAATTCGTTGCCTGCATCGAGTCCCTTCCCAATGGCCGCTATTGAGAGGAGATTTTTGTCCTGTCTAAATCGATAACGGACTAATGATTGGAGGGTAGATGAAAGTCCATTGCTTTTGCTGATGCCAGCACCCGCTGATAGACTAGCGCATTCTTTGAGGAGGGCTTTGTAGAGAGAAAGGCCTGTGCTGGAAGTTAGCTATCTGCAAGAAAGAGCATTTTCAGATACATACAGGCTAACCTATGCGCATATGACTTGTTGGCGGCAAACGTGAGTGGCATCCGCTCATTGTTCGTCCAATGCCTAGGTACGATTCGAACTGAATTGGAGGCTATGTGGGAATCATCGACGTGGAACGGGGATCCAGCACATGTTTAAGTGTAATTTGAAGATGGGATCGTGAATCTCCAATCTTCGGCACGTCTAACGCAAAGATGGATCACGTGACTTTCTCGATGACTCGTATGGTTCTCGGCTACGAGATAGAAGGACCCACAATACCAAGTGCTCAGGGCAAATAAACAATGCCGTTGAGCCAGATTCGGAATATAGAATGACACTGCTATTGACGAGCTCGATCCCGTTGCTGACACCTGTTGCGAGAAGTACTGCCAAACCCACACAAGCTATAACTCAAACGCCCTCGGATGCATCGTGATCTTTCATGAATCATGTTGGTATACCGCTATCCGCTGCGCAATATGACCGTGCTCACCGTGTGCTCCTATGACTTAGAACGTGGAACCCTCTTGTGGCTGTGGTAGCTTCTTGTGTTGGGGAAGAGCCATATATCTATGCCCCAGGATCAGTATAATGGACTGTATTCGATATTGTTGAACCAACCTTCTCAGCTCGATCAGAATTGTCTCCATGGTGTAGTCTCTTTTCCAGTTGGTAAGACAAGGTAACTTGGATGGATCGACCTGATACAGACGTCAGAACGCACTCTTGAAATAATGTCAATTGTCAACCTTTCCAGTCTTTTGATCAACGCAAGGAAGATTGACTTTTGAGACAAACTGAATAGTAGGTGGGAGGTCGGGGTATGTGTCGCCGCAGTGGATGTTGACACTATAGATCCGGTTCTCATGTGCGCTCTGATGCATCAATTGTCAGCCTGCTCGCTCCCTCGTAGCAGAAGGAATCCGAAAAACCTACGTGGGGGGGACCAAGGATGGTTCCATTCCAGTTGGTCATCATCAGGTCGTCGCCATCAGCCAATCCATAGGAACAAGCCTCTGCCAAAGTATCAGACTTCAAATCTGTCAATTGCGAGCAAGCACATTGACCTACCTGCACCCAAACCCTTCTCGCCTTTCTCCAATTCCTCCAAAAGTCGGAAATTACGAGGGACTTTTGCTCCCATGTTGGCAAGGCTTGGTTGGTACTTCGAGTGAATATTCCGAAAGCGAGGTGTAGAAAGAGAGATAGCGAAGTTAATCTTGGGCTTTGGAAGAAATGGGTGGATAGGAAGACCAGGTTGGTTGAAGTCGGCAAGAAATCGAGAGGGGCAACTTTACTTGAAGCCAACACGGGCACAAGCTGGCACGCGCGCAGGTGCCGCCACACTGGGCAAGTCACAGCCTTGTCAGCCACGGTCGCGCCTGCCAGTCCCACCAAAGAGGCAGCCTTGGCATAGACCTCCTTCCCATCCAAGTCAATGAGGACACCCTTGCCCTTCAATACCTCACTCCAGAGGTATATCCGCTCCAGGTCGTCGTTCTACATTCCTATCGAGGTCGATCATACTCATTTTGTCATGTTGTCTACCTCGTCTCTTCATGATGAAATACTCCAGCAGACATGACTCAGGCATTTCTCCAGTCGGAGTTGACGAGCCTGATCTCGGACTCCAAGCGCAAGCACAGCGATGTTCGTTCTGCCGCCGAACAGTCCCTTGCTGACCTCAGAGCCATATCGGTGACATCTGAGACCCAATTGGCTGGCGACCTAGTTCGCCGCACCGACTTCATCAATCCTTTCATTTTAGCCTGCAAGACCAAAAATATCAAACTGGTCAGTAGTGGCACAGTGTGTTTGCAGCGCTTAACTGCTAGTAGAGCCATCCCCCGCTCACGGCTACAGGATCTCCTGGATGCCTTTGGCGAGGCTGTCAACTCTGGCTACGAGCCCCAGCTCAAGATTCTGCAGACATTACCGTCTTTACTACAGTTATATGCCTCTGACATCTATGGCGATCTCCTTGCGAAAATACTGGAGATTTGTGTGGCACTGCAAGCCAGTAGAACAGCAATTGTAAGCAACACAGCTGCTGCGACATTTCAACAGCTTGTCAACAGTGTCTTTGACCATGGCGCTAAAACTCAACCACCCCACTCGCCAAGTGATAGCGAGAGCGAGGATCGATCTAACCAGCAAACAGACGGATACGGCGATGCCGTACGACTCTTTGATGATCTATGTCTACTGCTCAATCATCAAGCACCAAGTTTCGTCAGGCTGGAGGCTTTGTCTCCCGAGTTTTTACTTGAAACCCTCCAGACCATATTATCAAGCCATACTGCATGGATTGTGTCACAACTTGGATTGATACAGACTTGCCGTGACCATCTCTTTCCAGGCCTTTCAAGACAGATCAATCGCAAGGATGGCTTCGGCACCATCGTTCGAGCCGTGGCTATTCTCCTTATCCTGCTTCAAGCAGCCGCGGAGCTATTTCAGGAGCAGCTGCAACCTGTCGTGACCTCACTTATTCACGCTCTTGAGAAGGATGCCAACAATCTCTGGAAGCGAGCTCTCTGTATGGAATTCTTTCGCGAGATCTTTGCAGATTTTGGCACGTTGAGAAAGCTTTTCGAGTTGTTCGATACCGCTGGTGACTCAAAGATCATCGGTCTCTTGATGGCTTCATTCGTTAGGATTGCAGCAGAGGATCCTTCCTTGATTGGCCTTGGGCGGCAGTCAACTATTCCCATACACCGTGGAAATGATCTGAGGGGCGATGAAATAGCCTCGATCGAAGCGCAAGGCCTTGGTGGTGCCATCACTTCCGTGTCTTCGGCAGACTTAACAACAACTGGTTTGAGTACGGAATGGAGTGTGTTGAATACTCCATTAATGAGACAGCCTGACAGACAAGCGCCTCCTGCTCTTCCTAGCACATACGTGTACGCCCTGGTTCTGGAGTGCACAGCATCCTTCTGTGATGGTGTTTCGAAGTTCGTTATGCCATTAAGCGTCCCAAGTCGTTCGGCTCGTCGTGGCTCTGGCGAGGAAGCCCGAAGAAACAGTATGGCAGCCGATCCCAATGAGGATGAACAGCCGCGCAAACCCCAAAGGTCTGCCACTTCCTCTCAAAAGTACCAGCGACTTGTCAATCCCTTGCAACTGTCGAAGCACCCATCTCTCGCCCAAATCCAACTCTGCGCTACAATGGTCGAGGCTTTCTGGCCAGCTGCACTTGCTACTTGTTCAACTTTCTTGAACTCCGCACTGGACTCAGAGTTCTACCATATACTCATCCGATCTGTACAAAAGCTTGCCCAGGTTTCTGGTGTCCTAGAACTCTCCACACCTCGTGATGCTCTACTCACCACTCTAGCTAAAGCATCGATTCCTGCAAATGCTAGCAGCGTCATTGCTGCCTATCAAAGTTCGAAAGCTCCCAAATCCACCAGCCTTGAGGAGATTGAAGAACAACTTGATGGCCTTAAGTCTCCTCGGGAGAATCACCCACCGGCTGTATTCCCAAGCGGAAGCTCGCCTCTTAATGTGCGGCACCTTCTCTGTCTGAGAGCCTTACTAAATTTGGGCATCGCGCTTGGACCTACTTTGGAGCAAGGGGCTTGGTTTATTCTGATCGAAACCATGCAGCAGGTTGAGGCATTGATCGCAATACCCACACTAGCCACAGGCTCTCAAGCTGGAACCCCCAAGATTGGATCAACTGGTCACGAAAGCCAGACTACATTGGCAAGTGAAATTGCCTCTGTACAGGCAGCAACCAAGCGTATGCTCGAGAGTACCCGTGGATACCATGCTACATCATTTGCGAATGTTATAAATGCATTGTTTCGGCTGCTCGGTGAAAACGAGCGTGAAAGCAGCCCAGGACCAAATCGAGAAATGATTTCTTCACCTCTTTCCAAAAGCAAACTTGATCTGTCCCGACCTACCCATCATTCCTCGAGGAGCGTTTCTGGATTGTGGACCAAATCCAAGACATTGGATATGGAGACGGGCTTTGTGTTGAACAAGACCAGTGAGATCTCTCGTATCAATCTCCATCGTTTCACCCAGCCTCTGGAAGATGAACAATCTTGGGATTTAATCACTTCTCGTTTGCTAAAACTTTGTCAGAATAACGCGGTATCTGATAGCCATCGCATCCAATCAGCAAGTATCGTCGACTTGATAGCCATGGAAACTGTCAAGCTACTTGATGATGCCAATCACAAGGTAGAAGATCCGGATATAGTTCGAGCTTGGTGCCTCCAAGCGCTACTGAAGCAACTCCAGGTATTAAACGCTTCCGACTTGCAAAACGGGGATGACGTTGAATACGAAATTCACAAACGGCTACTTGATGCGCTTGAAAGCATGCTCAGTCACAGTGGAGACTCGCTAAGCGAGAGCTGGCCGATTGCTCTTGACACCTTGTCTTTGTCATTTGCAAGACTAGAACTTGAACAGGAGCTTGTATCAAATGGCCCTCCAGACTTGACCGAGCTAAGAGAAAAGAATGCTCAGATCTTGCGTGTGGGATTCAGGTCGATTCAATTGATTACGTCTGACTTTCTCAGCGTCCTGTCGGTGGAGTCTTTGGCAAAATTGGCTCGGCTACTCCGAGAATTTGGTTCTCAAGATTTCGACATGAATGTGGCACTCACCAGCACCACTCTATTATGGAGTCTAGCATCCCAGACCCTGACAAGACTAGAAACAATCGAGTCGGCATATCTACCTCTGGATGACACCAACAAAGGTGAGGTCAATTCGTTACCAACTGCTGATGGGGCGGAGCAACTGTGGTCCATCACGGTGTCAGAGCTTCTCCAACTCTGCAACAACGATCGAGGCGATGTACGGAATGCTGCCACCAGGGTGTTGTTAAAGACACTCGAGGCTTCTAGTGACAGTCTCTCCCCAGGTGCATGGTCAACGGTCCTTGTAAATGGAGTACTGGGTACTATTTCCGTCTCGCTCGACCAACTACAAGATGAAAAACACAATCAAGAAGATTGGATGTCTTCTGTTGCACAACTGATTGAGGGAATCACGTTGATTATAATTCAAAACCTGAATGTCATTTCCAAGCATGGAACTTTTGCCAAAACTTGGGGTTGCTTGATGGACGTCTTTGAAGCTATCATTGACACACGGTCTCTGAAAGCGTCATCATTGGCATTTTCAGATATCGATCAATTGTTATCTTCACTACCAGTGCTTGGAGAATTTGATCACGCTCTCCTTTCCCCGGCATTGCGAATATGGAGTACCCATCACCCTGCCGATATCCAGGGAACAGAAGACCAGAATCCAAATCAGGCTGCGGTTACAGCGCACGCCAAAATGTTTGTACAAGCATACAGAACATGTCCCTCTGCTGTTCAAAAGTTCGATCTCGATGGAGATCGTGTCCAAGACTTGCTCAGTATTGCCATTAGACAGACTGTCATCTCTGCCCGTCATCCTCCATACACGAGTGATGTCAAAATTCCATCTACAGAACAAAAAGAAGTGCTGGAATGTCTTTCAATACTGAAAACACTACTTAAGGGAACGGTGGATAATTACTTCAAATACCTTTTGGATTTACTGCGCTCCATTTTGTTGATCGAGAATGGAAGAGTCAATGCGACCAAAAAGCCGGCGATTATGAAATCCATGCAACGACCTACATTCATCGCATTTGCTTCCGCATGCTTGGACATTGTCCGATTCATCATTTTGGAGTGCTCGCAAGGACAGACATTCATGGACCAGCAGCTGATAGAAGAGGCTTTCATTGTCCTGTCTGCTTTGATAAGTACAAAATACACGGATTTTCCAAGTAATAACGATGCTCCTCTGTGGAAAAATGCCACCACCACAGCAATTGTGATGTTGGAGGCAACCACCAAAGAATGTCAGAAAGCGCGCAAGACGACGGCTCAGATACATATTGGTAGAACAGCTGAGTCGCTTATTCCCCTAACTCGCCAAATCCTGGCTTCCGAGGGCCTATCGAAGGGTCCAATAAAGCAGAAACAAGAAATTCTAGTGGAAGACGAAACGTTCGACATTGAACAGTTTCAACGCCTCCACGATTGCATCGTCACCCTGTTCCAGCAATCTTCAGTTGATCAATCTTCGTGCCGGAAATATGCCATCACAATCTTCAATGCTTCTCTACTGGCGAAACCATGGTTCTCCGACATTCCTGTCGACCTTGAAAACGACCCTCTCAAGGGTCTTACCGACCCGCGACCTGGAAGTGTTCATAGACCTGTGTTTGCGGTGCGAAGACGAATATGCTATGCAGCGCTCAATGCACTATTCGACCTTGTAACTCGCCAACCGCGAGGAGAAAGCTCATTCAATGACGAAGGCGATCTTGATGGAAGAAACTCTCCATTTGCGCTCCACCTAGCTCAGAATGCGTCTCCGTACTTACTCCTCCGTGTCGTACTTCCCTTAAAGACTTTGATGTCTGATCAGCGACTGCGTGGGCTCACACCGCCACCTCTACCACAACAAGCAGAACTACAAACTGTGCTCACTAAATTTGTGCAACTCAGAAGCGATGGGCGTGCATTTGCCAAAATCACTGCCTCAATTGATCCCAGCAAAAATTATGATGATGATGGTGACCAAGACAATTATGACGAGTCCAGCGACGATGGTAAAGAACACCTCCGCATCCTGTACCAGTTCCTCCTGCGTGTGTCGATTTTCTGGCGAGGGCTTCCACGACTAAAGGGTGAAGGCGCATGGCAGGCTGATGAGCCGGGAAGAGCCGTTGACGCGGCGATCAGTCAGTGGAGCGAGGTCGTTGGTGAAGCTTGGGGAGGTGTCTAGGCTTCCACACCTATATTGTATGTGATTTCGTTTGCTTCCATCTCACTTAGCCGCATCAGAAAAGGAGGCGGATGTGGTCGGTCGGTCTGTGATAGTACCTACGAAGTTGTATACAATGTCGTCTGATCTTACCGTAAGTCCTCTCTAGGAGAACTTGAGACAACTTGAGACAATCTCACACGAAGTGCCAAAGCATAGACGGACAGACACTTTGCAAAATTCACAAGCAGTCTCACACGTCACAGAACTCCGTACCTGAAGCTTTTGAACTCATCCTCCGAAAGTAGGAGTGAGTATATAAGGCTGAGGTTCTGAGCCTCCACATCTACTCCATATCCAAAATCAACCCCGTCTTCTACTCTGCATTTCTGTGAGTGTTTTCCGACAAACGCACTTCCAAGCCTCGTCGTATCGCCAGCCGGCCAGAGAGACGGGGAGACAAACAGACAGACAGACAAGGTAGCCTAGAATAAAACACCCGGTGGACGAATATAGGTGCCCAAATGGAAGAAATCTTTTCCTCCAATAATAGTGAGATGGCTGCCGTTCGAAAGGGAATTCCCCTCAGCGACTCGTACATACACTGGGTGGTCATCGGATGCTCCCCGAAGTTGTTGGATGCGACTTGAACACCAAGGCTCCCCCTCCCACGTTCGAGTCGTGATGACCCCGCTCAACATTCCAAACATGGCTCTTCAGATACGTTGAGATGGAAATCGATTCACCGCCATGTTCGGATGTTTGTGCGAATGATGACTACTGAACCGGAATGGCCGACTGGGGCAACGCGAGTTGGCTACAGCACGTGCATGTCACGATTTCCAAGTCATAGGAGATACATTGAACGTCGGAAAGGTGAAATTTCTTCGGGGAGGCAACAATGTTTCAGCGCGGGACACGCCGAAGATTGCCTGATACAGTCATTATCGCTATATGTCTGACTAACAAAATCTAACTCCAGGTCCAAGGCTTGTGATCCGGTAGTAGTGTTTATGCAGGTGTGAGAATAGGCTGGGTTGGTGGCTTGCCGCCAATTCCTGGGTTGTCAATGGCCAACTGCTGTGCCGTCTCTGGTGCTTGCCGGTACAATACAATCTCGGATTGTTTGAAATATCGGCGAGCATCTGTATGTCGGAGGAAAAATGTAATATTAGCGAACAGACATCAAAAGTTCAGTGGATTGTTTGCTGTGAGAGCGCCATGCACGGGTCTACACCGAGAGCACCGAGAAGTGAACCGACCGAGAAATGGAATATTTCAGGCACGGGGTGAGTTGCTCCGAAGTGGAACCGACTCTGGTCCGAGTCTCGTGGGGGAGGTGGTGAATTGCTTAGGATGGATGAATGGGGGTTTTGCAGCCACATTTGGGGGTCAACGACAGTGAAATGTGGCTTGTGCGTAGTTTGGATATGATATCCGAACTTACCTTCATCAATGAGGACTAAGCTCAAGTAATACCTTGTGGAGTATTTCTTGTTGACTTCTCGGAAAGTCGGCGTCAAGTCAAAGCCTCCCAGGAACAAGCGGATGGGGATGGTTTCTCCTGTTCATCGTGTCAGTGTACAATACCCAGAGCCAGGTCAACATCATTCTCCTGCCATTTCGAAAGTGACACGTACCTCGTGAGGGTGAGCCATCCATGATCTGGGAGTGTTAGTTTGTTACACAATACAGTATTTGTGGAAGATAGAAGTGAAACGTACCTCGAATCTTACCAACGTCTCGCTCTCATTGTATTGGTTTGGCGCCACACCAGTGGTTTCCCGTCGAATGATGGACAACTCCATGTGTTTGATCTTCAACCTGACCAACAAGAAGTATATCCGACCAACAATCACATCTTTGAGGTGGTATTTGCTCTTGGAGTATTCGAACTCTATATGTAAACAGTCCTCGATACCTACGTCCATTTTGATGGAACTGTTTGTCTCCGGGGGTATCCGATACGAGTAGACCCAAATGTCCTTTTCCCGAATCACATCCGCCATCCGTCTCGAGACCGTGACTCTGACGAAGTAGCGTAACTTGACATTGATGCCCTGGTATGACTCGTATTGCTTCTCGACATTTTTGAAATTGAATGGGAAGGTCTGGGGGTGCTGAAGTTCGCCAGGCGCAGCTAGCTCTTGACCAAGGGACAGAAACTCGTAGTGGTTACCTCGATCAAAGAACATTTCTAAGAAGGAGAGGTCAGAGAATGCAATTGGTGATCATGTAGAGTTGACAGTAAGCATACCGATCAAGCCGATAAACTGGACCTTGATTCCAGTATGTTCTAACCGTCTTCCATCTTTAGGTCTAATTGTCACAGCTCCTTTCACGGATTCCCCATCAAAGTACAAAGGCGCCTTCTCCCTTCGATTCTTGTCGAGCTTGACATCAACAGTCTGTCGACCATCGGTGTCTTCAAGGACGATGTCGATGTCAACGGGGGTGGAGAAGAAGAATGATGACATGTTGTTGGAGAGGGAAAGTTGGGCGCGCAGGGGAGTGTTTGTTTATGCGATTCCGATGGATTTAATCATGGAGGGTTAATGGTGGGTGAATTGATAGATAGCAGAGGTAGGATTACTGGTATTGGGCAAATTCCTAATGGTGCTTGCGGAGGAAGTGCAAGCGCAGGTGAGAGCAGGCTGCGCCCATTTGATGCCAAGCTTCTGCTCTGTTCCTTCCCCAGAAATCCCGATAAGGTCCTAAATCCTCAGGCTGAAGACTCGCACGCGGCTGACGAGAAAGGTAAGGTATGGTTCGATCCATGCTACCCATGGTAGATCGCATAACCAATTCAGGTGCCCTCAGTGCAGATGGTGAGGCTCAAGCTATCTGAACGGGGTGTTCTCTGGGTTCATATTGGACCCCCACGCGCTGAGTGATGCTGCTCTTCATCTAATGCCAGATATCATCGAGATCGCTCCTCGTGCGATAAAGACAAAGAATGACCACGAGAGTGATACGAGACGGGACTTGATCTCTCTAATTCTGATTTCTCCAATCTGCAGCTCTGGACTTGGGTACCTATGAAATGCAAGGTGAGGTTATTGAAACTTGAAAACACGTGGCCACCGATCGGCTAATGGAAGAACGATGATCCGCAGTGTCAACTGAGCTTCAGCCACAGCAAATGCCGAAGAAGAACAAAACATGCAAGAGCACCCGCCAGCTCGTCACCACTGCAGTCACCGCCGAAACCAAGAGGGGGGCCCGATGGCCGATCTGGGATGCCGCGGCGCATGGCAGAAAGTCTCCAGGCCCAGGGCAGCAGGGCAGCAGGGCTCCCTCCTGCAGCCCCCCGCAATCTTGTTCGGAAGTCGTCTGGGATTGACTTGGCCTCGATTTCACTCGCTGCCCGCTCCTTTGCAATTGCTTCCACCGCTGTTCCGCCCGCATTTTCCTGGTGCCTGACTCGGCATGATTCGTCGAGTCCTTTGCATGCCAAAAATTGCATTGCGCATGTCCACTGCATCCGCCGTCCCCGTCACTGGCTTTCACTAGTGTGGGGTATCGCTGCTTCCTGGTCACTGCTCCCAATCCCGCGGGTGCACCAGTCAGCCTGTTTCTTTCCTAGATGGTCAGAGTCACGCAGACATCACACAGTCGCTCAAACTGTTGGGTTTGACCCTTTTTGCCCCTCAGATCTGTTGCATCGCGTAGAGGCTGAGCCTCCGCATCTAAAAGCCGAGTCGTGAGTCCATTCTTCGTCTTCTTGTTCTTCCCATTCTTCTTCCCATCACTTGCATCCACGCCCGACACTGTGCTCGTTTGTTTGTCCCAATGCTACTGTGAACGAACGGCGTTTGTTCCTGATCTCCTCCCTGATCGTGTGGCTACCCCCTGCTTCGGGTCGTCCTTTATATCAACCGTGACATCATTCCCACACCTCGAATAAACTTCCAACCATGCTGTCTGCAGAACGCTCTTCACGACCTTACACTACTCTCCGCTATCCATTCCGGGTAGCCACACCATCTCCCCGGGCCAATTCTAGGAATATGGAGTCTGAACCTGATCATGTCGAACACATCTGGATCGTCACCGGTCCTGCCGGATGTGGCAAAACTACCGTTGCTCAACATCTTGCCGGAACCCTGGGATTGCCCTATATTGAAGGCGATGATGTATGTAACCTTGGGCCTCAACATTTCTCAACTGTACTTACAAAGATTGGCAGTTCCATCCGGTAAGCAACAAGCAGAAAATGGCCTCCGGACAGCCTCTCACCGATGCTGATCGCTGGGATTGGTTGATCACGTTAAGAGAAGAAGCCATCAAACAACTTCAAACCAGTAACTCGGTCATTGTCACCTGCTCTGCCCTCAAACACAAGTACCGAGATGTCATTCGAGTGGCCAACTACGAACATCCTTCCGTGCAGGTACATTTCATCTACCTCAAGGTTGATGAGGTCACCTTACAACAACGTGTCAAGGAACGGGTGGGACATTATATGAAGGAGGGCATGGTGCATAGCCAGATGGTGGCTTTGGAGGAACCCGAGGAAGACCAGGAATGGGACGTCCTTCGTGTGGACGTGAGGAATGACAAGGAAGAGGTGCAGAGAAATGCACTCGCCTTGGTGCGACAAAAGCTCAAAGAATATGAACAAGTCAACGGCGCTGCCACCGACTAGACTTTGATTTGATGGAATCAAGACAAAAATCTAAAATCTGGCGACTTTTCGGGCAACATACGTGGAAGTATTTCAATTAAGCATCGGCGCTGGGGTGGTACTGCAATCATGGTTCCTAAATGGACGGCGACAGGACGCCACAGATGTATGATTATTGGCGGAAGGTGGAATTCCCGGCGCTGGACGTGGATTCATACCAAGGTGGTCATGGAGATTCGAAGTTGAGAAACGAACCTATGACTGGATGGAACAGTGGTAAACTGCATGGATAACGTTACGAGTACAGTATACTTTACTCTGAATGGTTGAGGCTATCGAGACAATGAAGAAAACATACACCAATCCCAATACCAACCCCATTGGGCATATGATGTACTGGCTGTACTGAGTATTCGACCACGTGAACAAGATGTGTATTGGGTACTAAGCGTTGGACACGTAGTTCCAGGTTGTTGGTCCGAGGATGTCAGCCCAGGGAGGAGGAGCACGTAGTGTTCGGATGAACTTTAGGATATGAACTTTATTGTACATGGTCGTTGGACAAATATAGAGTTTGAATTTGCGGTAATGCAGAATATTAATAGACGAGTAGGACCTGACTTGTAGGTCTGAGTCAGAGCCAGCTGTCGCGTGTATAACTTGAGAAATGGAAACAGTTGACAGTAAAGTTGTCCCTTCCTTCACTGAAATGTGTTCTTGGCGACCCTTGCAGTTGCAGCGGCAGTGGCAGTCGCAATAATGGCTGTACTTTCCCCAAAATGGTTATTCCCCCATCCCATGCGCGCCTCTCAGGCTCCTCAATCCCGATCCTCAAAAGCTACACTACCAGTCTTCACATCCTGGACCTGAACTTTAATTGTTCAACAAACACATCTTCCAACGCGACCGGCCGCAGTTGCCTATGCAGTCTCTTTGTATAGAGCAGAGGTCGCTCCCCCATCGTCCATAACATGCCTCGCTGACCGAGTTGATTTCCCCCCGTACCGTGATGCAGTCGTCCTCCTCAGCTCAGCGTCCAACCCCGTCGCAACGGAGACAACAGAATCTCTCTGATGCCATGTCATCTCAGCCTCCATCTACCTCGCTCTCGGGATCCCAAGTCAGGTCTCCTTCTGGCTCAGGCCGTTCCCGTACCACAAATGTTTGTTGTTCTCCTCCACTTTCAATCCACCATGAGCACTAATTTCAATCCAATCATTAGCCGGACAAACAGATCTCTCAAATCGAAAAGAGCGTCACTCATCTCCTGGTGGCCACCAAACAACTCCTCGAAACTCTGACACAATGGTCCCGTGGTCAAGCACAAGAGGAGGAGGTCTCAGATGTCTATGTCCGCCTGGGTTATGAATTTAATCTAGCCTGCCGTGCTTTCAATTCCATCGGTGTCGAGACCTCGGATCTTGGTCCTGTCCCTGACCTCTTGCGGAGTATCCTTGAGGATACTCTAAGCCAAGCAGCTTCCCCACAAGCACTAGACAATTACCTGCCACGCATTCGCGACATAATCATCAATCTTTTACACGGCTTGAAGAGAAAGCAAAGCAGATTAAGGGGACGGGCAACCAAAGATGCAGTCACCGCTCCTCAAACAAGGCCATCCGCCGGTCAACCTAGACAGACTAGTGTCTCTACCACTGGAAGCAATGAAACAGGGTTGACTCATATGCTTGAGGACATACCAAGCACCACATCAAGTCTAGGCGCTACGCAAACGCCACAAGACACCATCCAAACGGTCGATCAACCGCCTGTTCCATCCAACAATGCCTCAACCGGTCAGCTCTCTAACCGGCCCGGTATCAATCGACACTCAATTCGACGTGAACCCGCTGGCGCCATCCCCCCGTCCGAGTCTTCTTCAACGATGTCCAGCAGTACAGCTCAGAACATACCTGTGTTACCACCATTTCATGATATAGATTCGCCTTCTGCAGCACCTAGCATGCCTGCGATTGCATTTCCACACCCCCCTCCCCCTCCACCGAAGCAAACAGATGCACTTGCCAGATTGCAGCGTGGTGGTGATCTCGAAAGACGAGCCTCAAGAAGGTTCTCAGCATATCAGATACAAAAGCATTTGGGTACTTCTCCCAATGGCGTGCCTATGATTCCCTCCGCTCAAAACTCTCCTATCCCAAATCGTGGAAAAGAAGTCCGGGAATCCATGACCGCAGTTCGATCACGGAGCTCCTACCAACAATCAAGGTCGAGATCTGTAAGGCATGGAGATGCTTCTCCCAGCAGAAGTGGAACCATCAAAACACCACAACGAATCTCGGAGGAGCGAGAGGAAACTCCTATATTGTCTTTGGATGCAACTCCACGTATCCAACCACCACAGGATTCCATCAACCTTGATAGCCCAACTGTCAAAACACCAGATGAGTATCTTCAACCTCGAAAGCGCGAAAATAGTAGTTCCGAGCAACTTGTGGTTGGAGCAACAGTCAATGGACCACTCAGTCCGGGCCCCGATGAACTGCTCAGAGCGCCGACACTGGACTCCGAAATTGCCTATTCTCAGCCTGACGAGAGTAAAGAACCTGCTGAGATGCTAGACGAAAGCACCCCTGAGACTGTCCAAAGACAACCCAGGGAAAATGTCACACCTCCTCAATCCCAGGTTATTACCTTAGATTCATCCCCCCCACAGGGAAAGGAGTTGACTTTGTTCTTACAGTATCGGAGCAAGATCAAGAAGTTTGTGCTTGCAGATGGGTACGAAGAACTAACAATCCCTCGATTGCAATTGGCATTCATTGAGAAGTTTGCATGGAACAACCAGCACAACGGTGTAGATCTTCCAGAGATCTACATTCAAGACCCTGTTTCTGGGGTCAGGCATGAGCTCGAGGATTTGACTGATGTTAAGGACAGATGTGTCCTCGTGTTGAATGTCGAGGATTTGGATGAGGTCAGGAAGCATATCGATGAAGGCATTGGTGGACTTTCCAAAACCCTCGAGGGTGTAAAACAATTGCTGGAAGGGCAAGGCACTTTGATGCAAAGGTTCTCGGATCGGCAGCTGGAGACTTCCAAAGAGATGGCCCGTATGTCCGCTGTACCCAGTCAGCCAACATCAAGAACACCCACTCTCGCGCCCGGGAGCTTCAAATTGAGCACCAGCTCGGATTCATCTCTCCAAGAAATTCAAAGCCTTCGCCGGGAAATTGCAGTCTTGCGACAAACATACTCAACCATGTCTTCAGATTTTGCAGCTTCGATGATCGAGATCAAAGCCAAAGCAACCTCGGTCAAATCAGCCGCCACAGATGCTGCAAATGCTTCTTTCAAAGGCGATGCAGGTCGTGATCATATCAACAAAGGAAAGAAAACGCTGTCTACCGATTCAGAAGCCCTGGTCAATCGGGTTGATGATTTGTCCGATGTCGTGGAAGAATTACGCAAAGATGTTGTAACACGTGGGGTCAGACCTCTACCACGAGTGCTTGAGGACATCAGCAAGGATATCAGTGCAACTGCTAAACAGCTTGCAAAGGTCAAGGATTATGTGAAACGTGAAAAACCAATCTGGACCAAGATTTGGGAGCAGGAATTGCAAGTGGTGATGATGGAGAGAGATGACCTGACCCAGCAGGATGAATTAATGAATGATCTGGACGGTGATCTTGAAGACATCACCAGTGTATTCAAACTGGTCGAGGAAGCTACTAAACAGCAAAACCTACAGGCTGCTGGAACCATCGGACGTAATCCTTCCAAAAGCTTAGCATTCGACACTCTTGTCGATCCCCACGAGGCTAAGACTGGGGTGCTGGATGAAGTACGAGCACTACAGCCCAATCATGAAAATCGCCTGGAAGCTATCGAACGAGCTGAGAAAGCACGCCAAAGGGAGCTTGAAACCCGTCGAGTTGGCGAGTTTCAACGTGAGGTAGAAACGTTTGTGGAAGAAGGCAAACTCAAGAAAACAGGTGGTATGGACGAGGTTGAGCGCCGACGCAAGTTGAAAGACGAGCAAGCTAGGAAAGAAAATTTTGAGCGCCAGGCAGCTCGTGCAGCAGAGCTGGAGAAGAAACGAGCCGATGCTGCCGCAGCTGCCGCCGCTGCCGCTACGGCTGAAGCGTCCGAGACGAATCTCGACCACCACGATCCGGAAAATGATACTTCTCAGGAAGGTGAAGCGGCTTTCCAAGATGCAGCTGAGGAGAAGGTTCTAACTCCCGAGCACGAGAAAGGAGATGCTTCCCCTGCTCCTCCACCAATACCAGCAAAGGATACACCCAAGAACGAAGACCCACCCCAGCTGCCTGACGTTAAAGTCGACGGGCACAACAGTCAAGAAGGAACAGGTCTTGGTATGTCATTCTATAATTTATAATTCCATAAATACTGGAATAATTTTCTTTTCAACCAAAAGCTTTTGGACTTTGGACTGATTCCACCACCTTGTGTGTACGATTGGTGTAGATTCCCCAACGATTCCCCATCTCATGACTGGGGCAGCAGACGTGTCCGACAAAGCGTCTGACAAAGAACAGCAACCTAAGGACAATCGGGGCAGTTGGTGGCAGCCTGCGGTCTTTTCACCATGATCGAGCTTCGGCGTTGAATGGACACATGGCATCGATGCCACTTTCGCCACTGCCAGCAAGAATCACCTTACATATTTATCGGTTGCTCCCTGGCTTACACGGTTTGTTGGCACTGGAAGAAGCATGGACAATTGAATGATACACCCACTGCGTATGCCGACTATACCACAACCCGACATGATGGATTCGAACCCAATGGACTACACCTTTCTTATGCTACGACACCACCCATTCACATCTTTCCGGGGCTTGTGCTGCTGGCCCGATCGCATGCGAGCATTCATTCCCACCTAAACCATCCAGGTCCACATTGCTGGTATCTCGGGCGAGTTTGATATTTCTGTTGTTTTGCCGTATGTTTGTTTCTTTAGCGAGCCTATCCATTTTGATAGCATTTATTCACTTTTAATTCCTCGAGGATGTTGCGCTTACATCTTCTATACCTTGTTTTAGCAGAGTTGGTTGTTGGGCTGCAAGCGAGATAGCAGATTTGATGAGATAGAGAGGACGAATGGGGCATAATCACACTGCATTGCATTGCGTTGTATGTGTAGCTGAGATTTTGAGTCACGACAGTTCATGGCATCTATAAGAGTACCGATGTGTACCTGTGTGCTTGCAGAGAATCCCGCAGTTCGAGAACATTTGTTTATATGTGGCATGCAGCTGAAACGCTTTTCCTGTAAAACTGAACGTCCCAAAGTCATCATTGAACACCCCAGTTGCAGACTGCGATGCCGTCAAGACATCCGAAATCTCCTCAGCCCACAAACCCTTCAGAAACGCACGCAGCCGAGTCGCGCAAGAACATATGTGGGTACCTACTTACCTCACTCGATACCGAGCAGGTATGCACCTTGCGAAGATAACACTACCAAGTTAGTTTTCGTCCCCTCTCATCCAGACTCGATGCAGATCGAAAGCACTGACACCTCCAAGCTAACTACTTTACCTCCGTAGGTGGTTCACTACTGCAGCGCATGGCGGGATAGGGCTGTGAGATCTGAGACAACGCCAATCAACGGGATCCCTGGGTGCGGATGGCCATGATGCGGCAGCGAGTGTGTCAGCTTGCGAAGCTTGACTTGACGTACAAATAAGTACGAGCACACTTAACTACACTCCAGACGGTTCGTGAGAGAGAGGATTGCTGTCTCATACTATATAAGTATCTATGGCTCTCTTAACTTTTCTGTTTCTCACGCTTGCACTTGTCGAGAGTGGTTTTCGATTTCCAGTGCCTGCAGTATTGTATTGTGGTTGTGGCCGGCACATGGATGTTTGGTGGCCACGCCAGACGCCGATGTCGACCCCGCGCTCAGCAGATTTTTGCACTTCACGGTTGTTGGATAAAACCCTTCTAATTGGGATGGGCGACCGATCCTCGATCTACGGCGTGATTGGAAACGATGTGGTCTAAATGTGCAAGCAAGTCGAGAAGTCTTGTTGATTGATTTCTGCATGATACTTGTGTATCGTCTTTTATTTTATGTCTGTATGTCTACCGGAACTCGCCCAATGCCCGAGAAGATAAAAAGCCGTACCCAGAATGATGAAGCTTTAGATGGTACTGTTATCACCATCGTCCAGCTGAAGAAAGATAAAAGATGTTCCCTGATTTCCTGATTTTCCCTGTGCTATCTTTTTGAGCACATTCATTTGTGGTTTTCGCCTGTCATTTTGCCCCCTTTGGTCATGCAATTTTGGTATTTGGTTCTCTGGTTCGGTCATGATATTCGTTATGATGGGTTCGTGGGATGGTGTGGGCAGACTTGCTACCTTTTTCAGATAGCGTCTGCCAGGAAGTGAGATGTTGCAATGCACAAGCGACCACGCCAGAACCAGTGTGTGGGAGAGGAACTTCCCAGAAGCTCCTGTGTATGTTATGATCTATTCATCTGCTGACTTTTCAAAAGCCAGTGAGATGCCGCTTCGATTTGGAGGATCGTTTTTCTCGGTACTCTCATACGGTTCGATTTTGTGTTGAAGGAGTGACAGATTTTGGGTCTTCTCGACATCTAGGAGAAATACCACTGGATTCCACTGAGACGACCATCACCTTTTCCATCGGTGATGGCGTTGAACAGCGCATCGGTGCAGTCGATTGAGCGACCTTCACAACCCATACACTTGTCACCGACAGTGGCTTGCACTGTAGTGCCAGAGGCGGGGTTGACGAGAGTCACTGAACGACCACAGAAGGGGTTGCCGTTGGATTGAGTGCCCATGAAACCATAGGGAAGTGCAATAGCCATTTGACTGCTGGTGTCGACGTTCCAGCCACAAGCGCCGAGGCCACCATCCCAGTGAGTTACATCACCGACGCAGGTGTTGCCTGAGCCTTCGCAAGTTCCGGTGGTAGAGCCGGTGGTGTCCTTGGGTTGAACTGGTACTGGAGCCACGTTTGAGGGTTCTGGGGTCACTGGAGCGGCTGATGAAGCTGGTACCGAAGGAGCAGCAGCAGGAACCTCGGGGACCCACGATGATGTGGTGGAGACGCTAGCGACCTGTGTTGCGAAGGTGGAAGGAACGTACGACGTCTGAGCGAAGATGGCTGCTGGGACAATGGTGGTGGTGGCAGGAGCCGGTGGAGGAGTTGGCAGGGACTCGTCAACATAGACGGTGGTGGTTTCTTCAACGGTGACCCAGGCAATTTCGGTTTCGGTATGGGTATAGATGGCGCGCTTGTCCATCATTGGGATGGCCACAACGGTGGAAGCCAGCAGCGAGGCGGCGATGAGAATGTTCTTGAGACCGGCCATTTTGAAGGGTTGAAGGTAGACTGGAGATCTGGCTCTACAGAATGGAAATGTCGGATGACTACTTGACGATAAGTATGTGAGTGGACTCTGATCTGCAATGAGTGATGAGCAAAGTTGTCGCGATGACAAGCCTGTGTCAAGTTGAGTATGTGTGGTGAAGGACAGTGAGCGAGACGTCAAGCCTGGCGAGCGGGAAACCGAGATCGGTGAAGTGAAATGTAAAGAGAGAGAATGTGTGCTTCCGGGAAGGACAAAGAGTGACTAGATAAAGGAATGGAAAGAATCCAGAGCGGATAAACGAGGGAAAGGGTTTTCCTCAGGAAAGGAAAGCCTGTGAAGGTGTTTGCCGGAGTACAAAGAAGAAAGAAAAGGATGGGGAAGGACAAAACTTTCACATCACCGCACAGATGGCGATGGTCGTCGTCACATGGAGTTGAGGTCTCCCAAGAATGTGGAAAAGGGTGTCTGCCATTGTCTGGTCGCCATAGACATGGGTTACATTCCGAGCCCCCAATGGCACGGGGTCATGGCCCTTTGTCGAGGGAGTCAGTCCATTGCTCTCTCCGCTCCCTTGCGTTCTGCCACGACTGGCACCAGTCTGACAGTGTCAACCCAGGTCAGTTCCCGTTGATGCTGTTGTGATGAAAACTGCAGTGCGCTGGTCAGTCAAAACCTGGTGGTTCCAGGGGCGGCGTGGACCAACAACTCAAAAGAGTGGAAATTTGGAGGAAATTCGAGAGAAACCGAGGAGCTTCATGGCCCCAGCGCAGGTCCACTATCCGTTCAGGTACAGCGGGTGGCTATTGAGATTTTGGTTGAGTTGGGAATAGTCGCTCGACTCGGTGGACACGGGGATGCCTGTGGCGCCCGCCGAAACGCAAACAGACGGGGGGGTCACCCAGAGGCACTCAAGGGGATGATGGGTTTGACCCATGCCACGCCATTTGGGTGTCTGTTTGCGCTCCCAGTCCGATTCGCCGGCTAGACACGTTTTTTCAGGTACAGCCGGGCCTAAGCCGTAAGCATCTTAGTGGTGCCCAAGACTGCTCGCTGGGGCCTGTCCTCCTTCTCGTGTGCCTGGAGCCGCTGTTTCCGGGAGCATGAACCGCCCTGAGCTTCTGGGATTTTCGCTTGGCCGGGCCTCGGTGCCGGGCTTGCGAGGCGTTGTTTGGCAGCCTGTCCCTGGCATGATTGACGTGGTCTCCTGCAACCACTTTGTGTGCGAGGTCAGTACTCGTACTGTGAGGGCGCCTCCTTCATCATTCATTCCATCATGCCACAGCGTCCAGCCGACCTTTGCATGCTGCATCCGTCGTCTTGCCGTGCCTGCAGTGGCCGTGGCCGTGGCCGTGGGAGATGCAGATGGGAAGAGAACGGCCCTCTGTCAACTACCCTTCTCGTCATCATATCCTGCCGTGCTTACGTCTGCGCTTGAGTCCTGGAGCACATTCTATTCAATCATGGCTAATATGAATCCACTTGTTATTAACCGAACAGTTTGTTCGCAGGACGCATGGCGACGGAGCCAGCAGCTGTCTATTGAGATGCTACATCAGGAAGGCGAAATGGAACGAAATACTCGAGGATGAGAAATGCACCCAAGAGCCAAAGCGCCGTTTCCTGGACCGAAGCTCTGCATGCAGAATCGCCGTTGTCACTAACTTGCTGCACGAAAACTCTTCCTAGGACTCAAAATGCAGTGTTTGCCGGCGACTCTCAAAAAAGTCTGTAGACCCGCCCCACTAGCAATCGGGCTCGATCGCAATTGTTGCAAGCGCAATCGCAAATCCAACTGCAGTTCTCATCATTGCACCATTTTCAATCCTTGCTCTGGTGCATGTGAATCTTGCGTTCAATTCTCGGGGTGCCCCGAAGCGCACGACCATGAGAATTCCTGATTGCACATGATTGACGGCACACGAAAAAGAATATCGACACGTTCAAGTTTGCTGTGGCCTTGGCGTGCGCGCAACTTGAAGTCGAAATGCGGGACACAGACTCGTGGTGATCATGAACAATTCGCCATCACGTCTTGTCTGCCGCACATTACATTTTGGCGTAGTCTCTATACCATCATCCATGCCAACCTAGACTGTCCGGCCTACCTATCTGACTTGCTCCGTAGGTGCATTGACCTATTAACTAAAGCGAGAAGGTACCTTGGTACTTACAGACCACGAGTCAATTGAGATACGAGTATGTCCGACTACGAAAAATCCAAGTACCGAGTTTTACCAGTCCATGCATGCATCGGCCACCATGTCGAAAATATGGTTGAATCTGCTGACCCATGCAACCCAACATACAATTCATGCCCAGCAATCCATGCTATCTAGGTCTCCATACTCTTACCTTGGTGTCAACTAATTATCATAACGCAACGATATCCTCGAGCCATCTCAACGGTTCAATGACAATCTAGAAGCATGTGGATGAACCGATGTTCAATAGTTGTTTCCCACACATGAACTACCAAGGATTCAAGCGGAGCATGCCCACTACCATTTCAACAATCAACCCATCATCAATCCGTGTACTGTACATGCATCGCGGACTTCTCTTAGCAGTAGTAGTAGTCGTTGAAGGGTTGCTTCCGTGCTCGTTCCTACGCGGACTCAACAAACTCCACCCGTTCGTTCAACTTTGGCCGGCAGACGAAGACAAAAAACACTCACCCACTTGTTCCCAGGACGTCGTTGTACACGGTACTTTTCATTCCTGGGCCACTTCTTTAACCCGATTCTCGACCGGTCTATCGGTAGTGTTGCATTTTTACCGACAAAGTGAAGATGAAGAATACATGACAAGGGAACACTCGATATGAAAGTCATGACCGATTTACGAGTAATGGCTTTTCTTTCTATTTACATGGAATGCGAATGCCTATGTAACTAGTAGCAGTAACCAATACTAACGATTAATATGGGAAAACACTAATACCGCCCTCGCTCGAACGCAGCAGAACTTGTTAGAGACGACCATAAGGGACATCGAAGGAAATGACACGCAACCGCCCTTTTTGTGACATTCACATCTTTTTCATCATAGCATGGTAGTCGTCGATGTCGTCGTCGTCCTCATCATGAGACTGCTCCCATACAGGACGATGCCTCGTGATCATCATGTCCAGGTCATCGTCCTTTTCTGATTTCGACGTCCCACCGGCCGGACGCTTGACGCCACTACCACTACCACTACCACCGTCGCCACTGCTACTGCTGCTGCTTGCTGCAGAGGCCTGCTCTCCATGCCAGAGGGCCAGGTTGCCCACGTGACCCTTGACCTGCTTCAATTGCACCGGCTTAGGCTCTTCGACCACACCTTTCTCACTGAGCACCTCGCTCGACTGCAGGGTAGACGTAGGTGTTGCCATGCTCTGTCTCTCGATGTGTTCCACCGAGGCTTGCTGTTGCTGCTGTTCGTGGAGCTTGTTCTTGCGCCGGCGTGCAATGATCCCCGCGAGTCCGAACTGTGTCGCGCTGCCATCTTGCATCGAGCTCGCGCTCTCCTGGCGCATCGCTCTTCGTGCCCGTCGATTCACTCGCCGCTCGTGTATGGGATCGACTTGTAGGCGTGCTGCCGGGAAGATGTTTAGATACAGTGGGAATAGTATCCCACAGACCGCAGCCGCCAATGGGACGCAGTATGACTTCTGCAGACCAATGTGGTTCTTGGCCCCCCACTGGATAGGAGGGAAAACTGCACCACCTGAGATGGCCGCCGTCATGAGCGCAGACCCCGTCTTGGTATGCGCGCCCAACCCGCGCATTGAGATGGCGAAGATGATGGAAAATATACCAGCCTCGAATGCAAAGGTGAATTGTGCAATTGTCGCCCCAGCTGCTCCGTCCAAATGCATTGTCAATGCCAAGCATACTATCAAGCCACAATAAAGGAATAGCAAGATCCATCTCGGTTTGAGGAAATAATTCAGGAAAGCCGACAAAAATCGTCCGGCTGCAAACACGGTGTGGGCCACCGTCTGAAAATAAAATGGTGAGAGGTTTTGCTCTGGTTGAATTAGCCGTATTAATGATTGAAGATTACTTCCGACACTTTCTTGCAAACCCACATAGACCCACTGACTGAGGACACCGAGGCCGAGAGTTACATATATCACTCTCCAGGGACCGATTTTCGCGTTGTTTGCTGAGCTTCTTCGATCCGCAAGTTCTTCCAGCTGCTCGTCTGTTGCCTCGGGAAGCGGTATGTAGTAGAAGGCGATAGCCAAGAGATAAACAAACATGGCGATACCTAGATAAGCCCATTGAACGTCGATAAGTGATGATGCGTTGTCGTTCCGAACATTCTTGAACAGGACCTTTGTGGCTAACAGTGGAGAGCAAATCGTGCCAACGGCTTGAAATGCCTGTGAAAGGTTTAGTCGGACTTCGGCATATTCCAGGGGACCACAGAGAGCAATGTATGGATTGGCGGCGATCTCCAAGCATGACAATCCGCTTGCAACAATGAAATTCGAAATGATGAAGGCTGTGTATGAAGTCAATACAGCCGAGGGCCAGAAAACCAGGGTCCCGCAACCATAGACGCATAGGCCAACCATCATAGTCGCTTTAAAACCATATCGTTTCAAGATGAATCGACCTAATGTCAATGGCCCAACCAGGTAGCCCGAATAATATGCTGCATGGAGCCCCAGTGTTTGCTGAGTAGAAAGCCCCACCACCGTTTGAAATCTGGCATTCAAAGTGTCCAGCAAACCATATGCAAAACCCCAAAGGAAGAAAATGACCGTGACCACCGCATTCGGCCACAGACTCTGGCGATTCGAGAGTTTCAACATGTTTCGACTGCCGGACATGTTGACAAAACCAAAGTCGGAAGTGGTGGTTTTATTCGTGCTTCTGCGTGATAAATTCGTCGTCGTCCTCGCGATAATACCTCCCTCATCATCACCTGGTGGACCTGCCAACATGTTCAAGAAGCCCATTTGATCTCCCCCATCTTCTCCGGAATATTCTTGCACCGTCGGTTTTCTAAAGGCAGCTGGGTTGTTGAGCATGGAGACGTCACCTTTTGGCAATTTCTCTGCCGGTGAGTCGTCCGGTCGTCCCACATCGATGCTGCCATTTGAGGTATTGTCATCTTTGATGAAGCGTGGCATAAATCGCAGGAAAAGAGGTTTCAAGCTCGGGACACAAGCACAGATGATCCCGATGCTGACTTCGACAGCCGACCACATGAAACTGAGGCTCGCATACCAGGAGAAGTCATTGTCTTCGGTGATTCGCCCGCTAGAGTGGCTGTTATCCTGGGCAGCAGTCAATCGACTCAGAGTGGCGTTCTGTAAGTAGGCGATCCGAATCACGTCGACAACGGCCACAAATGCGCCAAAGCTGAAGGTGACAACGAGAATGATCTTCTGTTTCCGAGGGAGTCTCATCCCAGTCAGGATTGGCATGGGTAGAAACAAGAGAGCCACATCGGTGATGATATTGACGGGTGCCGACGAGAGATAAAGCGTCACAATATCCGTACATTTGGCCGTCTCTGGCGTGGGATAAAGGTATCCAGCTGCAACTGGTCGACATTGAAAGATACTGAGGAATGTGAGGGCGAGTCCGAACAGATTGACAACGGCGAGTGTTAACCAATTGCACCACTTGAAAACGGGGTCGACGTCTTTGCTCATGACCGAAAGAAAGAAGGCGATGATCGACGTTTTGGTGAGCATGAGAGACGGGTTGTATAAAATAGAAAACGCATATTCGGATTTCCGGAGAGACGAAAAGGAATCGTCCGGTATGTCGACTTTATGTCGACCAAGGCCATAACTCACCGCGGCGCATATCGAGGCTGAAAATCCTACAGCGAAAACCCAAGCCGCTAATATCCACCAGTCGTCTTGCTTGACAGATCGTACCAGGTATATTCGTGTGAAGAATCGAGCAGCAACAAAAACCGTGGCTATCACGATCATAACGATCGTGACGGCCGAAGTGACTGGTCCTCTATCCTGAACCATCTTGAAGCGTCGGCCTGTGTGGTATGAATCTGGCCGGCTGAAGAAATCTCAATACCCAAAATCCTAGATTTTGCCATGCACGTCATAACAGTTAGTCGCTATAAGACCATAGTTTGGTGTCTCGAGCCTTACTCGCATGACTATCAGCCGGCGACCTGCAAAAGCAAGTACTCGATGTTAGATGATGGAGTCAATTGGAATGCCAAATATCGAGGTCTCCAGAAGCTGAGATGGAAAGTGAGGAGGCTTTCTCTCCACATGACTTGGGCGCTCTCCAGCGAGCAGCTCCTTGAGAGAATAGAGTTTGAAAGAGACATATTTTACGTTCGGGCGCCATCACCAAAGGGAAAATGGGGAGCAATAGGCAGGCCAATGTCAGGATGATCAGGTTGGATAATGGACCCGAGCAGGTGGGATTCGCGAACGGACGCCCCCCAAGGTGCCAGCTAAGCTTCAAAGGCAGACTCGCGATCAAATGCTCGGCTGAGGAGAGGGGCTTGATCCAATGGCTGATCATCTTGGGGCTCCAAACGGAGGAATTCGACAGCGTGGGTTTGTCCGGGCGCGATCCCAGTTGGTTGGGCACCCCCGGGGATGATGCATTGATGCTCGCTTCGGTCTCCGCCAAGCATGCCTCGCTCTTCGCGTGGGTGGCGTTCTCCCCAACCTTCCACCACTTCACCCAAGCTGTACGAGGTATTCGCAGAGGACGATGATGAAAGTGGAGGAGTAAGATAATACACCCATCTCTAGTCTCGAACGTCCAAACCTATAACCTCAGTAGGCCTAAGCTATACTCTTATGCCCTTAGTAACATAGCCTTTTTAGACAGGTCTAGATGCTCTTTGAAGTCCTTGGGCCTTGCCATAACAACCAGTATCTGGGTATGACTTTTGTGAGCTGCCCTGAATGCTGTGCGAAAAGAAACCACGTTGGTGGTGTCCGTTTCTTGAGTTGATCCAACGCAACTCAGCCCTTGACTTGAAGGATTTCCTGTGCAATAAGCTAACTCATTCACATGGACATCTAATTGACTCGGTCAGCAGAACACACAAATCAAGCAATATCAAGCACAAGCAAGTGAAACTCGGCGCAAGGATGCTTATTGCTGTGATACAGAGCTCAAATACCTATATCAGCAGCCTTGGCTAGTATGTGGTTTTTCAGGAGTAGGTAATGGTACGGTAAGTTGGATAGGTACCTACCTAGGTACTTAATTTAGGTTCTTGGAGAGCTGTCGGGGTTACCTACCTTGGTAAGTATTTAGTGATCGTAGATCTGTAGCTCAAAACCTAACTAGCCCATCTAATTGTTAGGTGCCGAGTACGAGATACTGGCAAGCTAGGTAGTGAAATTATGTACTAAAGTTGACTCAGCTACAGAGGTAGGTACGAAGTACTCCATATCAGCGTACGGACAACTAGTCCACCGAGATCCGAGCAGATGAAATAACCCTCTGCTAGCTCATCTCCTCTTGCAACACATGATCCATATGGCGGCTCATGCAATTCTGCAATGGCATTTAATGGGATGTCCTATTTCACAGCGCAAACTGTCACCATACGGATAGAGTCACACAAGGATGGAATGGATTGGTCACGCTGGGAGGAACGGCGATGAGCTACTGCAGCCTGCGCTCAGCCCGCAGTCAGTTGGCGCTCGGCCTGCTCCCCCACCTGATCAGAGACGTTCAACAGCGCTGACAACGCCTTTGACGTCCAAAAAATGATTTGGTGCTTCTACAAGCATCTCCTCTGCCCCAAGACGGCCCCATGTGAAACAGAATAGACAACATTGACATTGGCACAATTAAATGATCACAAATCGAGGTTTAACCAACAGCTCGAGCTCTGCACAATTCACGCGCCTGAAGCGAATCTTGCTGAACAGTAAACAACTCCCAAACAGATGGCTCCGGACCATACGAGCTCGAAAGTGAAACCTCTGCTGAACCCAGATCTTTACAAAATTGGCATCATCTGCGCGTTGGGAAAAGAAACCAATGCCGTTCAGGCTTCCTTTGATCATTTCTTCCTAGAACCAGACGAGCGTCCGAAAACAGTTCAGGGTGATAACAACAGTTACAGTTTCGGAACAATTTGCGGTCATCATGTTGTGCTCGCAGGAATAGGTGGAGTCGGGAACGTGCAAGCTACGGATGTAGCGAAAGATATGGATCGCAGTTTCCAACACCTTGGACTCTGTCTTGTGGTTGGTATATGCGGTATTGCACCCAAAATTGGTGAGAAAGACATGTTCTTAGGGGACATTGTCATGAGCAACGAGGTCATATATTACACCAAAGAGAAACTCCATCCCACTGGCCACAAGACTGAGAATATGTTGGCGAAAGCCCCAAAAGCCGTCACTCGAGGGTTTGAACAGCTCTCCTCACACCAGCCATGAAAGGCTTTTTGCAATAAAGTTCACAAGCATTTGAGAGATTTGATGGAACATGACTCCATCAAAGAACTGAACTATGCGTACCCTGGTCGTAGAACCGACCTTTTATATGATGCGAATTATTTACATATTCACCACTATGGCCATTGTGCAGAATGCCACATTGTGAAGCATTGCCAAACGGCTGTCGACTCTTCCTGTCAAGAGACTGGTTGTTCTGAAGAACGGCTGATTCGTGGAGAGTACTTTTCGAATAATACTGCGGCGACAACCATTTCGCCTGACATGGCACGGGAGACCGCATTACGAAACGGACATGGATTAACGGCACCGAATATCGACTCATCATTGCTTCCACAAGTGCATGTGGGGAAAATAGCATCTGGTGACGTGGTATTGAGAGATGGCGCTATACGAGACAAGTTCATCCAAGAAAACGACGTGGTAGGATTTGAGATGGAGGGTGCGGGAGTCTCGTTCACGTTCCCTACAGTTGTTATCAAAGCCGGCTGCGATTATGCTGACAGCCACAAGAAGAAAAATTGGCAGGAGTGGGCTGCAATGACTGCTGCATCTTGTGCTAAGGCTTTCCTAGGTCAACTCCAGATGGGCATTGCTCCCAATGTCAGACACGTCAGTGCTGTTATAGGTAAGTCTCATAAGCAGGTCCCTGATCTTTCATTGTTGACACAACCTTGCAGGAAGTGATAGAAATCCCTTGGGGCCAATCTCGCTGCTAGAGGTCGTGGCGATGCTATGCCTTGGACGCCACAATCCCTGCTCGATTCGGCAAGTGAATCAGAGGAAGAGGAAGCTGGACAACTCCTGCTGAATGAAATCGATTTCGCTTCTAGGACCAATCGTTTCGATGATATAAAACCTGAATATGAGAAGACGTTCCAATGGGCACTGAACGAACGCGTGCATTTGGATTCACCTAACAACCTGGTTAGGTGGTTGCAAGCTGAAGATCAAAAACAGATTTATTGGATACAAGGTCGGAATCTTGCATTGAGTTTCTTTTGAAGGTTCTAATCCGTGATCAGGCAAGCCTGGTTCAGGGAAATCTACCCTAATGCGATTCATCGACCGCAACTTGCGTGAACTATCTCGTGCATCGGCAACCACTGGATGGACAGCCAATGCGCATATACTGCAAGCAAGCTGCTACTTTTGGCACGGAGGATCTCAAGACCAACGCTCGCTTGGCGGTCTGTTGAAGTCTTTAGTTTATCAGCTCTACCTCCAGTCACCAAAGACACTGTTCCATGCTGTTAGCGGTCGTCGACGACTCGATGCGCTTATGTTGGTCCGACGGAATCGTACTTTCGAGAGCGAATTCGGAAGGGGCGTAACATTCAGCCCGTCCGAGGGCAGTCTCGCTGGACGACAAAATCCTTGGACGATTTCAGAGCTGCAGCACTTTCTAGTCACGGCCTTGCAGCGGAAACGATCTATGCAGTCTGGTCTGGAAAAAGCAACTAAATACGTGCTACTAATCGACGGACTTGATGAGTACGATGGAACGGACCTCGAATGCCAAACAATGGTCAAGCTGCTCGTCTCTCTTGCTCGTGAGCATGTCCAAATTTGTCTATCAAGCAGGCCGTGGGTTGTGTTTAAAGTGGCTTTTGCTAAATATCCTGAACTTCGGCTCGAAGATCTCACTCGAAAGGACATTGAAACGTTCGTCAATGGTAACCTGCAAAGTGATGAGAATTTCCAGCAATTGAAGGTTCTCAAATCCGACTTGGTCAAAATTGTCTCTGATATGATTATCGTCAAAGCCAATGGAGTCTTTCTATGGGTCCGCCTAGTTGTCGCTGATGTACTCAGGCTTGCACGCGATGGCTGCAAGGTCAATCAGTTACTGGACATCCTGAATTCGGGACCACCAGACCTGGAAGCCCTCTTTACACGAATAATAGAGTCTGTCAATCCTCTTTATCATGAAGAAGCATCGATTTTTCCCCAAGTAGCACTCTGCAAGCTCGATTGGAAATCTGAAGGCAGACTGTTCGATGGTCCACCAGTGGACCTCTTGCATTTTTGTGGAGAAGACATCACTCCCAACTTTGTGAGTGGCTCGAATTTTCAGCCGATCAATCTTAACGACGAGGCTGCTTTTCGTATGCGACTAGCAATACTTGACCGACTGCTCACCAGCCGGTGTATGGGTCTTCTAGAGTGGCACTGCAATGACGCCTTGAATCCGTTCGTGCCTCGCCGGGTAGACTTCATGCACCGAACCGTAAGCGACTATCTTCTCACCGAGGAGGGGCAAGGAATTCTCTCTCGATTCGGCGACGGGCTCTTTGATGCACATCTTTTCCGCTGCAATACTCTTGTTGCCGATGTTATCGCACTATCTCAATTGCCACTATCCAAGCTCACCCACCTGACTCGGCTACGTTTGGTTCATTGTTTCTTTGGCCAAGTCGAGCAACGAGCAAGCAATGAAGTGATGTTCGACGCTTTTGATGTTCTCATTTCGGCACTTCAACTTGACGAGACGAAATGGGAAGAACTCAACGCTAATTTAGACTCGACACACGAGTACTCTTCCACATTGTTGGTACGTGCAACGACAGCGTGGCAAAAGGATAAGAGCAATATCTTGAGCCTAGCCATTATCTTGGGTTGGGAGAAATATGTGATGAAGAGACTTACCACAAGTTTGCTTCGCAGAAAGATGGGGCGCCCCTTGTTGGATTACGCCTTGATCCCGGGGTCGGACATCGACATTTCACCAAACGTCAACGTCGTGAATCACCTGCTACTCACGGGTGCAAATCCGAACGAGGAATTCCAAGGGGCAAGCCTCTGGGTGCGCTACTTGATGAGCTTTCAAGACTTCGGAGTTTGCGACATGACAGTCAATTTGGAGACATTGATGCTGCTGGGACAACACGGAGCTGCGCGACACGTTTCAGAGTGCGAAGTGCGGTCACTGTTTCGCGAAGATCTGCTACCAGACGACAGACCGATAACGCTGCCGGAAGTGCTCAAGCAGTATCGTGTTCAGCAGCTACCTGGCACGACCGGGAAATATTACGACACACTGGATCTGCTAGAAGCCATAGGGCGGACAAGACGCTCAGCCTCCGGATTCCGATTTGAGGGCAGGGACAGAGACTTGTTTGAGACTTGTTGGCCCAGGACTTCGGTAGAAGCTGGGTCAGCCCGACGTGGAAAGTCCTCCAAAAACAAGGAGAGATACAAGCGACGCGATCCAGCAGTCACTAAAATCTCAAACTGTCCCATGAATGTCGACAGGGACTCGGAATTCAACATTGGCTAACGAACGCCACATACTAAGGAGAGAAATTTCAACAGGACCATCACGACTTATATAGACTCCTTGCACCAACAAAGCCCAAGTCATTGCTTGGCAAGGAGATGGCTGAAGATGAGGGAAGAGTTCCAGCAGTCAATAATTTTACTAGGACGGAGTCTACTTGTGAACGGTCTTACTCGTGATTCATCCTCTGGTGAAAGCATGAGTTAGGGGTTTTGAAAGCCAGCAGTCGAGGATTCTTGCACCAATGAATGAGAGTTCGATGATATTTGCTCGCATATATCTCACATGACGAATAAGACTTGCAAACAAACTATCACCTATTCACTACCTCAATAACACCCATATCAATCCTTCGCAGGCTACTGTCCGTTAAAAGATGGATTCAACAGCATCACTAGATACAGGGTGCTGGTATCACGCACGGCCGGGTTTCGCACGGAAAGTAAAAATCTCGGGGGACCCTTTCAACCAGTACAAACTAAAAGGTTGGATGCGTACGTAGGTAGCCTTTTATATGCCCAAGACTCTAAGCGCAGCCCCAAAGTCTAGTGATGGAAGAACTGATCCAGCAGCACATTGCCAAACCGCTGACGCGCATCTTCCACCTTCCATCTCTGGTCTTTCGCAATCCTTGCAAAGGTATCGCGGAACTCGAGAATTGCATCATGGTATGTGGTCCGCATGTACTCCACCATTGGTTTTCCACGGACGGTGAAGTTCTCCCACTCCTTGGCCCAGTGTGGCCTTGTCGCGAGATAATTGCCCTGGCTATCCTTGAGATCCATCCACTTGTCTAGAACATATTGTGCGTACGGAAGCCACGATTCTTTCATGTTCTCCAGCGTCAAGATTTCGATCGAGCAAGTACCGAGGAGATGGCCACGAAAAGGTGCCATTGTGACTTTTGATGGTCCAGTAATACGCATTTCAAGCGGCATGCGTTGTGGACATGTGTCTTTGTACTTGTATGCTGCAAGAATAGCATCCCACCAGGCCTTTTGGACCAGCGACCAGTCGATGTCAGCCTTGTCAACATCGGCATCTTTCAAAGCCCCTGTCTTGGGTTGCAGGGGGATCTCGACCTCTATGTCCCGAACTCGGACGTTTTGGATGGCTCGTCGGAAATGCAGGGCGTTCGGCAATTTCGTCTTCATGGCGTCTTTGGGATTTCTTACGTCTGGCATGGCGTACAAGCCCATCTTGGAGAGCAACGTCGCCTGGGTCCACGGAAAGACTTGTTGCAGGTGAAGCACTGCTTCGGACGCTTGAATGATCTGGATTGCTACCGTCTCCGCCCACTGAATAAAGACACTAATATTTGAAGGGTACTCGACGGCGTCTTTCCCGTCATCAACAGTGTTCCAGCAATTGACCCAGACTTTACTGGTGTAAGGAAACCAAAACCACTCGGAGTAGAAGTCATTTTTGGCATGATTTTCAAAGTCGGCTTGGGCCTTTTTACGCATCTCTGGCGTCATGTTAATGCGCAGCGCCTCAGGAATTTGATCATTAGACATTCCTGGTGGTGGAGGAATTGCTTGCATGATTGTAAGTTTCTGAGGAATCATGACCGCGTACGACATCGGGTCAAGTTCTAACGTGATGTGAGTGACGATCCCCAAGAGGCCAAAACATCCGGCTGCCACAGCCATGAAGTCGGGATTGTTGTCTTTGTTGATTGTCTGTATCTCGCCATTCTCATCAACATACTCGATCTCATGGACCAAATCACTCAGAGAAGGATGTCGACGACCGGCTCCGTGGCAAATCGGCCCATTCGATCCTCCCATTGTGATTTCCACCATGATCACATTCAATGGGAGGGATGAGGCGTTATCCAACTTTTGATCGTTGCACCAACGTCGAAACATTTGGTTTGTGACAGCGGTCCCGACTCGGACCAATCGCTTCTCTCCCGGCCGGGGCGGCTTGACGAATTCAATAGTATTGAGTTCCGTGCGGGAATCGAAGAATTGCGATCCTGGTAGTGACTCAATGTTTGGCAACATGGTAGCTTGGTGAAGGCCTAAAGTCGAGATCGTGATTTGGCCATTCTTACCAAATATCGAAGACCATGAATGGCGATATCCAGCCGCCCGGACGTTCATGTTCTTCCTTTTGGCGTACTTCACTATTTCCTGAATCCCATACGAGGTTCGTGGGATACAGGTGAGATGGGGTGTGTGAGCGACTGTACGGCCCCAATTCTGAAACTTTTCGTCCGAATATATGACAACTTGATTCTTTTTGTGCTGGTCATCATAGATGGTCACTCCCTCCAACCTCCTTTCCATTGCTTCAACGGCCCGGTGGGCTTTCACATGCATTCGTTCTCCTAATGCCCGCAAAGGCTTGTCAGGTAGGCTTTCAGCAGTCTCCACTTCTGAATCGACAAGAGGAAGCTCTTCGCGCGCTCCAAGTGACAGACCCATATGGAATTGCTTGCCCACATCGCTAGCAGGTTTTCCCTCTTCTACGAAAGCTCGAATAAGACTTTCTTCCTCAGGCTTATACCGTCGAAGCGTGGCGCTGTAGGTGGCATCGGTCTCGGACTTCCAGAAAACTTCTAAAAATCTGCGTACGGAATCCTCACGATTCACATCCGTGTCAGTACTCACGATGTCTGCCAGGAGATCGGCCAACCCTGGTAGCTCCTTAAAGTTACGATGTTCATCCTCCTTCAGCCTTGCGATGAGAATCTCAAGTCTCTTGCTCGAGTGTTCGAGAACTGGATTATTCATGACTGCAGGCGTTCGATTGGGGTCTTGTTGATGATTTTGACTCGCTTTTGGTGGATGACGGAAGCAGTAAAGGCATAGGTCAAAGAAACGAGAAAGAGATGTCATGGTGTCAGCTTCCCAATCACATCCGAGATCGTTGCTTCAAGTATATATCTCGTTCAGGGGCATCCGTCATGTGATATCTGTTCCACACAGTCACACAAGATGTCATCGGAAGTCATCTCAGCCGCAGCTGAGGGCAGACACGAACAAAGAAATGAAAGTGGTGGGGTGGTTGGGATCAAGAGTCAGTGCCTATTGCCTTGGTATGTGCCATGATCATCTGGCAAGGTTGGACATTTTTGTGCAATCCATTGATACGATTTTATTTTTGTTTCTAGGCAGGACTGAACCTTTTGCAATACTTATCGTATTCGTGGGGATTTCGCCTACGAGCCAAGCGTGAACATGCTTTGATAGGCTGTTTTTTGAGCTCGATGTGTTGTACACAGCCTGATTAACATGCCCAAGGCTAACATCCTTGCACGCCAATCTTTAAATCCGGATCTGGGGTTTGTAAAAGACTTTGTCAGCGCGAGGCGTGGTCAGGTGCGGCAGCCTTCATTCGGAAGACACGAGATGCAATATTTAGTAGGTCTTGTGTTAGGATGTTGACGTCGAAAGGTTCTGTAAGAAGCATCCCGAATTCAAACCCTTTTAAGAGTGCGAGCCATTCCCGCTCTGGGGAGTGCCAAGCTACTACGAGAGTCTGGCCTTCGGGGGCACGGTCCATCTGCATACGGTGAGGTATTTTACCCTTACGACCAATTGCTTTCTATTGTTTTCTGGATCAGAGGTATACCTTTATATGATGCAATATCAGTCATGTTTGTAGTGACCACTTTCAATGGATCTCAAACTTATATGAGGCAACTTGACCTTCTTTCCAAGCTGCTGTCAAGTCGCCATACATCAGTGACAACATGAAGCACTCCCCAACGAGAACATAATGGCTCTCTATCGGTCTCAGAACGAGCGGCATCGAAGCTCCAAAGAGAACACACACAACGTCACCTATTTCAGTGGCAGCCGGACCAATTCCAACATCTCCATTCTTCGTTCGAATAATGCGCCTATTGATGCACTCCTTTGGGACACGTTTCAGAAAATTCCTCAAGGGCAATCGTGATGGCCGATACCATGAGCACACGACATCGTCCCAGAACTCCTCAAATATTGCTATGCCCCCAATTGTGCCGGGTGTGAACGACAACAAGAGAAGATCAAATAGGATATGGTAGTCATAGCCGAAAACAATTCTCTTGAGCGTGTCGGATTCATTCCACCAGTGACCAGCCACCGTGGCCTCATCCGTGGAATCAAAAAACTCTGCCGTCATAGTGGACGTTGTTTCAACTATTTCATCGTATCGCAGCCCTACGGCGTACAGAATAGACTGCTGCAAGATGAAGTCGGGGTCCACGCCGAGGTCTGCGGAAGCCGGCATCCAGGCTGGTGGCGACCGAGTCATTCGCAAACCAAAGGAGTTGTTTTTGGAAAGAGTCCTCGTGAACTGACAATGCCACTGAGGGATCCAAGAAGGGGTTTCAAGATCCACCTTTTCTCCATGTTGAACAGTGACCAGTATCTCGAGATCGTTCCGTCTTTTGATGATTTCCTGCGCGGTGGTCCTGTAGACCTCCGAGATGGTCGAGCGGTAGTCTGGTTGGATATCTATGGGGCCCGCTCCCGTCCGTGCGCCGCCTGCTTGCATACCTAAAAGGGCGAAAACTCGATCCCGATCGTCTGAGGCTTGAAATATACGCCCTATCTCCATCAAATCCATCAAGCTCCTACCTCTGTATGGTTGTCGGAGTGAGACCATCGCGTGCGTCTGGTCATAACCTTGCATCGGGATGGATGAGCTCATACTTTGAGAGTACTCCCGCATCAGGTGCAAGGCATGTTCAACTACCGCCCAACTCATTGACGCGTGGCCCCATACCACCTCTACCTTTTTAGCAGCTACCACCTCTTGTACCACCCACAGTCGCAGAAACCAGGGACACTTGAAGAATTCTTGGACTGTCCACCAGGCAAAAGCCCTTAATTCTCCCGAATGTGTTTGAAGAGGAATTTGAACTGGTACGTCCCCAAACAGATGTAAACCGTGATCGACAAGAAGCTTGGCCCCCGGAGCTCTCCACGAACTTTGGACGACAACTGTGACGAATGGGATGGCGAAATGGCTGTTTGTGTTTCCCAGCCAGACAACAACGGATTTGGCTGATTGGTAGATGATGTTCATCCGTTTGACTTGACTTGCGCGTTCTTCTAAGTCTTCCTGGTTGATGCAAATCGCATCAACCCACATACATCTTGGATGCCGTCGCCTACGCATCCTGTACAAAGCATCCCATACATTTGCTCCTACTTTCAAGATCTTACCTTCACAAATAATCAGATGGTCCGGGTTGCCCTTATCCCAGCAATAGGACAAGGCCTCATATAGTGGTAGGCTGTCGAGGTTCTCAACTTGGAGCTTACAGATAATGTCATCTGTTTTCCGTCCGGGCATGACTGTGAGCAATCTAAAAGCGCTGTACGCCTTTGGTAGTGGGGAGTAATTGTACATCTCCGTGACGGGCAGCTGACGATGTCGAAGAGTACTGCTGTGCTGGGAAAACGGGTCGACCACACCCAAGAACGGGTTGAATCTGTTTCTTGGCTTCGACCATTTTCCAATTGTGGGCGGTATTCGGTCAACGTCTGAGTGTGAAGCATTAGCCTGCCATGTTTTGCAAGACAAAATGGTTGGCCGAGGACTTACACTCCAGCTCTTCAGAAGATTCTAACCATCGCTCCTTCTTTCGCATTCGCAGACCCTTGTGAAGCCATCGGCGCTCAAGGACCCAGCAGGTTCTCTTCTCTGCCGTGCCTGGATCACCCTCATTGACTTCAGCCTTGTTTGCCACAGCCTTGTCAGGTTTATGTTTGATCAATTGCAGGCCACGTATTCTCAAATCCCACAAAAGCCCACTTATGGGACCCGGTAGGTATAAGGTAGGCGCCCGTGTAGTTTCTTTGTGAGAACTCATCTTTTTCTCTCGAGTAGTACTTCATGTGGTTGACATTCTGTGGCCTTGGTTAGTTAGGTCAGGACTCGGGAGCCCGCATATATCTAAGCCGCAGATGGCAGGGTGCCCCTCGGCTCAGGGCTGGCACCCCACGAAGAGCGGCTGTGTACCCTATAAATAATCCTGCGAAGAAATACCCGAGATTTATCGAGTCCTTCCAATGGCATATAAACCCCGCCATCGCCAGAGTCTGTTCCTGATGTTGGTCATCCGGAGGTCCCTGTAGCCATGGTTCAGGATCGTCATCAACCTCCTCCTCCTCCTCCTCCTCCTCCTCCTGGTCGCAATCAACAAGCGTGTTCGAAGGCCTTCATTGTCGTTAATTGAGGAATATTTTTGGCGACATCTGAACAAGATTCCTTTTAACCCTCGGTACCTACATCGAATTTGCCGCATGGGTCCCAAAACTAATGTATGTAAAGTCCTTGATGCATATCGCAGTGAATCAGCCAAGTACTTGATATTGGGTGCCTTGGTAAAGACTTAGTATGTACTGTCAGAACTTTTCTTAGCACAGGGTGAGCTGGAGCATCATCGATTGGCCTTCTCTTTGAGCCGCGAAAGTCTGCCACATCACTAACTGGCACCTGGTGTGCTAGGACTGGGATGAAGCAATTACTACGAGTAATCAATGTTGACTGCTCACCTTCATAACAAAAACATGGCTACCATGTGTGAGAAGGTCTGGTTATTGTGTCGTAGATACCTAGTTAAATTTGATGCACTCCTTTGAGACACGATTCAGAGTATTCCCAATAAGCAATCGTGATAACCGATGCCATGCCAAAGAACTTCCAGTTTATAATTTTGAAACGAAACAAACATTATGACGCCGAGGATAACTGACTTTCTTTTGAACTGGGGTTATCCTGCCGAGGCTTAGGCCGGATCTTTTTAATTGTCGGTACTTTAACCATATATTACTCTGCGGCTATCTACTACTGGACCATCAATATGGATGCCGAAAACGCGGTCCAGGAAAACTACGACAAGAATGCTGACGCCTATGGACAGTTTCTTGCTACACCGCTTGGCACCCTCGAAAAACAGCTATTCGATTTGTCAATCAAGGACTGCGATGGTCTGAGGGTCCTGGATCTCGGTGGAGGAACCGGGCTGAGGGCTCGCGACGCTCTCAACGCTGGCGCTCGGCAGGTTGATGTGGTCGACATTTCGCACGAAATGATGCGCGTTGGCCAAGAGTACGAAAAATCGATTGCGCGCGATTGCATTACCTGGTATCATGGTGATGTGTCGAAGCCCCTTGATCACCTGCCTCTAAGCCTCTACGACCTGGTCATTGCCAATGGCGTCTTTGACCACGCATCCAATGCCGATGAGCTCGAGGCAATGTGGCGCAACGCAGCGGCCTATCTCAAGCCAGGAGGTCGTGTAATTGCGAATCGGAATAACCCATTGTCCCAATCGGCAGCTCATGGGAAATATGGTGTCACTTTCACCGACTTTCAACACTTCGCTGGAGGCTTGTCCTTTCGGTACCGTATGACGACCGATCCGCCACTTGAGTTCGAGTCGCTTGCGCTGGAAGTTTATTACTCGGGGTCGTTGGAGATACCAGGGAAGTTCTTCGAGGACTTCCAAAACGTACCCTGGGACGAAACACCAGTCGTGAAGGCCGATCTCGAGTTTTGGGAGTTGTACCTGGCTGACCCAATCTTGTATATTTTTACGGCGAGGAAGCCTGACTGTTAGAGTGTTAGGTGCACCGCCACATATAGCGGGCTCCCGACCACTAAGGCCTAACTAGGGAGCGCTTAACGATTCCATTGATCTCGTCCCTTGTCTCATACTGACCCTCTCCAGAGGCCCAGACCCAAGAAGTTTTTGATTGAAGCCGGGCCTTGAACACAGGATGGAGCAGTTACTATGAGTGATAATAGTTAACTCCTCACTTTGAAAGCAGAAATGTGGGTATCATGTGTTTGCAGATCTGATGTTACATATTACAATGTTAGATAAGTCGACGTATTCATATGGCGCCAGTGGAAAGCCAGAGGCCAAAACCCATCACACTTTCATCTTGGGCGCCTTGTCTCTTCGGAAATAAATTAGTCCTCTGACTAGTGTGTTCCTGCAATAGAATTCCCCCGTGCGCCAGCGCCCAAATATTCGCGTGTACCGGACACATTCTCGGTGCGTGGGAACCCATTCTGACCATGATTTCGAATCGATTCTTGCTGCTCAGTTTCCGCACCACCACCTTCGCGACGCTTGGTGATATCTCTGGCTCCGGAGTTGAGTCTCAGCTTGTCGGCTGTGATCAAATCCTCGCCTTTGGTGGGTGTCCATTTGCTGCTCTTCCACGGCTTCACTTCCAGTAGGAACATAGTGTCGATCTCCTCCAAAGACCTTCCAGAGGTCTCGGGCAGGAAGAAGTAGACGAAGAACACTGCGAACAGATTACATCCGGCAAAGACGTAACCGTATGCATAGCTGATGTCGCCGGTGATGAATGGAGTGAAGAAAGCGATCAGGCTGTCGGAAAAGGGGGTCAGTGCGAATCCAAAGCATTTTTGGACGCAAATTTGTTACTCACAAGTTGAAGAGCCAATTGCTCGCTGCGCATAGTGCAATGCACTGACTACGATATCGTGTGGGATAAAGCTCAGCACTCACAGCCCATGCCATCGGGCCCCAAGTGCTGGCAAATGCGGCGATAAAAAGGCAAGCAAAGACAATCATAACATAGCCGATTGTTTGATTGTTCGTGCCATCACCATTCTCGAGTTTAAACTGTCCGAGTGAGGCAAAGATCAAAAAGCAGACGAACATCCAGGCAGCTCCAGCCATCAGACATTTTCGTCGGCCAAACTTTTCCACCATGTATAGACCGGGGAAGGTCGTGACGACGTTGACAGCACCTAGGCAGACAGTCAGCTTCATTCAGACTCCAATGGATCATGCCATCACGAGAACTCACCAAGAATGATTTGTGTGACGAAAGAATTGGAGAGTCCAACAGATGAAAAGACCACGGTTCCATAGTAGAAAAAGTAATTGGCACCTGTGAGCTGTTGCAAGGCCTGGATGGTCATTCCGAGCAAGGTGCGGCGTAACATCTGTGGTCCGGTGAAGACCTCGTACCAGGGATGATGGCCACCCTCAAGTTCAATCTGCATCTTCTCCTGCATTTCGACCAACTGATCCTTGACGACCCGGTGTCTCTCTGAGACGCCGTGGAATCTGGCAATACTGGTGGTGGCTTTATCGATATTACCATTCCTATAGTCGTGTCGTGGAGTCTCTGGGAAGAACAAAATGCCTACCCCGAGAGCGATAGCAAAGAGGAAGCCAATACCCATCACGATTCGCCATGAGGCTGTGCTTTGGATACTTTCGGTGCCGGCGTTGATCGCGTAAGCGATTAAAATTCCAATGGTGATGAAAAGCTGATCCCAGGCTTAGTTTTCACTTCCAAAAATTGAGAAATATTGCGAGAATTTACCTGATAGCAGCAAACGATAGCACCGCGTACATGGCGAGGGCTGGACTCGCCCTGATATGCAGGTACCATAACTGACATCCCTAGGCAAGAGTAAGTATTGCTATCAAGGCGGAAAGCCACAATCAAGTATCAAAATTTCGTGGTCTGTCAGGATGAGCTTACCTCCTATCGCAAATCCAGCAATGATACGACCAATCATGACTTCATACCATCGAGGTCGCATGGCAGCAATCTGGATGACAACACCAACGCAGAAGACAATGGACCAGAGTACCAGAGAATACTTCCGGCCCAACTTCTTGTTATTCGCCAATGGACCGGCAACAAGAGCACCAATCAGTGTGCCGATAGACAACTGTGTAAATAACGATGAGTAAAAATAAGCCAAAGATACGAACACGAGACAACATACCATTCCAACAATCAAGCCAGATCGTACATTGCTGAACGCAAGTGGATCCTGTTGATCGGCGAAATTCTCCAGAAAGTTGTCCATTTCCAGGAAACCACTGATTTGACCAGTATCGTAGCCGAAACAGAGACCGCCGAATGATACCAGGACGGCCATGAAGAACGTCCTCACGGTAAGGAAAGGTACCTTCGATTCATCATCAAAGGGACCCTTCTCCGTCTCAATGTCGGCGGTGTCCCCAGTCGCTGTGAATGAAGATCGCACAGAATCACCTCGCCGGGGAGCAGGAGGGTATTGCTCGTCTCCCTGCTTCTTCTTCTTCAACATATCTAGCACTGCCATGACTGGGACTTTCAGGTTCAGCGAAAGCAATCGTGACAGACCTCAGACGAAGTGGTGATAGAGTTCAGGAGTCTCGCAGACAATTATATCAGTGAGGCAGACTCCCCAGCAAGATTTAACGGTGCCCATTTCGAGGAGACATGACGGGTAGATCCTACACAACGTCATTGTTCGACGTTGGTAGCATTGAAGCCATTCTTCAAGTCGTCCACCGTGCACTAGCGACCTATGAGAGCGTTGGCGGAATCCACATCGGGCAGGCTCCGTCATTGATCGTCGCTAAACAACGTCATGAATTAAGCCTTCTGCCGAGCAAGGCTTCCACGCACACAAGACTTGATATCACGAATTCAACCACGTTGCTGGAAACCTTGAGACAGCTCCTGTGATAAACTCACCCACGGCCTTCAGCCTGATGCTGGAATGACAACGGCATGAAGTTGTTCTTATTGCGGTGTTCGTGCTAGGACTGTGTAGCTTTGGGAATACAAGATGTTCGAGGTGCAGTGGGGCGTGGTATGACGTCGCCTCGTGGCCGCCATGGATCATTGAGCCCCGGCCCCCACTCCCACCTAAACTTTTCTTATCGCCCGTACCGATCACCCAGCGAGCGATCCGATGGCACGTCCACCGAAGGATTGCACGCCATAAAACCAGAATTGATTCAGTTTGTGGTCATGCATTCCCCGCGTTTAGTAGATCCGTCCTGCTCACGAAAAGCCGAATAACCGGGTTCTGTGTCACGTCTCGTGGACGGAGGAAGTAAATGAGGCTTGACTTGTGGAGGAACCTTGCCCCTCCAGGCTTAACTGGGGAGGCGCACGCAATGGCTTTTCTTGTCCTCTTGAGGGTACAAAGTGGACTTGTAATCAGTGATCATCGACGCAATCCTCTGTCCACAGTAAATGGCATCTATGCAACCTAAACGCGACAGCCACGTGCAGGGTTCAAAACTCCCAGTTAATAGACTTCCCACTGTCTTTCTTTTTTCTTGACTTTAAATCGTGGCTTGCAGGAAAGAAACGGTTCTCGGATTTTTTGAGCTACCTAAAGCTTCCAAGAAGAAACGATGATTGTGACCCACCGACCCCAGATAGATATGATCCTGAATATTGCGGAATTGCTCACAACTGAAATATGGGTTACATTGACCAATAACCCATCCTCCTCCATATATGAACATTAATATTAATACAAGACTTGCGGGAAAATGCCCATCCAGCTAAGAAAGAATAAAGACACTCCGCTGAATCCAAAGAAGGCAAGCCAAGGTAACACCGATTGCGCCCACCTAGGGAAGAGTAATCCCAAGTTTGGAGAAGCTGTCTTGCCTCAAGAAAAACCCCCCTCCATCCCTGAATTGGCCTCCTATGCTTGGTTTTGGCTTTCGTTTGATCAACAAGCGTTGCAGTGAAAGATGACAGGCCAAAGGTTACTCGCGGGAGGCTACTCTCCCCCGTCTCAGGGCCTCTTGCTTTTCCGATCGCTCGACCGCTCGTACGTCGTGACTTTCTTCTCGGTGCCAAAGAGGCCCTTCGTGATGGTGGTTACCTTACTGAGTCCGTCCTCACGTTCATGCATTCGAGCATCTTTATCAGTTAACCTCTTACTATCCCTGGTTCGATCAACAGCAGTGGATGATCGACGCTTCCCCGTTGCTTTACTACCACTATCGCTGGAGACGGAACCAATTTCAATTGGGCGGTCGCTGCTGATTGAAGGACTCCGTTCCTCGGGAGTCATGAGCATGGTCTTTCGGAAGATGTCAATGATTCTCTCGCGCGCAGTCGGCCAATGCTTATATGATGCCTGGCCCAGGATGGCGAATTTGACACCTTCAACATACTCAATCTGCCACAACTCTTGCATATTGATATATGCACTTGGTTTGGGTGTTCTCTCTACTCCACCCCAAGCAAGAGAAATACAAAGCCTGAAATATCCATCCGGTTGCTCCACTGATGCCTGATGAGTTGCTTCGGTAGTGAGTTTCGCATGATCGAAAGAATGATCTTCGTCTACAACATCATCGCCATGTGTGCAGAGCGTCAGACAAGTGAATGAAGTGCCCGAGTTGTGACGGATCACCAGCATGATGCGATCGTGTATCCTCGAAGTATGATTGTTATCATGGACGTGGATAATGTGGCGTACAGACAATTTTCTTTCCGAGATGGGATGGTAGACTAGTGGTTTTGGTTCAGGTCGCGGATGATTGGATCTGGTCGCAAGCGTGGGTTGGTCTTTGGGTGTTGGATCTGCAAGATCGGAAATATCTTTGAACTTCCCGGGACGGTGGGAGCTACCAGCGTTAGGTTCAGTCATGTCAGTTGGTTGATCGACAATTTCGATATTTGTGGCCGACGCAAGAGGCGTGCTTGATGAATTGGGTCGTCTAAAGTAGTCCATCAAAAACGCAGATCATATGTTGCGAAAAGAAAATAAAGTCCTCGGTCGGTAGTGGGCTAGTGCACGTGGGAAGCCTAGAAAGAAATGCTACTAAGTGGTAGCTGGAGTCGGAAGGAGAGATCGAACAAGTCTGTAAAAGGTCGGGTTATGAGTATCATTGTCATACGGACACGACGGGGGAAAGTGCCACGTCTAAATAATGTTCCTCCATTACTAGCATGCTTGAAGGGTGGTGGCCTGTGCCAACTCAAAGACTGCTCTTGCTACCCGTGCTTGTAAAAGATGGAACGTTAGAAAGGATCAAATCCAGACAAGAGGCAAGTGTGAGTGGGCATATACGGGTCGCTAAGAAGGGAATTGTACTGCGCAACTTGGCAGATGGCGTCCGGCAGTCTGGAGAAAGTCATGAACCATACGCAGGGAGACGTGTCGTACCGCCAACAGAGTGCAGTGGTTGGTAGCTCGTGGTAGCCTCGTTGCCTGTTATCGTTGACTAAACCATAGGAAGATGGGTGGCGAATATCAGTGGCGAATCAGCCGACCGTCCCCAGATGATGCGATTGACTTAGCGTGTCGATCACGAGCTTCGAGTCATATTGATACGAGATATTCAGATCAGCCTGATGATGAGGCACAGCCACGGCATATAGCTGAGTCTTTAAGCTAACCCAAAAGTAGGAAGACGGAGTAAGCTGGTTGGATGTCTCTTATCGAAAACTTGGTTGCTGAATATCGGGGCGGATTTCGCTGAGCCTCTAGTAGCCTGCAATGTCTGCCTTGTGGTCCCATTTGAGTTTCTGGCCCACAATGATGATATTGATTATCACCAGCGAGTAAGTGCTCAACGTAATTTGTGACAGCGAAACAGGGGATGGCATGGAAGTGAATACCCAGGTGTTCTCCTTTACTGGATAGTGTTTGTTTTTCGTCTGCAAAGAAGTCGCGTCTGAGTCGGGCACAAGCAGCTTCGGATAACTCAACTCCCAAGTATGCGCAGAATAGTTTGGCACGCCAATGCGGCCCAGGAGGCAGTGAGTGGCGCCATATGTGATTATATCCTTGGATGGAATGGATTTATCGTGCTACAGGTAGATAGTGAACGTAGAGAATGATGGAGGCTAGGGTGTACATTTGTTCTGGGGTATTCACCGGGAAACTGGGTGGGGATCCCTAGGACCAATCAAAGTATCCTCCATTCTCTGTATCAAATGATCGATCCCGTCCCTAGGTCTAACCAACTCACACTTGATAGAGTAACGGTTGAGAGATAGTTATCTTACATCATGGCTCCACCAGTAAAGCCCAAAGGCTTGAATCCTCGTGTACGTTCAAAGCTCCGAGTGAATCCCTCAGGAGACCAGTTCCCGTACTGACAATAACCTAGGCCATCACAGCACCGATCGCAGCCTTCGTCATGGCTGGTCTTCTCTATACCTACTCCGTGACTTCGATCCGAGCCGCCAAACGAAATGCGAAACTTCACAGAGAGGCTGATGGCGGCCAATTGGACATGCGTAAAGAGAGCCTCCGCAGGCACGGTGTTTTGGATCAGGTCGAAGGCACCGCAGGCATTCAGCTATTCAAAGACGCGAGGACCGATGCCAAAGCAGAGAACCGCTTTCTGACCGAGAAGAAGGCGAAACCTCTTGGCTCATCACAGCAAGAAGAGGTGGGTGCACCCCGTACGGAAAATGAGGGTCTACTCGAAGAATATCGCGGTCGTGGTGCCTTGAAGAAGCTCAAGGAAGAACAAGCCAAGTGATCAAAATGGTCCAGAGAGGAAAGATTATCACAAAACTTAAGCAGGGACTGCTGATACCTGTGCCATGACCGCATTGGAGAATGACAACACTTTACTATATTGAAGGAGTTGAACCAGCGCCCAGCTGTTTGCCCTGCAGAGCTCAAACACATATGAGCAGACTTCATCACCTACCTAGGTATCATGGGCTCTACACACACTAAACAAAGAGTATGGATAAACTCAGGTTCCGAGCTTGCATCGTATGCACCAGCTAAAGGATCTATGTTGCACCGCTCTTGCGACTACCTCTCAACTCGGATTGTCCATATGTACGTGGCCATATTCTAAATCACTACAGAAAATGACCGATGCCCATGTTGCGAGTACCAGATGGCGCAAATGGAGATGGATGCATGAAGCCAACACTGCTGAACAAGGACTTTAAAATGCTGCTCGTGGTTTCCTGAGGAATATTGAGCACACCTCGAGATTATTCTGGAGGCGGCGACACAAGACAAGACCTTGGTGAAGGTCGATGTTTGATAGCAGTGTCATGTGGTTGTAAAGCCCTGCATTATGTACAAACACAGCAGAACATGCTCTATCAATGTATATCAAATAGATGTATGTTTATATGTCAGTATATACTACTGTTATGCCCTAGAACATTTAACCGAGTACGTGCACTCTACCTTCAGGTGGATGCGGAAGCTTGTTCGAACAAGTCTGACGTGGGAGGCTTTGCTGACCTCATCGATCCGCGTCTTTTTTCGCCGATAATGATCCCAGCTGCCCAATAATGATCAAATCATGATGTGCTGTTCGCTCTACAAGCGGATCGCGTAGGAAGCATCGGGGCAATATCAATGCAAGGAATGTCAAATCACACCGAGGCACTCCCACAGTCTATCAGAGTTGTCGTCCCTTCAGCTCTCTCCCAGTCTGTCTCGTGCGTCCAAGTCACCAACTAGGAACGGCCTTTCTTCCCGTCGCGTGATAGGAACCAACTGGAAGTCCTGCAGCTAGATTGGCCTTCAAGTTCAGCTCGTACGAGGTACTTCTTGCGAATGTCAAGTGGTAGCCAACGATTACCCTGCCCACTTGGTTCTAGAACAAAGGGGAATCGTTCTTGTTGCCGACGTCCCCGTTGGGGCTCTTTGGAACGTTCTTGTTCCTCTAAAAGGCGCTCTTTCGCATATTACCCTCACACCCTCGCCTCTCCCCATATTCATATCGACCCCCCCTTGCCTCTGGATTTCTATTCCTCTGCCCATACAATTGCAGCCTCAATCCTCCTGGGTTGCAACCTTGACCGCTGAGATCGCAGAGTTCCACACTGTCCGTGCGACCTAGATTATCCCCACCCTCGTCACGAGCAACCATCCAAAAACCAGGAAAGACCAAGTTATCCAAGGCACCTCTCATTTACTCCGACAGGCAACTGCTGGTGAAACCACGATTCTATTGCATATATCTTCCTCCTACGTGCCATTGAATTCCACCTCGATCCGAATCTCCTCTTTTCCACTTCGAAAGACGCCCCCAGGAACCCCTCTTCCACACCCCCACCTTTCCCCGATTCTTATCTACAACGTGCCAAAGAAGGGCAGGCACCATCACGTTACACCATGACTTCTCTGATATTCGGGTCCATCTACTTAGGCCACAAAGGCATCATCAATCATCGGCGCGAAAAGCAGAGGCAAAAGAACTATCAACGATGGGAGGGATTGCGGGATGAGTACGATGAGCAACGGAAGATTGGTCGAGAATCAAGATCTTTGGACATTCAACGCACAGGTGCAGATTATGATGACGATCGACCTGTTTTGACTCTACGAGATCAGCAAGAAGCAAATGACGCTCGCACAAGTTGGCGACCACAGGAAAGCTTCGATGGCTCGGCATCATCCCAAGCCGATCGACGTACCAGTGTCGAAGTCGCATCTGGCTCCGGTCTCAGGCCACTGATGCAACAAAACAAAACAGGCTCCACCTGGGATGACGGCCTTCCACAGCGCTTGCGAGTCAGTCGGCGCAACTGGGACGATTACCAGCCCTCGAATTTGAGCGGAAACGTCAGTCGGAGTGGCAGCGTCCGGGAGAAAAGCACGACCGACACCCCAGCTCGGGAAAGGAGCGCAAGCAAAACACCTCCTTCGGTGAACAAGCAACCATCACCACAGCCAGATTTCTCAACCCAACCCACATCCTATCGTCCCACCGACCATCGAAGTGTCACTTCACCGGCACAGATGACGCACCAGCCAGAAGTCAAAGCCATCGAGTATTCGACACCAGGCGGACTCATGGCCGAATTGATCGAGTCTGGAAATTCGTCACAACCACAATCGCAACCACAGCATCAGCAAAGTCATTTTCACCCACATCAACAGCAGACACCTTTCCCCCAAGCCTACCACCATGCCTCTTACTCTCACCCACAGCAGACCTCTTACTCGCCTCAACCGCAGCAAACTCCTTTTTCTCCTCAGCCACTGCCCCAACAGACAGGAGCGTATGGAGGTTTCCAGCCGAATTCTTATGGTGGCACAGCTCCCGCACCAGCACAACCCTCGCAACCTCAGAACGGAGGCATGCAAGAGTGGTGGAACCGTCCTTTGTAAGCCTTTACATGTGTTGGCAGTGGGCAGTGCTGGAATATAAATATTGTCGATACGGTAGATGTGAACACCGGACCTCCTCGGATTTCCCAACACCTACATCCACGACGGTCCTCACGGTCCATATCATCACACCAATCCTAGAAGCGTCCGGCGAGGCGAATTTGTCTTTTCCTCTTTCCTCTTTCCTCTTCCACGATTACTAGCGAGGGCGTTACAATCGGAGTTGTTGACGAAGGCACCTTTCAAATCCCCCACAAAAAGATTCACTCAGACTAAAGCACAGAAAGCGCGGCGAGGTCTCCTGTTTCCCGACCGATTTTGATTTTCGAAAGATTTTCCTTTATGCAGCAAATCAGGCTCGGGCTCTGTTCCCTATATGACCGTTTTATATGGCAAGAAAGCAAGCATCTTTCTCTCTCTCTCTCTATATATATTGACATGAAAATATATCAGAATCCAAAGAATAGAATATTTTTATTTTTTCTAATTGCCAACAAAAATAGCTGAGTGGACATAATAGCAATCTTTATCTTTCTTTCCTTCTTCGGACTTTTCACCACCAGCACCAGCACCAGCACCATGATTTCGATAAGATACAGGATCGGAATAGCAGCTTGATTAAGGTATTTTTTAACGCCGTCAAAAAGTTCATAGTCCTACCCTATATGCACTCTTCTGTGCGATTGATTGTGCACGCCATTCACGCCAAATCTCCCAATGCGCCTCAGAACGAGCAGAGTAACCAGATTAACTATGCATGCAGGGCTGGGTGAGTGGATGGATGGATAGATACATGAATCAATTCATCCCATTTTCCGGTCGAGAAAGGATTCATTCGTCCCAGAGGGGGAAGTGATCATCATCACCCATCGCTCAACTTCTCAACTGCAGTGAACAAAGACCCAGTGCATCGGCACCGGTACTGCATCCACCCATCCACCCACATGCTCAATCCAGTATCCTGGGGCAGGATCGCATACCACGAGGCTGCACCCAGCCGTCCGTGCCAGATGACACAGACCCAAAAAGCTCGGTTTCGGTTGCTCAAGCCTCAGACTGTGGGTAACCGCGGCCGGGAACGTCCGGAGCCCGGCGCGAACCCACCACCACCCTCCAACTGCACGTACCAGTACCGTACTCTCCTCAGAATTACCTCATTCACCTTAGATATCCGTATGTAGAAACTTCCTCCGTTCGTCGTCGACACATATCAGACTGGGAAAACAGCCCGTCGTCTCTTGTTTTCCCCGTCGGTCTTCTCCACCTCCACTCTCATAGTTGTGACCTTCAACTCGATGAATTCAAATTCAAGAACGAGAAGAGGCGAAACCAGTAGAAGCAATAATGTGGAAAACTCCCAAAAAAGGCTCCCCTCGATCAAGAAAACCCCAACGCCTAGCCCTTCACCTATCGCAATTGGGGCTGCTAGAGTATCGCCAAAGGGAGAGCAGATAAGGAGGTAGGATTGTTTGTTTGGATCAGAAAAAGTATTTGGTTCGTTTCTTATCACCCACGTTCTTTTTTGTGGTTATAATAAAAAAGTTCTATGCTGCATTACCCGGCTTTTCTTGGGTGTCAATATGCTGCAAATGAAAGTGTCAGTAATTGGATCGAAGTGAACGTGTCTAGGGTTTGTGGATGACTTACCCAAACCACGTAATTAGGCAACCCAACGACCTGGTAGCCGGCTCTCTTGGCCATCTTTGCGAAACCTTCTGTCTCAGCTTGGTTCTCAAATGCGTAGCAAGGGAAGTTGATGCCTATTGACAGACTCGTTAGCCGAATATATCCTCATGGCTTCTGTGGGTTGATGGAGGAGCTGGAGGAGACGAACCAGATCTATGCACATCCGCCTTGACAAGGATATTGACACCACCAATGCCGTCCAATTCTATTTCCTCGTCTTTATTGTTTCTCCAGTCGCCCATGCGAGCCATGTATGTACGTCCGGTATCATACTCTTTGTACCCCTCGGCGAGAACAACATCTTTGTCAAGGCTGTTTGCCAATCGTCGACCTTTGTCAGACTCTACCCAGGAATTGTAATCGAAGCGGCCTTCAATATCACGACCCTTCTCGTAACGATGGAACCAGATGTCTGGAAAGATGAGTTAGCAAGTTGATCTCTGGAGCTCGGGGACCCGAAATTCTGCTTACTGGGAACCAAGATGTCGCGATCATGCGCGACAAAGTCCTCAATGATCTTTTTAGGACTATCCACAATGTCTACATCTCTCCAGTAGACCCAGGCGTGCTCAGGCTTCAAAGCAGCCGAAAGCAGATAATTTCTGGCCTTTCCCATTGACTTACGTCGAGGTCCTTGCGCGGCGAAGCCATGTCTAGACTCAACATCCATGTTCATGGTCTGACCAAAATCCTTCTCCACAATCAAGACGCTGTGGAAGGGAATCTTGTCTGTTCTTTGCTGTATTCTGTCCAGTTCCGACGCGAGGACGGCGAGGGTATCATCCGAGGAGTCGCCGACCAAGAAACCGAGATCGATAAGATCGTGAGGGTAGGTAAGCTCAGAGAGAAGATCGAAGTATTTGATTAGATAGGGCGCCGCGTCACGTAGGGGTGTAAGGATGAGAACTCTTTCTCGGTTGCTAACGGCTCGGGGAGTTGAGACAATGGGGTTGAGATCAATGCGTTCGATGGTGGATGAGTTGACCACGTAAGGTTGATGATGATTGAAGAGCACAGGGGTCTGCAGATGTTGATTCCAGGCCACCATCTCGTTATTGGACATTTCTATGGGAGGTTTGGACGGCCCAAAGCAGTAGTAACTGGAGGGTGATGATTGTTAGCGGGTGCTGGGAATGGGAAGATCTGTCTTGCACGTACTTTGACATTTCGCGTGTTGATACAGTGATCCCTCTCCATAATAAGACAATGAGGCCGGTCAAGGCAACTGCGACGAGAAATCGAGTGCGTGTCAAAAACATTAAAATGGCCTTCCATGGTGGGAGTTTGGATTTGGCCGACTTCCAGTTCACGCCGCCTTTGGGAAGCAACATTGCGATAGAAGGAGAAGGGAAAATAGATGTACAAGAATCGTAAAGGGAAGAAAGCTGTATAGACAATTCCACGGAACCCCTCTAGGAGGAGGAGATGAGTATGGCGGCCAGTGTTGGTGATGTTCGACGAGCAACGAGTGGAAGGGCCTGCGCTGGGCCAAAAGGAGGAATTTCGAGGTGATGGAGAATGGGCTGAGGTGTCAGAATAGGTTCCAGGGGCCCGGACGCGAATGGATGTTCTGAGGGAGGGTTGGGATGGGAATCAAAGGGCAATCAGGTGAAGAAGATGGAAAAGCAAAGACCACAGTCGACACAGATGGGGATTTGAGAGCTCGTTGTCGTCGTGGAGATGTCGTTAACTGAGAAAGGGACTATTGCAGTCTTTGGCATTGAGAGAATCTCACACGGTCTCACTTTCTGCTGGGGAAGCGGCCTTGCGCCTGATGGGGTCTAGCACCCCGCCGAGTCGCCAAGCAGAGTTAATTCCATTAGCGTTAACTAACTCGGTATTAGTCTCACACGTGATGGTCTCCAAATTAACGTGTTTTATTTATACCCAGGTAAATTGAGTTTCTCCTTTCTGGACCCGGGTCCTCCTTAATGTCTGGCCGCAACACTGCAAGGCGCGAAGACGTACTATCCCGTGAAAAAAAAGGCTAAAGAGACAAGTGGGTTCATCATTCAATGATATGGAATTAGAATTCCTTCCAGGGATATCAATCCTATACCTATCAGCTGTGTCTATGAATACATAACGACAAATGACGTCTCCATAATCATCATCATAAACGCTATCTTTTATGGGTTCGCTCATCATACAGCAACAACAGCCTAAAACTCCCGGAAATATGTTGGTGTGACATGTCGTTCTTCCCCAGCGAGGCACTCTTTGCCCTTGTGTTACAGGTTGTTGTACATTCCTCCCTCAATCATGTCGATAAATACAGTTTACCTGGTCATGTCAAATATATCTGTACCCGTCTGAGGGACAGAAGAACTTCGGCCCTCATTCTCCTCGAGGCTGGGCGGCGGTGATGGAGGCAAACTCCGCAATGTCGATGAGGAGCCATGAAAGTGGCAGTGACTTCGATACCGCTTCCAGGGACTGCTGGCGGTTGATTGGCTTCTTTGATACTCGTCGTCGCTCTCACACGCACTCAGTGCAACTGAAGTTCGCCTGTCTTCATGATTGATTTCATCGAGCGTCCGCTTTCGGCTAACACTCCCCAGGCCAAGAGTGCCTCGCTGAGCAGTGGCGGTGGGGAGAACATTGTTTTTACTTAAACTTGCCTCCAGGAAATCCAGCAGTATCCATATTAGTTTCTCTGCTCGCGACCGGCCATCATGCTCGGACTGCACGACTCTACCACTCAACTCCTGGGAGTATATCGCGGTACAGAGTTGTTCATCTTTGCCCGGCCCCTTCGCACGCTGAGTCCTTGCTTCTTTGCTTTCGTCGGCGTGTTCTCCGCCGCACTCCGCCGCGATGTCCGGCGAACGAGTACAACTCTGGTTCTGGAAGTCGCGATGCCGTTCGCGCCTCTCTTGCTCCAAGACTGCATGGGGCTTTTTTGCACCTTCTACCACTGGACTTTGTGAACTTTGCTTGTCGTGAGGTCGACGAGGAATGACAACGCGATCACCGTATGTAGCTCTGGTGGAGTTCCGCGTGAAAAACACGGACACCAACTCGTTCCTGTTCATGCCCTCGATACGAGCTTCGAGCTTCGAGCGGAACTTGTTTTCGGGATCATTAGGTTGATACCAGCCTTGGTCATATGCCGGCCTAATCGGGCCATGCAATTCTTGATGAAGAGTCTGCCTGATGGAGGCTATATCAATATTCGAGGAGCCCAGCCGATTTTGGAGCTCTCCGAATATATCTTCCAAGTTATAGTCTGCACGAGTCGGGCTTGACCGGGTTGTGGAGGGTGCCGTGTTTGATGATGCCCATGATCCATCATTCCGACCATCTTGCAGACTTCTCCACTCCAGAGGAGGCAGCCTCGCCGGATTTGACTCTCGTCTGGTTGGGTGTTCCGGCTCTGGGAGAGCACCCTTCAGCATCTCAGTGATGCTAGGTAATGTTGGCATGGTGATATGCTGAGGGAGGTTTTGTTGAAGACACGTTTATTGACTACTTCAGCTTTGATTTTTTCGACCGGCCTGACGAGTAAGCGATAGATTGGGCAAGATTTGATATGTTCCTTTGACCAAGGGAAAACCACTCGGAGAAGTATTGGCCGTGAATGTCGATTATGAAATAGCTGAGGTCATGTAATGCAAATTAGCCACCAATTTGTGCAAGGTAATGGTCATATTCTGAGAGAGAGCAAAAGAGAAGGAAAAGGAATATGCAAATCAGTGAAGAAGTGGTAGAGAGTGTGGATGAACAGAAACAAATGAAAGAGCGGCATCTCAGAGATATGAATACTGACACGACCGAACACCTCGACGCTGGAGGACGTACATTCGAATGCGGCCATGAGGCGAGGCGATCTCTTCATACATGGATCTACCCCACCCGGCGAGGAGCACACTGCCAGATCAGAGACCTGATTTTCTGAAAAGAGGATGCAGTTCTTCCTGATTGGGGAGGCAGAGCCTTGAGAATACGATCTGGTCTACAGCTTGGGCATAGAAGTCGGAACGTACCGAGTGGAAGTGAGTCGCGGACGCGCTTACTACACCCGCAGGTGGACCTGAGAATCTGTTGTTATCATAGTAGAACATGCATTCTCCCAGGAGATGATGGGGACTTGACAGGAGAAGTCGTGGGGACTTCAGGCACCATGGCTTCTGAACGACCAGCTTGGAAATTGCGGCTTGATTCAGCTACTAAATGCACAAGCCTGGTTTGTACCGATCTGGATGATCGTGTATCAGTCTGACTCAATGGGTACCAAAGGCACCTCTAGAGGCTTGTTCAGCGGCTTACTGGACGCTCAAAATGGTCCATGTTCAATATGCACGTCAGAAGATGGGGTCGATCGCGACACACCCCTGACTCGGCCGAAGTAGCCATAGTAGCCACACTGAAGTACTATGGCTACCAGATCTGCCAAGGCAGGGATGGCGCGTGTAGTAGAGCCTTGACGAGTAGTGCTTGTTCGAGGCCGGGATATCGTGCATACTCACTGGACTCCGGGGTGCTCTGTTTTCCTGTTGATCCAAGATCTACCGATTGCAGGATCGGCCACTTCTTTCGAGGCTCTGGTTGATGCCATAAACTAACAAGCAATTTTATTGTCCCAATGGTTCAAGTTGAATGATGCACTGCATTGCAGCTGAGTGGGTGACTTGCAGGGAGTGGAAAGCAGATCCGAGAAATCGCCAGTCAGTGGTAGTTGCCAGTCACGATTTGCGCTTACCGCGCCAGTGCGCGAACTTGACTGCCTACCTTGGTAAGCTTGAGGAAATGTGAGCTCACATTTGCTATACGAGAGCCCGGGATGGACGGGCTAGGGCGCTGCACAAACGATCCAGCATTGGATTCACTACGAGGGTTGGAATTTCTAGCAGGGTGGACCTGATTAACTCGTGAGAGTCTTCCACAGTGGCGCTTCATTGTCTGCTTCAACAGAATGCTGCCGATCATTGTCGTGTTGTTTGTTCACTCTAGGCAATATCTGACACCTCATGTCTGAGATCCAATGGCTAATTGTAATACCCCACGGAATTTCAGAAGGAAGAACTATGGCCTTATCAGTGAGTATGTGAATAAGATAAAATGGTATATACATTACGTGCATGTGTCGAGTAGTATATCATAAAGGCATAAGGGTATATCCTCAGCTCCGAGATGAGCGAAATTATGGCTTCGTCTGTCCCTCGTGAGAAACCAGCACCCTAGATCGTTCCCGTTCGATATCACCGCAACCCGATCCACCGTACGTTGACACCATTCATTAAGTCAAATCGACCCAAGGGTCTGGTTTGACAGCTGCGCGCTGACACCAAAATGCGTCCTGTCCAATCGACTTCTCGTAACAATTTCTAATCATCTCCTTGGCCCTCAAGAAGTTTCCTTGATTCGTCGAGTCTCCTTCGCAACACCTTCACGGCCCGTACTTCCTGTTTGTTTTCCGATTGTAGGATCTGGTTGCAGACACCGCCCACCGCCCGTAACAGATCCAGAACGAGATCTTTGTCAACATCGGAGAACGTCATTGAGCCCTGGTCACTACTGACCTGAAAATCCGGGTCGGCGAGTTTGATCAGACTCTCCATCAGGATTTCGGTATTAGCTGGATGGTTTATCTGTTGCCCATCGGTTGTGAATTGCTGCGAGTTTGTCACTCCATTTGCGGCTGAAATGCTCGCCTGGGGCGAATGTACTGGAGGCGTTGGGAGGCCGTTAGTGACGACTGATCCCTGGTTATGCAGAGATCGTAAAGACTGCACTTGAGGTTGCTGAACACGTCCACCTAGAGGTGGGGTAGGCCAGACCAACGATCCTTTCTCTCGCCTTGGACTGACGGGCGGCTGAGGAAAGCCGGCGCCATTGCCCCAGTGGAGTATCTCGCTGGGTATCTCGTCTTCATCTTCATCCTCATCTTCGACATCATCGTCTTCTTCTCCTTCTGTCGCAGTGGCAAAAGTGGCAGCTGTTGACACAGAATCCATACTATTGCTACGGGCCGCCTTCATCCATGGTGGAAGAGGAGCCTTGAGACGCGAGGCCTGGTGCTCACCATGGACCGCTTTGGGGAATGACTCCTGAACAGGAGTGGTAGCCCCTTCTTCCGTACCGCTCTCTCCACCTTCATCAGTTATTTCCTCACTGTCATTGTCATCAGTAGGTGTATTTTGATCCATCCTTGTTGTGACAACGCTGCTGCCGTCACTTTCAGAAGGGGTCAAACTCCTGGTCCCACCACCAGTGTAATTTCCCAATACGCTGTAGAGAAACATGTTTTCATAATCGAAGGCATCTAGACGATCTTCATGTCTTCCAGCCCCACCTTCTGCAAGCAGATGTTCTGGCACTTCAGGAACTTCAGGCTCAACTTCTTGGAGACTTTCCTGCAAGACCTCGTTGAGGTAAACTTGCTCCTCTTCTGAAGCCGCAACTCCATCCTCATCATCCAGTTCCTGAGCAGCATCTTCATAATGGGACTCCGGAATCATCGATTTGGAGTCATCACGTGTTAATGATGGCATCGGAATGGATTTGTGGAAACTGGGGGTATTCCGGTCTGTTCTGGCATCACTCAACAATCTTGAATCGTTGGTCGTAGGTTGCTCCACGTTCAGATAAGTTTGAGTTTGAGGAGTGACAGGAGCGACCCGCTCATCCAAGGCCCGGTTCTGTTGACGAGAAGGACTCCAGCCTAAGCCTGCGTTCGTATTGAGAGGACTTCCACCTTCTTTGTACTCAGGGGCACTAGTATACCACTGCTCGGGGGTTTGTGCAGCCGTGAAAGGGCTAGGTGTTCTCATGTTTTGAGCACTCCGCCTTCGCATGCTGTCCGCTTGAGCCTTGTCCTTCAGATCAGTTATCCTCGCACGCAAATCAGTCATCTGATCCCGGATCTCTTTGGTGGATCGAGTTGACATAGCCGAAGAAGAGCGGGCAACAGCTGTGGTTGGGCTACTGGTGACCACGGAAATGTTCTCTTTCGAGACTGCAGCCAGAGTATTGATACCCAGGCCTCGAGGACCACTCTGCTCTGGTGAGGTCTTGATGGTGCTCGGTGTCCCGTCCTCCTCCTTCAGCACCCTGAGCGGAGAATTGAAACTTCGACTACTAGCAGGGGAAAACCCGCCTAGCCGACTGGATGGTGACACTTGATATTGCTGTGGGGATTCTTGTCTTCGGCCGTATTCAAGTGCACTGGCTGACCTTTCAGGAATCATAGATAACCGCTTGAGTCCTGTGGGGGTGGTGTCACTACCACCCCTTGTGTGCATTGAGGGATTGGTTTTCACCACAGGATAAAGCGGGCGAGATTTGCGGCTGCTCGCGCCAGCCAAGGAGATGGAACGATAGAGCCCGCCTGCAGGCTGATGGAGTTCCGACATATTGGGCGACGAGCGGGGAGACATGAGAATGCTGTGCCTGGCTTTGCTGAGGTTGTCTTCCATGCTCGTCAGTCGCTTTCTGGCATGTTCGAGGATTCTCTCGGCGCGTTCATTGAGCAAGGTCATTTCGTCCTCCGTTGCTGCTGGTGTGCTGCTATTCCGTTTGCTGTCGGGGTCCTCTACCTCGTCATCTCCAACCTTTGCGACATCTGCCGCCAACCTTTCATTCATCATCTTGGAGGAGTCGAAGTCTTCCCAGTCCCCCAAGTCTGAGCCATTGCTGGATGATGAGTGAGTACTCAGCCGTCTCGGTTGCACTGGAGTCTTTCCAATTGGCGTTGGAGAGGATGGACCGGAAGCAGTAGAAGTATAGCTGATCCTGCTACTCCTCTTGGAGACTGGGGTTTCTTCCTCGCCAATGTCGCTCAGCGGCGCACCGTGTTCGTATCCAATGAAGCTGGTGGTGATGGATGATATCGCGCGCGGGGGCATCCTGACTGGGGTCGCAACCCCCACCTCGGGTGATAACTCTGTGTCTCCCAGTGCCGATGTCAATGAAACAGCTGAATCTGGGCGTGGAGGCAGGGCAACCTGTTGCAAAATTGGCGACGAAGGCAGAGGGGTTGGACTCGAATTGAGGACGGGATTGTAGGGTAGGATCATGTCGGGGTTCGTCAATGTCGGTGAGGGAGGAGCATCGTACGAAGGAGCGTCACTGAAATGGTGTGCGTGGTGGTGAGGGTGAAACTGCGCAGCAGCAGCCATTCTTCGAGAGGATGAATGTTGGTCGTTCTCGGATAGAGGATAGACCAACGGTTTGGATCTGCAAATCTGTTTCACAAAGTCGTCAAATCGCAGCGCAGGTGCGGGTCGGTATCTGCGTCATGCCAGTGCCAGATCGATCTGAGATGGAAAACTTGGGTTCGGGGAAGAATCGAAGCGACAGTGCTCGATAGAGCAGGACGTTTCATTCAATAACGGCACTGATGGGTTGCGATTGCGGTTGCGGTGCAAGTCATAGGTAGTGCTCGTGCAACGATGGAGAACAAGACTCGGTCAAGGTGAATAATGAACAGATTTCGACGAGGGCAGATTGCTTAAACCAGGATCCTGGGGTTTGAGGCCTGAGCAGCCTCCGTGCATTGAGTTCGACAGTGGAGTGCAAAGAGGAGCGTAAGCTCGGCAGTGAGCAGCAGAACATGATTTGAAGGCGAGATGGCGCAACCTCATTTGCTGCAACCCCTGCAGGAAAGGTTGTCCGGTCCTTTGGCTGCCGTTCGGGGTTCTTGATGGGCGCCATCACTGGTTCTGCTTCCCCGACCCCTGCCTATCCAACGCCTTCCGGGGCCCCTATTGATGGATCCCCAGTGATGCTAGGCACCTAGTGCCGTTTACACAAAGCCTAAAGAGAGGCCGAGGGCCTAGGATGGCCATGTCTTTTTCAAGGCCCGACACCGGAAACATTGCTTTCCATCCTAAAACTCGCCAGTCACCCTTCCACCACCGTCATCGCGCCATTTCAGCGTGTCCTAAGATAAACAAAGCGATTGAGTGATAGCAAGAGCACCGATCGGGCCAAAAGAATTATCTGTAGATGACAACAAGAGGCCCGTTCAGCTAGACTCATGCTGACGCCTTGTTTTATTCACAGTATCCCCAACTCGACTCATGCCAGGGGAGCAGCGCAACCATCACCAAGTTACTTACAATGCCGGCATTCGTTCTCCTCCCTGCATCCCCGTCTGATCTCGAGGCTGTGGCTCGTGTCCAATTTGCGGCTTGTGCGACCGATCCCGGCTTTTGCGCCATCTTCCCCAAAGGCGGTACTCTAAGTTCTATCACTCACTTTGTGCAGTCTTATGAGGAGGACATGGACAATGACCCTTCTTATCATATCATGATTGTGAAGGAAGCAATGTCTGGGGAGGTTGCCAGCTTCGCCATCTGGCACTTCTTCCCCCCACGTTCTGGGGACGAGATTGATCGAGAACTATTACTGGACGACTTCCCACTTCCCAATGATGCGAATAGAGAGATTGGTTGTAGATTGATGCGCAACAGCATCAGGAAGCGCCATGAACTTGCGACTGCTTTTATCGGTCTAGAACGGCCGTATGTATGTGAGTCTGGTTTTGAGCTCTTTCGTAGTTGGCAACACTTGCTATTTGGATATTGACTCTCACCCAGTCCTCGCTGCTCTCGGTACATCTCCCAAATATCAACGGCAGGGTGCCGGTGCTAAGCTACTTGAATGGGGCTTAGAGCGAGCTGATGATAGGGGATTGGCAGTTTATGTGGAAGGCACCCCGGCTGCCGCACATCTCTACAAGGCCAATGGATTCAGAGAAATCGAGACGTTGAAACTGGAACTGAAACTGGCACCAGAAAGCACAGAAGAGCACTCCAACGTATGTATGATTCGAGACCCTCAAACATAATATCATAAGACAATCGAACATATTCTACTGTTCACAAAACACGCAGTACTCTACTGCGATGCTTAGCTCTAGGGGAATGGCTGTTCACCGAAATATCGGACTTCTGGGTTCCTGGCTTGATCCGTTTGCCATACTTTGCACAATCTCGTTACTTGGGCTCAGTGGCGTCCGATACTTCAAAAGCTAAGTTCCGTTCAACATGGTGATTGCTATTCGTTGGAACAACATAGCCACTGTTCAGCCTTGGAAAGCAATAGCCAGGATGTAATACGGTCTGGATCACGGTTGCAACGCAGATCATGCACCAGTCTAGAACCATAAAGGCCACTTCATTTCGCATTATCTCGTTCCTCCAGCCGCCAGCCATCTCAAAAATGCGAAAAACACATCGGATGAAGATGAAGACAAAGGCCGCAACAAAGCCAAAGATAAACATCCGAAACTTTGAATCCTTCAAGAACATCTGAGCCTCGGTTGACAGCACCATATACTTGGTACAACGCCGACGATGCGCATACCAGACAGTTGCGACAGCAAAGAAGAAGAGTGTAACAACTTGGAATGAAACCCCTGCGATCACAAAACTCTCGGCGAGGTCCTGGCGGTGGCGGTCACCACCCGCAGTGGCAGAGAAGGATCCATCAAGAGCTTGTATGATCAGTGAAATCAGATCTCCGGTGATGAAGATCCATGTGTACCAATCCGGTCTAATCTTGCTGGCCTCTGGTCCAAAAGTCAGCACGATATGCTTGAGTACCAGATATAGTGCGGCGCTGTTGAATGCCGGACCCAAGACCAAGCAAATTATTTGTATCTGGAACCCACTTCGATCGAAAGCATTGTTGTGCAACATGAGGCGACCAGCATAGCCAATGGCCTGGTCAATGCAAGCGAGCACCATGGCAAGTTGATATGCCCACGTCTTGTATCGAAATCCGCAAGAGACCTGTGTGATACCGCAGGCTGAGAAGAGGGCAATGAAGTAGGTATTGCCTCCAAAAGATGGTGCGTAGCCATAAGTCGAGCTTGCGACAGGACATTGAGGAGATAGGCTACGGCAGTCGTGCCATGGTATCAAAGTAGTATTGGCAGAAGTTGTTGACATGGTAAAAAAGAGATACAGAGGGAACCAGGAGAGCGGAGTGGGTTGATATAAGAAAGGAAAGCCAACAACGTTTGAAGGAGGGGGTTCCAGGATGCCTTTTTTATGCTCGATGGTCGCTGGCTCAGAAAATCCTCACTGGAATGCTCTCCCTAGGGCCGCTACTGGCTTGCGTTCTAACTTACACCGATCTTGTCTCCTACGATCGTCATTCGTATCAAACTGAGGTTGAACACGAAGCCGTGAGGAAATTCTTCCTTATACGCGGACCAATGTGTCATCTTAAAACCAGCCAATGTATCATGATGACTCTTCAGACAACAGGAAATGATATTCATGTATCTCAAGCATCAAGGTCGCCACACAGCCAATGAGGATGATGAACAAGTCGTGCCTTCGCAACGCTTTCCGAGCTAGGTTTAGCTGAACAAACGAGGCTGTAACTCCCCTTTTCGATGGAATAGTAGATCTTCCCCCAAGCAAGCTTAAGAACCATGAATTCATCGCGTCGGTTATATCATCAAGAACGAGAGAACAGCACTTGGAATTCGTTGTCAATATTGCATGGTTACTAAGCGTTTTGGCATCATAGGGAAAAAGACAGGGAGCCGCTGCAGCAAGCCTTTACTATCTCGACCAAATGGACGACATGTCTCAAAGCTTTTCGCCACACGCGGACGGCACAATGATTTGTGGCCAACCTCACGCCGGTCGGTTCATAGTATGCTGCTTAAAATCACGGGTATCCTGCTACGTCAGGTTTATGTTCCACGTGGAGGAGTCCAGAGTCGGGCCCGAACAGCAGGAAACACTGATCCGCAAGCAACCCTAGATAGTTTCGCCTATGTGAAAATGCCACTTGGATCCCCCTAAATCAACAGCAATAGCCTACAGCTCTATGCAGCCTCCATTAGAATCCATGCAGAGAGAAAGTGAAAGATAGGATTCATACCTAGGTGGTAGAATGTACCCAAGTATTGAGTAGTGGTTGGGTGTTCGATTAGTCATCGTGCCGTCCAAATTTCACCTATTGACTAGGTCGCGAGGCGCGAGGCGCGCCCACCTCTTCTCTTTCAACCGCCCCCCACTAGAACTCCAGCTATGCTGATAAATTGTGACGTACCGATAGAAATGGGTTTTCGAGATGCCCATGCTACAATACGATTCAGGAGATTCGGGATGGAGGAAGCAGGTAAGATTGTGTCGTGGTCTTCTAGACCTTGACGTTGAGCGCTTGGACAGCTGTCAACTTCACAGATAACAGCCCCTGAAGCTTGTGTTCAGCATACTAGATGATAGGGTGCATAGTTTCTGCACAGACTGTCTGACGAGCTTTCATGACTGTAAATGGTCAGCTCCTTGCCATCGCATCCTCCGCCACGCGTCTCGGACGATTTTGACAGAATCATTCCCGCGACAAAGGGTCCCAATGTTGAGCCCAGGCGCGAATAGCCGTTCAAGCTGGTGCCACAATTTCAAACGAGATGTCCATGGATTTGATTCAAAGGATTTTCGTCAATCCTCTGAACGTTACTCCGGACGTCGTTTCCCTGACCACCCTACGGTAGTCACACAAGAGATCTACCGTTGATCGTCCAAACTTGTGATGGTCTAGAACGAGGAAATCAACACATTACCTGAAGCACGGGGTTGAGTATCAACTACTTCTAGCCTTCTGCGGGGAGGCGAATGTGAGAAGATCCGTGCCAATTCGATGTCAGACTGTCCAAACCTAGGACAATCGAAGCTGTCAATATGATTGCATCCTATATTGAGAAGTCTCAGGGGCGAGAGCTAAGCATCATCGTTAAAGCACGTCCTGCCCACCAGAGCAGGTTGGAATTTTCGCTTCATTCCACAGTCGATTTGAGTGCATTATAATCGTGCTTCTCATTGGTGTTACAGGCTCTTGGAGTACTTCTTAGTATCTACGAGCTCCCTTGCGAGCCGCTCGAGCATACACGATGGCCGAGCAGTACCAGCCTCTCATCAACGAGGAAGCTGGAAGCTCACGTCTTCAGGAGAAGCGCACATACGACGAGTGCGACGTGAGAGATACAGTAGACGGTGAAAACGACGGCGAGGACGACATTCCTCTCAAAGAAATCGATCTTTCCCGACTTCCCGAGGAATCAAGACCAAGATGGTATCAATTGCCGCAGTTCAGAGTACGCCGGCCAGATTGGGATGTATCGTCGAGTTTAGCGAATAGGTGGAACCAAGTCCCAGATGCCAAATCCTCCGCATGGCTTATATTGTCTTGTCTCATTGCTATTCTTCCACGATATCTGCAGCCAGGAGGATTGAAAGTCAAGAAGGAATTGCACCCGACCGCATATCTTGATGCAGTACGTGGTTGGGCAGCCCTTGCCGTGTTTCGCTATCATGGCATTGCGAATAAAACCTGGCTTCTCGAACAGCCCGTTTTCCGGATGGTCCTTAATGGTCGAGCAATGGTCGACATTTTCTTCGTCATCTCTGGATATGTGTTGACCTATCGAATGCTCAAGATGATTAGAAATCGTCAAATGGGATTGTTGAGAGTATTAGCTTCATCAACATTCAGGAGGTGGTGGCGTCTGTACGTCTCTACTGGAATTGCCTCTTTGGTCACAGCCATCTGGACGTACTGGGGCTGGTGTCAGCCTGGGCTGCGTAAACCTACTCTGGGACTTCAATTGCTTGACTGGGCGATGGATTGGGCTGGTGCAAGCAATCCATTCGGCGAGATCCGCGGATGGTGGTACGCTCAAGTGTTCCGCACAAAGTACCTCGACCAGATGTGGACTATTCCTGTCGAATTTCGAGGCAGCTTGGTCGTCTTTTGGTTTTGTGCCGCGGCAGCATACCTTTCGACTCGTGGTCGCAGAGTTTTCTGTCTCGTTGTCATCACAATGTGCTACTACTGGGGAGGTATCTATGCCGCACTTTTCCTGTGGGGTATGTTGATTGCAGACTACTCCTTCGATCGCCATCCAGAGAGGCTGCAACGGATTCGTCTTCCAGCACAGCAAGAACCAGATGAAGCTATAATGCCGGAGCGTCGACAGTCTGTTTTTGTCAAGATCGCCTACTCCCTCCTCTTGATACTATCTATGTTCCTGCTTGGCCAGCCGCCTGATGGCTACTGGCTCGTTGGCCCGTTTCCCTGGCCATACCTCAGCAAGGCCATTCCATGGTACTATCCTGTGGAGCTAGCAGAGCATTTCTGGCTAAGCTGGGGCTCAGTGTTGTTCATCCTCAGTATCGATCACTGCAGGATGCTCCAGATTCCATTTGAATGGGGGTTCTCGCAATACTTGGGGGACTTGTCCTTTGGAATATATGCCATGCATAACAGCTTACTATGGGCACTCTACACACCCATCGTCGAGCCATGGCGTGCTGTTCATCTCGGCGATGGATATTGGTCTGGGCTCCCAGGCATACTCTTCACCACTTTGGTTTTGCTATGGCTGGCCGACTATTTCACACGCCTTGACAATCTCGTGGTTCGGGCTGGCAAGTGGTTGGAGACCATGACTTTCATCGAGTGGAATTGAAACGAACTGTCGAAATTTCTTAATATTGAACATTCACCTCTTGTTTCGATCCCCGAACACGACCCCACAGTGTCGTCAAATCACCACTGAATGGCTGTCCGTCAGCCCTGTTTGCCCAGAATTTTGGCGCATTCATATGGTCCGTCAGCCCGACAATTGCGTTACACATCCAGAAATGGCCCGTTGCCATACAGAGCTCTTTTCCCAGTCCGCCTGACCTCTCTTGCATGCTTCCAACCTCGGTTTCGAATACCTCCCCTTCCTGTGTCCCGGCGAGGTAATCTACATCAACACAGCCCAACCAAATTTCCGTGCGGCCGACTTCATCATTATGGGTTAGCGAGCTGCCACACTTGCCACAGAAGCCACGGTAAGACTCTGGACCAGAGTCATATGTGCGGTATGTCGAAAATGAAGCCAAATCTGGGTGGATATCCGCAGTAGGGACTTGAAAGCTTTGTGGGACCAGCGCGCCGGTGAATTTCCGGCAGTTGGAGCATTGGCACGAAGCGTTGTTGTCGGGAGGCCAGGGAGATGTAGAAGGGAAAGAGATGGTGAAGGTGATTGACTTGCAGAGGCAGGATCCAGTGATTGAGTGGATTGGATTGGGCATTTTCGTTCCGGTGAGAGTTGGCCTACTAATGTTCCCGTCGCTGAGGACACTTGTAAGGGGTGGATGATTTTTGTTTGAATTGATCAAGAGCACATAAACCAGGCACGAGGCTGAATCTAATCGACTACAAAGTCGAGTAATACTGTGACATCATTCTATTTTCCGAAACTTGCAAACCTTTGCAGCTGGACATGAATGTCCAGGCGAGTTACTGTGGCTTACGAAGCGACCTTCTCGATTGTAGACATGTCGATCGTTGCACAGCTTACCTAGGTACTAGTACAGCCATCATCAGCATCGGACTGTCGGATCCGTCTATCAAATCCGATCAGATTCATGCATCTGAAGACTTCAATCGTCTGACTAATCGGGCATGGATGCTTTTCACGTCACAATTACCCTCCTTGATGTCTTAGCGACTAATGTTTTTGTTTTAAGGTTGATTCCACTCATACAGGAAATGATAATGAGAACTAGTCCCGGCGTTTCCCCTGGCGTCGAGTCTTGTTGAGGCAGTATTATCCTGTATCGATTGTCGATCGGATTGTCGACGGATGACACCATTCTTCAAGCATTGCGAGCAATTGCAATACTCGTCACAAGAAGAAGTCCTTTGCAATATTGCGATGGAGCCTCATCTTAGTGACTTACTAATATGAATTCCAACGATTCATACTGTACGGAAGAACCATGATACAAAAGTAAAAAGGCATGCCTTTGTCCAAATAATAACGACGATCACCATAATCATCATTCTCACGGCCAAAAATGCCAACAACTTTGACTCGGAGCGTTTACCGCATCACTTCTTCCTCGAAGTCTCCGTTGCTAAAGGCCAATTCTGAGTTTCTGGATATACCACCGGAACCTGGCCATGTCGTCCTGAAAGTGCACGCCATAGCTTTGAACCACCGGGACTATAATATTGTTCATGGTTTGAATCCGTGGTACACCTCTCCTGCACAGCAACAATCTCACTGCTCTGGCCCCGGGAGCCTAGGCAAATGGCTCACAACCTTCCCAGGCCCGTTCTTCCGAATGTAGTTCCCACCTCAGATGCAGCATGCACTGTGACCCACGTCTCGCTTTCAAATGAATCATCACCCAAATTCACGCCCGGCACCCGCGTCTCCCCGATCCAGGACATCGCCTCCCTCACCACAGATCCGCCGTCGCAAACGCGCTGCTGGCTCGCTGCTGACACCGACGGCGTTCTCGCTACACATGTTGTCTTCCCTGAGCATGTTCTCGTCAAGATTCCCACTCACCTCAGTGATGCCGAAGCCAGCATTTTACCTTGTGCGGGGGTGACTGCTTGGACTACGCTACAGGGTCTGAAGAAGGGAGATGTCGTGTTAATCCAAGGCACTGGAGGTGTTAGTCTAGTCGCGGTCAAATTTGTTGTGGCGATGGGTGGGAAAGTCATTCTCAGCACGGCAAGTGCGGAGAAAGCTAGACGAGTCGAGAAATTGTTCAGTGGAACGGAAGGATCAATCATAGGCTCGGTCAACTACGCGAGCAATCTGGATTGGCACGAGGAAGTGCTGAACCTCACCGGCGGAGTTGGCGTGGATCTTGTGCTTGAGAATGGCGGTACAAGCTCGCTTGTCAAGAGTTTCAAATGTACCAAGAGAGGCGGTATCGTAAGTCAAGTGGGTTACTTGGGAAAGCAGGATCCGGCGGAACTCAAAGAAATGCTCCCTCTGCTGATTGATAGGAAAATCCTCCTGCGAGGGATCAACGTGGGGAGCAGGCAGGATTTCGAAGAAATGAATCAATTCATTGATCAGCATGGATTACATTTTGTAGAGCTGATCGATAGGACGTTTAGTTTCGAGGACGCAGAAAGGGCCATCGAGTATCTGGGAGAGGTCGGGCCATTTGGGAAGATCATTATCGAGGTCAAGAAATCAGAGTCTTTGACATAAATTGATGGCTCTACTACCTTATATCTGATAATTATCGATCACACAATCGAAGGAAAGAACGCCTTAAATCTCTCGGGTCGTTTGCCATTTTGGGTCCACTTAAACCTGGACGCTTTGCACGACGCGTCATTTCTCACGCGTAGATGATTTACACTCTTGCACAGGACACTGAGGTTCATGAAGCATCACCGTAAGTATGGTGCTCTGTCATAATTATGTCTGTGCGACTTTAAGCACGGTTGTCCATCGATCAACAATGTCCTTTCCAATAGCTGCCTCGAGAGTATCGAACTTGCCGCCGGCACCATGATTTGCAAATGTGTAAACCGGACCCAGCTTGTCGACATCACCAGCTTTGAACGGCTCCCAATCCAGTTGGCCATAGCAGAATGAGATCCAGTCTCGCTGAAGCTGCTGGACTGCACCTGAATATTCCCCTTGGTGTTTCTTCTCCACCAGATCTCCTGCTGGATTGAAGAGAAAGAGGTCACTAATTGCGTGATTCGCTTTGCCATATCCGAGCTTCCACCCAGGGTAAGGATTTGTCGATTGAAACTCATAAAGGAATGTTTTGCCTTGGGTTTTGAGGCCGATTAGATATGGCGGGATTCGGAAGATCATATCGGCGACGAATTCTGCCCACGTTTCCCTGTCTTTGCTAGGTGTCTCAATGGTATTCTGAATACCATAAGCTTTCAGCACATCTGCCGAGAACAGATCATTGGTCTCGGAAGTAAGGCCAATGGGCTTGAGCATGCTCGTCATCGTATCTCGCATAGCTTGGTCACTCAAGTTATTAGGATCGAGTGCGCCGAGCATAGCAAGAGTTAGGTCTTGCTGAATTCGAGTCAGTTGGGAAGACGAGCAGAGAAAAGGCCACATACCTCGAATGCACATGAACCAACCATGAGCTCAACTGTCGTTGGGTTCTCTACCAAATCAGTGACGGTCCTACCCCGAATCCAGTCATTGTCAATCACAGGATTGTAAAACCCTGCCATGGTTTCCTCCACTAACGCCGCAACAGGAATCAATTGCAAGTCTTCGATAATACTCCCACTTTCCTTCGAACTGTACCTGAGAGCGAAGGCTTCAAACTGCTTTTCATGATAGCTGAGCGGCATCGCTCCTATTGCCAATGTCGAACCGCTCGATAATATCGCTCTCTTCACCTTGGCCTCCCTGAATTGCGCTTGGAAGTGGCATGAAGCACCTCCAGCGCTACCACCTTGAATCGTAATCATCTCCGGGTCCCCTCCGAATCCATCAATGAATTTGTAGACCCATTTGAGAGCCTGTCGCTGATCATGAAGACCATAATTGCCAACCGCTTCTCCAAATGATTTATTATAGGCTTCAAGTGCTGATGAAGCCAGGAAACCAAGAGGACCCACACGGTAATTGATAGTCACCACAACCAGTGGCTGCCCAAGCCCAACGCTGCTCTGGACTAGTCGGACTCCGTCATAGATCTCACGACCAGCAACTTGCAAGCTCGAACTTCCAACCATGAATGCACCCCCATGGATGAAGACCAGCACTGGAACTTTGTGTCCATCCTGAACTGCTGTCAGTGGAGCGGTAATGTTGAGGTTGAGACAGTTGAACTCGTCTGCTAAAGGTTGCTTAAGGACAATGCCGTCCTGAGGTAACGGCCCAGTCCAAAACTCGGGAAATGGCAGCGCTTGTGTGTGCGGGCAGGTAGAGCCAGGCTGTGTGGCATCATAAGGCAACTTTGGCAACGTCGTTCTCATCACCGACTGTCTGAAACGGGCAGGAATTTCTGCAAAGGGAATGCCGCGGAATTGCACAATGTCGCCCTTCCTGCGAACGCCAGTGAGTTCCCCTAGTGTCGGGTGTTGAAATGACCACAGAGAACCCAACCCGATACCATCGATACTCCCCATCTAGCTGAATTGTACTCGAAGTGGACTGTACTGGCAGAGGCGTTACTTCACTTCGAAGACGATGTCTGAACACAAGCCAATTCCCTGTCCACACTATTGTTTATATCATCGACATCTTTGACACATGAGACGTGTGTTTTCAGAACGAGAAAAACCAAATGCCGTCAAGCACAGCCGAGTTTTGAACCTCTTCCTATTTTTTTCGAACAGCTACAATTGCTGTGGTCTCTTGGTCTGGTTATCAAAGTCAGATGAGAGATGTTCACCGAAAGGTTCAGCTCGGTGACCTCGGAGATCTCGGTCCCGCACTCGAGCTCCCCGGATATGTCCCTTGATGGAGTCTTCGGCAAGCTCCCCAGCTTTCATGGCCCTTTGCTGCCCCGCAATTTTGAATGCTTCGGCACTGGATCTGCCCACACCAGGGATTAACTTTTTTCACTCGAAGTCAATGCAGCCTCGACAGTATCAACAAGCTTGTGAACACGGTGATTTTCACGATATAAAGACGATATGCACCCCTCAACTGATATCTCGCCAACTACGAGCAAGCCAACGGCAAAGATCAATTCCTGTTCTCATTAACAATCATCATGGAGCATTCCAAGTCCACTTTCCTCTTCACTGTCAGGCATAACCCGCGCCTGGCCTTGACATCGTTCTTCCTGGCTATGGTCTTTTTCACCTTCGGCTATGATGGGGGCGTGATCGCTGGCCTTCTGGCAATGGGCCCGTTCAATATGCAGTTTGGTAGTGGCCATGGACCACACGGTGCAACTATGCTCACATCAACTGAGATATCACTCATCGTTGCACTTCCCAACTCAGGATGTCTCCTGGGATTGCCACTATCAGCTTGGCTTGGAGATCGTATCGGACGCAAGAAGACCTTGCTTATTGGCTGTGGCTTTAATGCTGTGGGGGCCGCCATTCAGACTGCAGCTCCAAACTTGGGTGCTATGGTTGCGGGAAGATGGCTGACCAGTAAGTACAGCCTTACGCACTGCTCCCACGAGGCTCACATTCAGTTCAGATGTCTCTATCTTCATGTTCATCACCATGGCATCCAACCTGCTTGCTGAGGTTAGCCCAGCGGAAATTCGTGGTATCCTTACTGGCCTTTCCATCGTTCTGATCGATGCAGCTGCAATCCTCTCCCAGGGTCTGAACTACGCCTTTTCTACCGTCATGGCGAAATATTCCTACCAGGTCCCATTGGGTATTCAAATGTTCTTTGCAGCCTTTATTTTCTTCGGAATCTTGACGGTAGACGACTCGGCCACCTTCTACCTTACTAAGGGTCGCGATGAAAGAGCTCTCCAGGCCCTACGCACTGTACGACAGGGATATGAAGATGCTGAGATTGCTGCTGAATTTGCGTCCTTGAAAGCTCAGAATAGCCTTCGACAAGAGGAAGAATCTGTGTCTTGGAAGGACCTTTTTATCGGTGTCAACAGGAGACGTTCGTTGATTGCACTCTCAATCGCCAACATGCAACAACTGTCTGGCATTGTAAGTTCTTTCCGCCTGTCATGATTCGCAAACTGATTCAGTCGATCTTCTAGGCTTTCGCAACCAATTACATTACCTTGTTTCTGAGCACCATCAACTCCCAGGTGTCCGCATTTACCTTAGCAATGGCTGCGGCTGTTCTAGCGTTCGGTGGCGCGATTGCTGGTCTCTTCGTTGTCGACCTCGTCGGAAGACGAGTGCTTGCTTTGACATCCTTTACCGCACTCGCAATCATTAATTTGGTGGTTGGTGTGATGGGATTCCTACCATTGACAAACCCTGCAGTACCTAAGACTATCGCAGCCTTTTGCTGCATGTTCGCTTTTTTCTTCGCCGCAGGCTTCGGCCCATTGACCTACATTATCGCCTCCGAGATTCCCACAGCACGACTACGAAACAAATCCAACTCGCTAACTTTCTTCCTGGTGGCAGTCTTCGCGACTGTGGTTACCTACGTGCTCCCCTATATTTCCAATGCCGACGCGTAAGTTTCCTTGCCTCCCCATCGCTTGATCGTGAGCTGACAAAGTCCTAGCGGCAATCTTGGTCCCAAAACATACTTGATATTCTTCGGTTGGATGGTTGGCTGCATCATTATTACCTACTTCTGCCTACCTGAGACCAAAGGTCGCACTCCAGCAGAACTGGACGAGATGTTCGAGGCCAAGCTCCCAGCTCGCAAGTTCAAGGGTTATGTCTCAGCCCTCGCGGTGGAGAACTTTAACGTCGAGATCAAATCGGGTACGCTTACTGTTGAAAATATTGAGGAAGTGGAAGCAAAGTCTGCATGAGTTGGGGAGCCGTGGAGGCGACATGCTTCCAAGGGGATGATGTGGCTCGAGAGAATCCTTTGGATATTGCAAAACCCCATTTCAATTTGATTTACATACTGCTTGTAGGCTGAGAACTGCAGTGGAACTCTTGTGAAATTTAGACCTCTCCTCCTGAGAGATATATATTGAACTACCAGGTCCTTTTATAACGAAGCTCCAGTAAAGGACTACGCCTAAACGCGCGCAATTTAGGCGCTCGAAAACGCAGTACACACCCATGAAATTAAGTTTACAGGGTGTAAGCTAATCAATCTCCAAGGCTCTCCAGGTAAGAACTTCTCCTGGAACCATGTGATCCTCGCGCCCACAAACCTCCAGACCCTCACCGAAAGTGGAGAGACTTTGGGGCAGCACTCGATGACCAGAAACGACTTCTGGCACCAGCTGATCTTCCATCTTTCGACCTTGCACTCATGAAACAAATCCAATTCAAGGCTATGAGTACGAAGCGATTTTCACGTAGCTCACTAACTAGAGTGCCCGTTCATGCATCTGGTTACGCATTTATCTGACAGAAACGACCACCATCATGGCATCTCAAACGACGAAAGCTAAAACCGCCTGTGATCAATGTCGGTTCCGGAAGTTGCGATGCAATGGAGATCTTCCATGTGACCGTTGCTTCAGGATGGATTTCGAATGCTCCTTCCAGGCTAGAACGACACGGAACAAGCGCGTTGAGATGCTTCGTGGACAACGACACCAGTCGTTGCCTTTGTCCAGCCAGACTCCCAATAGCTTTCCTACTGAGTTGGAATTCTCCCCGCCGGCTGAAGCTTCGGTCCAATCAGTCATCAATTTTCCACGAGAAGGCGGACATCAGTTTATTTCGACTGAGATTGAGCAGTCCTCCATACCTCGCAATGTGGATGCTCAGGGACAATCCTTTACTGTGGCCCATTCGCCCCGTTCAACCCTCCATCCAATGTCTCAGCCTCGCACCCTCAACTCTGCAATCACTGTCGTCCCACCGGTGGAGCTCCCTAGCGAGACTTATGCAGGCTCACCTGACTTCATTGCGACAAGTCCCTTCTCGACCGCTACAGCTCAGAACAGGGCAGATCCCGCGTTTTCTGAGAGCGATGTCATGCCATGGATCAACATCTTCTTCGACCGACTCTATCCAACCTTACCAATAGTCAACCGTTTTGCTTTATATCGAGATATTGTGGGCCGCCGTCAGAGTCGAGATCCTGATTTTGCTGCCATGGTCCTCTCCCTCTCTGCCCTTGCGCTCATACAACCGGTGTTGAGAGAAGAACATGAGTCCATGCCATCTCGCACCGCCTTGGCCACCAAAATGCTCCAGGCTGCAATAAAGTTGAGAACACATACCTTCGGAGAGAACCTTAGCGTCGTTTCTGTTGTGTCAAGCTTCTTTATGTTCGCCGCTTTGTTTGGATTGGGAAATCAGAATGCAGCCTGGCTTCGTCTAAGAGAAGCAGTTGAGTGTGGTAAGATGATTGGCCTTCACCAACCAGATACCTACAAATATCTTACTAGGGACGAAAAAGGCCCGCGTTTTCGATTGTTTTTGATTTTATCAGTCACAGAACGCGGCTACGCACTTCAGCGCAATCACTATATCAGCTTCACTGGTCAGCATCTCTCTAAAATGGATGGAATATACAGAGAAATCGAGACGGCGGCAACCAGTCAGATATCAAGCATTTTAGTCCACGATGATAAAGATGTCACTGCGATGCGTGGACTTCTACAGCTTATGAAATTGTTCGACTCCGTAGATGAGGACATCATCCCATGTTGGAATAGGAGTTGCTCGATTGCTCATGGTTCCTGTACACGACTCAATGCTGCCCAAGTACATCGGGTGTACAATGCAGTTTCTGAGGCCATGCCACCAACCCGAGCAAGATATCCTGCACACCCCGGCCAGAATCATCTGGATGCTGACCCTTCGGCGGTGCAACACTCTGGCACTACGTTGAATGACCCACAATGGGCCGACTGCTTTGTGTTACAACAATGGCTTCTCGTCAGACTATGGGTCTCCTGCCTGACTCACGATTTGCTTGACGAAGACAGTAGCCTCCATTTCATGAAATCGGGCTTTGCTGTCAGTGTTGCCGCAACTGTCTGGGAGCAATGCCGCCAGCTCGAGACTCGTGTTCTCGAGGTACACGGGATTGGAATGATCGAACGCTTATTCGATGTTGCTATGGGTGTTTGTATGGCTATTGAGCATTGCAAAGGTTTGGATCGTGCATACGCCACCACAGCAGGCCATGCGACCCTTCAGCATTACTTTGTCCTCCTGGACCACTTGCGCAATGGTGGGCATACCTACAGCTCTACGCTGCGAGAAGCGTATGATTCCATACAAACATGAAACTCCCATCAATTTAACCCTTTGCATATTATCATTCCACGAGGGAGGGGTGTCTTCCTCGTTCCACTCTATCTGGACACGTCCACGATAGCGATCAAATCAGATGCGCCTTCAGATGTGACCTAGCTCAGTCTTATTCACCACCTGTGCTTGCTGACTTGCCGCAGAGGTCTGATAACCCTTCCAGCTGCGAACTGGCACATTCTCTCTGTACATTTCGTTGATTTCAGCGAACGTACGTCCAGATGTCTCAGGCAGGAAGGTATAGTAGAAGGCCAATATCGCTGCCACAATCCCACCGAAGACAAGATATGTTTTTGCGCCTAAGTCTGCTGCATCTGCCGAGACCAGCTGAGGTACGGCAAACGTGGTGATTACTGCAGTTGTATATGCACAAGCGAGGGTATAGGAGGTTGTCATGTTGCGAAGCTCGGGCTTTGGTATCTCGGTTGGCAGTGTCACGGAAAGAGCATAAAATGACGCTGCCCAGAAGCCGTTGAAGATGAAGGATAGAGCCGCGATGGCGATCGGGACATGTGGCCGGTCAGTGTAGAACGCTAATGTTCCTGCCGAGATATCGATGGCCAACAAAACTGACATGCCGATGATGGCAACTGGTCTACGTCCAGCACGGTCAACAAGGATTGGTGCTACCAGCGTACCAGCGAGGATACAGCATGATGCTGCAATTGTGAGCTGGAAAGGGTTGCCCACACCTAGAGCGGTCAAGAAGATGGTGGCATATGTACTCGATAAAATAATGCCAGAGCACTGGTTGACCGAATACATGGAGCCAGCAACAAGCGTCCGCATAATGTTGCCTCTTTTGAAGAGATCCCAGAACTTGACCCCGGAGCTGAGTGCAAGTTCGGAATCATGAGCTGCCTTCATCACTCGCAACTCATCGTCCACCAAAGAATCATCGAAGGCTCGAAGTCTGCGCAAGTTGTGCCGTGCCTCCTCTTCACGACCCTTCGTGATTAGCCACAACGGACTTTCTGGGATGAAGATGGTGATCGGGATCAAGAAGACAGGTGCTACAGCTTGCGCTCCAAGCGGAATGCGGTAGGATGATGCCCCGGCATGGGAGTATGTGGCGTTACAGATCACTGTTGCAATAACCCCGGCAATGAGGTTGAAAATATTGCTGGAGGTCACAGCCATGCCACGATACTTTGCTGGCACAATCTCTGAAAGGTACAGTGGTGCGACGGTCATGCCAGTGGCGATCATAGTGGAGTTGAAGAAGCGGCCAGCTACAAAAGCCCCAAGATTTGGCGCAAATGTCTGCAGAAAGGTTCCAGCAATGGACAAACAATATGCACCAATCACCACCCATTTTCGGCCAAACCGTGTTGTCAAAGGTGCCGCCGAAGCAGCTCCTATGATGGCTCCTACAAGCTGGGATTGTCAGTGAACTTCACTAGCCCAATGGCAGCATTATCGACGCATATCATGACAACATAAAGAGCATACACTGGTTTGTCGTGTCGATATCTGAGATATGAACGCCACACATCGCCGGAAGGACAGGAAATTGGAGGCAGGATGCTTACTGGAAGGCAGAACACCAAATTCTGGTTGCGTGCTGTCAGGGCCAGTGCACCCACTGAGTTCGGATGGCCTTGAAATTTTTCGACCTACAGAATGTGAGTGGGAGGATCCAAGCCGATGCTATTGCACTCACAAAACTCTCCATTGCCGAGACTGGACTGATCACCTTGTCTGCGTTTTGTTAGAGAAAGCTAGGGCAGGCGTGAATGCTTTGCATACCATCGTAACCAAACAACATTGAAGCCGCACCAAAGGAAAGGCATGCCGCTATGAGCAACGGATTCCATACTTTCTCAGAATCGACATCGGATGAGAGCACAAGAGCAGTGCCGTCCAAGTGTTGAATTCCACCGCTGGGCTTTTCATCAACAGCAGTCGGTGTCGTGGTGCTAGTTTCCCCCATGCTTTGTGGCTGAACTCTTTCACTGAAGTCAAATAATAGATGGAACTTTCGAGATAGAGGCCATGGAGAAGCTTCGTTCTTATATCACAATACAAGTGCCGATTGGCCCTCGCTTCCCCAGTGGAATGACTCCAACCTTCATTACTCGGAGTGCTCGGTCCTCTCGGACGCTTCGGTGGCACTAGTTACGTTGTGGGGGATTGACCAGGGTACCACCTAGGTCTTGACAACGAGGAGAAAAAAAGCTCATGATTCATCTTTTCCTAAGTCTTAATCTTGTACAGATTGCATCTATTGCACCCGGATGTGGGCTGAGTACCCACGTATTCACACGCTCAACATGAGCTGATCATTTCTTCGGTTGATCACGGTTCCGAACAGGCAGAGAAGTCCTGACCCGCCTAGCCAACATGGATGTTACGTTGCCTCCTGCAATGCCGACTGTAATGGACATCAAGAATTGTTGCCTTTCTAGACATTGGCTTACGCATATTTTGACTACACTTCTACATCTATTTTTTTTGCTGGACACGCACTTTTCCCACGCGCTACCCCCTGGCATAGACCACGCACATGAATTAAGAATGGCACCGCAAGTTGACTCGACGGTCGATAGCGATTCAACACTGTCTACAACAAATGATACTTCAGGCGAGACATCTTCGAGCGATGAGATCTTTGACGATATAACCACAACCGAGAAGAGGAGCATTGAAAGATTGCGAAGACCCGAAGCATTCCATCGATGGCGACCCCAATACCATCTTATGGCACCACACGGTTGGATGAATGACCCCTGTGCTCCAGGATACAACGCTAAGACGGAAAAATACCATATGAACTTGCAGTGGAATCCTTGGGGCAACTCATGGGGAAACCTTTCGTGGGGTCACGCAGAATCCTCAGATCTTGTTCACTGGAGAGTGTCTCCGGACCCCTCGATTACACCAACAGCAACACTGGACTCATGTGGTATTTTTACGGGCTGTACACTACCAGCCAAGGACCCTCAGTCGAGAGCTGAGAGCAGAAAATTGACTGCATTCTATACGTCTGCACGAAAACTTCCTATCAGCTATCGGCTTCCCTATTCTCGTGGAAGTGAGCGGCTTGCTGTCGCTACATCTTCAGACAACGGCCAGACCTGGGAGCGAATCCCCATGAACATAATTCTAGCAGAACCACCGCCCAATATTGACATAACTAGCTGGCGAGACCCATTCGTCGACAGATGGGAAGCACTTGATAATCTTATGTGTCATGGCACACGGTGGCTTTATGGAACATTGTCAGGCGGAGTACGGAATAGGACACCAACTATCTTCTTATACCGGATAGACCCAGAGAACACAACCGAATGGAAATTCTTGAGCTCTCTGGTCGAGCTTTCAACCAACTTCAATCCTTCGCGATGGTCTGGTGACTTTGGACTCAACTGGGAGGTATCCAACTTCCTCACTTTACGAGGAGAAGATGATACGGCGCATGAGGTGTTGATCACTAGTGCCGAAGGAACAATAGAAGACTCCGCAGGGGGAGCACTCAGCAAAGACCACCGACAGATGTGGATGTGTGGAAAACTACGAAAAACTGAGAAAGGACAGCCGCAATTAGAATATCGGTATGGTGGCACTTTGGACTTCGGATCTTTTTATGCTGCCAACGGCTTCTGGGATTATCGGAGCAAGCATTTTGTGACCACGGGTTGGATTTTTGAGGAAGATCTGCCTCAATCTTTAGTCGAACAGCAAGGCTGGAGTGGTTGTTTGTCAATCCCTCGTAACATTGTGTTGAAGACATGGTGTGGTGTGGTTGGAGCGTTGAAGTCCGACCTATCTTCTTTGACCTGCTTTGATGTCAAGCTGGAAGAGGACGGAACTCATACCCTGCATACTGTGAGCGCCCTACCAGACTCTCGTTTGAGAATGTTGCGGAGCTCCAAGATCTTAGACGGCCAATCTGACATCTGGAGGTACCCCTTTTACAACCCCTGTTCGAAGTGGGAGCTTCAAATCGAGTTCGATGTTGAAGAAGGTGTCCATTATCTGGGCTTTGATATCGTCCACTCTGTAGACGGTGCTCAGTATACCCGGGTATATTTCGAACCTGGATCGGAAACACTCTTTGTGGATCGCTCCAAGTCGACAACCGTTAAAGGCATCAATGTCAAGACAAGGAGCGCACCACATACATTATTCACATTTCGGCAAGGTATGACCACACGGCGCGAAACCTTGAATCTCCATGTGTATTTCGACGCCAGTGTTCTTGAGGTATTTGCGAATGAACGGACGGCTCTCACGACCAGAGTCTACCCTGATGTGCCAGCTAGATTGGGAACGTGTCAAGGCGTTCGTCTATTTGTTGAAGCTGAAAACGAATGTGCATCGGGACAACAGCAAGGAGTGGACTTCAAGTCCTGCATGCGACATTGCGAATTGTGGGCATTACAAAGTGCGATATCATATCCTTCTGGATGAACACTTCGTACAATTTGGACGTTGAGGGCGTGAGATCTGCGGATAATATCTCATCAACTGGGTAATAGTCCAGGAGAGCTCCATATGTTCGAGCCGATGATTTTGTAGCCATAGCCTAGTTCTGACCGTTAGAAGAACCAAGGAGATTTGGTTTATTCACTACTAGGTATTCTTGTGCAACTCAAATAGGCTAATTTTGACTCATTCAACCACCATTTCTAGTATCTCTAGGACATCAGATTTCTCTGTGATTGGTTTTGCATTTGTCTGGATCCAATGATCCTTAAGACTGTTCTCGGCCAAAACATCCAATTTGTCCCTTCCGACCCCCACGTCCTTCAAAGACCTGGGCATCCCGATCTCTCTAAATATTAGATCGAGAATATCGCCCAGATCGAGCTTCTCGACCGCAGCATCATAATCACCATGCTTCGCCTTCACCAACTCCCTAACGACCGATGACTGCAACAGGACTTTTCGCGTATAAGCTTGTCTGTCATTATTGGCGCCAACCTTAGCATTCCATTTACACACCGCTGGCAACATGATACAGCTGGTTTCACCATGTCCGACACCCAACGGGCCAAGCTGATGTCCAATAGCATGGCTCGCGCCGAGCGGCACACCACTCCCGACGGCACTCATGGCGAGAATGACGCCCCTCTGTGTCTCAAACCGCGCGGCCAGATCCGCCGGGTCGCGATGGGTCTGGATCAGGGCGGGGACGAGCCTCAACAGGCCCTTCTCGGACTCGGAATCGCCCTTCTCGTTCGACAGCAGACTACACAGCGTCTCGACGCAGTGGTCAACGGCCCTGACCCCCGTACTCAGCCAGATGCGCTCGGGCGTCGTGGTGGTCAACTCCGGGTCCAGCACCACAAGACTCGGGTTGCGCGTCGGCGGCTCAAACAGGCATTTGCGATTACTGCCGTCGTCACGCGTGACGCCCGCGATGCTCTGATACTCGCCGCCAGACAGCGATGTCGGGATCGCAACGTGGCGGACGACGGGGTCTTTGATGCCCGCGGCCTCGCGATTCTCAGCTTTGACCTCGACGAGTCGCTCCAGCCCGGCGGCATCCGTGATCCCGTTGGCGAGCATCCACGCAATGACTTTCGCCGCGTCCGTCAGCGAGCCCGCGCCCAGCGTCACAATGACGTCCGGGTTCTTGGGCGCGGCGTCCTTGGCGATGGCGACGACTTCGTCCCAATGCGTGTGCGGCGTCATGCCGACCCGGAGGCCGACGACCTTGTCGCCCAGGGCCTTTTCGAGCCGTTTGAGTGCGTTTGTGTTTTTGGACAGCGATGCCGATGCGATTATGTAGACCCGAGAGCCATTCAGCGTTGCCTCGATGTGGTGCGCCGTTGCTTCGTCGTAGCGCAGGCCCCATGTTATGTAGGGGATGGTGCGGTCGTCGAATGCTGGCTCCAGGTGGTCGATGCCGTATCTAAATGTCATTTTGTCCTATATTTCTTGGACCGGGATTGTGTAGGATCCTACTGACTGGCCAATTGAGAGTGATCTTGTCTCTGCAGGATTTGAAGTTGAGGGTAACAAATACCGCCTGCACTAAAACTTGAAACGTTCAATGAAGAATGTGTCACTACTTACTGCAGGAGGACAATGAGAGCATTGAGAGATCTGAACTCAGGAAGTAGGGACATCACATATATATTATATGCGCTCGTGCTGCGGGGCTTCCAAGGTCAAGTCGGTTGGATCAGAGCATAAGTGGCACAAATCTTCAGGGTTGGAGTCAAAGTTGGAGACCCAGTTGGTAGGGAAATCCAGATACACGAGGCTGCGGAGAACCGGAGAATTGGTCACAGGTGAGATTATCCAATGGGAACGTACACCAGGATGCGGCTCAGTGGAAGTTGCATTCTGTTCAATATTGTCATGGATGTTTCTAGAAGGGTATCACATCTTGCGATGCACGGGCCATATTTCCAGGGACCGAGAACGGGTTTGTAGAAAGGGAAAGATGGGCTGCTTTAATGGAAACCGTCGGCATGAAATAAGTTCCTTCAAAGAGAGTTCGGAGGCTGGGTGTACGAATGAATCAAAACGATGGGTTTCGCTCAGTGTAGTACTTCGACACACCCCCGGCACTGAGGTCGGCAGTCCATCAGTTCCAACTTGAGGCCGCTATGAAGTTCGAGGTTTGTTGACTGCACTGGAAGCCTGGCATGCAGAAGATTTATCGTAAAGTGGCACAGAAATGTACAGCATAGCACAGCAGTCCAACAATGGTTGCCCCTGAACGCACATGAAAATCGAAAAGAACAACAAGCCGGGGAGCACTGAAGAAGATATTGATTTTTGTTCATTGGTATCAGGAATGAATCATTTGTTTGACAATCTCCAAAGAAAGGTTTGAAGATTCTTTTTCTTCAGGCTCGAAAAAGTCCGCATGAGTCTTAGCATGCCCTCGCTCGTCCCGGACCGATCATCTCAAGCACTTTTTGAATTGGTTTGTGTGTCAATGGGTGGGATTCATCATTCCGCATATAGCAACTGTGTCTGGCTGCAAGGGAGATACGTGACAAGAATTTTCTGAAGTTGAGAGAGACGCTTAGTCGAACAGACCGAATCCCATGTCGTCGTCGGACTCTTCCTTCTCTGTGCGGGGGATTAGTATTTGGGTTATGGTTCAACGCAAGAGTCGAGACATACCCTCTTCCTTCTCTTCGGGCTTGGCTTCCTCAACGGCAGCACCACCGGCAGCAGGGGCGGCGCCACCAGCGGCGGGAGCAGCGGCACCACCTCCTGAACCGACGTTCAGAAGAAGGTCCTTAACATCCTTGCCTTCGAGGGCCTTTGCGAAAAGAGTAGCCCAGATGGGTTCGATATCAGCGACACCAGCGGCCTTGATCAGGGTGTTGAGCTTATCGGCCTAGAGAGCACACATTGTATGTCAGTTGCGTTCATCCTCTTTCCGTAGTCCACCTCGACCAAGCCAAACGGAGGAACATCGAATTTTGGGGAGATTCGCATACAGTGATCTCGATGCCATCATCGGCAAGGATGAGAGCGGCGTAAGAAGCGGCAAGCTCGGAGTTGGACATCTTGACGGTCGTTTGGGAGTTAGACGACTGGTCTGTGTTAGAGGGATGAAGTTGTTGGTTGTCGAGGGAAAGACGAAAAGACAAGCGCAGTCAACTCTGGTGCACTTTGATAAGTCGAATTTGGTTGTGTGAGTGGGAGTGCTGCCAAGTTTTCTAGATCACGTGCTTGAACTAAACTCTTGGCGAGGATGACTCAGTTCCAGCCTTATCCCCAACTCGCAAGGCTGCGATATCGTCATTCGTCATCCTGACTCTAATGTGGGGGTAGCGATTTGGTAGACCAGCCGTAGCAGATTACATAGCTAGTCAAGGGATCGTGCGCTTGGGATCGACAATGTGCGCTCTGTCATAAGACTGCTGTCTGCCTAACTTGACTCTGGTACGACTGAGCAGGAGTATTATTTCACTCTGGGATAAGGCTCCTAACCATGCCAGTCGATGATGAGAGAATGCAATCCCTCCAGGCACTCCGATCCCAGTTCTCCCAGGCACTCAAAGACTTCGCCTCGTCTTCATCATCATTCCGTATTCTGCGAAGCATACCTGGGACCCACGCACCATCCTCAGCACCTGTCTGCACACTCTTCGTGCTTGACTCAAGTTTCAATCCACCATCGAAAGCACATTCTAGTTTAGTCAAGTCTGCATTGTCATCGTCAACACTGACGCGACGCTCGAGCTCTGAGTCATCAGACTCACTAACGAGTCATGCACCACAGAGGGTATTGTTCCTCCTGGCCACGGTCAATGCGGACAAAAAGCCCAAGCCGGCAGATTTTGAAGACCGCTTGGTCATGATGACTCTGATGGCGGAAGACCTTCGAGGACGCTTGTCCAATCAAGACTCGTCACAAAAGTCACAGTCACAACAAGACCACCCCCCAGCGACGATACCAGTCATCGATATCGGAATCACGAAGGAGCCATATTTTACTGATAAAGCGACGAGCATTGCCCAAAGTAACATCTACACACCTTCCTCCCCGAACCCGGAGGACGATGTGGAACAAGTCCACATCACGGGCTTCGACACGCTGACCCGCATCTTCACGTCGAGATACTATCCGAACTCCGACCCGCCGCTGGCGGCACTCGAGCCGTTTTTGTCGCGCCACCGCATCCACGCCACCATCCGAGTCGAGTCGAGTTCCGCCAACGATGACGATCTAGAGGACGAATTCGGTACGGTCGAGAAGCAACAGGGCTATTTGGATAGGCTTGCGAAGGGTGGATTGGAGGGTGAGGGGCTGAAGCGCGAATGGGTCGACCAAGTTCAACTGGCCGTGGACGAGAGTGGAGAGGCGGATGGGGTTAGTTCGACGAGTGCGAGGGAATGTGTCCAGGGTGGGAAGATTGGGGAGCTGGGCCAGTATGTGTGTGAGGGTGTGAAGGAGTGGATAGTGGAGAGGGGGTTGTATAGAGATTGAATGTGCTCTCCATTTAATAAGATATGCTCAATCGTGAAAAACCCTTTTCTACGTTACTGATAGTCTTCACCACTCTAGCCTACTATGTAAGATATCAGTACCTTACAGTATGGTATTAACAGTAATAGCAAGGAAGGCCGTGGGGAATTTGGTTTATCGACTACATGGCAGTGCGGAATGACCATTTATCATTATATATTGGCTACAAACAATATACACATCAGAAGAAGCATGAATTCAATATACATATACGACCACTACTGGGTAAGAAGTATCATCGCCATCAAACCAGTCTCTCACAGTCCTTGAGGTCTTTTCTCACTCCGAGTCTCGTCTTTGAACGCCCACGGCTCGCTATCTCATATTCTATGATTGACCCAATCCAGTCAAGCCAGCACCGGGCTTACCACCACTGTTCGATTCAGAAATTGGCGCAGGGTCAGTGCGTTCTAGACCTTTCTTGCCCACATCGGGAGCATCAATCTGGTCGCTGACACCGCCATGACCACCACGGATGCTGTCACCGACGGAGTCTGCGCCGCTCGCACCAGGAGCCACGCTCTTCCTACCCATGGTAGTCTCATCGGAATGTGCAGGGCGGATGGGGGTGGTGCCATGGCTCGTATCATCGTGTTTCTTGCCGTCAGGAGTGAGGCCAAAGAGTGCGGAGTGCGAACCAGGTGCGCCTTCTCCAACCATCTTAGGGTGTCCTGAGGCAGGCCCGGTAAGGTTTGGATCTGGCCCTTGGTCGGGGGACTGGACGTCTTTCCGGTCTGGATGGGACCGGGTCGGGGACAGCTCATCGGTCTGTGTGTCATGGGAGTGGCTCGTATGGCTTGTGCTGTGTCCCAGACCCGTGGTGCCGGAGGTGGCAGTGGTATCTCTTCCTGAGCTCAAGTCACTGGTCCCAGTAGTCGATGTTCCTGTGGCTCCATGCGAGAGGCCAGTGTCGCCTGCTGAGCTCAAGCCACCTGTTCCAGTGGTTGTAGAGCCGGTGGTTCCGTGGGAGATTGTGCTGTCACCACCAGTTGTGGTTCGATCATGGAAGGAAGGAGGTGCATCACTCGTGGTTCCTGATAGTCCCGTAGATCCTGTAGAACCTGTATTTTCTGACAGTCCTGTAGCACCTGTAGTACCTGTAGTACCTGTGGTGCTTGTGGTGCCTGTAGTAGAGTGACCGAGAGTGCTGTCGGCAGTGGTGCCAGAGGGGGCATTGTGATGCCCTAGAGTACTATCGGTAGTAGCATCAGTCTCATGGGATTTGTTCTGAAAAAGGCATATCAGCATCGAAACAAACAAAGCAGCTAGAGGTCCAGTAGATGGTACTTTTCATAAGGCGGGGTTATGAAAGACTTACAGTGCCCAGTACATTGGCGACGGTGTTCTTGATGGCTTCCATAGCTGTATTTTGAGAAGTTCTTCTCTTTCAAAAGTACAGTATTTGCAATAAGTGGTCAAGCAAGAAGAATAGTGGGTTGTTTCTTAGGTGTCGAGAGGGAATGCAGATGAGATTTAATATACATCGATCAGAGCCAAAGCTTCATATTACCCCTCGAGTTTGGTTGATCTGCCCTCCGCTTAGTCGATGCTGAGAGCTGACCTGACGACATGGTGGTGCGTCATAGTGCATGTTCAAGGGAACAAACAGACCTCACCTGAGGCTGATCTTTCAGAGAGTAGCGATGAGATCCCGGGTTTCAAGGTTTTGGAGAATGGACAAAGTCAAGCATCATCGATGCGGGGCAAAGTAGACGGGATGATGAAAAGCTTGGATGGCCCAGGATCTGAGTGGCAGAGTTGGCCTGGGACTGGTCTGGATGACCATGACGAACCACTCGGATAGAATCTCTGTTCGATGGGCTTTTTCACACGACGCCAATCATGGCATTTCGGCAACTTTCGATGTGTTTGGGGATCCTGGATCTTGGGTGGTTCGTACTTTTACGTGTGGCTTGCCTGTGGGAGTGGTGCTTGCTGGATTCCACCTCGCAGAACTGGATCACGAAGAATTATGAAGTCATTGCAACGGTTGAACACGAGGCTTTGCCCGAATCTTGATCCACAACCGTGGTCAAGACCACCTTCTTGGAAATTGTCTTCAATTTCGGGGACAGTTTGCCATTGACATTCACTCAAGCTAGATCTTTTGCCCGTGCTACATATCTAAAATGCCTCTGTACCTCCGTGCACTCACTGGCAGGCAAGGGGACAAAAATCTCGTCAAAAGAAGTTGTGTACAAGAATTGAAGGTGGTTCATCCTCCAGGATCATGCCTATCTACTGCATGACATGTTCTCATCGTCTCATTCTCAAATCAGTGTTTCCATCCCGTTGGTGCAGCTTCCTTCGAGAGTGTCAAGAATCCGGAGCTCGCCACATTGAGGTTCTCCGGTTTTGTCCCATTATTCATTGGAAATGGGCCGGTGACCGCCGAAGAGGTAATCAAGCTAGAAGTGGACGTTGACGATGAAGCACGGGTGCTTGAACGAGACGGCTTCCTCGTCAACCCAGGAGGAGACTGACTCGACGAGGTTGAGCTTTCTTCCGGCTGGACCACTGCAACAGGTGGAGACGGCCTGACAGGTGGTCGTTCTCCAGTTGCGCTTGCCGTTACAGTGATGGTGCTCTTCTGCACTTCAGTGACAGTAACATAAGATATACTGCATGAGGCCACAGGCTCTTTGGTAATAGGCGTGACATAGACAGTCTGTGTAGTCGTGGAAACAATGGTCACAGTCGTCGCTGAATCGCCTTTCGAAATTACGTTGGTCGGAACAGCTATGTTGCCGACTGGTGCCCCTGGGCCATCTGGTCTCCCAGTTGGTGATGGGCGTGTGATAGTGGCAAAGATAGTGCTCGTTTCGGTGAAGGTCTTGGTCAATCGGATTGTTGTTGTTATCAGCGAAGCCGTTGGGCCGGAGCCGATGGTCATGGTCGCAACCGATTCCACAACCGTAATACTTACCATAGAGGCGGCACTCGACGTCTGCCCGTTGAGTTGGTTCGTGCTGGGTTTCCGGATAATCGTCGGACTGGTTACTGGCTCAACAATCGAGCTTTGCATATCTGTGGGCTTGAAAGTACTCAGGGCCCCCTTTGTATCATCTGTCGTTTTAGTGATTTCGCGATTAGTCGTGGTTCTGGAGGAACCAGCACCATCGATATTCGTGTGGACTCGCCGAGTGGTTGAAGATTCCCAATCTTGCCAAGTCATGTCAACCTCCGAAGTAATTGATGAGGTAGTTACACCATCTACAACTGCCTTCGTCGTACTAGTGGCTGAAGATGACTCCATGGGCTTCGTCCCTCTGTGCCTGGTGGTGGTGGTAGTGCTTGTGGTGGTTGAAGACGTGGCCGCATCAACCATCGTTTCGCTGCTCGTGGTACTTGAAGTCGAGCTAGACGTTGATGTCGACGTTGTTTTTTCAGCCACGTTTTTGTTGGTCGTGACTGACGACAAAGTGGTCTCATACGCGCCCGTGGTGGTCGTGGTCGTGGTCGATGTGGTATCCTTGGCCATGTCTTTTATCGTCGTTGTCGTCGTTGTCGTCGTTGTCGTAGCTGAAATTGAAGTTGTAGCTGAAGAAGTTACATCAGCGACATTCTTAGTAGTGGTGGTGGTGGTGGTTGAGGTGGTAGCAGTCTCGGTAGTCTCTGCACCAGCGCTCGTTGTAGAAGTGGTTTCACCAGCCACATCCCTCGTAGTCGTTGTTGAAGTGGTGGTTGAAGATGTCTCTTCAGCAACGGATTTAGAGGTTGTAGCTGTAGTGGGAGAAGTCGCAGCACCCGCAGTTCTCGATGAAGAAGAAGTCCAGTCCAACCATTTCGATTCGGAACTTGAGGGAGCAACCACCTCCACAACGGCTGGAGGTGTAGTTGTGGCAGTAGAAGCGGGCTTTTCTTCAATGGACGTACTGCTGGTGCTGGTGCTGGTGGTGGTGGTGGGTGGTGCAGGTCCTTCAACCACGGGCACAGCAATACTGGTAGTCGTGGAGAGTATAGCTGGATCGACAACAGGCAATGGAGCAGGTTCACCAGATGGTTGGCCGACAACCGCATTGTTAGGTGGGTTCACAACCGCAACAGGAGGGTCGCTAACGGCGGCAGCTTGCGTAGAAGTTGTCAATGTATCCGGTAAGACAGCTGGGGGTGGGTTGGGTCCACCTTGACCATTTGTATCATTTCCCAACTCACGACGATACAAGTGTGCATCTGGGCGAGCCTGCGCCAAGGTTAAGGAAGCGACCACGAAAGCCACAGTTCTGAAATGCATGATTCCTGGTATGATTGGGAGAGACAGTTTTCTGATGTAAGCAACTTGTCTTTGCGCAAGGTTTCTTCAGCTCGTCCTGACGGCTTTGAGATATGTCTGGCGGAATCAACCCGCCTAGTGGAAAAAACGAATGAATGCGTCTACAAAGAGAGCGCCTGGTTTCAAAGTATATGCAAAGAAATGAATGACTGGCGTCTCTAGGACGTCTGATACGAAAGGAAAAAGAGCGACGGCGAGGTTGAAGAACTCGAAACAAAAAGCAGAACGGTCAAGGAAAGAGTAGAAGAAAAGGAAACAGTGCACGCGAGACGTATGCCATAGCGAGCACGTTTGGGCTCTTGGTGAGGCATCATAGGAAATTGTAGGGTGGTCGGATGGGTGTACTCACCACTCGACATCCTGACTTGAGCAGGGTGTGTGTGGTGGGAATCCGATCCAGGATGAAACAGATCTCCATGGACGATATAAAGCTCTGGAATGATGATTGGGATGAAAGGGGTGGGACATTGTCGCACGAGTGACGAGGAAACAGGAAATCCAGGGGATGAATCTGAGAAGTGGGATGGTGGAGTCGGAGAAAATGATGGATGTGGTTGACATGATTCGTGGACTCGGCTAACTTTCCAAGAGGCCCAGGCGCCGGGCTCGATCTCTAAACCAACTAGAGCCGGCCACTAACCGTAGATAGCTTAGTATTCTTGCTAATGACCAGGGCCTCAAACACTTGCATATGGATAAACAAATCCGCCGATCTGATCTGAGAAGCTATCGTCCTTATCGTCAAGTTCCCAACCTTGATATAACGCAGCATGGTACATCCAGGCGCTGGTATTAATGAGAGAATAGGGCTTGACATCCGCTCGGAAGCTTCCTTGGCGGACTGGAACCTCGACTATAGATTACCGAGTTCCACTACTGGGTGAGGTTGATCTGGATACGATGTTCGACTAGATCAGCGAACTTACCACATCCGATAATCTTAAAAGGTTGGTTGGTTGAAGAGAGTGCATTTTAGTGATTTTATCAACTTCGTTATTCGTCGACGGCTTCATAAATCGACGCACTCCATGCTAGGCGACTCTTGTCCTACTAGCTCTTGAGTGAGGCCGATATCGAAGCCTGGCACCGCAGACTGGTAGTCATGAAGTCACTTGAGCGACCGGACTCGGAGACTTGGGACCAGAAATACAGCCCTCCCATACCTAGATTGCAGCAGCCTACGAGGTTTTTCTTTTTTGGAAACATGCTCCCTTCGGCAAGGTGCACAAAGAACGAAAGCGCTGGGTGTTGACGGATATCTCTCCCACCAATAGCTTCCAGGCTTGCTCGGAGTCCGGGGTTCATTAGGCCACCACATGTGTATATCAACGGGCTTTGTGCCCCTCCCCTTCATTCAAGCCATCGAGTATCAGGGTCGATCGACCATATTCCGCAAATCCATGTGCGTGCATGCGAAGACTTTTCGGCAAAACAAGACACGCTACGACCCCAATCTATACAAGGCTGCGGTTGTTATACTTTGATCCTGTAGTGTTGCTCATGAAAATCATCGTCGTTGGTGCAAACGGCTGCGTTGGCTGTGAAGTCCTTGCGCAATGTCGCAGCCACGCCTCTATCGATTCAATTGTAGTCCTCACACGTCGGCCTCTGTTGCCAGAGATCCAAAGCGATCCTAAAGTCACGTCGGTGGTGATAGACAACTTCGTGAAGTACTCAGATGAAGCAAAAGCGAAATTGGAAGGCGCGACTGCCGCGATTTGGTAGGATGTACCCTATTGGCGCAGACTTTGAGCGACGGGCTTACAGCCGTCCACATTGCCAGGGCACTTCGAGCTAACTCCCATGAGGGTCGAGCTTGACTACCCCATCGCTTTTGCGCGCACCATGCGAGCCTTGCGCCTTTCAGCAACTGACCCGTTCCGATACATGCACCTTAGCGGGAGACTGGCTGAAAAGGACCAGACTAAGCACCTGTGGTTTCTCCAAGACGCCCGGCACGTGAAGGTTTGCTGGTACTCCATCGTGCACGAGAGTGAACTAACAGCAGTTCAGGGGCTAGCCGAGATCAAATTGATGGAGTTCACCTCTCGGGACGCGCAGGTCGGTTTCTGGGAGACATATATCGCCAGACCGTCCATGATTGTACCTAATCCTCCAGGAGCGTTCAACAACTTGGCTGGATGGGCAGTGGGTGCCATCAGGGTTGATCAACTGGCCAAAGTAATGATCGAAATTGTACAAGAGGGCAGTGAACGCGAGGTATTTGAGAATGCAGAGCTGATCCAGCATGCAAAGAAGATGAACCCATCAACAGGATAGAGTCCTTACCGTCAACATGCGTGAGATTCATGGACGAGCAAAGTCAAAGCCTGGAGTCCAGCTGGCAGTGAGGAAAACTCAAAAGTATACAACAATTACACTTCACGCTCGCAATTCCGCGCCCCGCTTTCTCTTCAATATCGCTTCAGAATGGAAGAACAAGGCTGCGTGGAACAGGGGTAAAGGCTCTGATTTTCAGATCAGCTACACACCTTTCCCTGCCTTAGAACCAGATTATGTCAACGTGAGTAATCGCGCAGTCGCCATCACCACCATCGACTGGAAAGTTCCAGACAGTGGACAGTGGATTAGCTAGTGGCCAACAATTTTGGGGCACTATGTTAGGGGGGCGGGGGAGGTATACGATGTTAGAAGCCAAGTTACGACAATCCAGAAAGGGCAAAGAGTTCTAGCTAGGATATTGTCTGCCGTTGCTGAACCAGGAAATGAACGAGTGTGCTTTCAAGATTATGTTGCCTTATTCCAGGCGATTTGACTTTGCCATTCCTGTATCCGTGTTTTGCTATTTGAAACCAAGCCAAAAATGTCAGCCCCACGAAGTCCTCGATCATGTTGCCGGTTTCATTGTGGGCAATGATGGTTCTTCGAGGAGATGGCCGACTAGTAAGGGTCATTCAGGACGAGTTCCTCAATTCAAGTTCAGAAGGGGTTCTGACAGATCCGGACCTTTAGGACCTATGCTTTTTCGTCCACGCTATTGTTGGCTATGGGACAATTTTTGCAGCTCCAGACCCGAGTGAATGGAGAGTTGCGTCAGTCGTCTAACACTTCTCACCTTATCTTCAATGTTGGCTCGATTGTGGGCTTTCTTAATCAATGCACAACTTTACAGAAGAGTTGAGTGGTCGTGACAGGAACCCCGCCAGCGGCAGGGTTTAGCTTCAAGCCTCCCCGATGGTTGAAACACGACGAAGTGGTCGAGATAAGCACTGAAAAGCTCGGCTCGACTCGTAGCAAATTTTTTTACCCACAAGGTAATGAAGCAATTAGTCGTACATTGGTTTAATTGTCAATGGCGATCCATTGCATCAACAGGTCAACACCCAGTATGAAAGCCTCCGAACCCGAGTACCGTTAGATCTATGCTTTCTCTCATATCTCAAGTGCGAGGATAAGGAGGATAAGAATTCGAGGTTATTGAACAAGGAGATGACTCGTTGAGGTATATTACACTGATGCTCGGCAGCAATCATATTTGTAGTGTCTAATAAGTTGTCACTGCAAAGCTAGCACTGATGTGGCTCACCCTCGTCTGCAATGCATTAGCACATCATATCAGGGGATCGTTTTTGGAAAGACGCTTACTTTTTATCATCTTACCCACGGCCAATATCAGGCTCACGCTCATAACAGCAAAGCCAAAAATAATACAAACAACTGCAGGGATAGTCCTCCAGCTTCTCGTGCTCAACTTGATGTAGCAGAGTGGCGGTAAAATATAGGCAAGCGCACAAGCACTGGTCGCGCCTATCAACTCGAATACCGCCCCCAAATCACATGTCAGAAGGCTGACACCCATGGCACTGACGACCAAAGCACTGCTGAAGATCAAATGTCGATTCGGTTGATAAGGCTCTTCTGGAAACCAGTAATTGTTCATAACTTCTCTGCAAACGAAACATTCCAGGGGAAGAGTTGTTAACATATTAAGTCCGAAGCAAAGTCGAGCAAGTTGAACTAGAAGGTGTCCCTGGGAAGGAAAATTGTTGAGCACATTGCCTTTCGTTCTATCTCCGAATGTCAGAAATCCGGCATATGCTAAGATTAGACATGCGATAAGAGAGATGAAGGTGCTGTAGTGTGTGACAGTTGAGAAGCGATCCAGGGTAGGCGTCTTCAGAGAGCCATAAATCAATAAAGAATTATGATGACAGACGAAAGCTACCATAGTTAGCGACACTGACACGTTTCTCAATCGACGCTGAATTTACCAAATGAGATAACCCCAACAGCTTGAAAGAAGCCGTCATTGACGAAAAGAAGTCCCTTGACACTTCCCCGAAGATCTGGATCGACGACTGCGCCTTGGGTGACAACTGTCACAATAATGATGAACATGCTGATCAATGCTAGAGTCGATGCTTTGGCTAGCTATCAAGAGAAGTAAGAATGATGACCACTTGAAACGTGATGAATTATTTACCTTCGCAATATCACGATAGAGACTCAGCGGCCAACTGATGCCCAATATAAACAACACAATAACGGCTCTCCGATCAGTCAAAAGCCATAGAAACGGAACATTCACAAGGCCCGGGAAAAGCGCCTCAATGACATGCGGAATGGTGTCTCCGACAATGATACAGAATGCGATCATGCCGCCGAAAGCAAACGCCCATTGCGCTACCGAGATGGCTATCAGGCCACTTTTGCCAAAGCAATGTTGCATAGTCGCCTGGAACGAATCTGCACCGGACAATTTACTGTTAATTACGATCAATCGGATTGTCCAATCGACGGTAATTGTCAGCACAACAAGGAGTATCGTGCCCATGGTCAGACCGGCCTGCCTAAAAGCATATGGTTGGCCAATTATGCCGGCGCCGATAATGGAATTCGCCATGTTCATGAAGGCACTTTGCATCCCACTCTTTGGTCGCGCATCTGGCAAGTATTCTTCGGGCTGGAAGGAATCCGAGAGGAACGGTGACTCCGCTGGAGGTGTAATATCCGTGAGAAGGGGCACATCTTGTCTAGGAGAGTTGAGGTAGTCTTCATCGTCTATCCATTCTTCTCTGACTTGCCCGTTCCCATTAGCATTGTCATCCAGTTCAAAGCGAACTCGCTGGTTTGTTCGTGGAGTGCCATTGGTTCTAGAGTGTGAGAGAGAAGAATGTCTCTGTGCTGAAGGTCGGGTGGGATCGAGATCGGCGGTGGAAGAGTCTCGGGTTAACACAGGGGTCTGGTCATTCGATGAGGGTAGTAGACCATCCTGCTCGTGGCTATCGCCATGGAACTCGTCGTCGACAGATACATCAATGTCTTCGTCATCTTTGGTCATCGCGTATGACTTGCATCTCGTCTGTGTGGAGAGCGGCGAAGAAGGATTGAGTCGCACTGTAGCAGTTACCCCCTTGGAGTGAGATGCACGTGAAAAATGCTGTCTGGAAATAGATTTTACGGCAAAGCAGATGACTTTAAGTGTAACAGAAAGTATTTCGCTACATGGTGTAAAATCCACCGTATTATTTTCTTAACGGGCAGTCCGCCAACACCTGGCATCAGATCTCTAAAGGCTGCTCGTATGGAGATCGCATTCTAGATTGGGATTGTGGGAATTCTAATCTGTGTACTCCAGGTCATACGCTAGAGTGTCTGTGCACAAGTCCTCGCGCCATTTTGAGACCCTACGATACATGTCAGCATTTACTCGGTTGTTGCCGTCGTCGACTCTAAAAGAGGACAACAACAGCATGATGAATTGTGGAGAGGATTGACCTACTCAAGATGTGCTGGATGTTGAGCATATACTTTGACATCGTCCGCTTTTTCGAGTATTGAGACCAACGCCATGTCGTAGCCCTGACCTCTATGGGCCGTCGAGGGCAGAGGTTTGTTGATTTCCAGCTTCGACAAGCCTGGAATCTGGCCGACTAGGGCTTTGGCATCCTTTGTCCACGTTGACAGCTGGTCTTCCGTTACTCCGGGTTTCAGTTTAAACAACACTGAGAGTGGAAAGTCAGACTTGTGCCACATGAAATTGCTTATCTTCTCCTCGATTCCTCACCCAAGGGGCATAACTCAGACACTTACCAATGTGGTAAACAGGCATGATGGCGTGTTGAGGCAACGATTTTGAGAAAGAACACCGCACTTGTTTCAATGATTTGCTTTTGCTGGTTTAGAGATTGGAGTCGTATATCTAGGTGGGATGACTCCGATCAAGACGATTTTGTTGATAAGTACACAACACATGTGGAATTATCTAGCCCCGCGTCAAATTTCTCCGCACGGCATGAACTAAACGCCATAGTCTCGTTCATCCCACGAAGTGAAGACAATCCTTCTCACGCCTGAAAATGCGAGCTCCCACGCCTCCTGACTTCCACCTGGACACCTTCGAGCGAACCAGGGTGCAGTCAATTTCGTACAAAAATCGATGGATACGAAGCGGCTCAAGTCCATCCGCAGTCCTTCAGAGTCTAGGACTCATTATGGGGGAGCCGTTGGGATATCTTTCTTTGTTTCGGGCGTGGAAAGTGTGCTGCCATTCACTGAGGCAGAATTGCATTGTCCTTAATTCCAGGTGGACAACACTTTCTATCGCTGTTGCACTTGGGAGTTTCGGTAGGCTATCATATCTGTATCATGATAAAGCCTTCCCCAGACTCCGCTGTCTCGCAATGGAGAACGAGCCAACCGAGCAAAACCTCTGCCTGGTGAGATCTCTCAGAGAATAGGGATACTTTATGATATGTAAACATCCACCCGATGCACATGATTCCTCCGACCCGATAGTGGCTGTTGATTGCCGATCCTATCTTTCGCTCTCGCTACCAAGTGGTGTTTTCCCTTTCCTTCGAGCAACACTTTAGCGCGGAACAATTGCCACTCATAGGATGTGCGTGGTTCAAGGTGAACATCAGCCGGAGATATCCATGAGTGGCCATCATCGACACTAATGTCAACGCACTTGATTTCCTCGCAGCCCCATGCTCTGCCCCAAATCTCAACTTCTCGATCAGGGAGAACTTCTCCAGGCTTCGGGCGCACAATCATTGAGTTAGGTTCAACCATCCACACTGGTCTCATCCTCGACCTAGAAGGGTCATTCGGGTCGATCTCATTATAGAATTTAGTGGTGAAAGGGCCCGTGGCTCGACCATCTTGCAGGGTCAAGTGACACAACCACTTTGTAGAGTTGGTTCCGAACCATCCAGGGACCACTAACCGTACTGGACCGCCACGATTCTTATCCAGAGGCCTACCATTTATCTCGTATGCAATCAGATTTTCTGGCTGCATGGCTTTCTGCATGGTAATGTCCTTTTCAAAGTATTTTGCTGTAACATTAGCGAAAGAGCCCCATTCGAGGCCTTGCGACCAAACGTATCTTGCGCCTGTCTTCGGGTTAGCGAGCCGGATCAAGTCGGCTAGTCTGACACCAGTCCATTGCACATTGCCTACTCTCCACAGTGCTTTGTCAGGGGGCAGTACGGGACTGCCATAGCATTCATGAAAGGCTGTAATTGTGGTTTTTGGCATGCTTTTCAGCTCTGCAAAGGAAATCGAGAATGGCGAGTCAACCATTCCATCTAACAAGAGCCTCCATGTCTCCTCGGCCACCACTGCTGCCCCCATATGAATTGTCTGGAAAAGCTGCGAGTCATCAGTGATCTCTTGATCCAGTTCATGAGGCTTAGGTGGTTGGCGGATATAAAATCCGCGTGGCTCGATGGCTTTGAGTGCGTCTCTGCACGAGATATCCTGACCCTCCTCAATGAATGTTACGTGTCGTGCATAGTCTCTATCAATTGCCGCCATTGCCAGACTTCGTTGCTCCATAACAAATGCTGACGAGAGATGGGTGTGACATTTGCCTCTAATCCCTTCTTCGCCCCAGGTTGTTGATGATCAGGCCCGCTAAGCTGTACACTGAAGAATAGGACGCGCAATTCCAGTGACGAATACGAAGCTTACACTAGGGCAGACGGAGAAGTAGAAAATAAGCTCACCTACACGGAGCCGAGGTGGATTCCGGTGTTTGCGGAGCCGCAATACAGCCTCGGCCAAAGATGCATGTGAGTTCATGCCATCATTCACTAGTCAGGAGACAGTTGCCTAGCTCGTATATCGAAGTCACATCACAGGAACTCGACAACTATTGAGAAGTATCGTTGCAAAGGGCGACCAGTCCCATTCTACAAAACATCAACAAGTTGACGAGGTCCCATACACAAGCCTATGTCGTAGAATCCTTACTTTACGTGGACATGGCCAAACCAAAGCTTAAATTGTACTACGATCTGCATAGCCCATACTCCTACTTAGCCTTCTGGTTGATCAGAGTAAGTCCCTGCTCCCAATGGCACCATCAAATAATCATTTCGAACGTCAATCCTTCTCCACTAGAACTCGACAATTTTCAGGTCGTGCGAAATAACATACGTACCCGTTCTTCTCGTGGCATTCATCCGAGCGACAGGCTTGAAGCCGCCATGGGATAGTCCCAGTGAGCAATGATTTCTATCACATAGCCGCCGAAGAGACCGCTAAACAAGACGATGCGACTTCAGACAAAGTATCGTGGATGGCGACGGACCTCCGCCGTTCGGCCAATATCTTCAATCTCCCTTGGGCATCAGGCTGGCCCGACAACTATCCATTCAAAGCGACGACACTGAAGGTGAGCATATCTGGGATTTGAACCAATGTCCAAGTGCCTCCAGCGACTACACTGCTGATCTCCCTTGCTCGTGACCACCTCTAGAGGTCCTCAACTAATGGTCCCGTTTTCCCTCACAGGTCCAACGAGTTCTAACAGCAATTGAAATCGACCATCCCAATCACTATCCTGAAGTCATTAGCGCACTGTACCACGCCTTTTGGGTAGAAAAGAAAGGCGTGCAGCTGCCAGAAGTCCATTATCCGATCATAGCATGCATTCTAGGGGAGGAGAGTGCCACAAAGATCCTGGAGCGCGTAAGTTTTCCTCGCTTAAAATGTTGCTCTCACTACGTAATCGATGCCTCGTGGTCTGACTCACGAGTCGTGACACAGAGCTCATCCGATGAAATAAAAGCACTACTCAAGCAAAATACCGAACACGCTATTGCGAGCGGGTGTCCAGGCCTGCCGTGGGTTATGGTGACCAACACTGATGGAAAGGATGAAGGATATTTTGGCTTCGATCACCTGAGCCAGGTCGCGCATTTTCTTGGACTTGGTATGTCGATCGGTCCCAATCTGTGAATTGGGCAGTCTGTCAAGCCGCCAATGAATATGAGACGCATGTAACGAATGAGAAACAAACGTCAGCTGCGACGTGAAGAAATGGGGTTGCCAGCCCTTGAAAACAGAGCCTTTCACTCTCCGGCAATATGAAGAATCAATAATTGAAGCGCATGAATGGTACCAAGTGGCAGCCAAACTCAATTGACACTAAGAACCCCACAAATGCTATGTATGTTGATGGTACTTGAACAAGAGCACGAAAAAGATCATTCATCCTTTGGCTATAAACACAAAATTTCATCGGAGAGGCGTGATATTCAGCCAACCCGGCCCTACAGCTTCGCATTGAGTTCGCCATCCTTAGCTGCTAATTCCCTTAGCTGCCTTCTCAAAATCTTACCAGACTGTGCCAATCATCAGTGTTTGTCTGAAAACCGGCCTGAAAATCGTTCGCACTTACTGGGTTCTTGGGGATGGCATCAATGAACACACATCCTCCCGTCAGATGTTTAGTCTTGGACACGCGAGAACTGACAAATGAGACCACATCGGCCTCGGAGATGGACCTCGAGCCAGGCTTGCGTGGCGCAAGTACGACATATGCCCGGGGGTTCTCGTCTCCCGTGGGCCTGCATTTAATTAGCAGAAGGATACCAGCATGAGACAAGGATGAGACTACGTTTTGATCCCAATGACAGCTGCATCGACAATTTGAGGATGCTCAAGAAGCAGAGCCTCAAGCTCCGCTGGAGCAACTTGTGAACCACGCACTTTTATCAGTTCCTGTCGGACATCAGTGACCAGGCCTTGCAACCACCGTTAAAATGTGCCGAACAACCCACCTTGATCCGATCAACCATGTACCACCTGTTAAACTCATCACGGTAGGCAACGTCACCCGTTCTCAGCCACCCGTCGCTCGTCAATGTCTCGTCCGTGGCCTCACGATTCTTCCAATAACCCTTCATGCCGTTCGGGGTGCGAATCCAAAACTCACCACGTTCACCTACTCTTATCTCTTCGGTTCCGTCCTCTCTCATGAGCTTAGCCTCTGCTCCAGGTACTAGTTCACCGATCGACACTGAGGAATCCTTAATCCTAGAACGCTCATCCCAGCACAAAGTAATAGCAGGGGCTCTGGTGACATGGTCAGTAATCACATCATCCAATGTCAGGACAAACTCTCCATGGGCAACTAACTCCGACATGCCCCATGCCTGTCGCACAAGTATTTTCCTGTTCCATAATTCTTCGAACTGCGTGGTGACCTCCATGCCAATGGGAGCAGCTCCCGCAACCACTTTCGTGACACTGGTGATGTTGTAAGTCCCGTCTCGGACGGACGGATGCTTCGCCATCGCAACGAGAATCGGCGGCACCAACACTAGCTCGGTGATTTCAAATTGCTGGATATGATCTAGCATATCCGTCAAATTGTATCTTTCCATCAGATACGTCTTCAACCCGAATCTTGGTGCGAAAAAGATGTAATAGCCCAAGCCCAGAGCATGATACAGAGGAACAACACAGAGACATTTCCGGCTCTTGATGGTCTTATCTGAAAGCTGAATTTTCTCTAGCTGCAGCATGTTGGCGATGATGTTTCTGTGCGAAAGTTCGACCCCTTTCGGAAGCCCGGTGGTGCCAGATGAATAGATCAGGACCGCGGTCTGCTCAGCAAGAGCTCTGCTGTCGAAAGTCTGCCACGCGAATTGGCGACCAACATCCAGATCGGCGATAAGCGAGCCCCAGTGCTGCCTGTCAGTGCGGGAGAGGTTCACATCAAGCTGGATCGGCAGCTCAGTGAACAAGAAAATGTTCTTCTTGTCATATCCAATCTCATCTGCCGCTTCCAGTGCTCTTTCTATGCAGTTATCGGCAGCTAGGACAAAGCGAGGCTGTGAGTCCTGTAGCTGATGGCGTAGCTCGCGCGGCGTATATGCTGGATTTGCGCTGTTGTAGATTGCTCCAGCCATCAGAGTGCCCAGGACAACTATCGGGTTAAATATCCCGTTGCCTGAAAAGAGCATTACACGGTCTCCTTTCTGTATACCGGCTTCGACTAAGCCCGCTGCGAATCTCTTAGACCATTCACGGTAGCTATACAAGGTCAAATAATGCGTTTCGGGACGTTTTGCATCGATGATGAGTTTCTCACTGTCGTTGATCTCGGATTCCGGGGTTCCGAACATAAACGATGGAAGAGAAACGTTTGGGACGGTCAGTGACCATCGTGATTTGAACGGCATTCTGGTAGTAAACCCTCAGACGATACACACTACCTGTAGCTTTCGTGCGGTAGAGGTCCAGTATCGCAAAGCATTCGCTGGCAACGCTTTAAAAAGTGTCCGACCAACAAACTGCGGCTGACCTTGAGTGAGTACCATCTGGTCTTATATCACTCGTGGTTAGAGCAATTCGTCCTTTTACTGACAAGCTAGGGCTCGGAAAATAGCGTTTCGCTGTTGTGGGGTGGTGGCGAGCGGACGCCTTAGAGCTGTCGGTCAACCCCCGGGTCACCAACCTCGGAGCCGCAGCATGTATCGTGTAACATACTCTTGACTCCAAAGTTACCACTCACGAAGCTTTCGAGGGGATGAACATCTTCAATGTGTCTTATGGTACTCCCAAGGTGGTTTGTGTTCTGCGAGATACCGAATGTGTAAGGATTTATTATAATCTGATTTACACTTTCAAGTCCAGTATTAGCCACACATATCATCAACTCTCAGATGGATTCTCGCGAGTCTTCGGATGACCAGCAGTCCATCAAAACATCACTATACTCGTGCATTAGCTTTTGTAATGCAGGCCTGGCAGTAAACACCCCTGAAACTGTAGATTCTAGTGCCAACAGGCATGTCAACAACGGCTTGATAGATGGAATCCAAACAGGCTGAGCATTTGGATTTGAGCCACCTGTTCGCGTTTGCTTCTTTGCGGGCTGCTTTGATAAGTTGTAATCAATCGTATGCTCAATGCCTTTGACTAGAGCCATCACGACGAGAGCCGTGTTCGCATGGTGTGAAACGAATTGTAGCTTTGCTTGGATGCTGTTGATGAGTTTGAATTCGCCGTTTGAGGAGACATCAACTATACGACGTGCTATGGCGAGGACGAAGGCGACCGCCGACTCTTGTAACGTATCTGCTTTGCAAAGCAATGCATGGCCAACATCCGGCCCCAGGAGATGAGCGGCATAATGTATCTGTTCAACAAGGCATAGATGACCTAGGTTCCAGAACAGCAATAAGAAGGCTGCAATTTGGGTTAGCCATTAGACTAGACATAAGAAAGATAAGTGCCCTCCACTCGCTTACCAGTAGCCAGCTTCGACTTGTTGGATAGTCTATAAAACATGACTATACACTGTTCTAGCCATGGCTGATATGTTGAATCGAAGCCTTCTGTAAGAATTATTGCAGATTCCACTCTAGTTTTGAGAATAGCACTGTCGATTTCAGGAGTAGCAGTAGCAATAAATTGTTTCAGGTGTGTCATTTGCCTCAACATATGAAATAGATCTCCAGCGGCATTCTGGCAATTGCTAGCGACACATTGTTCAAAGCTGGAAGGCTGCTGCCATTGTTCTGCAGTATCTACAGCACTTTGTTGGCTGATATCTAGAGTGATAGAAGTAAGGGGTCAGCCATGCTGGGTGTCATGCCAGAATAGACAAAAATGAGTAAGGTGCTGTTGACTTACCCCTGATCCTGATTGGCGGCTCGTCCATAAAACAAGCCCTGTCGGAGAGCATTGAAGCTATGCTGTCACGGACGATTCCATACCATCGGAATATTGCAAGCGATGAATCGAGCAGAAAACGATAGAGCGACTCGAATTTCAAGTCTTTACTGTATGATTCAACGAGTCGTTGCAATTCCGTCATCTGCAAAAGTGCAAGGTCCAGAAATCCTAGAGGAGTTCCCTCGACATCTTTTGCCGCAGGGCCCTCCGATGGGACCACTGTCATCTGGAACAGGAATACCGTGTATATATGAACGAAGGTCCGGTTATCGCTGCTGTCTAGAAGGTTTTGATAAGCATGGTGCCAAGCTGCTTTGTAGACCTGGGCGTTATTTGACTTTGGTTTCTGAAATCTTGAGTTGACTTGAGATGGACTAAAATTTAACTCCAGAGGACCACTGCGAGAATCTGAAGGTGCAAATTGGAGAGCAAATGCCTGGAGAACCGCCGTTAATGCCTTCTCGTCGCTTTCCCGGGTCTCTCGGTTGACGCAGTTTCCATACAGTGGACCAAAATTGTCTAGAAATCTCGCAACCCCAATCATGGTCACTCTACTGATCTGTGAATCAACCTGTTCCGGTAGGAAAGTGCGGTTTTGGAGGGTGTCAGGTAGATAGTTGCAATTCGATCTTCTCCATGGCGGAAGATAGTTCCTTTTTGAATTGGGAATGTTCACAGGTATGCCAGTCCCTGGATTTTGTGTTTCAGCATCCGCTGGGGTCATGGGCTGCCCAAGATCCTCTGGTTCAAAAGTGTACTTGTACGGTCCGGCGAATAGATTGCAATTGTAGTCCAGATACCTTGTCGTAATGCCCGACATCATCGAGTTATATACGTCTCCGAGGCTGGTATTGAGTATTTGTGATGCAACACTGGAATTTAGTAAGTGTATAGGACTGCCCTTCCACAAAGCCATGGAGCTATCTGCATCCCGCTGATGGACATATTGTGGTGAGATTGTGTCAGAGCTCGTTGCATTTGTGTCAGCATCATTCATGTCTGTGACATTGCTCGTTCCTTCATCATCAGGATTATCCCGTATAAGGTGAGCCCATTCTGCCATTATGTGATTCAACATCATATTATCATGCCCGAAGCCTTCAACCCTGGGTTGGCTTGTGGCTTGGATCCCACTCAGAAGAACTTCAAGTCCGGCACTTCCAGATTGAGAATAACCAGAAGTTTCCTTGTTCGGGTCTGAGCCGCATGATGTTAGTCCATGCGGTGAAGAATCATCATGGCAAGAGTCGACCGTGCTTCTACTGCGGTTCATGGGGCGCTTTCCCTTTTGTGCCCGTGCTTGTTGCGACGCTGCGAAGTTGAAGGTACACTGTTGTCCCGAGCGAAGACAGCTCAGACACACACGCACACCATCCACTGTCGCAGAGGACGTTGAATTGAGGGAGCATTTTCGCTTCGACTGTCGGCACCGGTCACACGAAGAGTTTTGTCGACGCACCGAGCTAGACTGCATTACTTAGACAAGTACCTGTGCCAGTAATGCCAACTATGTGGCAGAGATGTCGCCCTGAGGTACTAAGTGCTGAGTGTTCGGAAATGCTGCATCCCGTGATTTCCTTTGTCAAGTCGCTCGAAGTGTTACTAGAGATGTACAGTAATTGAAGTACAGTCAGTCTTGAGCTATTCTTGATAGGTTTTAGAGCCTTCTAACGTCATCGGAGAGAGGAAGGCCTAACGAAAAGCTCAGCGAAGTGAGGCGCGGCTCCGAAGACTTCGCTGAAAGCTTGGCATTATAAAGTTCTAGTACCCCTCAAGTACTAAGTACCTAGGTACTGAGTACTCAGTATCTATCTAGGTAGGTACGGACTACTCTCTTCTCTAAACACGCCTTGGGAACTTATATACTGACATACTAGGCCTCCCCCTAGAGTACATACTAGTATCGATTTGGGTACTACTTACTATTTTACGTATCCAAGTCGTTTCCGATTCACTTCAGGAGCGCATTATAGAATTGGCTAGCACGACTCCGAGGCGTTTCTGACGCGCTTTTAAGGCAGTATCACGTTCTGCTTACTCCCAAAGTAATAATACAACTTGTTAATAGCTTAGAACTTCTACCTATAGAGATATAAACGATAGTATATGTATATACCATTGAGTAAGTACTAGTGGAGTGGATGTAGATACCTAGTATACCAGATTTCCTGAAACTCGATTTTCGAGACAACTTGATTACTTATACTAGAAATTAAGCAATGTAGTTACATAGAAGAGCTAAGGCTTTAATAGGTATTAATTTACTTATAGAACTTTAATTAAATCTATTAATACTTATTACTTACTTAGTATTACTATAGTAGTTAAAGTAATAATCTTAAGCAAATAGAATATTATAATCAAATCTAAGCCGAAAAAGTTAAGGAAGTACTTAAAGAGTTTTAAAGGAATACTAAGTATATATAAGTTTAGTAACTTTGTTCTATACAGTATAAATTAGACTTTAGTCTAGAACTACTAGATGAGGTATAAAGTCTTACTAATTACTATTAGAGGTGCCTTAGTACTTAGGCTACTAAGAATTATATTTTAAGTACCTACTTAGGAGAGAACACTTTTGTACTAAGCAACTTTAGAAGAAGACTAGATATAGTGCTAATGTTATATTCTTAGAAGCTTCTAGAGAATAAATATATTTAATTTAAGTATCTACCTAAAGAAATAAATACCTATATTAAGTATATAATACTGAGTATTTATTAGAATTATATATACGATTCTTAAATTGCAGGCGAGATATAGACTATTAATACTTAAACTAGTAATCCTTTACTTTATTTATTCTATAGGTACTCATATATCTATATATTAATTCTATATACCACTTGTATTTATTAGTGAAGAAATATTAGGAGGTAATAGCTTAGTATTTTGAGTTCTGTGAATCTGTGTCGTATATATTGAACGTTGCAGTTAAATTACTGGACTAGGTGTAGAGCCTTGGCTTACTTCAATACGAATACGAGGTTCGGGCTGCGTCCGAGGCTGTCTCATTAAGTGTGAACTTGGCTAGAATAGATCTCTAGTAGGTTTTGCAGCCACCTTAGAGGCAATTGCAGCTTGACCGTCGTTAGTCACATAAGGTCTAAATTCTCAATTAGCTTCGAATACAGCAAGTACTAAGTACTTACCTACTTCATCGATTGCAGAGAAAGATCGAGCCTAGTCTCGTATTGAGTATAGACTTGCTGGTTAGAGAAACTTCCAGTGAAAGGGTTCTCAAGATACTCAGTACTAGTATTTTGAGTGATTGGGATGCACTACTAAGCATACGAAAGATTAAGAGTAGTACTTAGTACTCCTCAGGCGCCCGCTACCTCAATTAACCGTGCACTGGCTGGGCACTTCTTGAGCGACATGAATTGGTAAGTAACTATACAAAGTAGTTAGTACCAGTAACAACGAGCGGAAGGGTCCTCAATCGTACTTGAGATATACGCTACATATGATCGCGATGTGGCAGCCATATTTATAGGCACAAAGCTTTATTTACTGAGTTCGAAGTAAGTAAGTTACTATGTACATGTACTGAGTAGTCTCTTTACCATGACTTGATATGTTAGGAGACAACTCAATACAGTGTAACGGTATACATTGCCTTAAGACTGAATTGAAAAATGCAATACTTACTTCTATTTAGTCCTTAGTAGCCCATCTTATGTCTCGAACTGAGATAGCGTATCTTAGAAGCTTTTAATGCTAAGCAGCGAGGACTAACACCCATAGAAAGCCAACTTCGTCCTTCGTCCTGCTGTATACTTCCTGCTACTTACTCACGATATCGACCCATTTTTTCCCACTCTAGCACAGCCTCTTCATTTCTTGTTTCCTTGAAGATGTCCTGAATCCAGTCATCTTTCAACATTGAATCAGGACTCCATTTCATGAGGTTGGTGGGGATTAACTTATTCGGAGATTGATTCCAGACATACAATTCAGCTTGACATGGCAAGGTGTCACCATTGCCTGAATCAATGTCGATTATGGCCTTTCTCAGGTCGAACATGCCGCCTTGAAAATCGTGGATCCGTTGTCGTTGCGAGCTGTTGATTCCAAAACAGACGAGTCCCGTTATCTCATCCCGGGGGTCATCGCTAGGCGAGAAGGCAGGCCATGGAGACCCCGTTACGGCGTGCCGTTTGTAGCCACGCAGAGTAGCTACTGCCATCGTTGAGACGATATACCCAAGAGAGATCCCACTGCTTATAGCTCGTATGGTGCTCGGAAACATCAAGGACCCCGCGAAGAAGTAAGGGGGATGATAATAAAAATCTCGCCTTACCCCAAGATACGAAGTCTGAATCTTCACTTTGTCCAATCTGTTCTCGACTGCCATGATAAAGCTTAAAGGCAGACCATCCATGCGATCAAATCCGATTCTTCGAAGAGTGTAGATCAAAGCGCCAGATCCCAGAAACACAAATTGTGGCACTTTATCTGGCGGTTTGACCTCAACTTTCCGGGCGCTTCCGACTGCGTCGCCTGCTCTCTGCGGTGACCCGTTTTCTTGCCCGAAAGCTGATCGTTGCAATAATCCTGGCGAGGAACCAGTAGATCTTTGGGTTTCAGAGTACTTGCTTATGCCTGAGAAATTCCACCCGCCTGGCAAATCGTCTTGTTGCTCATCAGCTGGTTCTTGCCAAAGTCCAGTCGTGCTGTGTTTCTGAATTACCGCCCGCTTGGGCATGACCGCAAGCAGCTCTTTCGCATAAGCTGCAGCAGTAGCCGCAGCATAGCCTTGCCAGACATCGTTCTTGTGGGTGTCGGAATAGTCGCAGATCCCTCGAATTACAAGACATGGGAAAGAGTCCATGAGACCAGCGGCCTCCATTTCGAAACACAAAACCCCTTCAGCGTCGGCTAATTGATCGCGCACCGTAGCATCTTTCATCAATCTGTCAGCTGAAGCGACGAGACCATAGTGGATGCGAATCGTGTCTGTCTGATCTGCCAACAAGTCCTGAGTACGAGAGAGTCTGGGAACGACGTTATCGCTAATAGGGGAGCAACAGTGTACACAAAGATGAGAATCGGCTTCATGTAGATAGGACGTCTTGAACAGAATATCCATCTCGGGCGAAGGCCGAGAATAATCCTTCTTCAATCGAGGGTTTCGTTGTATCATCTGCAATATTGTTTCCTGAATTCGATTCCCACGACGATAATGAATGGTATCAAGCTTTTGAACTGCTGTTAGCAAGACTCGGGGCGGAGCATTCAGATGGCCAAATGGAACGAATTCTTTATTCTGAATGGTTTTCCCGAATTCATAATGGATCACCCCTCCGGTCCTTCCACTTGGCGTGGAGACAACAACATCACCCAGTCGAATATCACGATCCTTATTTATGAGTGGTGCTCCTCCTCCGATGCCGACCATGAGTCCAAAAGTTATGTGTGGGAAACTGTGTCGTAGATCTTGAGCCGCTGTGGCCGCGGAGGTCAAGCCGTATCTTCCTTTGGGTAAGCATGCAATAACGACGTTGAAATCACCCATCCGACCGCATGTATATATATTATTATCATCGGTTGAACGAAGATCTGGAGCGCCATATTCCTCGTCCAGGAGCTCGCATGCGACGATATATTCAATTCTGACCGCGCAAACCCATCCAACTTGGTAAGATTCTGCATTCGGAATCTTCAGGTCCATATAGAGGGGATCTTATTCAGTCCGACAGGCTGAAAGGGAATAGCTGTGTGGCGGGTCGATACATTCGAGTAATTCTCAGGGGTGGAGATGACTGAGATACTTGTGGATCATGGACACAGAGACGGCTCGCGGTTAGGATCGAGAATTGCTGAGTACTAAGGTGTACTGCATGCCGCTAGTAACCTCGTTCAAGGCTGGCCATTCATCGAAGATGTAGGCGATCGAACAAGATGCCATGGCCTTGACATCGGTGAATTGGTCGCAAAGGAGCCTCTCTGGGAGGAATTGGCAGGTACTCCCCGCACCCTTCAGCAGCCTTGCGGACGAGGCTATCTGTCACGTGAGAACTAGTAATCACTTACTCGAATCTGGTGAGGTATATGAAAAAGCGTCGTCAATGAGCTATGCTCCTTATGTCGTCAAGAAGAAGAAGAGGAACTAGACTGCTATGGCGAGGTTCAGCATATGCTTTGATCCATGAATTTTCATTAAAATTACAGAGTAATGTGGCACAACCCATTACAATCAAGGCATTAAGTTGCGCTGGAGCGCAGGCTGTTTGGGTGGGTATCGTAAAATTTGAGCTGTTGCAATCGCTCCAGCGTCAAGATCTTGTCTCAGCAAGACCCGAGCCTGGGCAGGAGTATTTATCGAAGAACCGAATGTCTTCAATAGTAACATCATCACGGCATCATCTCTTGATAGCTGGGGCCATTCCAGGAACATTGCTGTATCTTTCGTCCCGCTCAGTCTTGAAGAGGACCTGGCACCAAAATTCCTTTGCGTCCGCATCCCACCACGTCCAATACCGACCTTCTCGTCGATCAACCTCGCGACTTTGTAGTTTGAAAGCACACGTCTCATAAGGCTCTGCGGCCACCAACAGGTACTGGTAGTCTCTGTCGGGAGGGTCTTCAATCTTTTGCTCAAACGCGCTCATGAATCGGACTCTGGGTTCCACGCCAGGAGAAATTTCTGGGTATAGGAGTTGAAACAGTAACCCAACCTGTCGTGTCAGAGGATCCCGAATCTTTGTGATTTTGTATCCAGGGCGGCCAATCTTGACCATGTTCTTGCGCACTTGCACACCCATCATACCCGCACCTAGCATCTGTCCATCTTTCTGTAACTCCTTTTGTTCCCGCGCTGCCCGTCTTGCAAGGTTTGTCTGATGTTTTCTTCCTTGGGTATGAGCGAGGTAGGAGCCGTCATTTTGGTGAACCGTGAGACACAGACGACATTCGAAGGAGCCGACGTGGTTTTTGAAAAAGTAGGGATCCTTGTCGAGGTCGATTGTTTCAAGAGCAAGTTTTCGTAGTCGTTCTCGACGGTCTGCATTGGTAGCGGAATGAGAGGCAACACCACCACCGCCAAACTTGGATCCTGCCCGATTTTGGTAGTCCATCTCTTAATGTATAAAAAACTGAAGAGGTTCGATATGTGCACAAACAGCACTTGAAGTGTTCGGGAATTTGAACGTCAAACGTGTTTCATTGGAGTGAGTGAAAGATTGAAGATTGAAGATTGGACAAAGTTGAAGATATTACCCAGGTACCTACTCGTAGGTGCAGTCTGCGGTTTCGCTAACGATACCAAAAATACCACAAATTTTTGAAAAAACAAAAACAATCAACAGCCAGGATTCCCAAGTCGTCACCGACCTTAGTACTAACTGACCGGCATGTGGCTTAAGTACGGCTGAGCGAACGGGAAGCCCTGTTCTCCACATCCTATGGTCGATTGTGGAAGTAATTGGATAAAGTCAGACTTATATATCTATGTAAATTCGTAATTGTTGTATCGACCTGGATCCGTTCCTACCTCAAGCAATAACCATGAAGGCAGCTTTCTCGTCTTCGCACTCTACTAAGGTAGGTACCTTACATGACAGAAGACTTGTCTTGGAACCGAACAATCCTTGTCAAACATGTCAGAGGCATTCTATACCTCATCTTCGCAAGGTGGATTCTCAGCAACCTCGCCGCCGTCCACTTCTCCCACCTCATCAGCACCACCTCCACCACCGCCGAAACCTATATCTCAAAGTGCTGATCCAAGCCGGAGTGGCACGCCTATTCACTCTTTCGTTGCCAGCTCCGTTGCAGCTCCTGGTACTTCCTTTCAATCTCCTGGCCCAGCAGCCACAAATTCACCCCGACCTCAGCCACCACTGCCCATCTCGACACCTTCAACACCAACACCCCAGGCTGCATATCAATCTCGACAGTACACACCGATACCACCTCCGACGCTCCAAGATCGGTGGATACCACCCCAGATAGCCGATAAACCCATTAATGAGCTACAGACACTGGTAAACAATCAGACACTTCTTGCATCTTTGGCATCTACACATCCATCCTATGCCTCTTCACTTGTTCCTTTACAAGACGCAATTCAAGCCAATGTACAGACATCTCAGCAAATATCTCAGTTAGAGGCTCAGCTGCGAAAACTCAGAGATGAGACAGCCCAGCTTTTGTTGAATCACACATCCCTGCAGAATCAGTGGAGGAGGAAACAGAGTGAGATGGATGATGCACTATCGCCATGGGGACCACGACAAATGTACCAGCGGCTACTTTCGGGCATCACTGAGCAGGAGTCTGTGCTTAAAGCCATGCAGGAGAGTTTTCTAGAGGGTTCCAATTCCGATGATGGCTATTACGGAAGTGCTGATGGAAAGGCCAGTGAAAAGGAGGTTACAGAATGGGTCAGGAGGATTAGGGAAGGCGCTACGACTTTAGAGAAGAGGAGGGAAATGAGAGCAAGGTGGGATGAAGGAAGAGTCGGTGGTTGGAGATGATATAATGATCGTGATGACTTTGTATGAATATAGATGATAAACGAACACACTGTAGAGATGTATCACATGCAAGCCTTAGATATCGAGAATTTGTCTCGCAGCATACTTGAGGGCCCAAAACTTCAGGCCTTCATATGAAACAGCCTTGTTCTGCGGGGTTGAATTGAATCTCACTTTCAGCTCTTAATTCCACTGTACCTCAATTTTTCATAGACGAGACGAGATAACCTCTCCATACTTTGGTATCAAACGTAGACCTCAAAGTCGCCATGGAAGGCGCATCAAGCGTTTCTAAGCACCCATCACTGAAGCCAGCACTACACCTACGAGTGGCCATTGGCAATGCAACACAAGTCGGCAGTTTGTCACGAGGAACGCCTCTGACAGTTGTGCCGCTGATCTCGGCATCACTGGACTCAGAACCCGGGTTTCCCATATCAATCCATGCCAGAAATCGTGGTCATGGTGGGGTCGACTACGTGCGCAACGACCCAGATGGGAAACGAATGAGACTGACGAGTGATTTGGTCGTTGGGTAGGTATGGATCCCTTCGCAAGGCTACAAAGTCACCCATGAGGCGTTGTTTACTAATGGAGTCCAAAGAGAGGGGGTTGAGGGTAACAGAGAGGTTGGATTTTATGTGGATTGTCCTCTACAATTCGTCGTGGCTGACTCTCATACAAGACTATTCATATTCACTACACCGGCATAGTGGACATCAACAATGAAATGCGACGCATACTCAGTCGTAGTCCTGATGCCAAATCCACCGAATTTGGGAGTTCATGTAAGTCCTTCCTGTTCCAATGATTCAGATGAATCGTCGTTAATCAGAGCTAGTTATACATGTGACTTTTGAAACTGGAGTACCAAGATTCAAGCTGCTGGAGCAAGCCATATTTGTAGGAAGTGGCAGATTCACACTTGACAGCGGCGGTCTGGGCGCTGAGTATCGTATAAGCCAGGTGTGTCAGGCCCCTGTCACTGTTGCTGAGCCTTCAGCCCAAGTGGGAACGGCCGATGAGATCGGAACGACTTCTGCGTAAGATTATAAGGACTGGCACCAACGCCAGGATCGGGTATGTTGGGAGCAGGAAATGTCGCGGCCGAAAAGTTCAATAAAACCCGCTGTACCTTTGAATGCCGTGAGAGTTTTCATCAAGCTAGTAATGGTGTCCTTTCGTCGTGACCATGTGCAAGCGTATCAGCATTCACATGCTGCTCTGCCTCGGTTTGACACCCAGCCTCGTGGCGTTTTCTTGTCCACCAAGGAGTCGAAAATCTGACCCTCCACCAGCCATCCTTTCGCCCTCTCCATTTCCTCCCAGCCCAAACCCCAAACTTGATCCCAAGATAAATAAGCAAACCACTGACCAACGTGGCAAGCACGGCGACAACGACACTGATGAAAGTCATGCTTGAACACCGGCAACTAAAGGGGCGAGCTCTCATTTCCCATCTCTCTCGCCAAGCTGACGGACAGATATCAGCTGACTTTAGAGGCGATAGGATCCCGAATGGATATCCGTAAATCGTGTTGGGTACACAAGCTTGAGAGACTGCACACCAAGAGCATGGGTACTGGCTTGCAGGAGAAAGACAGCTCGGACAATCTTGCTTGATCCAACAGTGGAAGAATATGTCCAGGTCGTCTCCTGGTTGGCTTGTAGAAAGGTTGGCGGTCTCTAGATGGGCGAGAATGTTTGGGGGAAGGAACGAAGTATCGAGGTCCATTTTCATCTATTCGTCCGCATCAACAGCGCAAGAATGTGGCGACACCAGACAAGTACAGTAGCGGTTGATGTTCCAATAAGAACTTTGACCTACGAAAAGCCAGGGGTTCTCTGTCAGAGCATTAAAACAAGCGAGGTTGGGCTGGGCTTCAATCCGGCTAAGCTCAGACGGTGGCCTTGCTGGCTTGGTCCAATATCATCGACAATTCTTTGAAAGAAGCAGGGTACACGTTTGACTGGTGTAATCACCGAAATCATGGCCAACGTTTGTAATTGTAGAGACAAGATTTCTCATTCTTTGACAAGACCCCTGCTTGTCACCCAGCTCCTGCACAATGAACTTTGATTAGCTAACACAATAACACCTAAGACAAAGCCGAAGATCTGCCGGTATGCGTCCATTGTGTTGTTCCGACTTCATCTCAACTCATCTCCTCTCATTTCGTTCGATTTTCTACGGCAGCCACGTCTGCGGCCTCCGAAACCTGGAACAGACAAGGTTCTTTATGTCTTCAGTCGGAAGAAGCAATGTGTCGCAATAGGGCCGATGTTTGCCAGGACAGATCTTCCAGCTTGGCTGCTGACCGTCCCATGCATTCCTGGCATGACTACCAGACAACAACGCGCTTATGCCATGGTTCAGATTTTCAGTCTGAAAGGTCACCTGCACATACTGGCCGGTGGGAGCTTTGAGTGCTTGGAATAGTGTGCCAAAGTGAATTGTCTTCCCGTGCGAGGAAAGGAGATCAGAAAGAAGGGCATATGGTCTCCCATTTCTTTGACGGCGCTATACAATGGCTTTCCGATGGAGAGCCTTGTATGAATACCGTCGTGTTTGAAAGTCCAGGAGAGATCTTGGATCTGGCTTCCAAAAACGGCGCCATGTGGTTGAATCGTGGTCAGTATAAGGAATAGCCCAGAGTCCGACAATCTCTCCATGCACCCAGGATATGTGACACTTATATAGGTCCACAAGGGTATCTCCAAGGCTTTCATTGAAATCAGAGGTGAGAACACTGAGCATTTTACTTACTGAGTGTTGCCTAGCTTTTCATCAGAACACCAATCTAGCTTGGGACGGGTGTTATATAAGTATATGACCGATGTCCGTCTGTGATGGCAAAAGGAAGATAGATTCCTTCAATATCTGGGCAACCATCTTAGGTCACTGATGATCTCAATGGGTACCAAGCTCAAGGATGTAGGGATTCACCGTTTGCGGCGCGATATTCAGCCTTGTCACCAGCGAGGCTATAGTCACAGCGACCACTACGGAGGAAGCCAACTTAAAGCCACCATGAGGCTGCATTCACTGCCAGGACTGTCTCAAGCGACGACACGCTCCTTCACAGCAACACTATCTGGATAAACCATTTCCTATCACATTCAAGGCTGAAATTGGTTTGACATCAACGGATTTCTTCGCTCTTCAACACACTTTGCTTTCCTCCACTTGCCAAATCCTATCTCGAAGAACCTCATCGCTCAAGACTCTCAAAACTTCTTGAACAATTCCATCCTTTTTGGTAGACTAGTCTACATCATCTTCTCTCTCCTGAACCTCCTGTACTGCCCTATTTTCCCACAATCTTCTCATCATATTTGATCATCATGTTCGGCTTCCATCACGTCCTCACGACCCTGACCGCGCTCTGGGCCGTTCTCTCCTCCAGCACAGATGACGCTGTCATATATTACCGCGACTATGTTGCCCCTTACCTTTTCGAACCTCTTGCCCTTGCTGGACCATCGCCTCCTCCAGCATCAGTCACATACCCCTTTCTGAACAATGATGAATTCGCCCGCAATCAAGTCGTGACAATGGCAATGCCTTCAAGAACACAGATGACCACCTCGCTGCCACAATTCTATCGCTCACCTCCACAGTCTGGTCACCTTACCACACACTTCCGACTCTCCCCTTGAACACCTTTGTGGTGATACAGCCCTCGAAGAGCACGCCACTGTCGATTCTCGAGAACAGTGTCCAGATTGTAGCACAGCTCATGATCCTTGCTCTGATGTGCTTTGCACTTCTACTCATCCTCGACCTCTCATACCAGTTGATCAAACCAATTCTCGCTCTTGCCAGATCCGTCTGCTCAACAATCCCCGCCCTCTTTCAATGGATCTGGTCCGCAATCATGGGTATTGCTAAATGGGTTTTGAAAACAACAACCAACCTTCGGTTCTTGAACTTACTGAAAGATTGCCTTTCAACTTCGTGTAACAGCACACAATCCCTTTTCATCAGTCTGTCTCAATCCCAAAGGTATGGCTCCCTGTGTATTATGTGTCGCGCCCTTTCCCAACTCTTCCTGAACCTCGGACACTTCGTTGTCACGGGCATCCGAAAGATTCACTGGCACAACATGACTGTCACAGCCTATCGTTCCATATCATCTATGGTGCAATGGATCCTACGTCCAGTTCCCTCTGCTATTGATTGGCTTCTCATCAGCACATCCCGATCCGTGCTGTTCTCCATTGCTGCCGTGTGGTCATTTGTCAAATCAATTGCAGCACACTGGCGGGAATTCCTCTCGTCTCAATATATTTCCACAGCAACAAAACTGTGGAGCAAAATCATCGTTCGAGTGTTCCAGGTGTTCTCCGGCATCAAGGTGGTAGAAAGCCTTAATGACCAAATAAGGGAGCTCAAAGAGAAGATTGCCATGAACAAAGCCCAATTGGAACAGAAGGACAACATCATCACTGCCAACAACAAGCAGCATGCTGATGATATGGCAAAGGAACAAGAACGATCTCGTGATGAACGCGTCAAACTTCTCCAAGTCCAGTGGGCCCAAGGGGCAGAGCTTGAAAAGACAGACGAATACCATGCCCGTGCAGAATATTGTGAACAGCGGGTACAAAAACTGCAAAAGAAGACTTTCGAGCAACGGTCTGAGGCCGACAAGCGAGATGAAGTTGCTCAGCGGAGAATACAGAAGCTGGCAAGTCAGCTTGAGCAAACAAAGACCGCCCTTGCTACCTCAGGACAGGCAAACCAAGGAATGCAGGATTGCATACAAAAGCTTAGTTCAGACGCCAAAAAGTCCGATATCAAGATCCAGACCCTCATTGCAAACAATGCTCGACTCAGCTCAAATGTCCTGGAGCTCGGTGCCGAAAACGCACGTCTGAAACAAAGTCTCCAAAGCGCCTCTGAACAGAATGAGCACCTCAGTTCTGCCAATGCACTTCTCAGAAATGAGAGAGATGTCGCTGTGGAGAACTGGGAGATCATCGCCAGGCAGAAAAAAAATGCTGGAACTGGAGCTCAATGAAGGTCGATTCATTGAAATCACTGGTGATGATGAGATGGACGGTGTGGTCAAAACTGGGCTGTTAACGCCACCACAACAGTCGCCTCAACTACCTGAGTATAGCGATTGTATGGAGGTCGAAATGGAGCGAGAGAAGCCAGGTCGAGTTGAAGCATGGAATCAACTCATTCCTGGACTTGGAATGATTGCTGACCAAGAACCCCCTCGTGGGAGAACAAGTTCGAACTTTGGCAGTTGGGCACCGACCATGAGGCCCTTCCAACCAGGCAATGCCTCCTTCCTGCAGCGCCGATTGCGAGACCAATCACGAGCGCTGCAAGCTCCTCAATGCTGCCTCCTCCACGACCACAACAGCCACGGGAGCCGCGTGGAATGGACAGCATGTTTGGTTCACACGGAAGCAAGGCCGAGCCGACTCGGGTTGTGCCCTTGGATCCATGGAGATCAAGGGCAACACAGCCTCCAGCGTATGCTTCCCTCCTCCCCTCTTTGATAACTTCAAGCCTTGTACTAATCATCTTAAAGTGGACGAAGGGTGAATAGACCCATGGTTTTCGACTGAGATGGTATTTTGAAGACCCTTGATCTTGAACCGAGTCATGGCATAATACCAGGACTGGTGACGTGGATACATGGCGATATAAGGGAAAGGTCACAGCAAAGTGAGTCATGGGGCCACTGACGCTGATAACAACCAACATTGAGGCTGGGCGGGAAGTACTGCAGCAGGCTACAAACCTCAATGAAGGTAACAACCAACTTGGAACCGACACTGCGGATAATCGAAGCGCAGGAACACCACATAATAACCCAACACACAACTCGACCCTGTGACTAACTCCACATTGACTGACCTCGTCAGAAACCAATAAGAACAATACTGAGGCGGCGCAGAAAAAAACTGCAGCTGATTCACAACCTCAATGAACCCGTCCACCAACTTGACACTGCAGCTGATTCAGCGCTGGACTGACATTTCACACTGCACTTAACTCAGCGCAGGAACTCGACATTTCTACGACTGTGACTGATGAAGGGTGGATGATTATGGGGGCTATGATTTTGTATGAATAGGCGAAGGCGTCAAGGTTCGCTTCAGTTTTGCATTGCGTTGGAATTGCACACAAAGCGATGTGCCTGATACCCCTGTACACTTTACATCACTGGTCTGGGAATTGGATTCAAGGGATTGAAAGTCTCAGACTTACAGGACGAGTCTCTCGGATTTGCTGGACACAGAAAGAGTAGACTTGGCTCTACTGAAGGAGCTCGAGTGAGAAGACTTTCAAGAAATGAAATACATAATATCCCAAAAACTTGAACTGTGGAGCAGGTAGGAAGTACCTAGGTACCTCCAAGTGTAGCCACCGAATATCCATGACATTCGGCATAAGCTCTATGGCCCCAAAAAGAGCTCCAGATAAACGCTTTCCGCCAATGTTCTTTACACCTCATCTGACTTGTTCTCTTCTCATTCCATCCTCCATTCACGTCAACAACAATTCTGAGCCTTTAGATTTTGGCCACAGCTACACCATCTCTGCCTCTTTGTCAAGCATGTTTCAATGAGTTCACAAACTAGCTCGTGCAGTTTAGTCTGGGCTTTCAGTGGCTCGGCGTCTGACTCCTTTGTGGGAAATATGGTGGTGTCTCTGGAAACCGCAATTTTCACTATCAATGATCAATCCTACGCCTAGTTAACAATCGCTCGTGCCTTGAAGGACTTCTTACTTGTCGTATTGGATTCAAGAGGTCTATCTGATTTTGGGTGTGACCTTCTAAGACAGGTTTATGCACAGCTGGGTCTGATAAGAGGTGGGAAGGTGATACACCTAGGTCCACCCCCTTGATATAGACCATGGCTAAATGAATGAGACTCAAACCCAGAGTCTCATCAACACTGGGTGCAGGCTCAAACCATATCGTGTCGATCACTGCCCTCGTCTTCTAATATGCACATACTTGGTATTATCTGGAACCAGTGATCCATGAATTCGCAGATCGTCACCTGTATCTGATGCTAGTCAATGAAGGCTGTAATCCCAGCAACGACTGCCTTGTTCAACCACGCGTCTAACACCAACACCCACAAGACCTCAGTCGCGTTGAGGACTGCCTCGATAAACCCAACGTCCATTCACTGTTCGTGCACTGTCTTTTTTGGCAGTCCAAATCAAGTTCAACGCCGAATGATCAATGGTTACATGTGCTGGGTTCTTCTCCCCTTCCAAACGCTCTTCCTTCCACGCCACCCCTATTTCAAAACCCTCACATCTCTTGCAACGACTTGACCCTGCTACACTGTCCTCTCGCCTGCAACTCGATGGACAGCATGTTCTGCTACTCGAGACATATCCTCACAAGCCTGGATGCAGCGTGGACCATCCTCATCAGTTGGCATGATGACATCGTTCTTTGGTCTCGCAGCTGTAGCACCCCCATTTTCTACGACTTCCTTTTACACAACATCCAAACTACACACCAAGCAGCAGCCTCCGACCGTGTGTTTACAAATTCCTTCACCCTGTCACCAAGTCCTCATATTTTTTGCATCCCACAACTTTGGAACACCTCACCATTCGACTTCAGCAGAAGCACCACCTACATCACAGGCATTCATATTATCATAGCCATCTGTGCAATTGCTTCTGTCGAGTTAGGCATTGCTGCGACTCAATGGATCGCTTTCATGTGGAACATCCGCAGAGGCAGAGTGAGCGAGAAGGATCTTGAACCCGTGCCAGCACATTCTGCTCCTCACTTTGAACTAAGCACCCACCATGTGTCCCTATTGAAGTCTTTGGTTGGGGAGGTGGCTGATTTGAAGGTTCAACTGGAGTCCAACTCACGACAACTGGAAGTTGTGCTCACGTTCATTCGAGATGCCGAAAGAATGGTAATACGTTTCCGGACTCTGGGAGTGGAATTGGCTCAGATCGACCGGAGAAGTCTCAACGCAGAAATAGTCACTTCAGTCCGGGAGAGAGTCTTTCGACAAGTTAGAGCCTATACACAACAGTGTGCTGCATTCATTCAACAGTGCAAAGCCCTTATACTTGCTCGACAGTACAGATCCTCTGCCCATGACGTTCTCATCAAGATGCATAATGTGGCTGATACCCGCGAGAACTCTGGAGATATGGAGAGCACGACCGGAACAATGGATGCCGAGTATGACAAGCTCATGCAAGAACTACTCACATTCGAACATCTTGGCTCCGTGGCAGAAAATTTAAGAGTTGAGAGACAACGCCTTCATGCGGCCTGCGTTTTCATGAGTGAAAGTTTTCAAATGCTTCCCACCAGTAAGGACGAAAACACTCTAAATGAATCCGGCCAATAGCCTATTCGTTGAATATGCGGAGCACCTGTGAATTTGGACTGTGGAGAACGAGAGGATAGCACAGCAGTCATGGTATCTTGACTATGGCCATGGTGCGGGAGGCCTTTGAATCAGCTTGAATTCTCCTGGTCTTGGGTCGGCTTCGAAAGAGGCATTTGTACCAGAGATGGCTTTGTATGAATATGAGGGCCCCAAAAATCACTCTGATTTGGAATGCATTGGAGTTACGCGAAAAGTGAAGTACTAGAGATACCCCTGTGCATGAACTTACTGGTTCAGGAAATCTTTTCGTGGCTGGACGCAGCTCACTGGGCATTAGGGTAGTGTTCTTGCTAGATGCGTAAATGCTCCAAAAAGTGCAATGAAGCGAGCATCAAAAGTTCGAATCATTCCGCTGGATACCCTTATTCACAACCCGTCGTCCCAGAGAAGGGCTTTCTTGGTGTCTTCATATTGCAGGTTACGTTTCAAAGAACCCATGCGCTCCGCTGACGTAGGTATTCTTTTGACTTAGCCATACCTACAAGGGGCGCCATCCCCCAAAGCACTCGTGCCCGGAGGTATTTTTAGAGTTCCCACCTACAAAAAAAACTTCCACAAACGGAACCCCCGTGCTGAAACAGATGACGAATCCCCACTGCAGTCTCTAGGATTGACCCCTAGCAGGCTAACTAATCAGGCTCCAGCGAAGGCATCAGGGGAGCCAAAGTTCTCTGGGAAAGAATGATTTTCTTGTATCTTTCCCTTTGACAAATTGACGACAATCTTTGGAATTTGAAGAACCAGACCGTGTAAAGATCCAAAAATTCGACACAGGGACTGCGAGCTGTGAAAAAGAGCATAGCTCGAAAAACGCGCGTTCTTTCCAACGCGCTGCAGGAGAATGGCAAATGCAAGTCCCCAAACGTCCACCACGGCCAATGATAGCACGTCGACGGCTTCAAAGCTCACAAGGCCATGTAAAGCCTTTATCAGGGAGATCGGCCTGGTGACGCTCTATCACGCTCGAGCAGACACTCAGATCCTTATCCTACAGCGCTTCGTGCGATTATTCGCCTATGGAGGCTCGACGCTCATTCTGGCATCCTACCTTTCCGCGCTGGGCAATCCACAGACTCGCATCGGGCTGTTCATGACGCTGACGCTTGTGGGCGATGTGTTCATCAGCTTCCTGCTGACACTGATCGCCGATGGGCTGGGCAGACGAGCCATCCTTGTGCTGGGCGCTGCGCTGATGAGCATCAGCGGCGTTGTGTTCACGTTCAGTGGAAATTATTGGGTCTTGTTGGCTGCTGCGATTGTGGGCGTTATCAGTCCTAGGTACGCCGGTCTTGTTCGCGACGTGCAAGGCTTGGATTTCTCCTTTATACCCCTGTTTCTGCTGATTCACATGCTGACTTATCATGAATAACAGTGGTAATGAGATAGGGCCATTCAGGGCCATTGAAGAATCGACAATCGCACATTTGACAGCCACGAAAGATCGGAGCGATATTTACGCCTGGTACTCGTTGATCGGCACCGCTGGAACAGCTCTGGGCTTCGTCGGATGCGGATGGGTGATCACGGCCTTGCAGGACAAGAAGAACTTCTCGGCCATTCAGTCTTATCGAGTAATCTTCTCCATCTATGCTGTCGTTGGACTCATTAAATTGCTCCTCGCTCTCCTGCTGAGTAAAGAGTGTGAAATCAACGGCGGCAAGCCGAAGGTTATCAATGCCGGGCCTGCTGCTGCAACGGAAACGGCTCCATTACTTGGGAACGGCGACGCAAATGGAGTTGCGCAACAGACCGAAGTCGATGACGACGACAAGAAGAAAAGGCGCTTTCGACTTCTGCCTCAGATCAGCAAGGAGAGTCAAGTCGTGCTGTTGCAACTGTGCATACTCTTTGCATTTGATAACTTTGCGTCTGGGCTAGCACCATTGTGAGTGATAACACGGGAAAGCTGTGTACGACAGGCATAAATCGGTGCTGATGTTATCTTCTCCTTAGGTCTTGGGTGACGTTCTTCTTCAAGCAGAAGTTCGGACTCTCAGAAGGAAAATTGGGGTCAATCTTTTCCATTACAGGTGTCATATCAGCGCTTTCAATGCTGGTGGCATCATCGATCGCGAAAAGAATCGGGAATGTCAAGGTAAGTGAATATCTTGGTCATGGTTGCTGGAAGACACATGCGCCGCCTGCTACCATCGATCGTGATGGTTTTCGATTCCTTCACCAACTAACTGAAATATCACAGACGATGGTATTCACCCACCTCCCATCAGCGATATGTCTCGCGCTGATCCCCATCCCGCCAACACTGAGTGGCGCCCTGGTCTTCCTGGTCGGACGAGCATGCACACAAGTCATGGATACGGCCCCTCGATCAGCCTTCCTGGCAGCCATCGTTCTCCCAAATGAACGTACAGCTGTGATGGGGACCATCAATCTGGTCAAGACGTTCTCCCAGAGCATGGGACCATTCATCACTGGCGTTCTCGGAGCCAACAACCACTTCTGGGTGGCATTCGTAGCTGCTGGCTCTTTGAAGGCGACTTATGATCTGGGCTTGCTAGCGGTGTTTGCTGAGACAAAGAGCCGTGAGCAACGTAGGACGGAGTCGAGGGGTGATGAGGAGAGTACTGCTGCTTAGTGGGCAAATGGAACGCTCTCTTGGACCGGGAAGGAGTTGCAACTCAACAAGTCTGGCGGGCCTTCTGATTATGTCCATATGCGAGGAAACAAAGTCCTTGATACCCTGGTCTTTCAATCATCTGCTTCTTAGAGCAGAAGCCTGACGTTATTGCTTCAAGAGAATACAGGCATGTATGCGATCAAGCAAATCCCATCACCGTAGCACACATCTCAGCTCCGTGACAGGGCTTCATGTCACCTGCCAACTCATCAGTGCGACCTCAGATGCAAGCTTTGCGGAATACAACTACCTAATGACAAGTTGAACCCGACTTCACACTGCAGCCTTGCTCTTTGACTTCACTGCGCCGAGACGACACCATCATTGCCGCGGCCCTCAAGGGCTAGTGTCTACAACAGCAACATCCCTATTCTGTTCGCGCCTGGCAGAAACACGACTTGGAAACATATCTACCTACCCGACTCGATCAGACCACACATACGAGACAGAAACACTCAGAGTCCGCCCGGCATCTCACGTTGTCAGGCCACACATCCATCCAGCCAGCTAATTAGCTAGCTATCCACTGCACCCATCCAGAATTTTCTCTTCGACCATTCAACCAACTGTTTTCGACCAAACCCTACAGGGCCAACCAAAAAACGTATTAAAATGCCATCCCAGCCGACCCTCGTCTTTCCACCACCCCTGCCAGATCTACATCTCGACACGAGCTCCTCGCTAGCCCTGCTAGCCACCGTCGTGATCATCTCCGCCGCCGTCGCCTATGTCGCGTTCAGCTACAACGACCACAAGCACAAGAAGCGGAGGACCAAGGTCAATGACGATGGCGAAGACCAGCCTGTGATGCGGCGGTATGGGACTGCTGGACCGTCGGGAGTGTCGGATACGTCGGATGATGATTTGGACGATTCGGACTCGGATGATTGAGTCGCGTGGATTCTCCGTTGGGAGGACAGGGCCGAGCGATGGCTACCTGGCTGGTCTTGAGTGGATTTTCCTGGGAAGCGAGGCTGCTGCACGTCAGGGGTAGGTAGGGAGGTTATGGAGCATCCGGTTGATGAAGAAAAATAACGGTGGGAGATCAAACTTCAATTCGCTAACATAAAAATCAAAAAGGTATCCCTTGGACATCCTGTCCAGTCATACAACAGATAATAATTTTCTCCAAGACAAAGTCGTAATAGTGTGCTCCCCGATGCAATGATATTCATATAGCGGATGACTATAATAGTCTCCTCATTCGTCACCAAAGCGTTTCTGTATGTCTTCGTCCGGCTTCGTATGCACATAGGCTCTTTTGACAAAAACATGCCAAAGGTGGTTCTTGGTCTTTTTACTCTTGCCCTTCTTTTTGCCCTTTCCAAACAAGCCAAGACTGTCGTCAATATTCGTATCAATCTCTGCTTCGTCAACAAAGTCAATATTTGTTGACTTGTCATTGACGTCGGAATCGACGATTTCTTCGTCAAAGAGCTCGGATCTCTTCAAGCTCGGTCTGGAGATTTTCTCTCCGAGACCCAAGAAAGAACGGACAGTTAAGTCCTGTAGTCGGTAATTGCTATCGTTATCTGTAGTGTATTCAGTGTGGAACTTGAAGTGTTTGTGGTGCTGCTTCGCGATATCTGCAGCATCGTTATGGACTTCATCATTGATTGCTGTCAGATTCGCATAATATTGTCTCCAAGATATGAGAGAAAGTGGTTGAGGAGAATATCCGGGTCCAGGCAGTGATGTTTTGGAAGGAGGCTTCGGAACGTGGAATGGGGGCCGCTTGCGGTGCTTGCCCTTCTTCTTCTTCTTCTTAAGATCGTGGACCTCATCATCCTCATCTTCAATCTCTGCTGTGTAGAATTCTTCTTCCCTCGGTTCATCGTCTGAAGAAGAAAAGGATTGAGGAGCAGGGATTCCGATGGCTCTAGAGGCGGGGCTATCATCTTCCATACCCGAGATGTTGTAGTGATAAACTCGTACCGTGGGGAAATAGTTAGGTACCACACTAGGGCCGACTATACACATGCTGTATCGCTCTCCCCAAGGACCGCCTATTGCGTTCAAGAATTTCTCCAAAGAATCAGGCTTCTTAGGCCTTTTCTTATGCTTTTTCCTTTTCATTCTCTCGATCTCGTATTCGGTGTTGTTTTCTCCCGAGTAAGAGGCACCGCGAGGTGGCGTGGGTAAATCACCAAAGGCAGCTCGCAAATCTTCCAAGTACTGGGCTTTTTTCGTAATTCCAAAGGTATGGTTATTGGACTGAATTGTGAGGCCATCAGTTCTCTCCAATACATCATCAACGCCATCGATCTTGAATTTGTACTTTAGTTGAGTCACGTCCTGGAACATAAAATGATCAATGTTCATGTGACCAAAAATGGACGCGACAATCACGTCTCTGTACTGGTGCAACCACAAAGTAAACTTCTGATGACAGCTTTCGTCCCAACTCTGTTTGTTTGCAGTCCTGGCTGGTGGTACATGGCCTGTCAAAATGGCCTTCATACCACGCACTCGTAGAAATTGAAGTTGTATGCGTAGCCACTCAAAGTGCTCGTATCCTGGCTCGGACTTGAGGTCACAGCCATCAACACCAGAGTTTGAATCAAAGAAATAGAGCGTATTGAGGCTGAAGACTGCCAATTTGTTGGGTATAACCTCGGTGAAGAACCATCCACCTCTTGCAAATGAGTGTTTTTGTTCTTGAGGAATAAATTTGTCCCATATGGCTTCGTAGTCACGAGTCCATTTGTTTGGACCGGGAAGAAAAATGTTGTGAGGGAGGATGTCATTGTTTCCGAATGTCGGAACAATTGGGCAGACGAAATCATTTGTGGGATCTGTATCGTTCAGATTGTCGGGCTTCCCAAAGGTTTCTTCGAACTTGTGGACGACAAATCGGTTCAAATCCATGACTTGTCTGTCCGTACGAGGAAACCGATCATCGTTGTCATGTCGAGCAGAATCACCCGTCCATATGACGAAGTCGATTTCATCTTTTAAATTCTCTTCGACCCACTTGAATGTAGCATTCACAAGTGATATTGGACTATCGCAATCGGTGACTTCGGCTCCATAATGACCTGTCAGGCCTCGTCCGGAATGGCAAGCTTCCTCGGGATTGGAGTGTCTTTTGTAGAAGGGGTCTGGATGGGTATCTATGTTCTATGAGGGACAAATTCTCTTGCAAGGGAGGAAACAACATACCTGTGATCTGCAAAAACCTGCCGTGAAGCTTTCGAGGCTTCGGTTGGGTAGTCAAGGTATCGGGAGAGAGAGGATGCTGGGCGGCTGGAATTTGAAAAGCAGGTTCCTGAGGTGCAGCGGCGGCGACAGCTGCAAGCAGCGCAAGACAGGTTAGGGGGCCTATCATAGCTGCAAATGATGAACGCCCAGCATTTGGAAGAGCAATGAAGGTGGTCTGGCAAGCTGTTTGGTGTTGCTAAAGCCCTACTCGACCCTGAGAGTTGGTGAGTGCTTCAAGTTGGAAAAGTCGAGAGCCAGGAGCACGAGCGCGGTTTACCAGCGCAACTGAAGGCGCAGGCAAGCGATGGTGGAGGTGCAGGTGCAAGGCAGATGCAGGACTCGGAGTGGAAAGAGCCCAAACAACGTCATCTGCATCTCGGCCCGGGATGCTTTTCCGAGGTGCCTAAATCGCTACCTCCGGCCAGTTCCCCTAAGTGATTGGGCCCCCAGATATTTCAGGTACGAGGGACAAGTGGGTGGGCTTGGGACACCTACTCGTAACACTTAATTCCTGGGGCGATTGCCTGCACCCATGGACCGAGATGGGAAACTCAACACCGCTCTATCGAATTTCATAACGAGAACAGCTGTGCCTCTTTAAAGACATTCTTCCAGCATTTAGTCTAGCCCTATCCAATGTGTCAACTGCTAGACTCCTTTCGTGGCGTCGTGTGATGGCCTTTTGTGTCTGGCGTGTGAGTACCTTAAGTCGCTTTTGCTGCAACCCCCAGAACCGAGGCCAATCGCGGGGTTGACCTTGTCCACGTGTGCCTTTCAGATGACTTTGAGATGCTACCACCACACCCACCTGAGGGTGTTGGGCGGGACGGGACCCTTTGAAAGATTGTGGCTCTGCCTGACAGAGGCAGAGGAAAACATCCTGATTTGTCTGCACACGCGAGCATGTGCATTCTGGTCTCTGCTCCAAAAAGTGATCACGATGATCAGGGCCCACTACGGTTGCCCAAAAATTCATAGCTGCGTCGTGGCAAAGACCCTTGTGGGAAACTGTAATTAGTCGTTGAAAATTCCTCTGGAGGTGTGAGCATTTGCTGCGGTTGATTGTCATGTTGGAGGCTCGGATCATTGTTCAATGGAGGACTCGGAAGATGAGCCAAGGATGTCATATCATAAGAATACTGGTTAGTGGTCGGATAATACTCGACTTTGACATTTTGAGGTAGAATCCCTGTCACAGCGACTTGATTGACGACAGCAGATGTATACTGGACAGGTGAGAGGTCTGTCTGGCGGCTTTTGAGTCGGGAAAAAAGTACTGCAGACTCCTTCTCAAAAGCCTCACGCAATTCCGGCATACCCCACCTAATCCTCGCAAAATCGAGAATCTCAATGATCTTGCGAAGACAGTTGGTCGCCCGCTGGGCGTTGTCCAGCTGTGCGCCGGAAATGGATTGCTCTGAAATGGCATGAGTGGTTTTTAACAATCGATCGAAATCCGACCAAAGCACCTCGAGGAATTTCTGACCAACATACCGCGCACGACAAATATCCGCATAGGTCAGATATGCATGCCAATTCACATCTTGAGTGATGGGTTGCAATTGATCGGCAAATTGTGCCGAATATTCAAAAACAAGTTCTCGATTGAGATCTGTCATACTCCGAGCTGGAACCCGTTGGTTTGGAGACACGACCAAGATCTGGCAGTACAATCTTTCAAGGTTGAACAACATCAGGTGTCGCTGAGACAGGCTAGCGGGGATGGTGGCATACCATGCGTGAATGTCGTTCGAGACTGAGCTGGCGTAAGTTGCAGCCGTCGCAAGTGGCCATTGTGTACGTGACGACCACCTCGTTGTCTGGAAGAAGGATGATTGAACTCGACGAATATCGAACAAGTATAGAGAAGGCCTTGTCGAGCGGAGAAAAAGTTGAGAAGAGGGTGATTCAGATGCTGACTCTGGGAAGTGGACTTCTGAAGATGAGTCGTCTGAGAAGGAGAAGGCCCGATCAAGAGCCATACTGATCAACCGATCGAAGGCATAGACACAATGGAAGATGCGCCTACGAAGATCTAGGTCACCTTTGGCAATTTTGGTCTCTGGTGGAGGCTCGCAATGCAGACCTAAGTCGACAACAAGGCGAGACGCCATCCCAATCAGATACCAGCTGTCGAAATGAGCAGGATCAACCAGTGAATACTGAACCAAGAGTAGTAATGCCTGCAAGCCTGCAATAGAACCTGGGTGGAGAACATAACTTGCCAGTCCCCGAGCAGCGGCGACATGTTGAAGGGCGGTTTTGTCATTTTCGTCCTCCTTGCGCTGCGATCTTGAAGCATATGCGATGGCCAGTATCAGACGAACGTTCCAGACGTCCAACGGTTCTGCCGAAGCCAAGATCGATGGCTCGTGATATATGCGGGACAGACTGCTCATAAGGTCTGTCTCGGAAAAGAAGGGGAATAAAACATAGATATTTTCGAGGTAGTGATTGATCATCGGCGTGATGGCGTATCTCGGCGGAAGTCCTCGCGACTCAATCGGCGGCAAATCTTGTTTGCACGCGGTCGAAAGGAGGAGTTTGGCAAATGACATAGTCGAGGTAAATCCATGAAAGTCACGGGAAGTGGCGTTGACCGTCAAGAAACCAAAGTCACTGACCAGTTCATCAACATCAGACGCTTCCTTTCGACGAACACCGCTGATCTTCCTTGGTTGAACTGGTCGTTGCGAAGGAAGAGAACCGTGTCGTGGTTGTCGCGCGACAGCATCAGCCTGAGCCTCATCAATTTTCTTCTGCAGTCTCTGAGCTGCCGCCTCGAGCGCGGCAACATAACTTCGTTCTTTGCCTCTAGCGAATTCATCGTTGGCGCTTGAACAGCTATCGCCCTTGCCGGAGCGTTCGCAAGCGGAACATGCGGGCAATTTACCATCGCACTTGATCTTAGCCGAACGACACCGGGCACAGGCGGCAACTGGTCTGGACACCCTTAAAGAAGGTGCCAAAAGCGCTTCTATTGACTCTGTCTTCGTCATGGCAAAATGATTGATCTTGCTGGGATGGATATCCTTGCCTTCCCTGAGGAAGGTCTCAACTCCAGTTTCTTGGCGTGGTGGGAGTGGGTTGGGCGGCTTCCAGACGATATCTATCACGAAGCCCGGTGATGCCAAACAAGCTCGATGATCAGGTTTGAAATCCGAGTAATTGCCCCTCCACTAGTGACTCGCGTTCCATGCAACAGAGATCCGAAGAAAGGATCGAAAAGGCTGGCAGATTCCGCGATTGGTGACAAGTGCTCAAGTCGCACTTTTGGCGTTATCTCAACTCAAATGGTTGGTGGCACACGAAAGAGTTTCTTGGTTGTTCTGGTTATCCTAGGCCTCGAGCACTCCGTCCTGTTTGGATATAAGATGAAAGTATTTGTCTTGTGCTTCAAAGTCCGTGCTTGTGTCACGGCCGAATTGTAGATGTTGACCTGAACATGATGAGAAATTATGGGGGTGTCTTGCAGTGTCAAGTTGAATAATAATAACTTTCATCCAACTCCAATCCTGGTGTTGCTCTCACACCAGGGAGAACTCTGGTCTGGGCGTTAGGCACAGGCCGAGGGACGAGGCACTCTGTTATCCGTACTTGAGGACTCAGAGTGGCCCTGGGAAGCGAGTGAGGGGCAGCAGATATCCCCGCCAGGGTCCAGGAGCAGATAGGCACCATCACGGGCTCTTCGGTGTACTTGATACCCGCATTGGACCTAAGAAGCCTTAACCAGCAGGCTGTGGTGGCGGGTGGCTTGCGGGCTTCTCCAACTGAAAACCAGCTGAGATCTAGCGCTCAGTTCTGTTCCAATTCCTTCTGACTTGGTGGCATGCCTAGCAAGCCCCCTGTCGACATCTCCTCAAATCGGCTTTGGAGGCACGTCCTTGACTTTCGTCAGGGCTTGCGTTCCCAAGCGTTTAAAAAGCCCACTGGCAATTCAGGCATGCATTCACAAACTCCTGGTCCCTTCAGCTTTTCCATCAGCAGCACACGCTTGAGGACTTTTGAGCTGTACAGGGGGTTAAGGGGCCTCGAGGATTAATCCTTTTTCGTTGCCGAGTTTCAGAGAAATGCACAATTAAGCACCCCCTGTAGTCCTGGGTCTGGCCAATATACTTCTAGATCAATGATACTCGATACATACCTCGTAAACTCATGAGGTCCACTGTTTGATCTTCATCCACTGCCATCTGCCATAAGAGCCTATTCGTACCACTGTCTAGGTTAGCCTTAGGCACCGCGGCTTACTGGCGTGCCCGCTGTTCTTCCGTACATCGTCTGCTGTGCTCTGCAACTCCTCATGTCTACCCAGACTGTGCACCACATCACCCCTTCTAACCTTGTCGGACCAGGCCGGCCGCAGGTTTGACTGGTCGTTGACACCTGCCCTAGAGGCACACCTTCTGCCCAACCATCGTCTTCATTGCTGCGAAACGATTTCAAGGCTTTGTACTCCCTGCTCCAGCACACCGAATGTCAAACTCGAAGCGACTGCAACGCGACCACACGTCCAGCGCAAGTCATAAGAAATGACTTAGCTCGTCAACTGCTTGAGTCCCATCATCACCACCCTCATCAGTCTCGATGGCGGATGATGAAAATGCAAACATGGCAGACTCGCCTGGAAATGGCCATTCTCGTGATAGAGTCCATCATACAGTCACCGCTTGTGTGCGTTGCAGACAGGTGCGTCGGTCTTGCTACGCCTGTAATTACCGTTTACTGACTTGAGTTCAATAGAGAAAAACACGGTGCGATCCAGCCTTGCCTCGATGTGAGCCATGCGAACGCAGTAATGCGCACTGCGAATACTACGACTCCAGCAAAAACAGGACCATTCCCCGAACATACATCACCTCACTGCAAGAGACGGTGCGACGTTTGAATGAGGAATTGAAGGTCCTTGAAAAGGAGGAAGACTACGAGCCGGATAATGAGGCCATGGCCCGTGGTGCTGGCCTGGTCAAATTCAATGAGAACGATGAATCTCGATTCTTAGGTCCTTCAAGTGGTATAGCCATCACCCGCTTTGTGATGGAGTTTGCGAAACAAAACTCCACCCGAAGGACCATCAAAGATGTTGTGCCTCACCACGCGGCACAGGAAATCAAACAGAAATTCGATGCAGAGAGCAGTAAGCCGACTTCAAAGGTCTATCCTCTTATCAGTTCGGTCGCTGCTCCAGACCTTCCCAACCGAGACCTGATGGATCGCCTTATCGAAATATATATGGTCAAAGCCCAATATATGCTTCCTCTACTCCATGAGCCATCCTTTCGCCAAGATCTACAGGCTGTTTATGATGGCTCAAAAGACCCAACTCTGAATTTTCAAGTCCGACTTGTTGTGGCCATCAGTATGCAAAAGCTCGATACGCAGTACGCTGGCTTAGCCGATAGCTATTACCTGGCTGCACTACCATTCCTCACAGGATCAGTTCAAAAGATGGATTTGACAACTCTTCAGTGCTTCGCCTTGATCGCGCAGTATTCCCTGCTTACGCCTACTAGAACTGCCGCCTACTGGGTAGTCGGACTCGCGGCCAAATTGTGTCAACAGCTAGGATTATGTGAGGAAGAAACTATCGTCAGACCTCCAACTGGTGCACAGCCCAACGCGCTGGAGATCGACATGCGGCGGCGACTTTTCTGGATCATCACATCCATGGAGTATGGGCTGTCTCACAGTCTTGGTAGACCCAGTGCCTTTGGGGTGACGGTTGACAATATCAATGTCGGGTTTTTCGAACTTTGCGATGATCGATTCATTAGTCCTGATGGACTGCTTCCAGGTCACCATCCGATCATGAAGAAATGTATTGCAATACATTTTCTCAAGATGAGGCTTCTGCAAGCCGAAATAAGAAGAACACTATATCTGAAGAAGCGCGAAACGCCAACGCATGAGAACGACCCGTGGTTTCACAGCATGCTCCAGAAGATCGATGACTGGGTGCGAGATTGCCCCAAGAACGACGAAGGCAGTGGGCTCAGTGAAACCTGGTTCATCGGCCGCAAGAATACCATGATCATATTCATGTATCGCCCATCACCACAAATACCCACTCCGACACTAGATGCAGCCCATAAATGTTACGGCGCAGCTATCTTCAACATTCAAATGCAAAAACGTCAAGTCGAAGCTAGACTGATAGACATTACTTGGATTTTCACGCAAGCCATATTCATGGCTCTCAATACGGTGCTGTGGTGCATTTCATACCCGGGCATAAGACAACAGCACCCGGTAGATGAAGTGCTCCTGCACATAGAAGATGCGTTGAAAGCCATCGATATGTGCGCAGATCGCTGGCCCGGTGTCAGATCCGCGCAGCAGCTTTATGACAATCTTGTGTTGGGATGTCTAAAGGCATACGAGATTGACAAGACAGTCGAGTCACCAACATCAGACTATGTGTCAACCACAACCCAAGATGTCAGTTCTTCCGCCTCGCAGTTTGCAAACAGTCCGGCGAGCACAGCTAACACCTCGATATATGGCCCACAGTCACCACAGTCGATTCACAGTTCACATGCTCCGAATCATGCTTTCATCAATGCAGCTACTGGATACATCGACCATACCAAGCAACTCTATTCGACTGATGTCGCACCACATGTTTCCCAATCGCAGGCAATGGGTGGGCAATACATGGCTACACCAGTCCCACAAATCGACATTCATCCCCAAGCCTTACACTACAGTCTACCTGCTTTTGATCCACACAGTCACGGTGGATATATACCCACGACCTCCCAAGGTGGAAGCAGCTGGACAGCGGCCCCCATGATGCCTGGCGTTCTTCCCGGCATCACCGGGTCACCGAATATGAATTATGACGACCTTCCATATCTTGCTCCTTTTGGGCACGAATATTCACGTTACATGCAACAGTCTTATCCATCGCAGTACCGAATGCATACCCTGAGTGAACAGCAGCAGATGGAGCTAATGGCCTCGCTTGAGCGAAGCCAACTTCCTGATGTTTCTGGTCTTGTGAGCGACGCAACTACCTTTTATACGGCCCAACTTCCATGAAAGATGCGAGACGACTTCATCACGATTCCACTTACGATGTGACTAGTGACATCTCCCCATAGCGTTGCTGCACAACTAAAACTCCTTATTTCTCGCGATGCGAGATAAGATATGGCGACCGGCAGGTCGGCTGATATGCCAGCTAATCTTGGACCTAACGAACGGACCGCTACGACATGTTATATCACAAGCCTGTTGGCATTGTCCGCGTCCAGCACGAATTCGGGTCATTACGAATGAGTCGGTACCAGAATAAATTCTGGATGAGGGCGTGTGTCATGCTGCCTACCACGGAAAGTTATACTGCATGGCAGTGTAGTAGAGACCCTGCGATGTAATAAGGCATCACCAGGCATCCAGTTCCGAAAGATAGCTTTGTCTATGACATCGACCTGGGCGATTCCCGATACTGCTACCCATTTCTTGACACGCACGGTTCGTGTTGAAATAGGCAGAAGTTCGGACGCTGCTTTTGTTGGACCTATGACACGATTCAACGATTGCAACAGGTGTGCAGCACACCGACTTGAATTATTTGCCCTTCAACAAGCAATTGGAGAGGATGCTCGGGGTCAGCGGTGAGTACGAGTTTCACGGAGCAAGAAGTAGCGAGAGAGTTTGATCGTGCGAAAGCCATGTTTCGAGGACACATGCTAGAGAGTGTGTCGTGTACAGGCTGTCGCCCCAACCAAGACCTACGTCCAAGTAGCATGAATGACGAAATAACGATAAAATGATCATGCACGTGTTTCTGCCTGCCACTGGACAATGTAGAATCCATGATAAAAGTACCGTTTCAGAAGAGTAAGCTTCGGCTGGTCTTGCCTGCTCCTCAGTTGGAGGTCACGGAGGTCACGGTGTCGTGCATGAAGGCTGCTACCCTTGCACCGGCTGCACCGCTCGTTCCAGCGGCCATTTGCAGGTGTGGCTTGCTCAGCCACCTGAGGCTGCACCATGATGCTCACCGGTCCACCTTCAACCAGAGCCAAACCACACTGACGGACGCCTTATACTGCACGCTACTAACGCCTGCTCACAATACGATTGAATCGTAACATGAATCATTTGGGAGGGTGAAGGTTCTACTTGATGATTTGGTAGCAGTACCAATATAGTTAAGCATCGAAATCAGAGTTGCGTATAAATGTTTCAACCACCAAGTACATACACTCCCATACCTTATGACGCCACAACTTCTCCAGCCAACATGGTCTGCATCCAAAGATCACGTCTGGTCCATCACTTATTGGCTCAGGTGAGTCAGGTCAAGTCGACGCTCATGCACGTCTATTTACAGCCCTACAGAAAGCGGCAAGGCGCGGTCCCGTACACGAGAAAACGATCGCCCAAATCCGAGGCGGCGGGTCTGCACAGCCTCAATATGGAACAAAGCCACGTGGGAAATCCGCACGGCTCAATTCACCTCGTGCTCATCACTGGATCTTTCTTTCGCAACCTGGTACTCACCTGCAGATATGCAGCCACGGCTGGCGACTAGGAACAAAGTTCCAATACTGGGTGGAGAAGGATGAAGAGCGTGCGAGGAGTGCAATGACATCCTTGACAACTCGTGATGCGCAAATGGAAAATGTGCTGTTGGAGCCGAACTTGCACACCCACCCATCGCTCCACCACGGCTCCTGTTGCTATATACTTTCGATATCTTTGCTTAGGTGCATGAATAGCCCAGGGCCCATGTTCGTGTTCCCGTGTATGTGATCACGATGATGCTGCACTGCATCCTCCCAGGTACGGAGTACTTGGTCAGGAACAACTAACTTACATTCCGGCGCCATAAGATCCGCCATGCATGCAGACCTGCAATTGTTCATGCTATTCAAACCCTACAACGTGTCGTGAGAGGGCCGGATGACTCTGATCCCGGAATGCCACCAAATTTCATCCTGCCTCCATATCTACCTGACATATTGTTCCCTACTTCTCTCCTACCTACTAAACCCGCCCCATCTTTTGTTTTCCTGGTTTGCGGAGTGACGAGAGAATCAAGAAATTGTCTGCCGGCCAGCTCAAGTACTATTGTTTGATCATTGGAACACAATCTTATCCTCTCCCGTTCTTGCTTTCATGGTCACTCGTTTACTCTATTCACTTCCAACAAGCAAAGCAGTGCTAGCACCCCCTTTCAAATCGAGACGAGTCGGCCCCATTTACGTCCTGCAGAGCAAGGGTATTGGAAAACGACGCACAATTCGAGTCTGTTGGAGCCAGACTCGATGCACAAGGCATGGAGTTCCCAGACTCGTCGTTGTCCACTAGGAACGGAGTTACGCATGCGTATCATGCTGCCGTTCCACTTCCTCAGCAACACCTTGTGGAGGAGTCTCAATCGAGGATGAATGGCCCCTGGGCGATTCATGTTGACAATACCTATGCGCTGCCGATGCCGATGCCGATGCCGACAATAGAAACTCAGCAACAGGGTTTCAGTGTTACACTCAATGGCAGTACTCCCCAGAGTCGGGCACTCAACGAGATGCTGGCTCCCCTTCTCCGACATAGTGACACCACCTATTTCACAGAGGCCATCTCTACTTATTTGAAACTGCCCGAAGACCTCTGGCAGGCGCTGCGGCTGATCCGAGAGTCCGCATTTTCGCACGAAATCCTACGTGACGGTCTATCTCAGGATATATGGCAACTGATGGTCAGGTTACGAGACGAAGTCAACTTCAAACACCTGCAGCCTCTCGTGGTGACCACCTTTGTCGAGCATGCGACTTTCATAGAGACAGCGCCAACAGGGACATCTCAAACCCATTCGCGATCGGCATCTGGTGCGTCCTGGTACGAAAGTGGGAAACAACAAACGGGAAATGGTGCCAGCAGGCCAGCACTACACCCATCACACGCGACGAGTCCCAGCTTGAGCGGGTTTCAGTTCTCAAGCCCGGTGCAGCAGGAACATTCCATGCAGACCCGCTCGGTGACTCCCGTTTCCATCATGTACACCAGCAGTCGAAACACTTCTCGAAGCCCTTGGCGCAATAAGAAGGGCAAGGCTCCTGCAGGTCAATTGTATGTCTGTCCGTTGCCCAATTGCACGAAGAAGGGCTTCAAGAATGTCGGCAACTATATCAATCACATGCTGCGGCTGCATGCCGGATACCCGCGACATGACCCGGAGACATCATTGCAGCCTGAGTCGTCACCGTCGCTCGATGGCGGTGAAGAGTTCGTCTCGCCTGCCGCCACCACAGCCAGCAACTCTCCTCTTCTGGTGCGACACCTATCACAGGACTTGAGCAGTTTTGGCGATGTGCATTCGAGCTTTGGGCAAGACGAGTCAAATCCGTCAGCTGGCATAAACCGCAGAGCCAGCGATGTAAATCCGGAGCACTTCGACTTCTCCTCCTCGATTGCTTCTGCGAACGGGGTTTCGGACGACGCTACGGAGATGGTTGACAACAGGCCAGATTTGTACGAGGTAGAGGAGGACCAGGTGTCCTCGCCTACAGATACTGGTGGTATGTCGTTCGGCATGTTCCAGGCCACCATACTGAGCGCTAGACGCTCCTCCCTCCAAAAGCGGTCTTATTAGTACCCGTGTCAGCCGAGGCGATGGCGACGAACCGGTCAAGAAGTTGATCCGCGAGGACGTGAAACATGAATTAGCGGAAGACATAATGATGGCAAAAGAAGGAAAAATTGAAAACTGAAAATTGAATTCGAGGTCACGGCGAAGGAAGGCATCCCCGAGTGGGTGAGAGAGCAACTTCATCTGCCGCGGGCGGCATATCAGTAGCTTCTCCTGCGTGGGGTGCCTGTGACTTGTCCATCGGGGAAAAACCTGTATTTTATTGAGTGGCGGAGTGGTAATGGAGGAGGGAAATCTGGGGAACGATGATCGTGCACTATCACAATCATTCAGAAGGCGAAAATGTGAGGAGCAAAAGCCACACTCTGAGGCTGGTACTCAGAGGCGCAACTCCCATTCGTTCGGAAAGTCGTGTATTCCGCATTGGGCGTATGTATGAATCTGCGTTTCAAGTGTATGTATCATCTCGACGCCAGAACATAATCTTCAATCAGTTTACGGACAGATAGACCACGAAACGCAAGAATGGCTCTCGGCTGAATTGCTTCTCAGATATGTAAAATACCTTCTCACTATTGTACAGCCCTTGATGAAATCTCTTGTATCAAGTACTACTAAACGTGGGGGAAAGCGGCTTGATGACTTTAGATATTAAGGCCGCCACCTCACCGAGTTTGTCAATATTCGAGAGGCTGGGCAGAGCGTTCCAAAAGGCTGTCTTATGTCAAACACTGGCAGTGGTGAATGAGGAGCAGCACTTCTCGCCAACTCCCGTCAGGTTGAGGTCCATTTGAGTTTGACGACAATCGTTGCGATCGGCCAGGTCAAAACATAAATAAGGTGATTTTCGAGCCCGTATTACCTCGCCTATCATCAGAGAAGTCACGGGACGGTCACAGGATGGCCACACGATGATGAACACGGAAACAAGCCATGCCAGTTTTCGCAATTAACGCCGTTGAGGATTTTCCATCTGCGAGTCATGCCAGATCCAGCACTACTTGGATTTCGCGATTATTTGTGGAGGCAAAGACTGAGATTGGCGAAGAGCAGGCGGAGCAAAGTACTGCGCATTCAGTCGCCAGATAAAATAAGCCGCCAAAACTTTGTTTACTGCTGTACCGATGGTGCTCTGCATGAATAGTACGATGTCGCATATCCGCGAATGAGAGGGGAGATGCCCAAGATCTGAAACACACCTGTTAGAGCTAGCTAGAAAAGGAGTCTCGGCTGGGGACGATTAAATGGAGGCAAGAGATGATGTTCGGATGTAAGACGTCCTTCGGAAGTGTAAATTTGTACTCGGTAGATTCTAGTTAGGCTTGTAGTCCGATCACTGCATGAGGGCGAGTGGAGTGGCGGCGAAAGCCATTTGGAACGAGTTATCTACGTTTACCACTGCTATCGATAACCGATAATCGAGATTGCGCAAATTCATCGCACTGACGGATACCTATCGATTAGATTGCGGAGTGGCTGGGGTTGTTGGTGGAACTTTGGTGGCCGCTAGGTGTCCAGGCAGGCATGCATGTTTGTGCCTTAGGTGACTACTTCTCTAGCCATTGTTCGCGAAAGCAGGTTGCGACCGTGGGCGTAGTATAGAGGGGGGAATCGATCCAGTCTAGACTTCGCAGGGTGATACATGGAACAAATTCCAGCTTTAAGTTCTCATAATTTCACGGTTTTGGGTTTGCCGACCTAGGTGCCAGGTCAGCAGGATATGATATGATGTCAAAGACAGCGGGAGTGTTTCGGAATTACAGGCCTGATCATCGTGGCCTTGGGCATTTGGCGGGCCTTCCTACATATCTAGAGATACTCGTAGTCAGAAAATGGTGATGTCGAATCCCGAGTGCTGCCTGGCGCACAATCGCTTGGCTAATGCAGACGACCTCGTCTTAGTATTGTGCGTAAGCCATGAGTTTAGCCACAACACGCTCGGTCTGCCTCGTTCCTCGAGAGTGCCACTTGGTAGCCTGGCTCCACTTGAGGGTTGAAACTTGGAAGTGAAGCGTGCATCAGGTGGCCGAGAACATGAAATCGAAACATGCCAAACCGGGAAAGAAGGTTGATGACACCTGCCTTGTAGAAGGCTATTTTGATGTGGTCCAGTATGTGGGCTGCAATGAGTGCGCTCTGGACCTGCCGGAGATATCTAAATATGTAGGGCTCGGGGGATGTGCTGACCAAAGAACTAGTTAGTTTTGAAAATCGACCCAACTAAACAAATGAACAAACTCGAAAGATCGGACTCGAGACACAAATGCAGGAGTCCAAGTGAGCGGAGTTGGAGGAAAATCAAAACCTCAGCCTGCGTGGGTGATGAGCATCGATCGTTCAAGTTGATACCTGGCCAGTCACAAAATCGATATTGATTTTAAAATTGTGATGCATCAGATCCCAGTACCACAGGACCCAATATTCGATCGGAAGGTACGAAGCAGCTCAGAGAGCAGCGCGCACGTAGCAAGTGGTTAGGTGCTGGCGCTGGTGAGATGACAAGCGGGAATTCTTTGAGCAGGTACCAGCGGGCCATGACAGGCTGGAAGAGGTTTACACGTTCAGTCTCGACACCACATCGTGAAGTTGAGGCTTAAATCCGCGCTCTGAATTGGACAAAACGAGTGCTGGAGGAGGCAAATGCAAGGCTCAACTTCAAGCAGAAGCCGCACTAGCAAATAGCCAGCAAATAGCCTACAAATTGGACGAACGACATTGCAACATCCAGAGGGGACCCCTGGAAGCGGTCTACGAGTCAGATCAACAACAAGCACTTTTCGGTCTCGAGGCCCGCCATAACTGTCGGCGTCACTGAGCTCGACCTCCGCTCCGGGTGTCCTTCACAGCCCCCCAGTGGTGAACCTAGTGGGTGTGGAACTATTCAAGAATCGAGAGTTTGGAAGAACTATCTCGGCCCTCAGCCATCCCTAACTCGTAGTCGTGCCATTCTTAACTACCCATGGCGAGTACGTTGTGCGCCTCGAAGCCCGTCCGTCTACCTCATCAGTCGGTCTTGCGTAATCACATGGATACAGTATGTGCCCTATTATTATATACCTATGTAGATTACCCACACGTTCCAAACCCAGCTACTTCTACCCAGGAAACTCTGTTGTGAGCATTGAAACTACCGCTATCATCATCTCCGAACGTATACTTGGTGTTCATTTATTGTCGAAGTGACGAATATTGAGCAGCTACTTGTACTTCAGTGATCTACTTGCACTGTCCGCTACTAGCACTGTACTGCAAAATCCTTTGCGTACAGAGGTGTCAGTAGCAGGCCATAGAAAATGAACTGAACACCTCCTACACGTGGCCATTGATCGAGACCAATTCACCTCGCCTGGGGAGCCACTATCACCACAGCATCTTCTTAAAATTTACTGTGAAGATTGTGCCATCGATCGAATTTCGCACAGGAACGGAGACCAACATCGAATACTGCAACTCCAGCACTCTCACTTCACCATCCTCATACGGTCTAAAATCTTGTGAGCTTCGACCGACGCCTAAAACATCCTCCCATTCTGGGGCAAGGCTCCCTGATCTCCAACAAAAAGCGGATCATGGATCGGTTCGGCGGTACCCCGCAAGACAACATGGCCACGCCCACCCTCAGCTTCACCCAAAAGCCGACCAGACCAGCACCACCCGTGCCTGACGTCCAATTATTACTCAAACGACTTATGGAAAACCCAAATTTCGACTACTATCATCAGATAATCCACGACTATCTCTATGCCGACGATCATACCTGGTCAATCTTGTTGCTTTTGCGCGATGATCCCACTGGTCTCTTTTCTACCCATCACCGATCTACGACACAGACGCCCCCACAAGATATTTTCCAGATAATCTCTGAAATTAGAAACAGTGCTAACTGGGGTCGAGAGAAGAGCGCGATTGTGAACCGAGTCAATAGCGGAAAGCGGAAGCAACCTTTCAACGGCCATCCCGGCTTCTCCCACAATTACACTCGTCGACCACAGTTCAACCCTTCATTGTCGGCCTCAAGAGTAAGCCAACTAAGGAATGTTTCAAACGTTCCCTCTCTTGACTATACTTGCTCAGATAACCTCAGCAACTATGTGGAATCATCTAACCGAGATGCTGGGTCTATATCGGTTGATGGTCGCAAAACGGCCCCTGATGGTTGGAGGTTCTTCTGTCCTTCGAAGAACTGCAAAAGCACCTACGCTAGGCAAGGAGACTATGAAAACCATATGGATCAGAGGCATGCAGAGTTCGGACCCCATAATCCCCAAGACTCGCTCAAAAGAATATCCCAGGGTTTCAAGGGCGGCAACAACCCTCAAAATGAGCACCTCACACAGAACGCAATCAATAATAGTAACACTAATTCGCCAGCACCACCCTTCCATTCGTCCACTCCATTCTTGCAACTTTCGACGCCCAATGCCCTGAGTTCTGATGCGCAACATCACCAGGATGTTATTCCCGACCTGCTCCACCCCACTGGCACGCATATTCATTTGACTCCCCAAGATATCGAGGACCCGACCCACTTGGCTTCTCGCATCAATCAAAGCAATTATTTCTATCAACACTTTGTCGATATCTTTGAAGGACAACCATTTTTCCCAGATCAAAATATTCAGACTTATATGCCACAGAATCGTACCCACTACGACAACGAAATGACCATGGAATAAGCCGGGCCTGAGATTTAAATCTTTACCATACAGAATAATTCCCTGCACCAGTATTTCTGGTGCCGCTGCTGTGTATTCTGTGGCGAGTCAGGATGCTAATCAGGACCGCATCGTCAGCATCTAATAATATACCGCCCATTGCATTGCTGCATAACGAAGGAGAGCAACTCTCACTTTTTGGGGAAATTTTAATTCTTTCATTCGGAGTTTTTGGACAGGGCATTGGCCTGCAACAGCGAAGGAGTTGTTTTTGTATATCATCGGAGCGGCACTCTGCTTTATTCAAATTGTCTCATAGAAAGTGTGGCATTTGGCGGTGCACGAGAAGGTGAGGCATTAGCAACATGTTGATATCCAATTTCGGTACCGATGGAGTTCGGAATTGAACAACAAAAGACGTTGAGGCCGAATTATCGGAATTCGAGGCTGGACTACACCACAGCTCATGCGGCTTCCGCCCGCTACTTACATGACACGGCGCAATATTGCGATTTCGAGATACCCCATTGGATGCATCATTGATGCCATTGTACAACAGCAAACCCAATCACGAGATGACAGCAGCCAGAAAGCGATCATAGAGGTGATGAATGACCATGTAGGAGTAATGATTGCTTGAGCTTAGCCTGAGTACCCTGTATTGTTGACGAGAGAGTGTGGCTATGTGACTTGGCCTACATGCCCGATCTGACTTAGCAACCTAACTACTTAGGCACCGGGGTATCGAGTTGTTGACCACGGTCACACCCGGATACTCGGTATTCAGCATATCTTAGCCTCCTAACTAGATGGCCAGCTTGGAGTGCTACTCGTAAAATACGATCAGCTCGGCACTGGAGTTTTACCTCGGTGCGTCTCGGTCGGTGTCAGGCTGCCGGTGCGGGGCGTTTTCTTTGCAGATAGTAATCATGGATCGTTTCCTCTGGAACAAAGAAAACTAGATACAACACACCTTTCCTGTTGTTTGCATTCCTCTGACCTTACTTCGACACTCAATTACTCATTGACATTGTTGAAAATCCACAACTTGGTTGTAATACTGCCATATCAAAGTTCACCACCAGATCACACGCCCATCATGGCACCTAAATCGCAGACTAATGCCTATGTCCTAGGCGTGGGCATGACGAAGTTTATTAAACCACGTCGTCTTCGCCCATATACTGAGCTTGGCTTTGAAGCTGGTGCTAAAGCTCTCCTAGATGCTGGCATTACTTACGATGATGTCGAGACAGGCATTGCATGCTACTGTTACGGTGACACCACATCTGGCCAGCGTATCTTCTATCAATTTGGAATGACGAACATTCCCATTTATAACACCAACAATGCCTGTGCCACGGGTTCTACTGGCCTACAGCTGGCGAGGACCTTGGTGAGAGGTGGAGTGGTCGACTGTGCAATGGTTATTGGTTTCGATACTATGAACCCCGGCAGTATTAAGTCGGTCTGGAACGATAGACCAAGTCCGATGGGATTGGGCACTAAGATAATGGAGGAGACCTACGGAAAACACGACTCTCCTAGAAATGCGCAGTACTTTGCGAATGCTGGAAGGGAGTACATGGAAAAGTGAGTATAGCGCTAGGACCCCCATGGTAACATTATCGTCCTTGTCGAACGTCACTAACGGTCTTGTCCTCAGATATGGTGCTGAGCCTCGTGACTTTGCGGAGATCGGCCGTGTTTCCCATGAGCATTCTTCCCGTAATCCCTATGCCCAATTCAACCAGGTTTACTCGCTTGAAGAGATCGAAAAGTCACCAATGATCCACTATCCGATCACCAAGCTCCAATGTAGCCCGACCTCAGACGGATCCGGTTCTGCGGTTATCGTCTCCCAGAAATTCCTCGATGAGAGACCCCACCTGAAATCGAAGGCAATCCTCATGGCAGGACAGAGTCTAATGACTGACTCACCCAAGCTCTACTCCCGAAGCGCAATGGACCTCGTTGGATTTGACATGGCAAAACAAGCTGGAAAGGCTGCATTGGCCGAAGCTGGTATCAATGCGAAAGATATCAAGGTGTGTGAAATGCACGATTGCTTCAGTGCGAATGAGCTCATCACTCTTGAGGCTCTGGGCTTCTGTGATGAGGGCAAAGCCCACCACATGGTGAGAAATGGAGATATCACCTACGGCGGGCAAGTTGTTATCAACCCATCTGGAGGCCTGATCTCCAAGGGTCATCCCTTAGGTGCGACTGGATTGGCACAATGCTGTGAACTGACATGGCAACTCCGAGGATGGGCCAACAACGGCCGACTTGTCAAGGGAATAGACTCTGCTTTACAACATAACCTCGGTCTTGGAGGAGCAGTCGTTGTTACTGTCTACAAACGGGCTGATGGCAAGAAGAACACAGATGCCACAGTCAGTGATGCAGAAATTGCCAAGTCGAGCGGCTTGGGATACAATCCTGCTGTTGAATGTAGACAAATCACTAGTGACGTCGCTGACAAGATCCGGAGCAAGGAGGCCAGGTCTGACTATGCATTGGGCGATACGCCAGAGAGGTTGCAGGCGAGATTGTAAACGTCTTCCAGAAGATGAGCTAAGGCATATCTCTGAATTGTTCCTGCGGAAGACCCAAAATTGACATCGTGTTTGTATGATAAGAGCAAGTTCGAGAATCCTTCAAAGCTTTCTATCAAAGACGAAGAAATTTACTAGCTTCCACCACCTTAAGTGTCTTCCGAGGTTTGTTATCGGGACACGATAAGCCAACCCCGCACGGGGTAAAGATGATCCAGGATCCGCTTGGCACTACCCCGCATTCCGGTTGATTTGACATCACTGCCGTGCAGTTTAAGCTTTTCGATTGCGCTTTAGGCTTGCTCGGGTAGTTATGCTTTTCTCGATACAGGATCTTCGCTTGACCGGGCCCTAATTCCATGATTCTCCTTCCGGGGAGAGCTACTAGTACCCATTGATGTCATCGGGAAGCTTGGAGGATGGAAACCAGGCACAGAAAAGTCGGGAGCTTGCTGCTTGATAATGCCAGCTTAAATGCATGTGCCAGAGCGGATGGTAAACTATCATTCTTCTCTGCATGCTATCATCCTTCGTATCGTGGATCACGCGGCCCTCGAGTATTTATCATGTTGGCTCTATTCATCGCAGCCTGCGCTGTGTGGCTTCAACTTGGCCTCGCTCAGAGCTCTGGCTCGTGTCCAGCAGTGACGCAGCACCTGACAGACCCTCCTTACGAGAATTTCTTCTACTCTGACTGCAATAGTGATACACAAGTTGTGGTTACCAGTCCGCTACCTGACTCGAATCTATCCATCATCGGCCCTCGACTCGTCGTTGCTTGGCCCGCAGGCAACAGTGGCATCTGTACCTTCTTCCAGCCACAGAATGGTGCAAATGGTTCGCTAGCTATTGAACTCGTCAATTCCACAATTGGCACTCCCTTGGCTCCGGTATTCAGAAATGCGTCTGATTCCGACTACCCAGTCGTTGGAGTGCAGGGAGTACTTGCATTCAACAGCTCTGCGACACTAACCATCCCAATTTTGGGTAGCATCAGAACGATTCGCGATTTTACCGAGGGGCCCAGTCTGCTGAGACCAGTGATCCAAGATGCTGTCAACGTTACCCGCTTCAATGGCACAGGGGCCTCTTTCTCAAGACTGTGGCTCGACAACGTAACCACTACTACTTTCACAATGATGCCGTCCAGTAACACTCAGACGAACATCACCATCGACTCTCGCAACAAGACTATTTCATTTGGTGCCGGGTTCTACATATTCTCTGCGAGTTTCAACTATCCCCAACTCACCCAACTTGCCCCGGATCAGGTTCTGAATACCGCTTCACAGTCACTTATCGAGCAGCAGCCTGATCAAACCACTTCTTTGTCTTTCTTGTCTTACACGGAAAAGCTGCTTGCCGGAGCATGGCGATTTCTGACTTATTTTGGTCGAGATAGCATGATCAGTGCGCTCCTTCTGGAACCAGTGCTGTCTCAAGGCAATGGCTCAGCCACAGAGGCTGTGATTGGCGCCGTTCTGGAACGTATCAATCGTACTGACGGCTCAGTCTGCCACGAAGAGACCATTGGCGATTACGCGACATATCTGAATCTTGAGGAGAACATTACCAGCACTGATCCAGGTTTCACATATCCTATGATTGATACCGACTTCTATCTACCAGTCTTGATGCAACAATATTTCAACAGCAGCCCTGATCGTGTCCAGCCCCTCTTGTCTCGAAAAGCAGGAACTGTCGACCCTGAGAACGCAAATTTGACATATGCGAATCTTACACTGATCAACGCTGAGAAGATCATGAATATCACCGCTCCATTTGCTCGAAACCAAACCATCGGAAATCTCCTTCATCTCAAAGAGGGTGAAATTGTCGGGCAATGGCGAGATTCAACATATGGCTTGGGAGGTGGCCAGATCCCATTTGATGTCAACACCGCGCTCGTCCCAGCTGCCCTCCGTGCTATCGCACAATTGGCACGCTCGGGCGTTTATCCAAATAATACCCGAGTGAACACGACTGCATGGAGAACTCTAGCCGACACCAATGCTCAAGTTTGGGAGGAGAAGACCCTCCAATTTTTCGAGAGCAACATCACAGCCGACGAAGCAAGAGATCGGCTCCAAAACTTTGTGGACACTGCGACCTTCTTCAACGGACCCACCAACGATTCTTCTCTACCAGAAGACGGCAACATCACTTCCTATGCGATCGCGCTGCAAGGCTACAACAACCTCTCATCCGTGGACGTTCTCCACAGCGACACTGCATTCCGTCTTTTCTTCCTGAATGCATCATCGTCGAGTCCGGAAGCCGAGGCGCAAGAAACACGTTTCATCAATGCAACAGCCGACAGCCTTGTCAGACCATTCCCAGCAGGCTTGCTGACACCACAGAGTATGGTTGTTGCAAATCCAGCACTATCCGGCTCGGATGTCCTCACGGAGAACTTCACCAACGCCGCCTACCACGGAACTGTGGTCTGGTCGTTCCAATTAGCCATGATGGCCAAGGGTCTCGAAAGACAACTTGCGAGGTGCAACTCCACGAAATACGTCGCGCCCAATACAACCCAGGTCCCACAGTGGTGCGACGATGAGACCGTCGAACCGAACGTTCGCCGCGCTTATAACGCTCTCTGGGACAGCATAGAGAATAACGCTGCCCAGCTGCAGAGTGAAGTGTGGAGCTGGACTTACAACAATGATACTGATACCTACACTACCACACCCCTTGGAGCGCTGCCGCCTCCACCGGGGGTGAGCTCGGGAACGGAAAGTAACGTTCGTCAGTTATGGAGTCTGACTTTCTTGTCGGTAACGAGAGATGCTAGTCTGGCGAATGATGATTCTTAGTAGCAAGATCTTGGGCACTACTATGTAGTAGGGACTACTTACTGAGTAGTTAATCTTTACATATCATATGATGGATTGGTAATGTGCAGGTATTGAACAAGCAGGTTGTGATTAGACCTGGGTAGCAGTAATTATAATCGTCCAGGACGTGGAACATGATGACAGAATGTCTGAAGACTTCTTCAGGGCCATACTAAGTATACAAATCAATACGTTGTGAAGTCTAGTACTTAGGTCTAGTCGCTTAAGTAATTATTAAGTCCGCAGTATGCAAGTCGACCTTCTAAAAGTGCCTTCCCCACTTTCTCAAGGTCGATTCTGCAGACTGTTGGGTGATTGCCATTCATGACAATCCCTCAGGTGAGTCATATTGCAAACATCAACGGCCTGGACTGTACGTCTTCTGATTCATCTATGTTTGAATCTTTTGATGCTTAGTGAGAAACCATCGACCATAGCTGTCTAGACTGGAGATGGCATTGTTTCGAGCTTCCAAGACCATCAATCTCAGCACTGGCCACATATACGCATATCTCTACCACCGAGCGTCGCAAAGCAGTAGTCTTCCAACTCTATTGTTTCTCCACGGCTTTCCTAGCAGCGCCTATGATTTTCGCTACCAGGTGGATTACTTCGCGCCGAAGGGTTATGGCGTCCTGGTTCCTGACCTGCTAGGTTATGGCGGTACCTCACAACCCATCGACGTGCAGAAATATAGCATGACAAAGATGGCCCGGGAGATCGTCGAGATCCTTGACCACGAGGGGATGTCCAGCGTGGTCGGCATTTCGCACGATTGGGGCTCTGCACTTCTCTCGACGCTGCTGCGACAGCACCATCAACGATTTGATGCCTTTGTCTTCATGGCGACGTATTACGGCGCGGCTCATCCTTATTCGAGCGACAGTGTCTATGATTATGGGAAGCTGAAGGCCATGGCATTTGAGAAGTTTGGGTTCAACGCATTCGGGCATACGATGTTCCTGGGTGATTCCGAGAGGGCAGGGAAGTTGCTGGACGACAATATCGAAAGCTTCTACGATCTTGTCTGGGCCAAGGACCAGGAACTTTGGAAGTCGTATTTCAGACGAGAAGGTGGGATTGAGGAGTGGGTTACAAAGGGGAAGAGGGGAGATGTTGCAGCTTGGGTGGGCGATGAAGAGGACGAGCGAAGGAAGATCATCGAATCTTGGAGGATGGGGAATGGTTTTACGCCAAAGTGTATGTGGTACAAGCAGTTGTTGGACGGCGTCTCGGTGGCAGACGAGCCGGGTAAGTCGAATTCAACTACTAAGTATCTCACCTCTCATGAGGCAAGAGGGCTGACGGAATGGATGTATGCAGCGGACGATTCGAAAGAGCCATTGAAGATCTCACAGCCAATCCTGTTGATGATTGAGCAAAAGGACGTTAAAGGTAGGGGAGAGGGAGCAGAGCAAACTGCCCAAGAAGTTTCAGAACAGGTCTATGTCGAAAAGTGCGACACCTATCACTTTATGATGCTCGAAGATTCCAGGGGAACAAATGAAAAGCTTGAGAGATTTTTCAATCAGCAATTGGGGAGATCTGATGGTGCCCATTGAACTTATGCTCCGTGAAGGGTCTAATCCCAGAGCACCACCTAACTTGTCCAGTGGGCGTGGGAGAGACAAAACGTCCAATATCAGGCAGGTGTCGATGCTCTCTTTACCAGCTAAGATACTTAACCCAGGGTTTCTCCTTCCCAGCCGTGAATGCCCCTGAGACCGCAGAATCATTACTAAGTACTACCTAAGTTCCCCAACCTCTCGGATGCGTCGTTGATCGAAAATGAGATTACCTAAGAACTTTATTACCTAAGTAATCTGCACATGAGTGATGAAATTTGAAAGCCGGTCAAGCTCCACCGTACTCTTATCGGGCGAAGTATTGAGTCACTCAGACACTTGTTCCGCTTAACTTTTAAGGTTCACAACTTCATTTCGAACTTGAAGCTGATCTGTCTGACCCCAGAACTTGTCAGAGGCCGTGGTACCAACAAGGTTACTCATCTGGGCAGCATGCAGCTCAGATTTCTGCGATGGCCCAATACAAGCCGATTCGCAGTGCCCTTCCTACCGCGCCTGAGGATAGGCTGCATGATCTCGCTGGTGCAGCCAGTCTCCATGGAAAGCGACCAAAACGCGTAGCATGTGTCAGATGCAGACAATCCAAGGTCAGATCCCTGCTGCTTGATACATGCAAAACTCGGATGGAATCTGTTCTGTCTCCTGCATACAATGAGGTTGAAGCTAACTCTGACCCAGCTTAAATGTGAAGGCCTGGACAAGAGCACAACTTGTGAACGTTGCGCCAAGCACTCACTGGTGTGCGAGATTGACACGGACTTCAAACGTATCAATAAAAGAGCGTAAGATGGTTCAGATCCTAGGCTCCTACGTCTCCGTAAGCCGATGTGGTATCATGTACTTACAAACAGCAGAAAGCTAGAAGATCTGTCTGAGCAAGTCAAGGAACTTCAATCCTTGATCTCTCGCTCTCAACCGGAGACAAATGGAGAGAAATTGACCACTGTTTCTCCTACAAGAGACACTCATCATACAGAACAAGCGATCGTCGACTCTCCAACTGCGACCACTGAATTGATACCCTTTCCTAATGTTGCGAGACGACGGTCCAATTCGCGGACTCAGTCTAGCGCTCAAGCAGATTTTACTCCCTCGTTCCGGGGTTCTTCAATCGAGTCTCCGGCAGTTTCCAGTCAGCGGGCACAGTCTTTCCACTTGTATAGATCTGCAAATTCGCGTCGCTTGGGAGATCTCCTCCTCGACCAGCAGCAAACCTCAAATCTATTTCAGGTGTATGGAATCCCAACCACCACAATGATAGCATGAAAAAAAGCTCACAGAACTAGGTTTTTCGGCCATTTCCATCCGCACTTTCCTATTTTGAATCCTAATCTAACGCCTGATGATTGTTACGAACGATCGCAGCTCCTTTTCTGGACCATCATTGCGATCGCTTCAAGAAGCTACGCAGAAGAAGCTGGCATTTATGCTGGCCTCAGAGCCCCGCTAGACAAGATGATGTGGGAGAAAATCTCGAGCACTCCGCACTCTCACTTGACTATTCAAGCGATTTTGCTGCTTTGCGTTTGGCCATATTCCTCACCTTCGATGATAACCAATCCTTCATTCATGCTCATATCGATCGCTAAAACCGCCTGTATGCATTTGGGCCTTCATCGACCGGAGATTCTTCAAGACTTTAATCGCGTCAAATTTCGAGTCCTGCCCGAGCATGTTGAAGAAGCTGCCAAAGTATGGGCTGGGTGCTGCATTGTAGCTGAAAGGTCTGCACTTACCCTCAATCCCAAAGGTAATATTCTGACGACGCCTCTAGCATCACCTCTACTGAGGGTCAAAGTCCGCTGTTTGCATCCACAGACCCAACATTGAGTCTCGCCTGCGATGATCAGAATATTTATCATCTGCCTCAACATCTGAGACATTTGCTTGTGATTCAACGATTTCTCAATCGTGTGAATTGCAGCATGACCGCGGATACCACCACTCGTGGCGGCCGTTCATCTGCATATGAAGCTGGAATGCTTCTTGCATCACTCGAGGACGACCTCCATCAACTCGAAAAGCACCTAGGTGTTGATGTAACAGGTCTGTCTTATCCCCCTAAAGCTATTTTCAACTCATGTCTAACATCATAGGCAGATGTTTGTAACATTTGGATTTCCAGTGCTGCCCTTCAACTCCAATCATACTACTTCCTCGAGCCGCTTGAATCGCCGACTCGAAAACATGGCCTTCTGCGGGCCTACCACACAGCGACTAAGTTGATTTCTCAGATGAAACATGCGACTGAGCAAAACAAATTCAATACTTCTGTTCCTCATTACTTCTCACAGATGGTGAAACTCTCAGCTTTGGTTGTCATGAAAGTGCTCTTCTCAAGTTGTTCTCGAATTTTGGACATCGATGCTGGGAAGAAGACGTTCAACGATGCAATCAGTATGCAGCGCTCAATGTCTGTGGAAAACAATGATTTTCCGTCACGGGACTGTGTAGTCCTGACTCATCTTTGGGCAATCAATCAATCATCTGCAACCAAAAGGGACGAAGAACCTACTCTAAGGCTCAACACACGCCACAGTGCTAGTGTACTCCATGATTCACTCTGGGTTTGGCGAAACTATTATGAGGAAAGAGCAATCAATACTGAACATCTTGGACGGCCGCCTCGAGTTCTTCCATCGCTAATCCAACACTCACCAGTCGCAACCATGGACACTCCAAATATCAATGCCCTTTTTGAGCAATATCCCACGCCCCAGGCCGGAGGTCTGGAACAGCAGCTTGGGACCATGCAAGACATGCAACAGCTGCAGCCGCGATTATCCTCGCAAGGCTTACAATCTGACAATATGGCTGGACCCAACAACGGGCTCTTGGTTCAAAACAACTCGATTATGAATGCAACGTCTCCTGACCCGTTCGACTTGATGGGTAACTACATGATACCTGAAGCAGAGTCCAGCGGCATGTTCTACCCTAGTTGGATGTGGGATGCGGGCTTTTCTCTCCAATCTTAACCTACGAATATCGCCTTTGCGACTTCGCACCTTGTTTAAGCTCAGAGTGATCTGTTGAACACCATGCGAACTCGCAAAAAACACTCGACTCGTCGACCCCGACTTCGGTATGATTCACGATCTACATATATCTCTCCTCCATCCACATTACGGGATACACCAGGAGACACGGGGAGTTCAAGCTGACGTACAACCTCAATTTGATTGGTGGTCCGAATGTGTGATCAATGGAACGTTGACCATGCTCTCGGCCCGCGATCGGTGTGATCGGTTTAATCCAATCATTCATTCATCCGAATCGGACTGATGATCGGTTCGCGAGTTCGCCTCTATGATCCACAGTACGTGAGTAAGCATCTCAAGTTCGCAATTGCTCAACGTTCCAATATACATTTATAAACAGCAGACCATTCAATATCCCCTTTGGAGTTTTTCAACTATTCCAGAGACGCGACTCATTCATTGCTCAACTACGAGTACTCAGAAGAAAGAACCATTCGGACACTTTTGCAACCTCATTTAACTCTTCATCAAAGTTGCCAAGGGTCTGTCGACATGGGCTCGATTGCTGCGGACTCTGTCGGCATTGCCCAGCCTAGTGATCCCACCGGGCCAACCGGACGCCTTGCGAATTGGATCGGCAAAGTCACCCTTGGGGATGTACCCGTACACATTCAGAATCGAGCAAAGCATATCATTCTTGATGGCATTGCCTGCCTGATCGTTGGTGCACACCTCCCCGGGTCCGAAGTCGCCGCCAAAGCTATTTTCGACATGGAAGCACCAGGAAAATGCACGGTGTTCGGCTGGGGTGGTCAAAAACTGAGTCCCCTCCAGGCAGCATTGTTAAATTCAACTTTCATCCAAGGATTCGAGCTTGACGATTGGCACTCGGAAGCACCTCTTCACAGCAACAGTCTGGTGCTGCCAGCCCTTTTAGCCGCTGTCGAGCATGACATCTCTTCACAAGTTTCAACGAAAAAGGCACCTTCCGGGTCCGACTTACTCCTGGCGGCTATTGTTGGATTTGAAGTTGGCCCGCGTGTCGGACTTGGACTTTATGGTGCACATATTCTTTCCATGGGTTGGCACTCCGGAGCAGTTTTTGGACCGTCTGCTGCAGCTGCATCTAGCGGCAAGCTACTTGGCTTGAGTCCCGGTCAGATCGAAGACGCCTTGGGCATTGCTTGTACACAAGCTGGAGGTCTCATGTCAGCCCAGTTTGAGAGTGATGTAAAACGTATGCAGCATGGATTCGCCGCACGAAACGGCCTGTTCGGTACACTGCTCGCGAGGGGTAATTATATTGGCATTAAACGAGTCTACGAGCAAGACTATGGCGGTTTCTTGGCCTGCTTCAGCAGGGGCAATGGCAAAGAACCAACGCATCTCCCAGAAGAGGTTGCAAAAGACTTGGGCACGACGTGGAAAACTGAAGGCATTCGTTTAAAGGCATACTCTGCAATGGCAGGCACTCACTGTACGGTGGATTGTGTGAGAGACTTGCAAGAGAAATACCCTACCCGGATGAAGGACTACAAGAAAATCAATAAAATAACGATCGAAATGGGTCAAGCCATGTACCATCATGGTGGATGGGTCGCTGAACGTCCCTTGAAAGCCATTGGTGCCCAAATGAACAACGCCTATGTTGCGGCGACACAGATTATCGACAATGCTGTCACACCTGCTCAATTTAGGCCAACAAATCTTGACAGAGACGAGGTCTGGGATTTGGTGGAAAAAACGACTTGTGTAGAGGAGAATGATCTCCAACATAAATTTGCCACAAGACTCACGATAGCCTTCCAAGCAGATGGCGACAGTCAGCCCTCGGATACAGTCGAATCTCACCTTTCTGGACCAAGAGGTATCTTCCCCGAGCTATCTAATGAGGACATTATTCAGAAGTGGAGAACGCTTGTCTCAGGGCTGATTGACGACTCGCGACGTCAAAAAATCGAAGACCTGGTTTTGAATCTGGATAGTTGTGAGCAACTGACGGATTTCATTGAGCTGCTCACACCACCAACCAAAAATCCATTAGCTTAAAGCAACCAGCCGTGGGCAATACTATCTCTTGACAATATAGTGCGATGTCCTATGATAACTCCCTTTCAGTACATGTTCGTCATGCAAGTTAAACACCACCCAACTGAATGACTTACGGCGTTCCCAATCAGGCCTTCGCAGACGTTTTAAGCCGCAAGCCATCGCAACATCAGGCTCAACAGCCAGGCATCCACTCATCCTCTCTTGCCACCTTGGAAGTCTCGATTCTTTTCCATAGCATACGACGAGGGGTAAAACTTCAAGCGCTCACAAGGCCCATTCGGAAGCTGGCGGGACTCATTGTTAGTGACATACCTAGGTAGCTATCTCTGATGATAACCCAAAACTTTGCCCCAAACCTTGATCCTATATACTAAATCTCACTGTCATAAAGACCGATCGGGCCGATGTATAATTGACCAGTCACATATCAAGCCGCACGCGGTGAATTCATCATATGAGCCTCCTTATACAGGACAATGGTATGAATGACTCTTCTCTCCGAGCACTTCGTACCAAGTATTCCCCACATCGGACTTCTGGTCAAGGTCGGCCTTCGCTATGATTTGGCGGGGTTACAGGGGCAGTTCGGCAGGCCAAGCTCCTCCCGACCATTGAGAATCGCTGCTGCGGGATGCCTGGCGGCTTGGCCTGGATATGTGGAGATCCGGGGGCTTATGAAGCTTCCTTGTATAAATACAGCTTTCAAGACCTAGGAAGATATCATATCCAAGTCACGAACATTCAACAGTCTCTCGACTAAGTTGCAGGCCTGCAAAGTTGTCCCCTTGTTGCTTTGAAAGCCAGGTCCTTCGTACGAGCCAGACCAAGTTATCCCCATCAAATATGGAGAAACAACATACAGAGATGGTGCACGTCGAGGACCCGGGGGAGCAAGCTATCGATCTCGAGATCCAGAAGTCACCAGCCATGTCTGAGAAAGCATACGTGCGCGAGGCTGCGGATGCCGAGAAGACGAAGAAATCGGCAGCGGAGCGCAAGCTCGTCTGGAAGGCTGATGGCACTATAATTCCTTTGGCAGGACTCATCTATCTCGTCGCCTATCTGGTAAACACACCCATTCCCTACCACACCGCGTTGATGTCTTAGACTGACCATGGGCCATTGTTTCCTACAGGACCGCAACAGTATCGGCTTGGCGAACGTTATGGGCATGTCGAAGGATCTTGGAATAACCAATGCTCAATATTACAATTGCTTGATGATGTTCTGTAGGTGCTAATGCCCCAGCATTTGTTCAATCTTTGCGCCGAGTCAATTTCAAGAGCTGACGTGGAGTACACAGATATCGGCTATATCGTCTTCATGTTCCCAGGAAACATCGGGCTCAGAATTCTCCCTCCCCATTACATCCTGGGCGGATGTGCTCTTCTTTTCGGGGCGTTCTTGACTGCCATGTCCAGCGCGCAGGGGTATGAGACGGTGCTGGCAATGCGAGTTTTACTGGGAGCCACCCAGGCATTCATCCAAGGCCTTGGGCTATACTGCTCAATGTGGTACAAAAGAGATGAGGTCGCAACCAGGAGTGGTGAGTTCTCCGAACATCAGTGACTTCACAGGCACGTTCTGGATTGCTGACGTACATCGCCACAAACAGCCATATACTATGGTGCCGCGACCATTTCAGGCGCCTTTAGCGGTCTGATAGCCTACGCGGTTCAAAAGTCGTTGACACTCGAACGGACCGGCAAAGAACCGTGGCGATGGCTCTTCATTATCGAAGGATCTATGGCCTTGTTCGTCGGTGCACTCGTCGTGATCTTTCTCCCCCGCTTCCCGGATCAGCTCCGTGGACGCAAGCATTGGCTATTTACTCCTGAGGAGGTTGAGCTGGCCATACAGAGGATGAGATGTAAGTTTACTGACCAACACTACTGTCTACTCTTGTTCCAGTAGTTGTGCGGCTATCAATCCTCATAAGGAAACCCGTTAACCTCTTCTCCCAACAGCATATAACACGGTTGGTGCAAAAGTCAGCGCGAGACAGGCGTTGAAGACCCTCAAAGACCCTAAATGTTGGCTCTTTGGCTTGACCAACGCCGGTATTGCGACTGGAATTGCATCCGTGGGGCTGTTTCTACCAACCTTCGTAAAGGAGTTCGGTTTCTCAAGAGGTACAGTCAACAACACTAGTCCCTGAATACGAGACAGCCACGACCATGATGAAAAGCTAACATGCATTCCAAATCCACAGAACGAAGCCTCCTCTTCTCCGTGATCCCGTACGCGTGCGCTACCGCTGTGCTCCCGGTTCTAGCTAAGATCTCGGACTGCGTGAACCGCAAGGGGACCTTTCTGATCGGCACACTATCGACCGTCGCGGTCGGCTACATCCTACTGATGAGCGTGTCGTCCACGAACGTCAAGATCTTCGCCGCCTGCCTCATCACCTCGGGCCTGTACCCCAGCGTGATATTCCTGATCACCTGGCTCGGCGTCAACACCGGCGGCTTCACGAAACGCGGCACCACGTGGGCCGTGGCCGAGGTCTTCGGCCAGTGTTTCTCAATCATGGGCACGCATATCTACGATGGCCCCCCAAGGTTCATCAAGGGGCATGCTATCGTGCTGGGGTTCATCTTGCTGGGCATCTTCAATAGCTGTGTGTTGATCTGGTGGATGAACAGAGAGAATAAGCGGAAGGATGCCGAGGAGCAGGAGTACAGAGATAGAGGAGAGGTTCATCCGCATGCTTCCAAGTCTCTGGAGGAGGTTCAGGATGCACATATCTCATTCAGGTATATTTTGTGATAGGTCTCCAACAATTTGTGGTTCGCGAACGCACCGGAGCTCTGACACCGAGATACCAATTTAATGATGAATAGCAGCTTGTGGTCTGAGCTTAATAGCCCGCTATAGAATACTGGACGGAATAGGATTTGATAGATGAACAACCTAACAATATTTATCCCTTAAGCTCATAAAAATCATCACTCTATCTCTATTTAAGCTACCCATTCACGCATCGACAGCTTTCCGTAATACCTGCACAAACTGCCAAACATCGTGATAAGTATTATATAACGGCACAGGCGCAACACGAATAACATCCGGCTTCCTCTGGTCCGCGACTATACCCGCAGCCTGTAGAGCTTCACTGACGTTTTCCAATAGACCGGGCTTGAGCAGAACACTCAATTGAGCGCCACGTTGGGAAGGTTCGAGTGGTGTGATGATTCGGAATGGTCGCTTTGAGTCATCTGAGGGCGTGTCTTTGAGGAGAAGGTATTGTAGGTAAGCCGTCAGCTTCAACGATTTCTCACGGAGCTGTTCGATCGAAGTCTCGTTGATGACCGATAAGGCGGCACATAGCGAGGCCAGGTCGATTGCGGAAGGGTTTGAGATCTGGAAGCCACCTGCACCAGGAATGGGTCTGAATTCTGTGGCAAGGTTAGGAAGATGTCCAGTTCCTGCTGGAGAGATGAGTTGACTTACTGTTGTCCATCTGAAATCGCGAGGTCTTGTCTCCACCATACCAGCCCGTCAAGCGATGTCTGAAGACTGGCTTGTCCTCGCCATGCGGATACTCGACTTTGCCGTGCTTTTCATGAACAAAAAGTCCAGCAATGGCGCCAGGTCCAGCGTTCATATACTTGTACGTGCACCACGCGGCGAAATCGACGTTCCAATCGTGTAGCTTCAGCGGAACATTGCCGGCAGCGTGAGCAAGGTCCCATCCGATGGTCAGACCCTTGGAGTGGGCATGACTGGTAATGCGAGGGATATCCAAGAACTGACCACTGTAATACTGGACTGCGGGGAGTAGTACTAGGGCGATTTCCTCGGCGTACTTGTCGATGGTCGCCAGGATTTTCTCCGTCGAGATGATGTGGTCCTGGTCTGGGTCGACCAGGATCATAGCTGCTTTAGGGTCATAGCCGTGCCATGAGATCTGAGATTCGATCGCGTACTATTTCAGAAGAGTCAGTCTCAAATTCACGTCCCATTGTCGGGCTTTTAAGAATCAACTTACATGATCACTAGGAAATGCCTTCCACTCCAGCAGGATCTTATTCTTCTTCGGCGTCGGTCGATAGAAGGAAGCCATCAACAAATGTAAATTGACACTCAAAGTGTTCTCAATCGCCACTTCCTCCTTTAAAGCCCCAACAATGCGACTCGACTTCTCAGCGGCGAATTCCGCCAGCGACTGCCAGGGCGTCAAGGGCGAGTTTTCCATCTCTCGAAAGTGGCCGTAGACATTTATCGACGACCATGTGTCGAGCTGTGCTTGGATGTACTTCGACATGCATTTTGGTTGTAGGCCTAGAGAGTTTCCGCAAAAGTAGATCCCCTCTTCGTCGTCATCGCTTGGTGCTGGTTTGGGCAGTGCCGTTGATCTTAAGGATGCTTTGGACGGGATGATGTATTTGTTGCGGAACTCCCTGAGAGGATCTGATGCATCGAGACTTCTTGCGTATTCTGCACTGTCGGCATTCTCGGGAAATACATGCTTTGGCACGATATTTGTTGTTTGTGCTTCTGGTGTTGCCAGTATTCCGGGCGCCATTTTTGTTGTGGGCGGATGGTAATTTCAGTGTGCTGAATCTGGGCTGATGGAAGCACGTTAAGACAAAACCAAGTTGATGTGTGTTTGGCTTGAAGATGCTGCTCTTTGCTTCCCAATATTTTTGCGCGACGATGTATTTCTAGAACTTCTGGGGATGGAGACTTTGGAGGAGATACTACGTAATCGACGACACATTGAAAGAACATCGCACGGATGCGGATGCGGATGCTCTTGGCCAGCAAGGAGAACTCCAACGTCGATCCGCATCCGCATCCGTCCCCGACGTCTCCGCTCTCGCCAACTCCCTTCTTCTGCTGGAATCACGTCAACACGGCACAGCACGGAAGAAGAACAGGTTTTTTTAATGGTCTGGGTGATCATATTCCGCAACCCATTACGTGACATAAGTACTTAGTACATCGGTAGTTTTGCGCATTCCTTACACGGCACTCCCCGCCACGAATAGACTGTGAAGTGAGGAGTCGATCTTAGTATTATATGCAATGTGTTTCTATAATAAAATATGTCTTCCATGTAGAGTGTTTACACAATGTAAACTAGTATATAGCCGAAAGTGAAGGATGCGCCATACAGAAGCCAGGACCTAAGCCTACGATTGAAACAAAGAACAGGAGTATTCTTCTGAAAGGCTACCTAGATGAGACTCTAGCTTCATGAGTAAAAGGTTTTCTATCAATATTGGTAGGTTGAAGAGTGGACGAGGGCATTTTGGATGCATGAAATTCGCTCAAGGTGTAAGGTTTACAAATTATGCACAAGGCACAGCGGCTTCTCCGGTCTCATCCCTTGTCTGCTTCAGGAATGGTATCAGAGCCGTTCCACCTGTACCAGCAAGTTGCTGCTTCTCATTTGTACTTGCTTGCTGACCTCGCGTTGATGCGGTGGCCAAATTCAGACCCTGCTTCTCGACAATGTACTCAGCTCGTGGTGATCGTGATGGTGTAATTATGTAGCCTGCAACAATTTGAATGTGAATATTGCGAAAGGCGACAAGAGATTCCACAGCCTGGTTGTATGCATTGCGCACCGTTGCGGTAGTTGTCGGATTCGAAGCATATTGTCGGATATTGCTTCTCTCCGACACGTAGCTCAAGAACTCGCGATGACTCCTTGGCATGTAGTTCCTCATCTCCTACATTTATTAGTATTACCATCTCCGAGAGTATTTGTTCTGTTGAGGCTGACCTGTATGAAACTTCCCGTCTTCGCTGTGTTCGGGTTTGAAGCACCCGTAGCATGATGATCGACGCCAAGGATAATGTCGAACAGCTGGATCAAGGAGCTCTGGGCGTTGCTTCCACCGCTATACTGTCTCCACTGACCTCTCCCATCACCTTCATCGTAGAAGACACCATTGGGCAGACCAGCCGACGCCATGCCTTTGCTTCCGGCCAGAAGTGGGCGGATTACATGGTAAAATACCTGCGGATCACAATGCTCTCGCATCCTGTTAAGGAGGGCACCAAGTTCCGTAATTCCGTGGGTAATTATCTGAAGACACGACTCCAAGAGTTTGTCGTTGCAGTCCTGGACAGCCTGGATACCTTGGAGCATGGCTAAGATCAGTGGACCACCTTTTGCTTCGACGGAGACCGATATCAGGTAGAACCATTCCTCATCCTTCGTGCCAGTCGCTGTCAATGGTGATGTAAGGTTGTCAGGCTCTGTGATGTCACAATCAGGGGATTTCCTCTCCCAATTCCAAAGATTTAGTGTGGAGTAGGTAGCCGTAGGAGGTAGACCTAGGTGTTCAGATGCTTGCAGTAGCGGACGGGAGATCTGAGGTGGAAGTCGCTGAGAAAAACTGTCAGTAGTGCCGTGCACGTTCAATGAGTCCACGAGTATACGAACTTGTGAAGGTTGCTCTCCTCCCCAAAAGTAAGCATGAGCCAGAAATCCGAGAAGTGAATAAGCCCTTTGCCATTCGGCCTCTGAATATAGGTACGTTGTCTCAAGTATCGGTAAAGCATTTACTTTTGATCTGATCTCACGAGAGGCGATTGATTGGGATAGAGTTTTTGCAAGTGTCTCCCAGGGAGCATAATACTGATGTGGCAGCTGCTTCAGGGGTGTATCATCTGGAAGAAATCCATTCTTGGATGACACTCTAAATCTGCGAAGAATATCTTGAGGTCTGTCCTTCATGCTGAGTCGTGACGTAGCGAAATCGTAGGTTGAATGAATATAAGAGATTCGAGGTGTTGCTGAGGTATGGTATCACCAAGACTGAGAGAGTATCTGGAGTCTGTGGGCTCATATTATCACCACCGGTGCCATGGCTCTCAAGACCTGCCCCTGCTGCCAGTGGGCCTTAGCAATCCGGCTCGTAGTGGAAGGCATACTGCGTCAGTATGGGTCCAATGACTGGCATCCTCTAAGCAGAGTGGGAAACGTGGCCGGACACGGATACGGATGCGGGCAAGTTTTGACAGCATTGTTCGGGGCTCACGAGGCCGTCCCGCCGGATGCAAAAAGCTTATTTGAGTCTGCCGATGCAACATAGCTTCGGCTACCCACGGCCTTCCACCGATTATTGCAGGCCTGCAAGTCGCTCGACGTGCTTCATGACCTCATTCCGTGATGGAGCATCAGGCGGTAGGTCCCGAAAACCACCAATCATCCATATTGCCAACAAAGTCTTGGCCAGCGGCGAAGTAGCTTTGTGCAAGTATTGACAATCCTTCGTCCTGAGACGACTCCATGCCAGGTAGCTGCATCTGCGACACAGTCGGAGCAAAGCTCGGAAGACGAGACATGGCGCCAGCTGATCTGGGGTTACTTACTGACGGCGTGACGCCTTCGTGACTGATACGAGTTGGCTCGGGCAGAAGCCTGCTTCTGAGGACTTCCGCAGAATGAGAGTTTCGTCGATGCCAGATAAGCGAGGCACCAAAATATGAGTCGGTGGTTTGTGGAAGCTCGCCAGATGAGGAAGACTCAATGATCTCCCAGAAGAGATTCAAATCGATGAAAATGTTGGGGTTGGGCGAGTTGCTCGCTGCTGAATTGTCAAATGACGTTGAGACTACCTTCTCAAACTGCTCGATCTTGTTTGCCTGTAGGATGGTTAACGTTATGTAAGGTCGGTAGCAGTCGAATGCATGGAGATGTCGACGTACCAGCTGATTACCATATGGCCAGTGCTCACCCATTTCTCGAATGAAAGAGAAGCACTTCTTGAAGCAATCCTGCTTCTCGGATCTCACGGTATGATCATCAGTAAAGCTTTGTTGCAGATATATGGTGGCTGCAATTGCAGCGCAGTGGATCAGGAAGGGGTCGGAAAGCTTGAAGCTTTTCTCTTTGCATAAATCTAGCAAGTGGACAATCCATTCGGTATGTGTCGTAGTGAGGTCCGCAGTATGCTGGAGGAATATCTCAGGAACCATTGTCACTCTGAAATTACGGAGACGCAATGACAAGAGTAGAGGATGGTTGAGTAGGCAAAGAATGGAGTGATATAGAAATTGTAATAACAACCAAGGAGCCCAGAATGCACGATTGCGTTGTAGTTGCTGTGGCTGTTGCTCGGTAAAACGTGATGGTCGAAATCGATATTTGTAGGGCATCCCAGTTTCAATTTCCATCAGTTGTGCCGTAATCTGAGCATATTCGGACTGTGGCGACCAGGCTGGTAGAGCGATGGACTTGCCCCGCCGATGAGCATACCGAGCTGCTCTTTGCCACAGTCCGCTCAGCTGGATAGTGTATGCAACAATACCAAGATCACTAGGTTCGTTGTTAGAGATGCCATTGATCTGAGGCTGTTCAAGTGCAGCATCTGTAATTTCGGAACTAGTCCCAATGGGTTGATCTGGGCTTTGGGGGAATTTTGGAACCCTTTCATCCACGACGAAAGTGAACGAACCAGCTGAGTAGCTGTACAGGTTATGGAGCTGTACAACACTCCAATAGCACCGACGACGTTCCTCAACTGCGTGATCCAAGACATGCCTAGAATACTCAGTAGACAAACCGGAAGACTGGGACAAGTCCATCGCGAGGGATTTATACATGCTTGCCCGCACGACGTTACCATCTATGCTTTACTCAGCCTCTGGCCCTTGAGAATTGGTACCTTGACTTACGATTGAATTCTCTCAAGCTCAGGATGCATAACGATTGAATGGTTGAGAGCTCTACCGGCCCTTGAGAGACCTTTTGCATAACCATCCTCCTTGCCTTGTCAGCACTCTCAACATCGCTCGATGAATTGATCTCATCGGCGACATTGCCCTCTGAGATTGCGAACCGACCAACGAGTGCATGGATTGATAAGAGAAGCTCATTGTCCCTCGATGCAAGCGTCTCCATCAAATACTGCGGAGAGAATAGCGGAAGAGGTTGGCAGTTGGCATAAGTTAGAAACAATTCCGCCGCCGATGATAATTCCTCCCACGATGGCATCCTGCAAACATTGTTAGACTTGGACACTGCCAATTTATTGTTGGGCGATAGTACCTCTGTGGAGTGGGTGTTGCACGAGCAGACGCATCTGGTCGTGAGTAAGGCACAGGGGCTCTAGGCGATGAACGAATTGAAGCGTTTCCCGCAGATCGAGACTGATAGCTGTCCACTTTGTCAGTTGTTGTCATCATGGATGTCGTGTTAAGCAGTTCTTGATCATACTTAAAACTGTTCCGTATCTCGGCAATCTGGGCCTCTAGAGAACTCAATCTCTCCATCTACATAGCATAAGCAAGACTGCTCGTGTGGTAACCTCTGCTCGAGAACCCAACCAGACTACTTACAGTGCTGTTCTGATCACCATTTGGAGACCGCCTCATCATGGGTGGGGTGGCGACGGAATTCATCCTGTGCATTGGACTCATGGTCCTCCTTGCTGGGTCAAACGCATAGTTACAGCGTTGGTTCAGTCTCGCACAGTGAGAGCATACTGGTTTCTCTCCCGGACATCGTGATTTCTTTCGACTATTCGCTTATCAGCTTGCCTTTATCACAAGCCAAAAGACGGGAAGACTTACCGGCATGGCTCACAGGCCTGCCGCGTCCGCTTCGCAGGGCGGTCCGGCGTAGTCATGACATGCTTGCTGATCAATGATCAATAATTAAGATAACGAAACGCGTCAATCCCAATCATGGTGTCAAGGCACTCTATTCACTAACCATAGAATCACTGGCTAGAGCCACAAGCAAAGATTGCAACTCGCGAGGTTGCTATTGCAAGTAAGCGGCGGATGCGGTACGGTGGGACATTAGAGGACTCAGTGGAATATGCGCCGATATGCTCAAAAGTGCGACGTATGATACGATACTTCTTTCGCCTAGAAACTCAATACCTAGCATCCAAAGCCGACAGAAATCACTATCAAAAACATTTTTGTGAGTATTCAGATGGTATCTCGGTACAACAATAGCACCCATACTCCATCGCTACCCTGTCTTCGCCTTGAACCTCAGCCCATATTAACATTCACTCGCTGCAGGTACTATTTCGTTCAGCCATTGAAAAGCTGACGCTGAATTGGTCCCAAGGGTATCCGTTCTGTTCGCTCCAATGATAAGCCATGCTGGACGTGTTTCGTCGTAAACTCGTAATTTCGGGGAACAAATGGCCAACTAGACCATCTGCTTCCCTTGTTTGTCCTTGGGACCGAAGAAGATGTTTATCAGCTCGTTCCTTTGGGGGATACTCCAGATAGCCAGAGTCATGAATGTGAGAGGTGCTGCGATGGCCCAGTAAATCCAAAACTGATCTGACATGTTCCACTGTGTTGCTCCTTGTTCATCGACTGATAGCTCGAAGAAGCTCATGCTGAATACCGTCTTGAAGAATAAGTTAGAATGAAATGTGACCGTCAAATGTGGACATGGATGAGCTTACCGATACAAATGTGGCCGGGAGGAAGGCAAGGGTAACGACGGCGATGGTCTTCATGGATGCACTATCGCTCTTGGCAGCTCGACTGATGCTCATCGTCTCTGAGGCTATCTGAATAGTGGCTTTGCTGTCCCTTTGGACAACTTTATTGAATCCCTGGGAAATGTCAGTATCGAAATCTCAAGTGATGGTCTTGAAGGGAGCGGACCAGATTGATTTCGTTCTGAAGTCGTAATTTCAGCGATTCAGCCCGGCGAAAGAAGTTTCGCAGCATTCTGAGCCAAAATCGCATTTCGTTGTGAGGACAGTTTGGCTTGTCCCCATCGGAAACCCCAGGGCAATCGCATAAGGCGGGATTAATTGTTCTATGACCATTGAGGAGCTCTTGGACGGAGTCGACAGAAACCTCAAGCACTTCACAGATGTGAATCACATGGCGCGCTACTTCATGGAGCTGCTCGAAGTCGAAGTCTGGTGTCTCGGCTTTCACAGATCTTTCCTAAACGTGATAATATGATTCATCAGCAATTGGTGCTCTGTGCGGCCAATTGATCGAACATCAAACTCTTACCATTTCGATTCTCCGTATATGGTCTCGTGCACGCCAGACAGACTCGTCGTACATTTTGACCACTACCCCGACTACGGAGCTTTGGAGAAAAGCAAGTGGCTCTTTGGGTGGATCACTTCTGGTGGTATTGAGAAGCTCGATGAGCTCCGATTGAAAACCAGATGGGGTGTCGAAGCAGAATAAGAGCGCGTCCCCTGTGGTATTATTTGTCGAGTAGACGTAGAAGCTCATCTCGTACCATCTGTACCATTTGTGATCAGGGGAGCCGCTGGGGAGAGGCCGCTCATCCAGCTGTTTGATCAGAAAGTGAAACCACGATGCTATTCAGGATGAATAGTCAGCAACGGCTACACCAGAGATAGAGTCGATGATGAGACCTACTGTTCAATTGCCCACTACTCAGGTTGTGTGTTGCATTGCCAGCATAACCATTAGATTCGTGATGCATTTTATCCCATAATTGAGCAGGATATTTGTAGTGGGAGCTCAGAAGCTCCGTCAGTGATTGGGACTGTTGAAAACGATTCCAGCTTGCAAATCTGAACGAGTTAGGATAAGACTTTGGCAACAGCAAGGAGTATATCGTACATTATCTGAACGCCTGGACGGAGAGGTTTCTGTAGACAATCCAGTCAGCGTGTTCACCTAGCGGTTCTGCATTCGGGAGTCCTGACCTGGAGGAACTCTTCTGGATCATCCTCGCGTTTCTGAAATCGCCCATTGACTTGTACCGTAGTCAGCCTTGGTCACAACCAGGGGGAATTGCTGTGCGGACCTGGAGCATAAACGTTGACTTTATCCATGCGCTGCATTTCGCAAGGTTGATGATGAGTCGTGACGGGCCGCTCCTACACCACTTACCGAGATTTGTGCAGTTGGCGAGAAGATAGGCACGGGAAGTTGCGCTTTAGGAAGACAATTCTCCCTCAATGGAGGCTGAGAGGGATTCATCTCTTCTTAAGGCAGAATCCACTCGAACGAAGGCAGCCAGGTCGAGTATTAGGTCTGCGGCTGTGTGTTTCGCTAGCAGAAAGATAGGTCGCTGAGATTGGTGAAAGTCGAAAAGTAGCGGCATTAGCCCCAGCTTTTCGATTCCCCCTGCGCCTCACTGAAAACGAGACATCATGTGCTACAAACATTTAAACTTTCATAATTGTATCGATCCCAGACGGGTGCCTCGAAGTCAAATCTTTGTAACTGGGTCTCAGATCTGTGGTAGCTACATAGATGTTACCTACCTAGATTCCACTCCCCTTAGCCCGAAAGAATCAGGAGAGAGTTGTCGTAGGTCTATTAGCCACATGGTCAGTACCATTGCCGATCTACAGTGGATTCATGTGCTGACTTTTGGTTTTGCTTCTCATGATAGCTTGTATGATGTGTTCGCTCTGTCCAAGGTAAAGTTGGGTTGCCTGGTACTATCCGGTCAGAGTAAAGGGTTACTGTTTTGTTTTGACGACTATCCTCGAATATCCGAGGATGCACAAAGTCATGTCAGCCTTGTAGTTAGCCGTCCTGCAGGAGCACTACGCGGTCCCTTGCAATTGCCCGAGAAAGCAACAAATAGCTTGTCGCATATCACGTCTGGTGGGGATTAATCAAAGACGTGGAAGGATGGTTGAGAACGAAAATTTCATGTTTCATTTGTACTGCCTATCCACACGCAAGCCCTCAAGAGCGCTGATCGCTTGTTTTCAATCTGCCACTAGATGTTCCCAACCCAAAACACACGATTCAGGGAACAGATGCGGTGAGTCGCAATATTCTCTTCTGAAGTCGGGCCGGCCACTCCGTTTTGTTCGTATTGCGTGAACGGCAGAACACTCGAGGCACCGGAGAGACTGGTAGAAAACAGGTGCCAAAGGACTTTACCCGTCGCATATTAAGATAGTCTAGAAACACCCCAATACAAAACGCCGGGACTAATGCTTTAGATGAAAAGAAGGGCGGCAACGGCACCAACGAGACCGGCCATTGACATAGCAGGTGCAAGTGCGTTTCCTGCATCAGGTTTGCTGGTGCTGGATGTGGCCGAACCTCCACTGGTGGAAGTGGGGTTGCTCTCTGGGTTGGCCTTGCCAGTGATACAAGTGTTGATACCACGGATGACTCCGGCGTCATGTGCTTTGTCGAACAGTTGGCAAATGGTTTGATTTGTAGAGGTGGTCTGAACATTAGATCCGCCGCGAACCTCGGTGATGACCAAGTCGACACTATTGCGCAATTAGTTTTGGCATGATTGAATACCTAGGACTTTTCAACTTACGAATCAAATGTACCAGCGAAATCAAGAGCTCCGACGATGGTCTTGAGCTTGCCGAAGCCGCCAATAGCTTTGAGGTCGGTGTTGTTGGCAATCAAGAAACCACCGCCAATCTGTGTAAGGCTAGGGAAGGACAGGTTGGCCAGGTTGGGGCTGTCGACGAATGCCAATGTACCGCCAGTCTGGGTCAAGTTGGGTGCAGAAAAGGTCTCGAAGGAGTTGGAGTAAAAACCCATGGATCCACCAACGGTGTTCAAGGAAGGCATATCAACCTTGCTCACATTTCGGAAGGTCAAGTTTGCAGCATTCTCCAGATTGGGGAACAAGATCTCCAAATCGCGTCCGTTGGCGGAGAAGGAGATGGCTGTAGTCACGTTCTTCAGAGAGTTGACATTGACAGATGTCAGATATGGGTTATTGTTGATATCGAGACTTGAGACTGCGGTCAGGTCGATTCCCTCAATGTTGTTCAACTGAGTGTTGGAAATGAGGACTGTGTTGGCGCGATCGACTGACTGCGCAAAGTTGAGAGCCTGAAGTGCCGGTAGTCCGACCCAATTGATCTTGTTGATACCAGTAAGGGAATCGAAGCTGAGGGTAGAGAGGATCGTCAGTCCTGTGAGACTGAATGAACCTCCAATCGTGTTTAGCTGATCGGAAGTGATGGCTGTCAATTGAGTTGCGTTGTTGCAAAGCAGATCACCAGAGATCTGTCTAACACCGTTGAGTTGGAGTGTCCCAGAAGCACTAGAGTCAATTGTGACATCTCCTTTGTAGTTGGTGCAGTCTGCGATCTGTTCGGCATCTGCGGAGCTGGCAATGGTGATTGAAGGACCAGCGCAGATATCGGTCGAGGTTTGTGCTAGAAGACCGTGTTAGTCCTGTTTTTCCTCTCAATGTTGTCATGTCTTCTCTTGGTCCAATGGATCTCCAGCCATCGAGACAATTCTCTGGGGACTCAGAAGTGGGAGGAACTCACCGAGGACGGTGCTCGTCAACGCGAGGGCGGGAAGAATGAATTTCGTGAATGCCATTGCGAATTTATGAAAAGCTGGCTAGCTGGAATGAAAGTCAGCACTTGTCATAACAGTGCAAAGAGAGGAGAGGAGACTAGTGAGTCAAAAAATCGAGGATGGGGGTAGGTGATGACGCGGTCGACATGTAGCCATTGGGGTGCAGTGGACGTGCCTGGGAAGGAGCGTAATGGTACTGACCTTGGATGTGATATTAAAAGGCGATAGAAGGAGGGGCCAAGATAGAATCGGCGTGAAGCAGAATCGTAAGAACTTTTGGTGATGGGATGAGAATTAATTTGTTGGGCTCTAGTAAACACGCAACAATATGGTGATGGGAAAAAAGCTTCAGCGAAGGGGAAGCTGATGGTTGTTGCTTAAAATGATAAAATAGAGCAACAACGGCAGGCACGACTTAAACTCCTGGGAGAGAGAATAAGAAATCAACGCGTGGCTGGCTCGTAAGAAGAAGACGAATGCAGCAACAACGATGGTGAGTGTGAAGAAGGGGAGATGGCAGGAGAAAGATGATGGCAGTTCCAGTTTCAGTGGTGAGCTTTTTGGCTCCTGGACTCTCTCGCATGAGAAGAAGGGGAGGAGGCGGCGGAAGGTCAACTGGTGGCTTGAGGCTACGGCTCTGGTGGGGATAACCTGCCACGGCCGATTGGCAGCCGGCATGGATCCAATGCAGGTGCAAGCAATCGCTCAATGGGTCCAATATGGGTCGACGATGCCAGTTTGGCCCGTAGCCCGTGGATGAGTTGATGCCAATTGCCAGGGATGCCGGACCAATTTTCAAGGATTGTTGACGTGTGGAGCGCGATTGACGTGTCAAGAAAAGAAGGAGGCGGTATCGTATTGTCACCACCGGCCTGTGGCAGCCACTCATTCTCGTGTCCCCCCCACTCTCACCACCTTAGGCACGCTCCAGGTACCTCTTTCGCGGCGGCGTGCCAACCCCAAGCTTTCTCTCAGCCACTGATCTTGTCCGCTCGAGAGGCGAGAAACCACAGTACCCTCACGCAAGTTCCAGTGCCAGTCCACCACTACAAAGACTGAGATCTGAGACATTGATATGGATTACACCAGTAGCTTGCCACCTTCAAGCTTTTCATGTCTTGACGACCACTGCGATAACACCATCATCGGCACTTATCTCGCCTACCAACATCAGTATGCATCCGTAATCCGGATTCAATCAATTGTGTTTGTTACCCTACCTAGTTTTACAGCACCTATCATTACGGGGCGGACTACGGAGTATGGAAGTCTTCATCTCTAACTCGTAGATCTGTCGGGACTAGTCTCCGGGCGCGGCGGTGGGTAGGCCAGAAGTGTCAAATCAGACATATCCAAGTAATATCCAAGCGAGATAAACCATCCAACTGCTCCCGCAATCACCTGCACTTGACAAAACACCTTTCAAGGAAGAGAGACATATGATGACATTTCATAATGGAACACTCAGACCCCCAGGGCTCTACTACGTTAGCGTATCATGATGGCTGCACGTGGCTCTCAAGTCTCGACTGTCACAAGTCTGAGATACAACTGTTTTGACGCTCTGACATTGTGTGCTTGGTACTCGGTACATTGAGGCATTCCAACTATTGTGTTGCAGATCATCAGAAGCCAATGTTTCACATTTTGTCCATCACACCACAGGGAGAATTGGACGATTTGATAATCTATCAACTCTTCATCAACACGTTACTCTTGTATAAATTTCATGTGCATGGCACCGATTATAGATGTATGAACGTCGTTTAGTGCGAACTTCCTATACCCACCGACAAATGCTTGTACAAGCCTCTTCAGCTGTGCAGCAATCCTTTACCAGGTAGAGACTGGGAATCTTGCAAGTTGGAAATCGATTTCTCCGTCCGCCACAGGTGTCCCACCATGGCCCCTAGTGCATTATTCGAGTTGACAATACCGAATACCGCTACGATACAGTCGGTCCGGCCTAGGTACCATCCCGTCCGCTAGTAGTAGTACCAAAGTCGTCGGTAGACGCCCACCTCAAGATAACACCATGCTCCTTTCAGCACAACCACTCTCGAGGTGATGGGCTTCAAATTTCCAGAAAGGTCCGCTTACAGACAAACATAGATCTCGACTATGACTTCAACATGGATTGGAGATTCATACTCCATTTCCCATGTGTATCTCATATCACATCATCCATGACAGAGCCGCGAGGAGCCTGAAAAGGCCCATTGATTCTTTATGATTGTTTGGTTCAACTTGGCACTGCCACTGCCAGTCTAGATTCTAGAAAAAGCAAGAAATCTCTGCTGGTCCTGGTCTCACAAACTTTGTTTCACGCCGGCCGCGCAACCTCTTGAGTCTTGACTCTTTTTTTGAGTCTTCACAAAGTTCAACAACCCAAATCTTGGGATCCAAGCCAAGACTGTAGAAACGGGAGGATGCGTACCCGAACATTATGATACCCGTAAAGCCTGAGAGATATGGGGTAATTCAGTGTTGGAGCATCCGTCTGAATAATTGCACGACATGACATGATGGCTTGATTGCTAACGGTTGCCCTGCGAAGTTTCCACACATCTACCCCATCTTGTAACGTGGGCAGCAGTCTTGATCCCAATCGATGCACAATGTCAACAAAGATTTTGGATACGACGACGCGTACTAGGAAATCTGCGCGTCACATGTGGCTTGGCGGATCCGGTGATGCAGATATCTCTTGCCGCTTTTCTTCCTAAGCATGCTGCTTTTACGCATCATCCGATGGCCATCGGTGGGAAGTGCCTCGCCAGATACCTGAGCAGGTGTACCGTGCATGGTGTGAGCTTATCAATATATAACCATGCTGCTAGCAATACTAGCAGAGCCAGGCTCTAGAGTTAGGCCTCAACGAGGCTGAGGAAACATACTGGCAAGATCTCGTCTAACTCTTGGAATCGTGGCTTTGGTTCCCCATATCCTCATCCTCATCTTCTTCTCCACCATCGTCTTCGTCGTCCTTATCGTTCTTACTCTGGTCCTGGTCCTGGTCTTGGTCATCGTCCTCGTCCTTGTCTTCACCCTCACCTCCACCGTTTGCCACCCAACCGGTCTCTAGTCTTCGCCGTTTACCTCCTGATGAAAGAGGATCGGAAGACTTCCTCGCGGCTGACATCTCCACCTCTATCTTTGAGGTAGCTAGCTGTATCCGCGCTTGAGGAGGTGACTGGTTACCGAAAGAGTGTTCGAAGAACCGACCGCTGTAAGTGCGTGTCGGGCCCCTATGGTCGAAAGTCCATATTTCTGTCGCCCTGGCGATACGGCCAGGGGCTTTCTGCATCAAAGAAGTGAGGTAGTCAGCTTCGCCAAGAATAAGAACTCTCTTGCTTCCATCTGCTGTCTCCTTGCAATCGTACGGTTGTTCGTAGTCAAGACAATCGAGTCGGCGGTCTAGCCAAACGATATCCAAATGGTTGACGAGAGCGTTATAGTTCGAATAACGTGCATGAGACTCCCATTGCTGAACCCACTCAAGAATGCTCCTCAGGCCTAGAGTGCGGTCGACAGTATTGCAGCAGCTAGACTTCAGGCGGTCGTCGGGCCGAATCCAGATTCTTAACCATGCCGACGCTCTTCTGCAAATAGAAAGTGCGGTATGAATAAGAGGCAGGCAAGGGGAGCAGTATATGAAAAGCTCAACGAGGGGAAGCCTTTTGCTGAGATAGCCAATTGGCGAATCTGTGTCTTGCCTTTTCGACAATCCACCAAGGACTCCGTATTCCGCCTTTATAAGCATTGCCCTCATGTCGATTAGGTTGTCGATTCGATGCCCTAGAGTGTGGAAGCCAACATCATTTCTAGAAGAGACATCCCAATGGGGGATTTGATGGACATCAAGTGAACCATCAGCGACTTGGGATCCAAGCAGACGGATGTCACATGGGTGCTCAGTGTGCAATTTAGGGCACTTGTTGGTAAGGACAACATAGTTGATGCTTTCCTCTACTTCTGACCAAAGCAGATCTGCAGTCCTGTGAGCATGAACATGAAACTTTTCATAGGAGTCAAATATCGCGCATACCTATACCCGAGTCTTCCTTCTGGAATGACTGTCTACCGGTGGAGTGATTCGACCATGTAGCATCTTCTACATCTCTCAGATGCTCTTCCACAGTTCTGCGATCGACCGTTCCAGCCTCTGTCAATGCCCGTACAGAGGCGGCTGCCTGCGAGTATCTCCGATATGAGTCCTCTGTAGCTTCTTCGATGATGTCTAAATGCGCTATATCGAGGATCGATTCGATATCTTCGATAATGACCCTATCTTGAACCTCTCGAGCGACCTTGAATAGCTCGAAGAGATTGTCGATGAAGTCGCTCAGGTCATTGATTAGCGACTGAAACTTCTCCCGCTCGTATATCGCCCACTTTGTCCTCAGGAGCTTTCCTGTGGTCTTTGTGGCCAATTTTGATGCGTTCCTGGTCCAAAATCGACTCGCAGATGTTCGAAACACGGCAAGGCTCTTCGAACTCACATAATCGACAGCCTTATCCAATGAAGAGTCCGGGTTTCGCACTCCATACGAGGCTCGCAACTTTTCCGAGTCTGTCAGGAGACTCTCGATCTGGGATAGGATCCGTTGAATGAGTCCGACCACACGCTTGTCGAGAAGCCTGTGGTCTTGGTGGCTTGCTGAGAACATACCAACCTGATCACCCCAGATTAAGAGCCTTGTTTTTTCGATATCCAATTTGAGCAACACGACTTCAACCTCTCTGTCCGCGCGCTGGGCAAGTTTAAAATAGGCAAACGCATCCACACATGAGCCGAAGAGACCTGCCACTCCGATTAGAAAAGCTGGGACCTCGACTCCAGACATAGCAAATGGCAATTTTTGCGTATGCAGAAGAAAATCAAGCAACGAGATCGGTTAGATGAGTGACAGAAAATAATGTTGGATCACAGGATAAGGGTGGACGATCGGTTCCAGTAGGCATATTGCAGCCAGTATAGCAAATATGACGAGAGATCCATTTGATTGATATGAGTAAGAGATAAGTTCCTAAAGATACTCAGCCATTTCGATAGAAGATGGGAACCATAAATTTCTGCTCTTCGTTCTTGCGAGCCTAAGCCCCAAGACAGGTGGCAGGGCGAACCGTTCTGCGCCTTGCTGGCAGGGAGGTTGCAGTTCAACAGGCGGCGAAGCTGCAGCCCAAGAAACCAGTTATATCACCTTGTGGCTTGCATGGATGTCTGGCAAGCCATCGAGCTTCCCCGAAACGGGGATCGGGAGAACTGACCAGGCTTTGCAGTCCCAATTCTCATAACCCCGTTCAGCCACATTGTGGCCATACTGGCTTGTGCTTATTGTTCAACAAGAACACACTTTGTTCGAGGTACTGCTCGTTTAGAACCTGCATTGTTCCGGCGGCTCGCACAACGCATGCGATGGTTGATCAGAGGGGGCCTTCGCAGGATGGTTTCACGAAAGTAGTGGCCTACTGGAGAGCTTCTCGGCAATAGCAATACTTCGTGGGATAGGCGAAACAATAAGAACTGAAACCAAGCTGGGGAGCTCTACAAATGGTCTGCAGCCTTGCTGATATCGGGCATACCGTGCTCTGCGCTCCCTTGAATAGCCCGAATATGCCATAAACAAAATATTTCTCGATCGATGAAAATTGCATTCATAGCAATTGACCGTTCCAGAACCCGATGTACTTTAGATAGTACTGTAGGTTCATGAGCTCAAACTTCCAAATGTGAGGACTTCAAGGAATTCAACGCCGCTATTACCTCTTCTCATGTGGACGAATCACCGGTCGTGAGACGGCGTAATATCGATGGCTTACATCAGCCGTTGCTCCTTTCTTCTTGGCAGACAAGGCAGCAGACCTCCTTTGGGGCATGAACTAGGCCCGGGAGGGAGGATCTGAAATACCAGAGGTCTGCGTCATGGTACTGCTACCCGTGGACCTCAATTCTGTATCTCCAAGCTTCGAGTCAAATCAATTCCATGCAGCATTGCTCTCAAGCTTTCCCAGTACCAAGTACCTGAATTAGCACACCCAAACTTTCCAGTGTCTGCTGCCGCGGCTGTACAGAAGTGTCTCCCAGTTGCTAGAGCGATTGAGACCTAATGTACCTTGGATGATCGTTCGTTCTTTCCTGAACATGTCACTTCGCAGATCGGGAAGAGTGTCTTCGGCCACTGCCTCGCCTCTCCCACAAGCATCATCAATTGACACTCCTATCAATGGGCAGAGGAAGCGGGCGGCATCTTCATTAGGCCGTGAGACCAAGGCCAAGAAGCCCAAATCAAAGCCAGCAGACAGTCCCAATGGTGCCGACAATGGCCAGCCAACATTCAAAGTCCCGGAACCCCCAGTGACTCCCTTGAGAAAGAGTAGAAAAGTATCAACTACGTCTAACAAGAAACCGCCACCACTGACCCCAACGCCCAGTCTGGTTGCCGTCATCCGTGCGGGCTACAGTTCCGCTGACATTGACGATGCGACTCCGCCACCAGACCGACCAGTCGAGCCGCATGTGACTAATGCCACACTGGTGACACCCGGTGGTACACAGTCGGTCGCGTACACCGACGCATTGCCCGACTCTACGCCATCAAAAACTGGACTTCCGAGGCCCACGGCCACGACAAATACGTTGCTCGAGAAAGCATGTGCACATTTGATCAGTGTCGATTCACGCATGAAACCACTGGTTGAGAAGCATCATTGTCACGTGTTCTCCGCCAAAGGACTGGCCGAGCACATTGATCCTTTTCGATCGTTGTCTAGTGGCATCATGGGACAACAGGTTTCCGGGGCAGCTGCCAAGTCAATCAAGAACAAGTTCATTCTACTGTTCCATGAGGAAGGACAGGATCCCGAGACGGCCAAGTTCCCCACTCCCGCACAGGTGGCAGCCACAGATATCACACGATTACGTACTGCTGGATTGTCACAACGGAAAGCCGAGTACATCCAAGGCCTCGCGGAGAAGTTCAACACAGGAGAACTGACAGCTGACATGCTGATGAAAGGCACAGACGAAGAGGTGATGGAGAAACTCATTGCGGTCCGAGGTCTGGGCAAATGGAGCGTGGAAATGTTTGCATGCTTTGGCTTGAAAAGAACCGACATTCTTTCAACTGGTGACCTTGGCGTGCAGCGTGGAATGGCGGCTTTCTTCGGCAAAGATGTCAAGAAGCTCAAGGCCAAGGGCGGCAACAAATGGAAATACATGTCGGAGCAAGATATGCTGGATAAGTCGGCGCCGTTTGCGCCATATCGAAGTCTTTTCATGTGGTATATGTGGAGAGCAGAAGATGTTGACGTGGACGTCTTGGGCACGTTGTAAAAGGTGTATTCATAGGAGCATTCTTTCGATATATGTACAACAGCAACCTATTGTGACGACTCCCCGGTTGTCCCGACTTCGAGTTTCCCGCATTTCTTTTTTTTTCCTTTTTGGTTTTCGTCAACGCTTAAAGTGTAAACTCTAGTTTCGAGGTTTGACGGTCATGGACTCCAGATCTGCACGTTCCTTGTTCTCAGCTTCGATCGCTTGAATGATGGGGCTCAAGTATCGAACGTCCTGTCCGGAGTTAGTACCCAGCCTTGTAGGTCATGTCTTCGTTGTTCGCTTACGTCCTCGGGTTTCGTTTGTTCTTCTACGGGTAGTAGTTGATGAGCTAATGAGCACTGTAGAAGCCGTTAATATGTAACCACGTGCGAAAATCATTTTCATCCCTGCCCTACCTGGAAAGCTCTTCTCAGACGGAAAACGCGGTCGTATGCTTCTTTGGGAGGGAGTCGTTTGAGTGCCAGCTGGACGGTGTCGTTCTCCTCGGGGATCAAATCATCGAACCTCAAGCCTAGAATATATATCAGCTTGCACTTAGGGAGCCCATTCGCATAGCGTCGTACCTAGTCGTCTGTAACCGGCAGCATTGGCGTACCATTCGGCGAAGGGCTTCATCCAACTTAGGAGCCATGGGCGCTTGAGAATATAAGGAGCCAACGAGGGACCAGACATGTTGACTTGTGAGGAAGGGTGAGGATTGAAGTGCCAGGTGGGTGTGGAGAGAAGCAAGGCAAGTCGTAGCCACTCTTTTGAATCTCTCGAGTTGCAGCTTTCTCCTTTGGAGCTTCAACTTGTCATGATAATCCTGCGTTTCTGACTGGTGGTTGGTACGAGGTGCGAGAAGGGTAAGTCTGGCGAGGGTACGGCGAAGTATACAGACTTTTATACGGAGAAACACAATCCCAGAAATAGCATTGGAGCTCTTCCCCCTTTGTACGAATGGCAGGCACGAGGCCAACTCTCGTACTCGTCTCCCACACTTTTGTCATCCCCCCATTCCCATCATAACTTTACCCAAGTTGTACTCGCCAATTCTCATCACTTCCAACCCAAGCATTGCATTACATACCGCTCCAACTCTGAACTCCTCACCTCAACGAACACAACAGCTTCATTCTCATTCAACTTTCAAGTATAGCTACTTCTCTATTTGTAATACCATTCAACCTGAGCCCGGTCGTCTTATCCATCCCTTCTTCATGGCTTTCCTCAATCGCTGACAGGCGAGCTGCGTTGGCTGCAGCCAAACCCCGCAGTTCTTCGACGTCCGCCCGACGGTGCAGCGGAGCGAACATCCTTTACACAAACCTACGTCCTCGTACCTTTCTAAGCTACTCTTGATACTCCAGTATCCTCCTCTGTACCACTTTACTCCGAGAAAATCGATCCCTTCACCATGCCCTCGTCATCCGGCCTAATGCAATTGTTCTGATCCGTCGTCATTGCTCCAAAGAATGTCCTACGAGCGAGATCCTGAACAAACTCCGGCTATTCTATCTCCCCAATATGCTTCTCCGAACGACAAATCCATCCCAAACACCCCCACTACTATGTCTCCCCCTAGTGCGAGAGACTCTGTCGTCGCCCGATTTCAGATACACTCGGCACAGATTCCGAAGGCGTGGATCTCTCCCATCTGTGGAGCTGGCGCCGGTTTTGCGTCCGGCATTGTCACCTGCCCTTTAGATGTTATTAAGACAAAACTGCAAGCCCAAGGTGGCTTTGCGACCAGATCATCCAAAAACCCATACGCCAAATCCTCACACATCTACAAGGGCGTTATCGGAACTGGTCGCGTGATATGGCGCGAAGATGGTATTCGGGGAATGTACAGAGGGTTAGGCCCGATGCTGTTGGGTTACCTACCTACATGGGCTGTTTATTTGACAGTCTATGAAAACACCAGAGAATTTTGGTACGATACTTGTGGAAGCTGGTGGATTGCTCGATGTTACTCATCCTTGACCGCTGGCGCGTGCTCGACCATTTTGACCAACCCGATATGGGTCATCAAGACCCGTTTGATGTCTCAAAGCAGCAGATCTGCCAGTGATGGGATGCGTGCCCCTTGGCATTATACTTCAACTCTGGATGCTGCAAAAAAGATGTACCACACTGAGGGAATTCAGTCCTTCTACTCAGGTCTGACTCCCGCTCTTCTTGGACTGACACATGTCGCTGTTCAATTTCCACTTTACGAGTACTTCAAGATGAGGTTTACTGGCTATGGAATGGGAGAGCATCCTGCGGAGGACAGCGGAGCTAATTGGGTTGGTATCTCGGCGGCCACTTTTCTCAGCAAGATATGTGCCAGCACTGCAACCTATCCCCACGAAGTACTTCGAACCCGTTTGCAAACTCAACAACGGAGAGGTTTGTCATCCAGTGATGGGCTCCAAGTGAAAGCACGCTATACAGGTATCCTACACATGTCTCGAATTATCTTAGCAGAAGAAGGCTGGCGAGCATTCTATGCTGGAATCGGGACCAATCTCATCCGTGCCGTCCCGGCTGCGATGACTACCATGCTTACTTATGAGTGGCTACAAAAGACCATTCGCCACTCTCAGGAAGTCGGTGCCGAATTGGCAAAAACCTCCGAGGAATACCGCAGCTGACCCTTCGACAAGCATTCGTTTCTGGAGTGAAATCTCCAATTCTGGTCAAAAGAGGGTGCGAGGAATAACTTTGACCTGATGCTGGTTGAATGTGCTGCGATATTTCCAGCCCAAACAGCCTTAGTGTCAGTATTCCAGACTTGTTTGGTCTTTCTCTGAATGAGAAGCTTCGGAAGCTCGGATAGGTTAAGAAGAGGCATGCAATACTATACAAACAATGTATCGGCATATCTAGGGGAAATGCCCGGACGACAGGCAGGTTCAGATAGAACGAAACACCGGCGGATAAGGAAGAAACAATACCCTCAGTGAGGCCTAGAGCTACTGATTGAATCACGAACATTATATGGAGTCACTTTTGTACTATTTGGCAGTGCGATCCAATGGTTGGACTCCGCCCTTTCTAGAGCGTATCTCGCAACATTATGGCCATTAGCAATGACAGGAGGAGGCATAAGTTTGATTTCCCACAAATACATTCACCAGGTCAGCAATGGTAGTATGCCTAATCCAGGGAGGAACTCAAACCACCACTTCTGGAGACCTCTAGATTCTCGTAGCCGGCGATTTCAATCATATGATAGATTCAAACTTTCTGCACGTATGGTAGCTCCCTAGTCCTAGCAGACAAGCAACAGATTCCCCGATTTACTCAGCAATCCAAGCACGAGGTCAGTGGGGGGCAATGTGGGTTGAACTTGGAAGCTCCGAAGCTTGTCCAATGCAAGACAAATGGGCGAACACCCGTGCAGAAAGTACACCGCATTTCTCGCTGGCATGGCAGGACGAAGGTACGAGGGCATACCATACCAATAGAGCTCTGCATTTCCAATGGAGGGGGGTGTCCGTATCTTTCCTCCATCTGATGCTGAGGATGAACGAATGAGCGCCTTACCATCTCTGTTGCTGGGGTTCTTTCAGAACATAATCCCGTGCGTGGATCGTGCTGGCCATGGCATGGCAGGTTGTAGGGAAGGAATAATGAATGAAAGCCCTACTCCGCAGGACTGTACAAAAGGTCCAGGATGACGGGGCCGGGGGGATGCTGTCAGGCCAGACGTCTTATCGTCCCCCCCCCTCACTTTCACTCGCACTCACAGACACACCGCCCTTTGGGGCGTTGGATCCGTGGAGTGGAAGAGGAAGTGAAGGTGAAGTTCGGATAGGACGAGTCCGACGTAGCGAGGGAAGGGACGGAACACGGAGCTGAGGAAAGGGGTGAAAATAAGAAACAGAATAGATATGGTTTGTACGTATGTATTTTCATTACAGCATTCGCATTCGCATCCTAATCGACCTTATGATATCCTAGGCGATTACATCCCATTCCTCTCCATGTGGTCAGCCCGTGTCAGTACTGTAGGAAGGATTCACCTTCCCCACAATACACGGTACGTACATGGGTAATCACGACACGTCAAGTCCTCCATCCCATTCCATTCATCGACATTGACCACTCCGCAGCAAGTAGAACCACCTAGTAGATATTGAACAGGGGAGGTACGTAAAGTACTAATAGCAACCCAACGCCAGGTTAGGGAAACATTTTTCACACAAAGAACGCCGGTTTCCTGATGTCTAACACAACTCGGAGACTTTCTGATTTCCAAGTCATGCTCTATCCGCTGCACATCTCACATGCTTCTTTGTTCTCGATGGAACCTGGAAGGGGGATAACATGTTAGCTTCGAGCTCTCGGTGACGATGACCTCAAGAAAATTCAAGGATAGGGTAGGGATACTTACAAGCTAGCACCTTCTGCGCGTAGATATCGCCCTCTCGCTCCTCTGAGTCGCTCTCTTGATCTTCAACCTGAACCTTCTTCAAAGCTCGGCTTTCGAGACTCTCCTCAACATCAGGGGTGCCAACGGGGTCTGTAGGGAGAACCTTGGGGCTGGGCTCTTCGGAACTGATGCCGTCGGAGAGACGGGTCTTTGCAAGTTTTGACACGAGTTGCTTGTCCTCACTTGATGGGGGTGGTGTTGATGTGGGGGTTGGGATACCATTCAACTGTGTGGCGGAGCCATTGTTGAAGCTTGATGTCTTGTTTGCGTACATTGGGCGAGGAGACGAGTTATAAGTCTGACCAAAGCCGATGGAAGTGCGCTTTTTGGGAGCAGATCGCTCACGAGCAACGTTCTTGTCTTCGACCTTGAGCTGTTCTTGATCGACGGTGAATTGAATAGGGGCAGTGGCGGCCATGGTACGCAGGTAGTACATGCCAGTCTTCAGACCCATCTTCCATCCTGCGAAATGCATGGATGTGATCTTACCCATGGTGGGTTCCTTGAGATGGATGTTCAAGGATTGGGACTGATCGATGAATGCACCACGGTCAGCGGCCATTTGGAGGATGGTACGTTGACTGATTTCCCAGACAGTCTTATACAGAGCCTTGATGTCAGCTGGAATGTTGGGAATGTTCTGGACCGAACCACCATCAGCGATGATGCGATTCTTCATGTTGTCTGACCATAGGCCGAGATCGACCAGATCTTTGAGCAGCCATGGGTTGACAACCTGGAATTCTCCTGCCAACACACGTCGAGAGTAGATATTTGATGTGTATGGTTCGAAGCATTCGTTGTTGCCCAAGATCTGTGACGTAGACGCAGTAGGCATAGGTGCGACCAACAAAGAGTTACGAACACCATGCTTGGCAATGTCTGCCTTCAAGCTGTCCCAATCCCAGAGATCTGTAGGAGTGACCTTCCACATGTCATATTGAAGGATACCTTTGGAGACAGGGCTGCCCTCATATGTCGAGTAGGGTCCGTGTTCTTGAGCCAATTGGCAAGATGCAGTCAAAGCACCGTGGTAGATGGTCTCAAAGATTTGGATGTTGAGTTGACGAGCTTCTGGTGAGTCAAAGGGCAGTCTGAGAGCAAGGAAAGCATCAGCAAGACCCTGGACACCCAGACCGATAGGTCGGTGTCTCATGTTGCCCTTCCGGGCTTCTTCAACAGGGTAGTAGTTGATGTCGATGACCTTGTTCAAGTTGCGAGTGACAACCTGGACGACCTCATGAAGACGGCCGAAGTCGTACTCTCCACGGGCTTGGTCAACGTAAGTGGGAAGAGCAAGTGAGGCAAGATTGCAAACTGCAACCTCATCAGGAGCTGTGTATTCGACAATCTCAGTGCAAAGATTGGAGCTGCGAATGGTTCCCAGGTTCTTCTGGTTGCTCTTCTCGTTGCAAGCGTCCTTGTAGAGCATGTATGGAGTACCAGTCTCAGTCTGGGCTTCGAGGATGGCATACCACAACTTCTGAGCCTTGACAGTCTGTCGGCCCTTGCCTTCCTTTTCGTATCGTTCGTAGAGAGCCTCGAACTCCTTGCCATAAACATCAGCAAGACCAGGGCATTCGTGTGGGCACATTAATGTCCAGTCTTGGTTCTTCTCCACACGTTTCATGAAGAGATCAGGAGTCCAGAGAGCATAGAAGAGATCACGAGCACGGACTTCTTCTTTGCCATGGTTCTTTCTCAAGTTCAGGAAGTCGAAGACATCGGCGTGCCATGGCTCCAAATAAACAGCAAAGGCACCAGGGCGTTTGTTACCACCTTGATCGACATAACGAGCAGTGTTATTGAAGACACGAAGCATGGGAATCAGACCGTTGGAAGTTCCGTTGGTACCTGCAATATAGGAGCCAGTGGCACGAATGCAATGGGCGTTGAAACCAATACCGCCAGCAGTCTTGGAGATCATGGCACATGTCTTGAGGGTGTCATAAATACCATCAATGCTGTCTGATTTCATGTCAATCAAGAAGCAAGATGATAGCTGGGGTTGAGGAGTGCCAGCATTGAAGAGTGTTGGTGAAGCGTGAGTGAAGTACTTCTGGGATAGAAGGTTGTAAGTCTCGATGGCCTTTTCGACATCATCTCCGTGAATACCAACGGCAACACGCATGAGCAAGTGTTGGGGTCGTTCTGCAGTTTGCTTGCCAATCTTAAGCAAGTATGATCTTTCCAGAGTCTTGAAGCCAAAATATTGATAGTTGAAGTCTCGGTCATAGACAATGGCCGAGTTCAGCTCTTCAGCATGTCTCATCACGCATTCATACGTCTCTTGAGAGATCATGGGGGAGAGTTTCTGAGTCTTGGGGTTGACATAGTGGTAAAGATCTTGAATGACCGAGGAGAACTGTTTCTTGGTCTGCTTGTGTAGATTTGATACAGCAATACGTGCTGCGAGGATGGCATAGTCAGGATGGGTGACTGTCATATATGCTGCAGTCTCTGCGGCCTGGAGAAAAGAGTTAAATTTGCTCGTCGCCACAGGAAACGGCAGTGTACTTACAAGATTGTCGAGTTCGACGGTGGTCACGCCCTGGTAGACACCTGAAATGACCTTCTGAGTAATTGCAGCTGCATCCACATGTTCGGGATCAAGACCATAACACAGTCTTGAGACACGTGCGGTGATCTTGTCGAACTGAACGCGTTCCTTGCGTCCATCTGTAAAAATTTGTCAGCGTCAGATCTCGACGTCAAGGAGATGTTATGAGAGAGTGCTTGTTGCTCAAGACACTGTCGTAGATGGCTATATCTTACCTCGCTTGAACACAAACATCTCGTGGCTTTATTGAGGATCGGCTTCAATGGTACAACACTGTCAAGGATGATCGTAAGATGGGTGTGGCGAGGTGAAGGTCGGAGTCCTCTTGAAATAGGAATCAGTGTACGCCCTCGATTATAAATTGAAGAGATAGTCGCTGAGGAAACCCCAGGCAGCAATAGCAAAGAAGAGGGTGTGATGTAGTAGGAGTGAAGCAGGAACGAGGATGAGGGTCAAAACATTCAACATATATGGGGGGCACTAAGTCGAAAGACGCGCCTTTGGCACGCGTTCGCGTTGAGTCCCATTTCCCACTTAATAATTGAAATGGGCGGCTGGCCGGTGTCGGAAAAATCCAAACCCCGCTGCACAGGCCATGCCAAGTCTCAATTCCCCTCTCGTTCTACCACCTATTTTCGCGTCTTTCCAGGCCTGCCTTCAGGCACTAAGTACCTAGGTATCTTGGTACCTAAGTAGGTAAGTATCCCGCTCATTGGGAGCCTTATTCCTTGAGCATAAGTATGGGCATCGCGCAGTGATCACTTGACTGCACGGCCAAACATATCAACACTTTACTAATCGCCAGCAGTCTCTCTAAATTAGAAGACCGATAATCGCAGAAAGCCAACTTTGGCCCAATGACGTAATTTCAGAGTCCACTTAGCTAGGTACCTGGGCCGCGGTGCACGAGCGCGTTTTGGTGCTCTCCTCGCAAGGCTGACAAATGGACAATTCCAGGGCACGAATTCGGGCAAGACAATGCGAAAAAGGAGCATGGTAATGAATTTAACACGGAACCCATTTTCACACTTTCCAGTGCCATTTCAGCACCCTCTGCACAAGAAGAATCCACGTGAAGCGGGTGCTGTCTTGGTGGCTTATGAACTCGACTTCACACCCTATTGAAAAGGGAATATGATATGCCGGGATTCAGTGTCTATTGTTAAGAGGACTGGGTTTTTTGGGGGGAACAAGAGTACGGCTAGAGCACTATGTTAGCAATACAATAGCGCCGCAACGCGGAGGAGACTGTGCAGTTGGGAGCCTTGTACAACTCCTACTCTATCCAAGGACGATTCCTCCCAAAGACCTGGTTTGTCCTCTCCGTATTAGTTTTGACCTATATCGCGTATCAGTCGTATCACTGGAGCCCAATATTTGATTTGATCCTCTATGTGAAACGCCGTGTCGAACGAGACACCCCACTACGAACTAGGCGGTGCCGCTTCGGGCGCGGAAGCTGAAAACTGGGTCTTCTGGCCGAAACTACGGTTTGGCTTCAAGGGGAATATGCAGCGTTGCTGCGAGGATGCCGAAGTTCTGAGAGAGCTCGCACGCTGAACATCAATCGTTGAGGCGACCGTGGACTGGAGGATGGCTACTCGAGGCGATGAAATGGTCAGCTATTCCATGCTCAGATCTATGCCCGAGGAGCACCATCCCAGGGCTCTGAACATACAGATGTTCATTAGGTCTCTTGGTACCTTTGGGGAAGGAACGTATTCCTGGACGAAACATTCGACACGTGGTGGTCCAAACAAGTCAAAATGAACGGGGCAACGAATGGTTACATTCGGATTCTGTTGTCCACAGGGACCTATTCTTACCCCTTGAACGCGTGTCTGGTATCACAACCTCCTCCCTCGATTGATTGGGGTTCATTGCGAGACTAGGAAAAGGAGCCATCGCTGTTTTCTCTCTCAATATTGGCTCCTCTTGGATCTCTGGTGCGATGGGGGCTTCACTAGCGCCATTGCTGCCTGCCTCGACTATATACCTATATGGCATATCACTGCCCGTGAGAGAAACACTGGTATGGAATACATCTACTCGAGTTCTTTCTATGGTTCATCTTCATATCGTCAAATATGGAAATCCAGGAAGCCCAAGAGGACATCTTTGAGGAGGGAGTAAAATTTTCAATCTATTGTCTTACCAAAATCCAAGCCTCGGACGAAGACGCTTTGAGGGGCGAGATAGCACCTGACCTTTTCGATGACTCCAACTTGGAATTTATTCCCTGGGAATCCGATGAAGATGGCAAGGAGGCGGATATGATACGTATCTACAAGCAAACGCAGCAAGAGACCAGCAACGAAATAAACTTCTGCCTCTTTGCCGACCAGCAGTCGTCTCGAGATCTATCCGTCATTATTGTCAACCGGGATATTGGGAGCGTTCTTCACTCGGACGAAGCTATTGCCCGTGCTCAACAACTTGTCAAGGATCTGAAATGGGAGTCGATAGACTGTGAGATCGACGAAGGTCTCCTGGAAGGGGCCAGAGATGAGCTTGAGGGTCATGCCGTTGCATATGGACGTACCGAGGCCGCCAACGTTTACGACGTCTGGGTGGAACTCGAAACGGCAAACTTGGCTTTGCCAGATTTAGTGTGGGAAGGTGAAGCCGGCATCCGTTTGATACCAGATCCTGACTGGGACGGCACTGCGTTCCTCAAGAAAATTGAGGAGCTAAAGAAGAGAGAACGGGATGGGCTACAGCCACCGCTTTCTCGGCAGTGAGGATTAGCAATGAAGGCGTTCTCCGAGGCATACGGTCGAGCTTCACATGACCACACACGACTATCCGTATCAATGGATGTATGTATGCATACTGGAACAGTGTAGCCATCCAGTGACAGAAAATCAAAGCAGAATGGTCTGTATCGCGCGAGGCGAAGCTAGTGTTAACCATAGACGTCGTTATTCTTTGACTGGTTGTAGGTTTTCGAGGGAGATAGTGACTTTCGAGGCGAGTTCGATTATCTCATCGCAGAGAATACCTTCACCGCAGACCCCGGATGGATGGATATCACTAGTAGTACAGTTGTCCACGACTTTCAATCCGAACCTAATAAACGGAGCTTGACAGTAAAGAAGGACTTGACGTTAATCTACTTTTCTCCATACTGTCGACTATGGCATTTCGTCATCTTCGTCAAACACCGGTGCTCAACGTACATAAATAACTCAAAACAATTCCAAACAAAAGACCACCTGAAATTCTCGTCGAAGTAAAGCTCAAAAGCAAGGTAGTAGACATACACATTGATAAACAATTCTCCCAGAGTATCGAAAAGCACTCAATGACAGCACCATTGACGACTCTTTAATCTGCTCTTCCCTTGCCCTTCCCTCCTCCAGACTCTGTATCATTATAGTCGTGGTCTTCATCACCCTCTCGTACACTACTCATCCTTTTCATCTGTTCCCTTTCCTTGTCCTCTTCATGATCTACCTCGCTTCGATTGCTGCTCAGCAAACTCAAGGCGTCTGCGTTGACGACTCTCAACTTCTCTTTAGGCACGGTAAACATGACTTGAACCACTCGTTGTTGCACGGCCGTTTCGACATCCCAATCTGCGTCATCGTCCTGCAAAATTCCGTTATCGTCATTAATGACCAAACCTGGAACCGGCCTCCTCCGGATGGATGAAGAAGGACCGGCATATGAAGCACTGTTCCAGTCACCGGGCCCTTGTTTCTCGCGCCAAAAAGACGCACCGGCACTAAGCGTTCTTCGAGGGAAAGTCTCCGACATCTCTGGCTGCCCAGAATGCTTAGTTGGACTCGATTGCCCACTTCGGCCTTCAATGGTTGCCACACGATCGTTCACATCGACAGTGCCAGTCCCTGTGAAGACCCGCTTCACACTTCCAAGCAGGTTCAGAGCCCTGCGACCAGAACCAGTGAGGCTGCCAGCACGACCATATTTGTCCTTGCTAGGGTTCCGCTCGACAGTTTGATAGTCTCTGACTCCCAGTTGCGGTCTAATTGGATTTCTGTTCAAGATCATTTGAGTTTCCGCTGGCCCTGTTTGTCCTTGGCCGCTCCGTACCGATGAGAATGTCTCACCACGACTCCTCACATTGGGTTCAACACCCAGTGAGACACTGCGATTCGACGGTGCCCGTGTGATCCCAGAGTTACTACTGTGCTCGCTGGTACTTGGTCTTGATCCTAGCGAACTCATAGCTGCTGCTGCCCCCGCAAAGAGAGCGTAGCCAGCACTGACGCTTCTTTGCGACAATGACCTTGAGACTGTGCCTGGAACGGATCGAGAATAATCAGATACACTTGTTATACTCTTCTCCGAAAGATTGCTTCCCGTGCGATCGGATTTTTCTGGTGAACCGCGACCCGAGCCATCTCCATGTGCTTGGGATCTGAATTGTGAGAGGTTGGAATAGGTCCTACTATGTGCCTGGCTTGTACTTCGAGAAATCGTCATACTTTCCGCTGCAGATTGCCAGTCTTCAACCCAGCCTTCGACCTCTCTTTGACGTTCATGGGCAGCATTTTCAGGTCGAGCATCATTCGCAGTGGGAAGAGGGTCCTTGAAGGGGTCACTGGTGACTGAAGTTCTGTCGCCTGCAAGTTGTGGTGACTTCCTGCGCTTGAGCGAACCCATTTGGCTGCTTTCATCCTCTTCATCGATTCGGAATACAGGGCCAGGTACTCCTGTTGCTGGGTGCTGATGATATGGTCCAAGATTTCCAGGATTTCTCGTACTCAAACTCTTCCTAAGACCTCGTGTTGGACTAGGTACTTCCATAAGTGCCCCTGTTCGTTCAGCCTGGCGAGAGTTATGGCCGTCAAAGTCAGCATCGATGTTGTCCTTGGGATTGAAAGTGCTAGGAGGCGCCCAGGGATAGGCATCGAGAGACTCCATCTGCCTTTCTTGAAGACCACCCCAACTCGCAGTACGCATGGATGGATATCTCGAATCATTGTCGCCGCCAGGAGCCGGCGTATGCAACCGCTCTGCACCCAAAGCTAGTGCTCGAAGTTCTTTCTCCCGTAATGCCCGTCTGGCCCGAAGCTTTCGAGAGTAAAGGAGCCAGACAACAGCAATGCCGAAAGCCACGGCTATGCCGACTCCTATTCCTGCACCAAGCCCTGCCTTCTCGGAGGGTTTCAGACCTGTTGACCCATTTTGGACATGGCTTGATCCGTCGTCGAAGCCAGATGGAAATGGGTTTGTATAGGAATCTGACCACAACAATGAGGTTGTGTTGAAGAAGTAGACATTCTGTGATGGCTGTCTTTTCTTTTGAGAGGCTGAAGAATTGATAGAATATCCTCCAGTAACCATCATCACATTGCCTGGTAGGATTGCAGCACCGTGGCCATAGATGCCTGCACCGGACGAGAAGGGATTACTGCTCGAACTTGGGATGGTCCATGCCCAGTCACCTTGCCCCCCGTAACCTTGGCCCAGTTCCAAAATCGCAACTTGAGGCTCAGCTGGATTGGAAACATTTCCCACCCAACCACCAAGCACAACTATCCTAGAACCGTCAGCGGTCAAGAGAGCTGTATGTCCTGATCGGGGTTCCACAGAGGGCGAATTTCTCGACCTGAGTTTCGTGCTCCCAGATGATGACTGTGACACGGCAACAAAGGCCCAGGATTGTTGAGGCAATGAGAATATTGCCAATTGTGACATGTTGAGGAAGGCAGTCTGAGTGTGTCCACCGAGAAGCACAAAATTCTGTTGTTGAGACACATTCGATCCTGTCGTATTGGAGAATGTTGGAGCTAATGGGGTGATGGTGAGCCCTGCCTCTGGAATAGGTGGCGCTCTGGATCCAGTCAACGATACCTGGTATTCAGAGCTACCATCCGACGGCGAGACAGCAGCAAGAGTCATCATGGTGTTTGAGTATGTAGCATCCAACACCCAGTTCGAAGTATCCACATCCGTGCCGTTTGGACACATCCCACCAAATATATATAGGGAAGCATCCTGGATTGAGGTAGACTGCGAAAATGTAAAGCCCGCAGAGAGATACCTTGCACTCAGAGAGGTGTCCGCGGAGTCCAAGGACAAAGTTGTCCAAGTTCCATTGTTATCAGTCTCATTCCTCGTGAATCTCCATAATTTGGCATCCTCATCGGAATCTTTACAGCTCCCTGCTAGTACACTGATTCCCTCGGCATCATTCACGGTGATGAATGGTCTGGAAACACTGTCGGACAAGAATGGTAGCTTGTCCAAGAGCTTCTTTACTGGGGATGTCGCATTGACAGTACTGGAGGTATCTAGAATCGACAGGGAATATTGCGAAGAGGAAGGCAGAGGCGAAATTAGGTAGGCAGCGGAGCCATTCTGGAGAGGAAGGATGCGAGTTGGATTGTATGGGAGCTGTGCAAAGGCGGGTGTTACAAGGGCCAGGAGGCCAACTGAGAGAAGAGAAAATTGGTGTATCATCGCTGACGGCTAGTTCTGGGTCATCGTTGTGTCGCAAACTCGACTGGCAAACAATCCATCTGCGGCTTTCCGTCGTGAAGTTTTATTGACAATAGGTAACATAAGATAACGAGACTGACCGGAGATGATCTACTAGTATAGTCTTTGTTTGGAGGAGCACTTATCAGACGCTGGCCAGCAGAGGTAGTGAAAAGAACCCGTGTACTCTCCGTGGACCGTAAGCCATGCGAGGGCGATAATGTTGTCGAAGGGTAAACAGCGGGGAGAGATGCAGCCACACCATGCCCAGAATCGGTCTAAGGGTCCTCGAAGAACTGAAGGTTGCACTGCCTGAACTGGATGTTGTTATGGCGTCCAATGACAGACCATGGACATTGAGTTGTGTTGAGGACTAATCGTGGAGATTTCGACGATACGGATAGTCACCCTGCGAACCCGGGGCGTTTGTTTGGAAGAGGTTGGTCACCACGACAACGGCCGAGATAAGCGAAGACCACTGCCGGGATTCAATTGACAAGCGTCGATCGCTCCATGGAGCTCACCGATCCTTCAGGCCGACAGCCTGAGCAGTGAGCATGTGCAACATACTCGTACGGATATCAGTCCGGTCAACCCATTGTCGGGGCTGAAATGGCGCTCCACGCCCAGAAAGGTGTGCAAATGACATGATTCTTGTTCGAGTTTAGATTGTTCGTATCAACAATTGCGTTTGTTTTGATGAGAAGCGCTAATCGGGTAAATTGTCCGCCAACCATTAAAAGTGGAGGAGGTGGAAATCATGCTCGGATGAACCACAAGTCTGCGGTGGAGTCCTCAATTCTAGACTTCAGCGCCGAGCTCGAGAAGTTTCAAGCCTCACCATCTTGATGAATAGGTAGAACTCCCTCCTCAGAGCACGGCGCGTTCACTTTCGAGTGTTAAGTGTTTGGGGGAAGGGGCCGCCCACGTGATACGGAGATTGGTATGGAAGGTCTGCCGAGTCACAAGGCTGGGCTGGCAAGGCTCTAGGTGTTGTCCTCTAGCCTCGCCCATCGCGTCTCATCCCAGCAATAGATGTCTATCTGCGGCGTAAGTAGATATGATGCACACAGCAAGGCCCAAAGTGAGTCCTTCCGCCACCATATGTGCTGGACCGTCCCACCATGATGAATCAAGCGGACATCACCGCCATGATCATCATCCACAGGAGACATATCGTAGGGGTTCATACGGCTTGTTCCATCTATACATTTCAGTTCTGACAATCTTGACATCAAAAGCTAGAAATAGGACTCTCTACAACCAGATCTAAAACTTCTCTCCCAAGATGCCCACCGTTACCATCCCGGCTAAGACAGGCGACTATGTCAGCCTCAAGCAAGGCCAAAAACTCAAGCTAATCAACCCACACGGCAATCAGGTCATAGACTTCTGGGCATTCGTCTTTCCGAACGAGGAGACAAGTGGCAGCTCCATACCTGCAAGCTTCGTCCGATCTACGAAGACCAACTCGGGGTCGACAGCCTCCAATCTTCCATTCCCCTTCACAACGGGCGTGCAATATTTCTCCGCTTCCCGCACACGCTCGATCTTGTCGAAACTGATCCCGTCCGCTCACAGCCAGGATGTTCTATATACCAACAAATCACTCCCGCTGTTTACTCTTCTCGAGGACACCACCTCAGGAATCCACGACACGTTGTTCGGCTGTTGCGACCGATTCCGATATCACAATCTCGGCATCAGCGACTACGAGCACCCCAGCTGTTCGGAGAATATGCATCTTGCACTCCAGAAAGCGGCTGCGGAAGGAGTGTTCTGTCCGGGTACCATATCCTCCGAGTGGACCCCTGATCCCTTGAATGTGTTCATGAATGTGCCGGTGACAACTCCGCTGGATCGCGAGTCGGGCGGGGGACGGATTGAATGTATCCACCCTGAAAGCAAGGCTAACGAGTACATCATTCTGAGAGCGGAAATGGACTGTGTCGCGGTCATGAGTGCTTGTCCCAACGACATACTACCAGGTGTCAATGGTGGGAAGTGTACGGAAGTCGTGTATGAAGTCTTGCCGCAGTAAACCTTCTGAAAGTCCCGAAGTTGAGAAAACGAAGGAGGAACCGTATCAAAATGAACAATCTACTGGCCCATGTTTGACACGCAATTTCTGAGAATTTTAGACTCGGATCACGTTATGTATAATTTTTTCTTCCAACCCCGTTCCATTTTCGCTCCAACAAGAGTCAAGTAGACATACAATTGCTCATTTGAACATTGACAATGACGAGCTTCATCCCGTTCTATGGTACTCGCAGTCACTCCACAGGATCGAAGCCTGGGTGGGTGCTAGACTCAACTGGCGGTCCCATTGAGGTGTTTAGCAATCTTCTCAGGCGTGGCTGACGTCCCCGTCTCCTTGGTGGGCAAGGTGGTCTTCAATGGTGGCAGCAGACTCCTTGCAGTTTCCCTCGCCTGCTGAGCCATAAGCGCGTCGATCACCACCAATGCAGACATGGCCTCAACAATGGGCACAGCACGAGGCACCACACACGGATCGTGTCTTCCCTTGGCCTCCAAAGTGCCCTCCTCGGCATCATAGGTAGCAGTCTGTTGGGCCTGACCGATCGTGGCAGGCGGTTTGAATGCAACGCGGAAGTAGATGTCCTGACCGTTGGAGATGCCGCCCTGAATACCGCCGGAGTTATTTGTCTTGGTGACGAGTTTCGAGCGGTTGGTCTTCTTTCCGTTGGCATCGATGACAGGCGCTTTGACAAAAGGATCATTGTGCGTCGAGCCCGGGACCTCGCAGCCGCCGAAGCCCGAGCCAATTTCAAACCCTTTGGTCGCGGGAATGCTTAACATCGCGTGTGCGAGCGAGGCTTCTAGCTTGTCGAAGCAGGGTTCGCCGAGGCCGATCGGACAGTTCCGGATCACGCAGGTGACGGTACCGCCAATGCTGTCGCTTGCGTCGCGGAATTTCTCAATTACTTTCGTCATGCGCTCTGTGGCTCCTGCTTCAGGGCAGCGCACGGGGACGAATGAGTCGACTTGTTTCCTCGTGATCTTGGAGATCAGGGCTAGGAAATCTGGGTTCGTTGATGGCGTTGGGTGCTCGACGGTGGGTGGGAAGAGATGCTCTGATCCTACAGATGTGACGAAGGCGACGATCTCAACTCCATGTGCTAGTGATAGGTATTTCTCTGCGATAGCGCCAGCGGCAACTCTCCCTATATTCCATCGTTAGACTCGTCATTTTTGAATCCGAGGGCAATTTCAACATACCGATGGTCTCTCTCGCACTACTCCTGCCACCACCACTGCTCGCCTTGACTCCATATTTCTCCAGATAAGTGAAATCCGCGTGACTGGGTCGGGGGTAGAGGTCCATTGTCTGGCCGCCATAGTCTTTTGGTCGCTGATCTTCATTGCGTACAACGAGACCAATGGGAGTTCCGAGCGTTACTCCAAACTCCGTTCCTGATTGGATTTCTACCTTGTCCTTCTCGTTTCGGGGAGTCGTTAGTGCAGATTGTCCTGGTCGTCTTCGGGTCATCTGGGGTTGGATGTCGTCTTCAGTCAATTGCATGCCCGGAGGACATCCGTCGACGATGCAGCCGACTGAGCGACAGTGTGATTCTCCATACGTGGTTACTCGGAAGTAGTCACCGAAAGTCGACATTTTGGAAATTTAGACAATGTACAAGAATCTGGTTATTTTAAGAACCGTTCAGCAAGTCAGAGGAGGTTCGGTGTGGTATGACTCAGAACTAGAGCAGAGCTTTTGGTGTCAACCTCTACCGGGTTTTAGTAGCAGAGTTGTATTTTGCGATAGTACAAAGATTCGTGCACCATGCGACTAATGGGTGTATTTTACAGGGAAGGAGTTGAATTGATTCATAAAAAAGTTCAAACGAATATCTTCTTTGGGGATTTGATTTGTTGGAGTCATTCCATGCACGATTGAATTCTAGACCGAAACTCCGGAAATCGGTGTGTCACGTCACGTGATCGGTTTCTGCTCTTAGGGCGTATTTTATTCTAGGGACGCAAGATCGTGAAGGGATTTCAGAAGGCATCCTATATAGTAAGCAAAGAGAGCAAAGTTACAAGGAAATGGGAGTAAATCGAAAAGAAAAGACAAATGGATACGTCTCATGGCTGATATCCAGCCGGTTTTCATTGTGAACCTGAGAAGTCAAGGATGGATGTCATACGTTGGTCGTGTCCGTCGCATCAATTCATTTGAAGCTGCACTCGGGATGTGTCAGCATGTGCTCATACAACTCTGAGCGTTGAGTAGGTCGAGCGCCAAGCCCTTCATTTCTAATAGTCATCACCCCTACTAATGACCTCCTTGACAGTAGGACGAAGCAGTATGGTATGCTCGAACTGTGCGGTGTAACTACCCTTGGTATCGACCAGAGGTGGGTATGCCTCCACAATCCCCGAGCTGACCAAGTTGTTCAATCCGAGCAAGTATTTCTCCTGACCAAGTCGATCAAGGTATCGGCGGCAGAATGGAATTGTTCCGAAATTCTTCTTGATGACATTCAAAAGAGATCGAGCAGATTGCACTCTCAGCGCTACATTAGGGGCATCAGAGCGCATGGCGTAGTGTGAGCACTCAAGGTCTTCATTCACATAGCCACGACCAGTGCTGCCGAACGTTTCGATGGCGAAGATTTCTCCTTCTTCCATCTTGGTTTGATCTCCGCCCTTAACAATTGGGACGGACTTGCCGCCGTGGATACTGTGTTGAATGATGTCATGCCCGTTCAGATTTCGAATTGCTTTGACGGGATATGTTTTGCCGTCGAGTTCAACTTCGTAAGATTCCATGGTCTCTTGGATGGCAGCGCCAATGTCACAGACACGGACGTCGATTCCTGCCTCGCGAATGCCGGTGTTTGTAGCATCCTTGACGGCTGCGAGGAGATTATCGTATTTTGAGTCCCACGCCAATGTGAAGGCCGAGTCCACGATACGGCCATTGACATGGACGCCATAGTCGACCTTTAGCACGTCCTTTTCGCCCAAGATCCATTTGTTTCCAGCATTCGGTGTGTAATGGGCCGCAATGTGGTTGATACTGAGACCAGTGGGGAACCCCACTCCACCTTTGATGTTATCTCCTTCCTCCAAACCCCAATGACCAGTGAGAGCACGAGTGCTATCTTCAATACCCTCTGCAATCTCCGTCAAACTCATTCCAGGCTTGATATGAGCGTGGCACCATTTGCGGACTTGACGGTGAGCCTCAGCACCCTGACGATATTCTTGCAGGAAATCATTGTTCATGCGATCGAGGTGTCTCTTCTCTTCGTTTGTTGTTCGGTATGCGTTGTCGTTGAGATATTCAACCTCTTCACCCACAGGGTAGACATTGTTTGGGAAGAGTTGGCTAACTGGGACTCGAGGTGGGTCGGATTGGACTTTGGCACCGCCTGCACCGCCAGCTGCAGCCTTCTTCTTCTTTGGCTTCTTCTTCTTCTTCTTTTTAGCGGCACCACTTGCGGCTGTCCCGTCAGCACCACCAGTGGCGGTTGCCGCTGCCGGATCGTCGTCCTTGTCATCGTCCGAGTCATCCTGATCTGAGAGGTGACCGTTGACACCGTTTGTGCCGTTCACTTGAGGGTTTGACTTGGTGGCGTTGCCGTTCAGCGCGAGCTTAGAAAGCTTGTCCGCCGTCTTTGCCGCCATTGTGTGAATCTGCTTTCGGTGAATAAGGATCTGCTAAGTCGTGAGTACAAGACCAGAAAAGTGGTACAACTGAGGGACATTTCACAAATTCTGCCCGCATCCATTTCTAGATGACACGCGCTGCCGCTTAAATCTAGATCCGCGACTAGCCGCCTACAGAGACTTAGCTGCAGCAATAGCGGCGGAATATACAAAGGGTCCACCATAACAGCTGTTGAACTTCTTCCGGAGTGACCTTGCAGACCCGGATGATGATTGTTCAACTTCTTAAATGCGTTCTTGAAAGGGGATCGCTATCCACATGTCACCAATGCTCGCCCTTGATGTTGCTCGGTAATAAACTCGACGCGATGCAGTCAAGACTCAAGCATTTGTTCAGGTGCTAGTAGTGGTAGAAATCGAAAGAATCCGATGCTGAATTCATCAAATCCCAGTCGCAGTGCCTGGAGGCCCAACATGAATGAGCCATGCGTTCGAGGGTAGTCACACGACCAGGGTTGGCGTGGTGCTCATTGGGGTTCTCTCCCAAGGTAGGGACTGTTGGTTTTGGGGTCCATCTATATGCGGCGGAACTCAGGGGCTGAACTCGTGTTCATCAGCGACATCAGTGGAATACTCCACTGCCTGTTCATGAGCAGTTCTGTCCAGTCTACAAGAATGTATCTCATCACAACTATAACGAAAACACTAACGAAAGCAAAACCTCCAATATTCTACGTATTCTATCGAACATCCCCAGAAGATCCAACGACTGAAGCTGGATCGAAAACGGCTTGCTTGATGACACGGGCTTTTAGGTTATGTTCCACCAGAGATTTGAACCAGTGTGTCTGGAGTGCTGACGACTGAAAGCGATCTGTCCTGCTTCTTTTAGACATGAAAATTTGCAGTCCCGACGCGATCACCTCCCATAATTTCGGCACAAGCTCTGACGTTGACGAATGGTCTCGATGTGCTCAAATCCCCAAGTTGGATTTACTCCATAGCCAAGCGAACGTGATACACTCGACCTTTTCTGGTCGTGTCTCTTCACTGTCTTCATTTGTATTTGGAGTGTGGTGTCACCCAAACATTCCGCATCCCCAATCGCCATGGTGGCAGATGTATCTCGACCGACTCATGCAGTTGCTGCTGGCAGCGATGGCCCCTGAGCTTATTCTCGCAATTGCTGTGAGGGAGTACTTGGATGCAAGACGAGTTGCGACGACATTGAAGACCTTCACAGAGGAGAATAATCATGGATCCCTGGACCGTTCAAGCCACGACAACAGGACCATTGTTTCAGGATTTGATATTGTTGTGGGAGGATTACAGGTTCGCTACGGAAAGATGTTCAATGAGTTTGATTTCGAATTTGCATTCACGAGCGATGATGCCCATGGCCAAATGATGATAGAACGGATATCTCAGCACCACAGCATTCGTGGAGCATCTGCGTTGCGGCAAGATAAGCCTCGAAAGGTTGATCAGTGAGCGCGAGATCCAAGACAAGGGCAAGGCTGACAACCTCATCAAGTGCATGCTTCCTTTCCAAGTTCTTTGGCTTACAATTCAGTGCGTCAGTCGAGCCGCACAAGGTTTGACCATCACAAAATTGGAACTAAGTACTTTGGCATACGTGCCATTCATGTTACTCACCTTAGCATTCTGGTGGAAAAACCCTTACCATTTCGAGACGCCTACCCTGGTCGATGCTGTGTCCCCTCCCTCAGAGCACAGAACGATGGTCACTGGTTATTCTCATAGAAAAGAGATCCCTAGGTTTGAACCTACACGATATCAGTCTTTCGGATTGGCGAGGGAGTGCCTTAAAGTGATCCGAGTCGTAGGGTTGCATGCGCCAGATGGGCCACGTGCCGCGTTGACCAGTCTTCTCTTCTTCGTCTTTGGAGGCCTCCATTGTGCAACGTGGAATTTACCCTTTGCCACACTAATAGAGCTGTGGATGTGGAGAATCAGCTCCTTGATTGTTGCAACACTTATACCATTGATGTGGGTGATTTTTTGGCTTACTGGCTTGCATATCGATTCATGATCGAGAAAATGAGGCCTGAGGCTGTGGATGAGGAGGTCCCAGAGCAAATTCACTGGCATGGCAAGAGTCTAAAGATCCAGCGGGCAAGGTATTCGAGGTTGGTGTTGAGTATAGGGCCGATGGCTTGCGTTTACCTCTATATCCTTGTGAGACTATGTCTTGTATGCCAGATCTTCGTGGGTTTGAGATCCTTGCCAGCGGACTGCTACCAGACTGTGGAATGGCTGGTCTTCAGACCTGGAGTGACATGAGTGGTTCCAAATTCTGATCGATATCTTAGAACTAGTTCTCAGGCCCTACCTGAGCTATATCATTAGAGCAGTCTGTCGTTGAGTGTCCTTGAAGAACAACCAGAGTCCCAGGCACAGAACAGCGTCTCGACTGCTTCGGAGTCGGAAAAACAGTGACGGGAGCGGTATCTCCTGAATCGGAGTTGAGATCCTTTCCGCAACTTGAATTCTAAGACGTCACCCACCCACCATTTGGGTCTCGGTGCGCATGCTATTTATCTTTTGGCTTTATTCTTCCATCCTGCTTTCGATTTCCTTCCAACTTTTCTTGAATAAGCCTCCATTCCTTCTCTTGTTGCGATCGGAAATCAATAAGCATGAGGCATGCTTCGTCGCCCGTGCTCCATCCATGCTCTCCGCCTGGCAACTCCGCCAACCTGCAGTAGAACTGCCTTCCCAACCCTTCTCAGACGCACACGCGACCACATCCGAGTTGACCACACCCGCCCATTCTCCTCGAAATCGGCGCTGCGCAACGCTGCCCCGTCACCCACACACTATGAAATCCTCAAGTTGCCACCGACCGCGACGGCGGCCGAGCTAAAACGCCAATTCTACATTCTTTCCAAAGAAACACACCCGGATCACAACCGAGATGACCCCAAAGCAGGCGACCGCTTCGCACAGATCAGCGAATCCTACTCGGTACTGGCGAACCCCGAGAAGCGCAAAAGATATGACCGCGACGTGATGCGTACCCACCATGCTTCCAGCCGGCGTCACCATGGCTCACATTCGTCGCACAGCAGCTACGCCGGCTCACGACCCGCCACAGGCTTGAGCAAGCGTCGCAGTGCGTTCAAGGGTCCACCGCCCAGTTTCTACGCCCATGGGAAGCCCTCCGCCAACACGGCGCAGCAAGCTCAGTCGTCCTCGTCGAGCGGTGGAGATCAACACATGGCAGGGACCTTCAATGCAAGTTCTTACACCGACCCAGGCTATCACGACCCAGCGTTCAATGCGTCCGCGGTATTCAAAACCCAGACGCACGAGGACTACCGGCGAGCGAACCGCCGTGCTGCCGAGGTGGCTGCGGTGCAGGCACTGGCAGAGGACGAAGGGAACTTCTGGACGCGGTTCATTGTGGTGTCTGGGATCCTGGTGCTCACCGTCACGTTTGCTTCGTTTATTGCTTCCAAGTCGGTTCCGAGGTCTGGGAAAGGCGGCCTTCTGAAAGCAGATGGAAGCCGTCGGGATGGGGTGAAGAAATGAGGCACTCTGATTTCGAAACTCGAGAATAATGATTTTCACGGCAACATACGTTAGGGAGTGTTGCATTTCATCATGCCGTTCCTTGTCAGTACGGCAATAGCGACGGCTTGGTTTCGTGATTGATCAGTGTCTGAGAAGCAAGCTGCCGGTAATTGCTGCAGGCGTTGCATTGACACTCTTTGTCGCACCAAAGACGAGGCGAAGAGAGGTGTGTGCTCCGGCGAGAGCAATCGCCCCCGTTTCGAGATGATATTCTGCGTTAGATGTATAAATAGCGACTGGGTACACGTTAAGATATAGAAGGAATGCAAGACTATAAGAAGATCGATCGCATTGATTGATTGGTCGTCCAAACACGGTCTCAAAAACGTGGTCTTTGCATTTCCTGTGTTCATGGGCAACTGGAACAAACGGTCACGACACGATAGAACGCATCATATGAAGTAGGGACGTTGTAGGGGGTAAACGACTTTGTACAATCTTGAGATTTAAAGATTCGCTCTTTCTAATTCAGGTCTTTCTCCATCCCCGTTGCATTTACTTTCATGCCACTCCGAGGACTTCCCACCTCCACTGCTATCATCGCAAAGAGTACGAGTACATCTCCTCGCCACTCCACATCACTGCGCTGCTCTATCCCTCTCGCACGCCGAAAGACAGGACAGCAAAATGGGCAATGGAGGAAGAAGGCAAAACCAACGAGAAGTAGATTTGAAGGTTTCGGGGATTGAAGATGGGGTCGAAGTTGGAGGAGAGAAAGTCGCACTCAAGTCAGTCTAGCGAAAGCCAAAAATCTATCCTTCGAAGGTGAAGGAAGCGCCGACCTTGTGGGCTGCTTGGTTCAGGTTCTGGGTGTCGAGCGAGGCGCCGAGGCCGAGGGTGACGCCGGTGCCGAGCTTGACGTTGTATGCAAGAGCGGCGATACCGCGGTCGTTGATCTTGGCCTGTTGGGGTGGAGGAGAAGGGGGTTAGTTTTAGATATTGTTCGCGACACAGAGTATCATGGGGGAGGAATGGGAGATGGGTATAAAATACCTTTGCGAACGAGCTGGGATCGAGCTTGTACTTGCTTGCAACTTCAAGACCGACGTTGCTTCCTGCCGTGGAATCCCAAGTGGCCTTTGCACCGGCCTCGACCTCAGCGTTGACCTTGTGGTAGTAGCTGGCAGAGAAGATGCTCAGGTTGTTGGTGGCAGTGACGGCGGCGGCGTAGGAGCCCTGGCTGTAACCGGCGGCGAGAGCGTACTTGGTGATGGCGGCCTTGCCGACATCGTAGCCACCTTCAGCGCCGATGAGGAAGCCCTCGTGGCCCAAGGTGACGTCGAAGGTGGCGGTGGGGCCCTTGAAGAGGTCGGTGAACAGGCGGGTGTGGATGTTGGGTTGCTTGTACAGCAGGTTGAGCTTGCCGCCGTATGTCTTCTTCGCGGGCAGGTAGTTGGTCAAGACCTCGGCTTTGAGGCCTTTGGTCAGGTTGTCCTCAAGCTCGAGCTTGGTGTCGAGGCTGTTGGATGTGGTCCATGTTTGTGTGAGGGTCAAGCCTGTGCAGGGAAAGAGGTGGGAGTTAGTGCATTGGGTGCGAGGAGCAGGGAACTGAGAGAAAAGGGAGGTCCATACCAGTGGCCTTGTCGCTGTATTTGCCTTCAATCTTTCCCCTACCGTTAACATGTGATATTCTGAGATTCTTTTTACTGATTGTGGTGCTCACCGAGCCAGAGGTAGGACCATCATGGGCAGCTTTTCCCTTGACGTTGAAACTGCGCCGCAAAAAGAAAAGTGGTCAGCTGAACAGGTCGGAGGGCGCAGCGAAGGTCGAATTCAGTCAACTTACACGACGCCATTGGGTGCCTTGGACTTGACTTCAAGGTTGGCAGCAGTGGTATGGTAGAAATCCTTGTTGAGGAGCTGGAGGATGGCGTTAGTGGAGGAAGTTGAAGCATTCTTCCGGGATTGGGGGCATATCTCACATCGTTTGCTGGCTTAGCGATATCGCCGAAGGGGACGGGGATTCCAGACATGATGAAGGATGGAGGTTGAGAGAGATGGTATTGGGAAGAGAAGGCTGTGAGGAGAGGTATAGACAAAGTACAGTCAACACAGACAAGAGGTTAAAGTTGAAGGTGTTTGTGACCGTGGCTCGTCTCGGGTGCAGGTGTTTGGATTTGGCGTTCGAGCTTCGAATTGAGAAAATGGGCCGGAGAAAGTGGTTTTTCCATTCAACGAATCATGTCACGTCATTCAGGGAGGTGGTCCGGGAAGCTTGGCCGACAGGAACGGCCTCAGGCTTGGGTTTCGGGTTATGGACAGATGGATGAATCAAACAGCCCACACCATCATCCAGATACGACTACGACGACAGCAGAAGAACAGACCACATATATATTATCTCAAGTTTTATTGTAATCCCTCCAGGAATGCCTGGCCGTACCCAACCCCAATTCCCTTCCCATTCCCGTCTCTCTTCAGCTCAGCCTGTTTATGTGCATATCATCTCAGCCTGCTCTCCTCCGCTTCTCTTTTCTTCTGGATCCCATTAAAGACCAGGAATCAACTATAGCAGTATATCGTATCGTTCCAGCTCGTTCGTACTAGCTTTTCAAGCACCTCCCCTAATGGGGTAGACTGCTCACACAGTATCTAGCAGATTGTAACAGCCCTCCCAGCAAAACAAAGCAAATGGAGACTTTGACTGTTTTCGCTAATCTTGACATTTGGCTGCAGATTGCCCTCACCAGCACCCATAACAAGGAAAAGGAAAGCAACGGAAGCAAATCTCTTATCTCAAACGCCTTCCCAATGAAATGCAATCATGACCCTGCCTCGGCCTCGGACTCGTATCGTGCCACGTGAGTTCCGATCGCTCTACCGCTGGGATCGGTCTGTTGAGACCAGGTGGGTGTCCATCTCATCACTGTGCCGGCACAGTACGAGGGGAAATGCTCGTCAAACATGGTTCGGTACCAGTAAGCTTCCTTGCTGGTTGGTACATCACTGCCCCATTCTGGTTTGGGGTTGGCCAACATCTCATCCGTCACATTAGCCTCTGCCGTGTCTTTCAATCCATCAATCCAGCCATAACCGACCCCATCGCTGAATTGCTCCTTTTGGCGCCACAGGATGTTGTCTGGTAGATACGGTTTGACCTCTGGCTCGTCTGTGGTGTCGAACGCCTTGCGCAAGATGTACTTCTCGATCCGGTCCTTGGTGATCATCTTCTCTTGAGGATCGATGTTCATGGACACTTCGAGGAACTGCTTGTCCAGGAAAGGAACTCGGGCCTCCACACCCCACGCTGATGTTGACTTGTTGGCTCGTAGACAATCTGCCAGGTTGAGGTTCTTGATTCTCTTGACTGTCTCAGCATGGAATTCTTCCTTGTTTGGCGCCGCATGGAAATAGAGGTATCCGCCAAATATCTCATCACTTCCTTCTCCACTCAAGACCATCTTGACACCCATGGCCTTGATCTTTCGGCTAAGCAGGTACATCGGTGTCGATGCTCGGATAGTGGTAACATCGTAAGTCTCAAGGTGGTAGATGACATCGGAAAGGGCGTCCAATCCTTCTTGAATCGTGAATGTAAAGTCGTAGTGCTTGGTTCCGAGGAATTTGGCCACCTCGATCGCAGCCTTGGTATCAGGGGCATCCGGCAGACCGATCGAAAAGGAGTGGAGTTGGGGAAGGAAAGTGACGGTCGACAACTCGTCGTCATCATCAATGCCTACCAATTTGCCGCCAGTTCGGGGCGTGACATGACCATTGGTCACTCCGTTGGTAGTTCCGTTGGTAGTTCCGTTGGTCAATTTGCTGGCTTGTTGTTTTTCAGCAATGGCTCTTTGACGCAGAGACTCTCGCTGGGCAATTGAAGCAGTTAAACTCGAATCGAGCCCTCCTGACAACAGCACACCGTAGGGGACCTCGGCCATGAGCCGTTTCAGGACGGACTTTTCCAGAGTATGTCTGATCAACTTGTAATCGATGGGAGTGCTGGGAACTCGCTTGGGGTCCCACCACGAGGGCTCAAAGTAACGTGTGAGTTTGTCGGTTTTTGAGTCATAGACATGACCGGGTGGGAAGGAGTCGATCTGGTCGCAGACGGGTGCCAAAGCCTTGAGTTCCGAGGCGAAGAAAACGGCGCCAGGTGTTTTGGAGGAGCGGCCGATATAGAAGGATGTAATACCGATGGGATCTCGGGCAGCGATGGTTCGATCCTGTTCCTTGTCATAAAGAACGAAGGAGAACATGCCATCGAGCTGCTTGGGAGCATCAATGTCGTGTTCCAGGTAGAGTGGAATGATCACCTCACAATCGCTGTGAGTCTTGAAGTTGTAAGGGGTCTTGAAATGTTTCCGCAAGATTCGGTGGTTGTAGATCTCGCCGTTGACGGCCAGAGCCACTGTACCTTCATCGTTGACCAGAGGTTGGGCACCGCTATCAACTCCAACGATACTAAGTCTTTCGTGACAGAGAATGGTGTTGTTCCCAGACCAGTTGCCCGACCAGTCGGGCCCACGATGCCGCAGACATTTCACACATTGCAGGGCTTGGGATTTGAAGGTGGCTATCGACGGATGGCTGCAAGGGGAGAATTAGTTAGTTTCATCTGTTTGATGTCTCCAAAGAAAGAACGACATGCTATGCATGGCGACGGGTGAATCGAACATACCCATGGCAGGCGAAGATACCACACATGACTGACTGCCCACGAGCTTTCCTTAGGAGAATGTTGGAGGGTGTGATAGTATGCAGGTGAGGGAGAGTGGCGGCGTGGGATTTGAAAGAATAAAAAGGTGTCGCATCGACTCACAAAATTTGAACGTCGCGGGATGACTCAAGAGCCACCCCCCTCCAAGATTCAACATATTGTCATAATATTTCCATTCACCATCCTTGACGGGTCCTCAGCCTTCCACCGACTCCACTTTTCGCCTGACGGGGCGGCGACGATAAAGATAAGGGATGAATGAATGATGAATGACTGCCCATTTACAGTGGAGCTCCAGCTGGGTCAATGACTTTGAAGGCCGAAGACCGGGGCAATTCTGACACTGGTTCCAGCTGTTACTCGTACGGATGCACCGCAAACAGGAGGTGGCCCCCTCGTGCAGGTCTGTGTTTTGCCCACTCGTGGCTGCGGAAAATCTGGTACAGTAATTGAATTTGACCTGTTCAGCACTGGGCTTGGGCTTGGGCTTGGGGTTTGTGGGTTGCACAAAGTCGAACTAAAAAATCTCCCAAGGGAAACTAAGGCTTCCGTCGACGGACGGCGCTATTGACCAGGGAGAGAAATCCTTACTGTACCTCGTACCGTGACTTTAACCCGGCTCGATGGGTTTGGTGGGATGACATCCGATCCCAAACAGAGCCGGGCCCTGGCTAGAGGGGCCAACGAGCGCCTAAGAGGAGCCCGACAAGCCACTTGCGCTCCGTAACACAGGCACTAACACGCCTAAACGGCCATAGTCGAGAGAGCCGAAGCGTAATATTACTGCTCTGGGCCGAAACATTCGCGCGCTTGGTCTCTAGCCCTGGCCCTGGCCCTGGCGCTGACCCCGACGCTGATCCGACCGGCCTTCTCCCTCTCCATCCACGACATCCCCGTCCTTTGACTTGACGTTTCCGAACATTATCAAAATTGGAGTTGGAGCACTCGGTACAGCAAGGACCTTGCACACAGGTAGGGATTACATGCGAGTTGCGGTGAAACTAATTTGCCTCGATGGTTGGGCACGCGACTTGACATAAAACTTCATTTCTCACTTGGAAGGCTGCCGGAAGTCATGCTGACAATCAGACTGCGAGCTGACTTGACTGGTGCGATGAGGTCTCCTTTCTGCAAAGCCCTCGGTCATCACATCATACCTGGGGTTGGGCATCAATTTCCCCAGTCTGCAGATGCAGATGCAGACGCAGATGCAGATGCAGTGCATCGTACGAGTGAGGAGATTCGGAACAGCGAAAAAAAGCATCGAGATTGAGGTCGAGGTCTCCAATTCAAGTGTGTCCAAGCCGCATCGTATCGTCGGATGCAGTCTCAGTCTCAGTCCTGATACTAAACTAACATCCGACCCCGCGTTTTGTCATCCAGAAGAGTCATGCAGTTGACCTTTTGGCACCCCCACGCTATTCACAATTCGGCCGCTATTTTCAGCTCCCCGGTACTGCCACGGTCCATTGTCCACCATCTTGTCTTGAATTGCCCTGGTACAAGTAGCACATGTCCATGTCTCTGATCTCAGTGATCAGCAGACCTAGCCCTGGATATCGCATTCCCATGCAGTGCCTGAAAAAAAGCAAATCCTACTTGCCGAGTTGGCAATGCTTTCCTCTTTGCCCCAGACACCAGACACGTGGTTTGCACACCGTGGTTCCGATGATTCATTTGTCTGCACTGCTGCAGCAGTAGTCCTACGCCTGTGCCCCTAGGGAAAAGACACCGCTCCAATGCCCTTGCCAGAAGGCTGCCCCAGTAACAAACTCCGCGCTCAAAGAAAAACCCTCATGCAAGTTTGGAGCTGCTGGTCACCTGCAATCGCGCATTTGCTGTGACAGCACCCATCATTGTCGTAAATTCATTCCATTCGCTAGTATCATTCGCAATTTGCCAACGGCTTTTAGGGTGCGGGGTTTTCCTTGACGATGGATTTGATCTTGCGATCGTATGCGGCCCGATCCTTTTTGAACAGATTGTATGCATCGGCTTGAGCTGGCGATTCGGGGTTGGGATCGTTTAGCAGATCCTGAATGCCCAAGAGAATCTGCTTGATGGTGATTGCAGGCTTCCAACCTTCCTCCTCATTCAATATAGAGAGACAGACGGTGCCCGATGGGTACACATTCGGGTGGAAGAGTGGTGGTACAAATCGACCTAACAAACGATTGTCAGCATTTCCCCTGCTTCCTCAGATCTGGTTCTGATGGGTGCATTAAATCCCTCACATTTGGGTGGCTTGGTAGGATATTCGTCAGGAAACGTGAGTGTCAACTTGAAAAGTCCTCCTTCCCAGATCGTCTTCTCGCGACCTGGAATTCCGACGTCCCAGGACTTCAGATCAACCACCCCATTTGTGTTTCGGACTGGTTTGGCGAAGAACCCAAAAGGATGGTCACGACGCCACTGTTTTCTATCCTCAAAAGTTAGTGGGTGCTGACACAAACATGATGATCTCGGTCGTTCCCTTACCGTTCCTCCTGAAGACGATTTTGACACAGAGACATGATGATGACTGATGAGAAGGCTAAAGGGAGAAAAACGCAACGGATGAAGCGAGGTGGTATCACCAGTCGGTAATATTTTGACCCCTGATGGTGATGAAGGCAGCGATAGGTGGTGATAGCAGTGACAATGGCACAATGAGAGATGATCAGTGATCCAAAGTGTTTGATCGGATATGTCAATCCAAAGAATTGGCTGGATCTCTCAATTGAATCAGTTGCCTCACACCACAGGCAGAAAAGTGAACTAGAAGTGAGGCTAAGGCTGCGGCGGTAGCCTCAAGCACCAAATTCAAAAGGCGGCTGCTAAGTCTTGGCATCGTGTCCATCACGTGCTGAGCAATTCCCCGCCGGAGTTTGATCGGAGTTCAAGTTGGGGGATGTCTTTGTAGATCATCGTGAAGGGCACAAACAAGGGTATCATTGATCTAAATAATCAGAGATCTTCTTCCTTCCGTGATGGCTAGGTCATCTTGAGCTCTGCATCTGAACAAGTTTGTCCATCTGCTCAATCCATTTCTTCGCAAATACCGCTTCGGTGAATCGCTCCGTGCTAGCTCGTCCTCTAAGTCTCATTGCATATCGCTTCTGCGCGTCAAGTGAAGCGACTTTTTCAAATGCTTCGGCAAACTCTTGGTCGGTCTCTGCGAGATAACCAATGATTTCTCCCTCGTACGGTACGACAATGTCCATCTTGGGACCACCGCTGTTATGTACCACCGGAATCAATCCAGCCGCAAGACCTTCCACGTTGCCGATCCCGAAATGCTCCGAATACATGCCATTTGTGATGATGCTACATTTCTGCAGGTGTTCCAGAATCACAAGAAATGGTGCATCACAGATGAAAGTTGTCGCGTCGTTGATCTTCAACTCACGTGCTTCAAGTCGTAGTTTGTAAATGTGCTTCTCGTCGGGTGTGTTGGCTCGTACGGACCCAATCAGAACCAGTTTGGGTTTCACCTTGGACCTGCTATTGTGATAGTACTTGGCGAATGATCGCAGGATAAGAGAATGGTTCTTCTCGGGACGGAACTGAGCGATATAGAGTACGCATTCATCTCGTGCCTTCTCGCTTTCAGGCGTGACCTTGATCTTCGCCTGGAGTTCCTCCACAGGACAAGGAGGGTAAATGATGGTCGCAAAGGAGGAAGACTCCATTTTGGGTTTCCATAGCTGCATGATATGGCCCTGAGTCCAGGTTGAATTGCAAACAACAACATCGATTTGTCGTCCAACCCAGCCGTACAACCGCGCGAAGATGCGCCAGTAATTCTTTTTGCCCTTACCTTTCAATCCCGTGCCGGCTCCAGAATGCATTCCTTTCCCTCCAGTCGTATCGTCCAAACTCTCCAGCATATCGGTAGAGATGGTCGGGTAATGAACGTAGGCTGCTGTGGGTATTTTGGGAAACAGGTACTTGCAGAAAGCCACAGCAAAGGCGTAACCCATTGTGTCAATGAAAATGTCGGGCACGAGTAGTTGGAATGCCTCGTAAGCAAGAAACATGGATCCGAGCGATTGGCCAAGTAACGTGAAAGAGGGATATGTGCTGGCGAGGACAAAACGTCTTCTCGATAGATATATGAACACCAGCGAGTGTTCTTGTAAGGTAATATTGAACCTGTTCTTGACCGTTGATACCAACACTGATCTATCGATATCATGATCACCAGTATACACAGCACAGATAGCATTGGGCCATCTCCTTTGTGTGGCGGCAATGGCAGCCCAGAGGACTCTTTCACCTCCACCACCAGCGTTGCTATGAATATTGTTAACTTCCAGACTTTTCTTGTCACTCTGATCCCTCGAGACTCACCAAAAGGGATGGAAGAAGCCGACTATGCCACTCCAGCTATCTCGAAGTGGTTGACCATTTTCAGCCGAACCTGTACTTTCAATCTTCTCCCAGCCATCTTCCACGTCCGGGAAGAGGTTATGCCCTTCCGCAACTGCATTCCTGTCCTTTTCGATTTTAGCAACGATTGCTGCTCTTCTATCTCGACCTTGAGATTCTAGGGACCAGCCAATAGCACGTGTCAAAACTTTGACCAGCCATAAGCTTATGATGGGTACGAGAGGGATCGTGGCGAGAAGTGCCAACAACATAGAGGTAGCCATTTACTGAGTGGTCAGGTTACTCCCATCTAGACGGAACACATTCTCGTCTTGACTTGTTCACTCTTGAGGTGAAATGTGAGGAAGAGATCTGGATGACGTAGCCTCTATTCTCCTGAGTCCCCACGTCTTAGCGCGTTCAAGTTGGAGTATCAATACGAAACGAATACCAAATATACAATACGACCATGGAAATTCGATGTTGGAGTTCAACTCGAACACCATCAATAGCACCACGCTCAATTCTCAGATAACATTGCACGGATGCACGGTCTCATTCAGATGTGCACCTTCAATGTTGTCAAGGTCTCATCTCACACGCCATGGCCTGCGATCATCTGCCACTAGGGCTCCTCTCCAGGGCCTGAAGTCGACCGTACATCCTCAACTGCAGCAGCGCGACTTTCATCCCTCACGACCAAATCACCTCCTCCCAGAACTCCTGCAGCTTTCTCACGCGGCATTCCAAGAGATCCATAGTGTATCAGGTCTGCCCTGGGCATACTCAATACCTCTAACCGCGGCCCTCTTCCGAGCGTCATGGATACCGATACAATGCCTCATCGCGCGAAACCGGAAACGGCGTCAACTTGTCAGTCAACCTCTTCTCGCCTGGCGCTATGTCTACCGGAAAGCCGCTGTGGAGGCACGGGGTAGACGTCCCGCCACAGAAGCCGACGCAGAGAAAGCAGCCCAATGGGTCACACAAAAACTCGAGGAACGGAAGACATCCTTGAAGAATGATCTTCCCTACATGGAGCCCAAATGGGAATGGATTCTTCCGCTGGCGTTCTTGCCTGTGTGGTTCCTCAACGCAGAGACGATAAGGAGGATGTCGTCGGACACGAGGACCGCCATGGCTTGGATAGGCGGGCGAGGCGACACCACCGACTCTCCAGCGTCCGTCTTGATTCCCATCGAGTCCGGCCTGGAGACCGAAAGTCTGGCATGGACATCTGACCTTGTCTCGGCCGATCCTTACATGATCCTGCCTGGTGTCTTCCTGATTCTATCTGTCTGGAACGCCCGAGTAGCACTGGGGAAAGCACCAGACCCTCAAGTGCAAAAGGAAATGCGGAGGACACGCCTTGGCCGACTACAACTCGAAATTCCCCACATCATCCAGCTACTTGCCGTCGTATTTCCCTTGTCGCTGATCTGGCAAGACATGCCATCTGCGGTGGTGCTCTACCTGATCGGGTCCAGTGCTACAATGCTGGTACAGCGAGCTGTGATCAAGAATCTCATGGGCGAGACCAAGGTAATCAAGCCGTTAAACGCCAAACTGGCAATGGGGCTCAAGAAACATGGCGAGGAGACGGAGAGTAAGTCCGTCTTTGACAACAGAGCCCCAATATAGGAAGGCATGGGACTTCTTCAGGAGAACCTCCATCCATGCCGACCGCTGCTCCAGACCTGCTGGCCACGACATGAGATGCGATGAGCGTCAAGCAAAACCCCGTTCCAGGCCACGAACCACACACACTCCCTCTCACTCAGGGTGCGATTTATGTCATATAGGCATTGCATTGCTCGGAACAACGCTGCGATACGATTCAGTCACGGTCGTGCGACCCGTTGATCGAATTATTCCTCGACGATGGCAACAACAGAATTGGTTCCGCTCTCAACACGACACTCATAGCCGCCAGATATGGACCCGTTGGCCTCATGCGTTTTAATAGCACGAGTCGTGGAGCTAGCTCTCTGTGCTCAGCATCAGTAGCGCCTAGGCGCTGTTTCTCGGGTGTCACTCCGTCCGGCTGATGTAAATGTATATAATATTTTATGTATATCAAATAGAACAGAGTGAACTGGATAATCTTGGTGGGTATTAAAAGTCACCTTCTCACTCTCATCCTCTTTGATCGTCTCCTTCCTCCCCAGTCTGGTCCTTAGGTATAAGTAGTTTGGTGAGTGGCGTTTCACACTCATATTCCGCTGAGCGTGCTCGCTGCTCGCTCAATTCCAACCAGCTCTTCCAAAAGGTTATAGAACCTCTTAAAAGTGCGAGATGTCATGGCGCAACTATGAGAATCTATATAACAGTGATGAAAACAACCTCCTTAGTTTTTCGTGTAAAAGAGACTCTCTGAGCCTTGTTATGTAAGGGCCTGCTACCGCTTCCAGAATCTATTTACTTCTTTGGAATTCTACAGGCTGAAGACTGACCAGATCAGTCCACCATTACTTAGATTGTTGGGGCGTGTAATGATACGCCAGCCTTTCATCGAAACCATGATCAACATCAAGGTAAGGACATGCTCGAGAACCTATAGCTTCAATTACGCCTTTGGTAGAGTACTGTCTTGGGCAAAATAAATTGGAACCCTTTTCCCAGGGGAAACCGGCGGGCGTTTCGCCTCTTCTAAGCCAAAAAGGTAAGTGGTGAGAGTACTTCGGGGGTTGAAATCAACTATAAATATAACACCGTTATCAGAATGCGAAAGGATAGAAAAGACACACCATTTATTGTTCGCTGTTCAGCAGAAGCTAAATGTTTACATACATACAAAGTACAAGCAATGAAGTAGAGTGAGTTCAATTCTTTGAGGTTGTGTAGAATCTCTGAACTTGTGGAGCTCGCAGGACTACTTCTTCAAGATGGTCATGTATGCTCCCCTACAGTGAAAGCCTGTAGCTCCTGCTTTCAATCCCTTCCCGTTGACGCCTTAGCTATGCCCATAATGGCTCGCAATATATGCTGTTTGCCTCACCGACGAATTGAATTATTTCTCACTTTCGCGGTTGTTCTCCGTCTGCTTTCGCACCCGAGGGGTTGTATCATGAAACTCGCACTGGCCTCATCTCTTTAGCCCTAATAGCGTCTCATCACAGCTTGGCCTTGACCTCACCCTGAGGTGGAGCAGATGCATCTGGATTGAGCACCACCGCACCAGTGGATTCACCCTCTCCAAAGAATATCACTTCCACAGTCAGATCATCCCTGTAGCGTCTCGAATATGGGCTGGGCAATGTGAGCAGAGCGCAAACCATATCTCGATCCCTTCCACCAAGTGCATTACGGACAAGATGAGTCGCGGCATTCTTGTCCTCGACGACGAATCGACTGTTATTCTCAGTCACCGCCCATTGCTGCTGGCGGATCGGCTTCTCACCAACCTTTTGGCCACGGTCGTTGTCGACTCTACCAGTTTTGTCCATATTCCCACCCTTTTCCACAGGAAGAGTAGAAGGTGCGGCTGACTTGAACCATGAGCTCAACCAAGCTGTGCTCGAACTGCCGGAAGTGGATGTTTTGTCCTGTTGTTCGATCCATTGACCAACAAGACCTATGACTTCTTCGTTTGTAAGCATTTCCCACAAACCATCTGTAGCCATCACCACGAAATCTCCTTTGGCAGGGTCAATTTTAGTGCTTGTTACTACTGGTTCGGCTGTCACATACGGAGGCGTCTTCAAAAGATTGTGCGGTGTACGCCCAAACCAGTGTTTCTTGATTCGATCTTGAGTTTCACGGGACCACTTGTAGAATGCATCACCAAAGGCCCTCGTAGGTTCTAGATTTCCCAGAACACGACCAGCGCGGATGACATGGTCTTCGCCGGGATGTTCAGCTCGCATCCGAGCCTCTTCATTAGGATTGGAACCGGTTTGATCCTCGGACAAGGGGGTGGCAAACCACTTCCCAGTCTGTTGATTGCGGCGTCCAAGTACTGCACGGCTGTCACCGGTGCAGGCCACTCGAAGGGTTTTGCTCTGAGAATCATAGAATGAAAGAAGAGCACAAGATCCGGAAAGCGCAGGAGCTAGAATTTCGGCTGCGAGGCGCTTGCTAGGATTTTTGTTGAGTTTGTTAACGCTCTCGAGGCAGATTTCGTTGTCTAGTTTGACGAAGGCTGACTTCAACGCGGCATCTATGGCGGCTGGGGGAGGGAATGGTGATTTGCCATTGGAAAGTGCGGCCTTGTAAGTGGTATTGAGTTCTCTTGCGGCAAATGAGATCAAGACTTGCTTTAACTTTGCTGAGGTGGTCCAACCTGAGTGACCGTCGAACACAGCCCAGAACATCCAATCCGAAGAATTTTGGCCGTCTGTCGCAGCAATACTGTTTGGAACCTCAACAACTTTCTCGGAGTGATCATCTTCGATGGGATCGTTACTGGGCAGTTGTACAACATCATATCTGACCACTCCACGACCTCGATTTACCAAGAATGATTGTTCATTTTTTCGCATTCGCTCTGTGGCTTGCTCCGGTGTCATCATCTCTAGAACCTTCCTGCCGAAATCGTCTGTGTCCTTTGCCAGTGGACCGTCACCAACAATGGGGCCAGTGAAGAATTGGTCGTTATCGACGACTAGGGCCTTGCGATTAGGCTCTTGAGGAACCGTCACGGACGCAGCCGAAGTGGACTCCGTGCCAGTAGGCGATTGGATGCTATCTGGGGAAGTGGACACAGATCTTGAGGGTGAGGCTGAGAGTGGTGAAGTGGACTGATTGAGAAGATGTTGTGTCCCATTACCTTTGTAGGCGTACCAGGCACTGATTGCCCCCAAGGTTCCAACAAAAGCGATGGGGATTTTGGGAAGACGCATAGAGGCTTGTAGAGGTTGTCTTGAGGAGCTGTATCTTCGGACAATGGCGGAAGACTGGGCAAAGGTTACCGCATGATTGGGAGTGGACAAGGAGGACTTGTTGACCAGTTTTCGAAGGGCGGAGCGACGAGCCGTGCGAAAGGCTAGGACAGCGACTCGACGCATGGATGCGGTAAGGTCAGAGAGACGAGGATAAAAGGGTGTGGCATCTAGGAGAGAGCTGAAGGAGGAAGAGAGAGGGCAAGAGATGCGGTGGGAGAGGAATGAAGGTGGCCGATGTTGTACAATAGTAGCAATACAAGTGAGAGACAAGAGATTACATGCACTGCGAGTAAGGCTGCGTGCACGTGACACTCTCTACATGATCGGCGGCCTCATGTTAGGCGCCAATGGGAGTTCGTTTTTGTGCCCATACGAGTAAGAGTCATGCATTATTCCCCATCCCGCACCTGAGACGTCACCGTCACCACCACTTCCTTGTAAGTTGGGGATTGAATTATTTATTTTGCGCTCCTACGAGTACACTTTTGGAATCCCACCATCACCACCACCTGACTCTGACCACCTAATTTTCTACAGGGGGCAGTTGAACCCGCCCTTGAATTCCTTCTGTCCCTCAACATGTCTTCTCGTGCCCTCCGTAAACTCCAACGCGAGCAAGAGCTGCAGCGCCAAGTTGATGAGGCGAAGCGTGCCTATGAAGCACAGGAAGATTCCGAAGATGAAGGTGAGGATGAGGATGACTTAGATACCACCACCAAATCACAACCCCAAACCACACGACCCAGAAATGCTTTTGACATGCTGGAAGCGGCTGGAGACGACGACGACTCGGGGGGAGATGACTACGAGAAGATACCGCATCCCTCAGACGCACAAACCTCTTCTGCACCCGTCCCTTCTTCCTCGTCCAAGGCAAAGAAGAAGAAAAAGGCAAAGGCAAAAAAGAAAGCAAAAGCCGTTGACAGAGTAAAGACCGACGAATCTGGAGATGAAGTTGATCGAGCCCTCAGGGAATTGAATGCCAAAGATAAAGCCTCTGGGGAGCAAGCAACCGCAGATCCAATTCCCGGATGGACATGGGAACTTGAAGCCACGAAACTCTTGAATATTGAAGAGAGAAATCTCAACCCAATAAATGAAATGAAGAGTCTGTTCGGTAGCATTGCACTTGAAGGTGAAGGCTCCCGTTCTTCTCCACGCAATGTGCGTCGTCGAGAGCAGAATCAACAAGGTGGTGTTGATCTAGCTACTGCTCTGACCGGAAGATACTCGGTAGCTAGCAAGGGTAAAGAACTTGGTGCCTTGGCTTCGAGAAGAAACATCTTCATTCAAGGTAAGGAAGAGTGGCCATTGTCTACCAGTGGTGGTCTAAGTATGGAACTACTGCCCAAGCCCCAATCATTCACAAAGCAGTACAACATTGTGCACAACAATGTCTATCGAGAAACTCAAATGCATTTCCGCATGGCTGTTGAATCCATGGACCCCCAAAGAATGATTGGTTTACTTTCCATGTATCCATATCATATTGCCACACTTCTACAAGTTTCAGAAATCGCAAAGCATCAGGGTGATCATTCCGTCTCGGGAGATCTACTTGAGCGAGCACTTTACTCCATTGGCAAATCCGTCCACAGTTCCTTCCCATCTTCCTTGAGAAGTGGCATTGCTCGAATTCCATTCAACAAGCCAGCTAACAGAGAACTCTATCTTGCGATATGGAGGTATATCTCCAACCTAGAGATGAGAGGAACATGGCGGACTGCTTTTGAATGGTCCAAAATCTTGCTGCAGCTTGACACTCTAGTCGACCCTTATGGTGTTACCCTGATGATTGATCAGCTGGCACTCAGAGGCCGACAACATGCACAACTGTTAGCTCTCTGTTCAGACGATGCATATGGTGGTGCTTGGAGCCACCTACCCAACATCCAGATTTCTCTCGCACTAGCTCATCTACGAGCCGGAAAACCGCGCGACTCACGGAAACAACTCGCTCTTGCGACACATAGATATCCTTACATCCTCTCCGCCCTGGCCTCAGCACTCGACATTTCGCCCTTACCAAAATCATTATGGGCCAAACTTCCCTCGACCGATGCCGAGAAACTCTACACTCAGCTCTACGTCACTCGTGCAAAGGATCTTTGGAATACTCCAGAGACAATAAGTCTATTAGTTGAAGTCGCAGAAACCCTCAACCATTATCCTCAAGACTCACGGTCCTCTACGAAGCTCGAAATATCTCTAGAAGAAGCTCGACACATCATGCTTCTCGAGATTCCACATCTGATCGCCCTTCTTCCCCGCCGTTTCACCAACCTGCCCACTTCATCGAGCGACGTACTCCCTCCTCCAAACTCTGAATCAGATTTTGTTCAACGGGCTCCGGGAGCCACAGGTGGTGATGGAACAATGCAGACCATATTCAACGCCGCGGGTGCAACTGCTGGGGCAACTGGCTCTCTCGTACAAAGGATCATGACATGGTTTCAGCAACCCGCTGGTCCTAATGATGTCGAGGGTGAATCAGAGGGTCAAGTAGCCTTACGCAATCTACAAGAGCAGCTGGGTGGAGATATACCCCCTCAGATGATGGAGCAACTGCTGCAGATCCACATCAATGATGCAGCAGAAGTTGATCCCGCTGGACTTGGTATGGCTGGAGGCTGGGACTACTACGAGGAAGCGGCGGCGGAACAGGAAGATGAAGACGATGATAGTATGCCTGAACTTGAAGACATGCCCATTACTGGCCCTGTGACACCACGTCATCCACACGCTGCAATGGTGGAGGAAGATGACGAAGAAGAGAGCCACCAAGCCACAAACAACCAACAATCTTCACTGGGCACAAATCGCTCCATCCTTCGACACGTCGACAGCGACGACTCGGATGCCGACGAATCAATCCCAGCATTCCCCCGGCGACCCATTCCTCCTGTCGCACCAATAGCACCTCTCGCGACCACACGAATACCCGACCCACCAGCTGACACCGACTTCTCTGACCCACAACGTCTACAGCGCTGGCTATTGACCACCGGGCTCACTGAAGTTCAGTCACAAAAGACCTCTTTGGCCACATATGTCGCAAGACTGAAAACACTGCGCAAATCCCAGCAGACCTGGGTCGTCAGCATGGTGCGTCAACGAGCAGGCCCTGACCTTGAAACTCAGCTAAATCGAGCTCTGCAAGACAATTAGCTTGATAGATTGATGATTTCCATAGAGCCGAGGACATAGATGGCTAGCAGCCTAGACCAAGGTAAACAGATGCAACAGGCAGCTGTAAAAAATAACGATTCAATCCAGCGGCAATCAATCTTCTCAGTTCCTTGTTCCCTTTGTGCTTGTGTGAACCGAACATCGCAATCCTTGAGATCTTTGCCCGTAAGCCAAAGTGAGTGTCTACCTAAGTGGTAACGATCCCACTTCCGACAGGACCGGTGCAAGTGCAAGTGAACCAGATCGTTGTTCAGCTGTGGCGAACGACAACAATGGACACAGAAAGTCGAATAAGTGACAATGACACGTAGATCCGTCGACATGAAATCAAAGCACACACGCCTGATGCAGGGAGAAGAAGCTCATCGCCACACCTGTTTGTGGCGGTAGTGTCGGTGTTGTTCGACGGGCAGGCGGAGTGTAAATAATGACTCTCTGTGCGAAGGGTGCAGCGGCCACCAGCGAGGCTGCAGACTACGAGGCAGCCTGGAGGACACAGTATCGTCGGTCGCTGTGTTGTGCTGTGCTGCGCTACGCTACAGGAGACAAAGTCACAGGAGAAGACGAAGTGGAGTGGTCGAAAAAGGAGAGAGTGCAGAGGTGCATACGCAGTGGACATGGGTATCTTTGTGACGAGAACGGGCGATGGCGGAGTTAGGTAGAGAGGGCATGTGGGTATTTGTGGAAAGGGGAATTGGCGGTGGTAGGGGACAATGGTCAAAGTCAGGAGCAAAGGAGCGCATCACGGGAAAAGGGTTGTGCACAAATGGCCATAATGAATTCTGTCAGCGTTGCTCTGGTGTCCATGTCATGCATGTTGTCTCGGAAGACGCTCTTCAACTTCGTGGATTGTTCAGACTCATACACATAGCGTGGGGACCGGCCGTCGATCACACGGGAGGACGTCGCAATTCCACCGGAACACGCTCACATCGCTCAACATGCCTCCACTCGCAGACCTCAGCTTCAGCATAAGGCCTGCAACGCCATTCCTTTTTGGGACAAGCGAGCTTAAAACTCCTCGTCAGAGCTCGACATCACAGCTTGCGAAGGTCGATATCGAGTGAATAGGTCATTTGTAGGTGCGACTGGTTCAGGCTGGACAACGCTTGACTTTGTTGCCATGTCCTGTATCAACAAGTCGTAACCCGGTCCTGCACGGCCTCGAGAGATGGGCTTGGAAGGCTTGGAAGGCTTCTAGCCTTGTGGGGGGTCTTGAACACTGTTGCTGAACGCAGCGGTGCTGAAGCCACGTTGGACAACTCTTGAATCTCCAAAGATAATGCCACTCTTGTCGGTAGCCTTGTGCTGTGGAGGCATAGCATTTGGGGACACTGCTGACTCCAGATCTATCTTTGAATCTCCAAAGATAGAGCCACTCACGTTGGTCGACTTGCGTTGTAGAGGCATAGTCTTCGAGGGCATTGCTGACTCCGGAGAGGGTCGAACCGCGGTTCCAGTAATACCAAGACCCACATTCTCTGCTGCATGCACGTTTGCAAATGAACTCTTGGTCACAGTTTCGGTTAGCAGGCCACCGCGATAGTCGTGACCATGGTGTAATTCAGGTAGAGGAGTCTGACGAGCGAAGGAAGGCTTAGGCTCGCCGTTAGAGACTGTCGCACCCTTTGTATCATTCAATTTGATCAAGGCCACAGCACGATGGAGCTCTTCAAGTCTCGCCTTCAAGAGGTCGACTTGGGTCTCAAGAGCGTGGAGCTGTGTGACTGAAGCGTATTCCTGGTGTTTCATGACAGTGATCTTCGACACATTATCCATGATGGGTGTATCCATGAGTGTGTTATCCACAGGGGACACAGCTTCTTGAGCGCTAAACCCCGAGAAAGAGGCCGGGCTTGGTGCTCCATCGGTATGCGTGGAGATCTCGCCTGGATGAAGTACGTCTTGAACAGGAAACGAAAACTCCTCAACAGGAATCTTACGAATCTCAGGGCTATTGGCATCGATGGTGTTGTTCAACACAACATGCTTGCCACGCTCTCCAGCCTGGGGAGATTGTATGATGGCGGGCTGTGCATTGACGGGGGCAGCGGGACTCTGGTTGACAGGTATTGTGGACGGAAGCATGTTCTTGACAGCCGACATAAAGTCGCCTGGAGCGGCAAGAACTGTTCCTTGAAGAGCCGCGGGGGGCCAGGGGCGCTCTTGGAATTGTCTCTTACCGCGATCCTGGACCTGGACCTTGGCTTTCTTGTTCGCACCCTCAATATTGTTGCATGCTAATGCCGGGTCGGCATTGACGAGTAGTCTTCCAGACTTGACTGGCAAGTTGGCATTGAAGGCACGTTTCGACCCATGGTTCGTGCTGGTTGAGGCAAGTACAGGATGGTATTCTGCCTGTAGGGTTGCTCGATGGGAGTTTCCCTTGCCGGTACCGACAGGCTGTTTTGCTCCAATGGCAGTGGCTTGCGCCTCTTCAGTTTGCGAGTAGGCTGTGAGGGGTATTAGCTTGAGTGATGCCAAGTACCCAAGGGCATTTGCTTACTTTTCCATGCATTCAGCTGTTGTGCTTTAGCACCAGCCTGCTTGTTTTCAATTGTTCCGGTTATTTCACTGCGTGGAGTGACTTTCATGGTTTGAAGAGTAGAAGGCTGTCGAGGGTCTCTTGTGACCAGCTCTTCTGCGTTGGCATTTCCGAGATCTTTCTATCAGATTCTTAGTTCGGTACGAGGGGAAGAGTCCAAGGGGAAACATGCCTCCATGGTTTTGATGGCGTTGTACTTTCTCTCAGTATTGGGTGACATGGGGCCTTGAAATTGATCATCGTCGCTTGACATATCGAGCACACGACGACCAGGTCGACGTGCCATCTTGAGAAGCGATGGCAGGCGGATGATGAGATGTGAGAGTGAGAGTGAAAGAGAGTGAGAGAGAGAGAGAGAAAGAAAGAGAAAAAGAGTTGTTGAATCTTTTGTGTGATGGAATGGAAGGGAAATAGCCTCGCTGGCAGTGAAGTCTTGGCGAGTTTTATGTGAACCCGCGAGGAGTAGGAGAGATGAAGCTGGTGGTCATCCGGGAAGTAACTTGAAGTCTTGTTGAATCTTTTGTGTGGTGGAATGAAAGAGAAATAGCCTCACTGGCAGTGAATTTATGAACTCTTGGCGAGCTTGATATGAAGCCGCGGGATAGGAGAGATGAGGCTGGTGGCCACCCTGGAAGCAAATCCTGTTGAATCCTACAGGATAGGAGAGATGGAGGTGGTGGTCACCGCGGAAGCAAGTCTTATGGATATCATGAGTGGTGAGGGGATGGTTTGTTCGTGCTCTCTAGCAAGCTCGATGGTCAGACTAGCTGCCATCCTCGATAGCTCTCAAGACAGAGGAATGGGTTTGAAGCATACGGGTGAACGTGGAAGATACACCTAAGAGACAACTCGGGCCACTGGAAACTGCAACAACTTGAACTTGGATCTCAATTTGAATGCTCCAGACCCGTTCCTGCCTACCTAGGTAGGCACTGCTGAATCAGTACAAGGCACCGTGACATGGGTTTTTGAGGGACATGGTCGTTTCCTGGGTTCATGCCCATACCTACCTAGGTACCTAAGGTATCTGTGGGTGCAGGTATGGTTGATACTCAGCGGCCTTTGTTGTCTCGTCTGATCTGAAGGGCCTGCTTGAGTCTCCCACGGATACCTGAAATGGAGGCACACGAGTCGAGCTCCTCCCTGGGCTTGTCCCGTTCATTATCAATGTCGATCTATTCAACACCCGATTAACAATTCAAGCTTTCGTTCTGACTCTGTGTACTGTGCATCATCGCTGCAGTCCCTGGGTCACAGTCGACCGTCTTCAGCAACCATGGTTGTTCAGTCTCAGCTTGGCAGCCGTTCCAGCAGCACCTCTCAACACTCTGAGAATACCAGATTCAAAAAGTCGTGCGGTATGTCAGGACATATGCGACAGAGCAGGATGCTTCATTGTTACTATGACTTGGGTATGAAGCATGTAGCAACAGCACCGACATAGCTTGACTCAGGAGTTCTTGGTGTAGAAGTGAGGTCGAAAGAGTGTTGATAACCGGTGGAGTCAATTCCCTCGCACGGGCGGGGCGAGAAAGCTCAACAAGTCCGAGTCCACTCGCTTCCACAATTAGCATCAAATATCGGTAATGGTGTCAGCAATCAAATCAAGTCGTTCAGCCACAGTCCTAGCCTCAGATATCAACTACTAGACTCAAACAGATCAGTTGGGACACGATACGAGACACGAAAAACGACACACGACAACGACAACGACAACGACAGCGAAACCGGCCAGAACACCAACTGCACGGTGCAGGGCATACGTTCAACCGGGGAATAAATGAGCTCCTTGAATTATGATCGCCGGGCGTGACAGTGCTCACAAATACTCTATCCGTCTCAGGATTACCGGGCAGTACTTTCGACAGCCTTGACTCCCCCGCACAGATTCCCTGAGTCCAAGACACACCGCCTAGCCCGAGGTGCCAATTAGGGGCCTTGGAGAGAACGCTTGGGTGCAATTAGGCCTGCAGCTAACTCTCGGGCGGGGACGTTGAGAGCCAGGGGATCAACGGGGAATTGTTTTGTTGGATGAATTGAGATAGGCATTCAATTGATTGATGATTGCGGGCCCCGAAGCAGCTTCTGATTCCCCTCGCAGGGCCCCAATGCATATTATGCATCAAACCCGCTTAAGAATTACCTGGTCAGCTCACCATCTTCAAGCTGCCACTCACCGTCCTCGTCTCACCACTTTCAAGCTTCGCCGACACCACTTAGGAATACTAAAACATCTGAGGTCTCCAACAGCTTCCTCGTACTCCATCCTGCAGCTACTTATCTTCATCTTTGAAAGCCCCCTCGTCCGTGACTGTCCTGTCCACCGCCCTTCCGTCTGTGCTTCCGACTTCTTCCATCCTTACCTTACTTATACCACTGCTTCCCTTATGAACCCGCCTTCCACACCATCTATCCCCGGAGACTACATTGATCACCAGATCATCTTTACTCTACACTAAATCATATACTATATCGTACCGTCAGTTGATCTCGACCACTTGAACCATGGCAGCTCCACGTGCTTCATCTTTCAAGGCTCTCCGCAACTTGCAGCGGTCGGCAGCAACTGGAGCCACCCCAGCCAAACGCAGTCTCCATATCACCGGAACACATGCATCTCCACGGCTTGCCAACCCTACGCACAAGACAACCTACTTGCCCATGAACCTGCAAGATCTTCGCCAAGAGTGCCAGAAGCGTGCTCTATCCGCATCCGGCACCAAGCATGAATTGATTGACCGCCTTGCTGGTCATGATAACCTACAAGCGAGAGCTTTCTCCATCGCCATGAAACGTATCGCCATCGAGCAGACTCGCAAACCTGTATCTGGGTAGGATCACCTGCCAATCTACCGTTGTCACATTTCATTCCTAACCGAGCTACAGACCCTCCGAGACTTCTCCCCAAAGACACTTCAACACCTCGCGTGAATTGAAAGCGGTCCATGACTCTTCAACCATCGACTTTGCCTTCCTCCCCAAACTATTCGAGACCAATGGTCCAGAGCCCGCCGCCATTCGTGTTCCCATCCTACCAGATATCCATTCGGACTCGGCAGAGGCCATACTCGAGAAATATCCCGAACTGGACTCTGCAGCTGGTGGTTACCAAGATACACCTGGACATGAAACTGTCTTGAAGGCGCAGATCTCCACCGTCAATGGTGATGATGATAGTCCCGCCAGTGCATTCAGCGATGTGCACGACGGCCATCATGCCACAGAAATGTCGGTAGAAATGCTCACCAAACTTACCGAGACTGTGGGCTACAGTGCGAAACAATTTGTTGACATGGTCAAAGACAAGGACGAAGAGACGGTCCGGAAGATCTGGACCGGATTTCTTGATGATGTCTTCGGAGGGCCTCGAAAGGGAGCCAAAGCTTGAGAGAACATGCTGCGAAAGAGATGATAGTGTTAGTAGTAGTAGCGAGGCTGGGATTTCTAATCATCCACAGTGAGCGAGGATACGTATATTTTAATTCACCAACGCTGCGCACTGCGCAGTTTTTGAACCATGACATGGCTTGGAGAAGTCGAGTTCCCCAACTTGGTCGACAGGTCAAGGTGATTTGTCCAACTCCACTTCGTAGCTATCTGTACTCCACATAAAAAGGACTCGGGCGCGAGCGATGCCCACTGCCCAGCCCGTCCTCAACGCAACCCCTGAGCATTGACACTTCCGTGACTCGTAGCTTTTGTCCTGCCTCGTTCGTCCCACCGTGCTTCAGTTGTCATTGACGTGTGTGAAGGTTGGATGACTGATTCTGGCCATCTACATTTTATCTTCGGTTGTAGCAGTGGTTTGACTCAAAATGGCGACATAGGAGTTCTCGTGTGTGATCCAATGGCTGGGACATGGTGCAGAAGGACGCCATCCACCGCCACGCCCTCTTGGTACATTCTTAGTCGCCAATCAAGAATGTGATCGACAGGTACGCGAGTCTTTTCCCCTGGAACAACGAGTCACTGACCCACCAAATGCCCGCCTTGGATCGGGGCAACAGCCTGAGGATTCTTTCAGAATGTCAATGTCAAAAATGGGCAATGGGCTTGTACTTCGTATGCGGTTCGAATAAACTGCGATCATCTGCTGCATCTTTCCTCAGACCTTCACCACTTGCATTGCTTTGCCTCAATTATTATTGTCATAACTGTACTCTCTCGCCATATTTTGGATCATTTAATGTTTTGAGGGATCTCTTAGTTGAAGTTTCTCTCTCTTCTCTTACTCTTGAGATTCACTGCTTATCCTGTGACTTCATTTTCATGTGACGACTCTTTTGGCTGGCCCTAAACTTGAGCAACCCCCCACCATTGAATTTCATAATACAGCCTCGGACAGGTTCCTCGACATAAATCATACATGCAAAGATAAAACAAAATCAACAAAAAACAATGCACCAGCGATGGCTTTCGTTGCCACTGTTGTCCAGCTGTGCTTCTGCATTTTATCCCTACCAATATCAGACTGGTGACGGTTCAGATTCCAATACCAAGCGATTCATACCCAATGATGCCGATCAACAACCCTCACAAGACTCTCCATTTCTGACACTCGATATCAAGAAAGTTCCTGTAAGTCGCTCGACTACCTAATCATCAGTTGACCATGCTAACCTTATGGCAGGTCAAGAGAAACAATGCTTTCACCGTCACAAATTCCTCCAAACCCAACGCCCCCAATGCCATGGCCATCAGTCAAGACGGTCATGACTACACATATTTCTCCACCATGAGATTCGGTTCTGCTCCAGGCCGTGATTTGTACATGTTGCTCGATACCGGCTCTGCTAATACCTGGGTCATGGGTTCCAATTGTCAATCCAAGTCCTGCCAAATCCACAACCTCTTTGGTGAAGCCTACTCCGACACTCTCAACCAGACTTCAACAACTTGGAACCTGGGATACGGCACTGGTCAGGTGGCTGGCACCATGGCATCTGACCTCGTCAGCTTCGCCAACTACTCGGTGGAGCTAGATTTTGGAATCGCCACAACTGCATCGGATGACTTTCTCAACTACCCGATGGACGGGATTCTCGGTTTGGGTCCCGTTGCGTCCGATACTCTCGGTGGAGCAACCATCATGGACGCACTCGACCAACAAGCAAACCTGAAAGAGAAGATCATTGGCATGCATCTCCATCGAGCCTCGGACGGCATCAAAGACGGACAAATCACGTTCGGTGGTATCGACAATTCCAAATTCAAAGGCAAGCTCAGCTACACCAAGACCGTCGATAATCTCAGCTGGGAAATCCCTTTGGAAGATGCAGGCGTGGACACCAAGGGCGTGGGATTCAAGGGCAAGTCCGCTATGATTGACACTGGCTCTTCATACTGGCTGGCTCCCCCATCCGATGCCGCTGCCCTACACGCCTTGATCCCTGGAGCCGCCCACAACGGCGAAGCCTACATTGTACCCTGTAACACCACGACCAATGTCTTTGTCACGTTCTCGGGCGTCAAGTACACCATTCCACCCAAGGACTATGTGCGAGCGGCGACCGGTTCCACCAACAACATGTGCAACAGCGTGATTATTGGTCACCAAGCATATGGCCCCAACCAGTGGATCATCGGCGATGTCTTTCTCAAGAACGTCTACACGGTCTTCGACTTCGACAACACCCGTATTGGCTTCGCCTCACACTCAGCCGACTCGAGTATCACCTCCACATCGAGCAGTTCCTCCTCTTCGTCGTCGTCGTCGTCGTCGTCGACGCCATCAACCTCTTCCACCTCCACCTCCGACACCCAGTCCTCCAGCTCATCCACGACCACTTCCACCGAGGGTGTTTCTTCCACCGGCCCAAGCTCGAGCAGCCGTCCCACATCCTCTACCATCGACAGCAGCCCCGGCTTCGAACCAGGCACATCCAACTCGGCATCAACAGTATCCCCAACCAACATCACCCTTGTATGGACGATGTTGTTGGCATTCACACTGGGTCTAATATTGTAATAAATCAATTTCACAAAGGTAAACAGATGAATGGTCGAACAGAACAGCAGGGGAACTCTATGAGCATGGGATAGGCACAGGGGTTGGGATGGACTAGTAATCAGGATGACCTCTTGTCAATCATAGTATGTCCATGGTTGCAAGGAGAGAGGCATATTGTTGATGTCACAAATTGTGTACAACAGAACCTCGCAGAGGAATTAGTAGAAGAACTTATTGCATAGTGTTTATTACAATTAGAATGTCCAGGAGGACTCACTCGGCACTGAGAATGTTGAGCAAATCTCTCTCCAAGGTCCCAATTCCATAACCCATCGTAGTGCTGTTTACCTTATCATCGGTGACTGATGATTGTTGATGACCGTCAGTCATTCGCAACGGGCCAATGTATTACTTCAAGAGCATTTAACACTCGGAAGCGACTTTGGGGCAAATGACGCAAAGGGCAGTCGTCAGCGACCGCCACATGCAGTCAAAAGGGGGTTTACGAGAGGCCAAATTGTCCTTGAAGAGAAATCAGAGTCGGTCAATTAGTAACTCAACAATCAATCATTCCGTTAAGCAGTCATCATTGGGAGCCACAAAAAAGAAAAATGATCGTATATGTAGTTCGGTCCTGAGAGAAAATCAACGTGGCTCTCCCGATGCGATCGATCAGTATTAGGTGGGAATATGAACATGCAAGAGCAAAACAAATGTGGCTGAAATATCCAACCGACCAAACATCATCCATCCATCCATCCATATACAGTTTTGTGGATATACTTGCTGCAATTTTTTTCCGCTGCTGACATACAAAGAAAGAGTTCTGGCCACAGTTACACTCACTGTACATGCATGAAAACTATCTGTTTCTTTCTTCGGAGCCGACTGTCACTTTCACTTCCTACCCTCAGAGCAGGTAGGCCACCATACCAACGACGCCGACCACGAGGAGATCGGCTCTCTTGCCCGGCGTCGCTGCGCCAGTGAAGGTCGCGACGACGGCGGGTTTCGTGGTGCTTCCCGCGGGGCTGACGGCGGTGGTGGACGATGCTGGGGGCGCGACGGCGGCGACGGGGCTGGAGGACACGGGAGCGGGGGCTGGATTGTGAATGACCGGGCTGTCGACGGTGGTCGTCGTGGCGGGCTTGACGGCGCCGTTGGAGACGGAGGCGGGGGCAGTCGTGGGCTTCCACGGGACGGTGATCTCGCACGGGCAGTCGGTGATGGTCAGCGTGGTCGCCTCGGTCACGGTGAAGGTCTTGGTGCCGTGCGTGAAGGTCGTGGGGCCCGGGCAGAAGGTCGTGTAGCTGGTCACGGTCGTGGTGGTCCATTTGGTGGGCTCGGTGGTTGAGCTTGTCGAGCTGCCGGCTTTGGGTGTGGTTGTTGTCGTCGTCTGCTGCGTGCCCCATCCCGTCGTGGTGGTCTTGCTTCCGCTGGTTGTCGCGATCGACGTTGTCGAACCACCGCTGCCGCCGTCGCAGCTGACGGCCTTCGCTGTGCTGAGGAGGAAGTTGATCGAGTTGAAATCGTCTGAGAAGGTGGATCCGCCGCTGCTGAAGCTCACGTCGTACTTGGTTCCGTTGACTTGGTTGGTGAAGGCGTCGGCATTGGCGGAGTAGAATGTGTAGTATTTGGACTCGCAGCCTTTGACTAGTGGAATGGTGTTCTTGGACACTGTGGGCAGCTTGTTGTAGCTCATGGCGTTGATGGTCGTGAGAGTCAGTTTGAGGTCGGATGGTGATTGACCGTTGCGGACCTGTATGACAAAGAAAATGGGGTCAGTGTAGATCTTGCTGGTGAAGCTCATGCAGATAATACTTACAGCAGCAACAATGTTGAGCTTTTGAACTCCGGTTCCACTTGAGGCGCTTAGGCTTGAATTGATCGTCTGCGAGAAGATCTTGTCAGACACTGGGAACCCTTTGCCATTGTTGTCGAATGTCTTCACACTTCCGGAAGTGAGGGTGATGACGACGGTGAAAGAAGACACGGCAGTTTTCGCAGAGATTTCCGAATCAAAGCCGTAGAACTAGGTATATGTTAGCAGCGATCATTATCACCCCGTCAGTGTAGGGCATACCGTGAATGTGTCATCAAAGCCAGAAGCGTCTCCCAGTGCCTTGGTGGAGATAGTACCCGCCTTGCTTCCATCTCTATCCTTATACTCGATCTCAACTTTGGAAATTGTGGATTTGGGTAGATCATTGGTTCTGACTCGAATCTGACCGGAGAAGGACAACTTGTCACCTGCCGCAAGAACATTCAATTGGAGGGCTGATGGCTTGACCGGGTATGCCTCAATAGCGTCTGTGAGCTTGACTTGGGACGGAACTGTGTCGATCATCTTTTGAAGCACTTTGGCGCAGGTAGATCTGTAGGCAGCAGGATCTGCCAGGGTCTTGATGGTTGCGTTCTGGTCCGAGTTGAAAAGATGGAGATCCGAGCGTGCAGATGGATCTGGACCAACAACAAGAACGTTCTTGGTGGTGCCGTCAAGGTATTCTGTGACAATCTTGTTGTCATAGGTGGAGTTAGTTGAGTCGAAGTCTGCAACACCTAGACGTGTGGAGTTCAGCGGAACGATAGCAGGGAATTCGGTTGCGTGTACTCCTCCTAGACTGTGGCCGCAGGCAACAATCGAGATAGATTCTGGTTGTGTGAGGCCCATACGGATGAAGCGACCTTGAAGGGTTGGGCCTGGATCTCGAATGTCTGGGACACCTAGTGCACCTGGTCCAGTGGCATCAATACGTCCAGCTCTTGTGTTGACAATAGGTCCTCCACATCCGCGGACTGCGGTATACACGCCAAGAGCAATCAAATCGGAGATCGTTGCTTGAGCATTGAAGAAACGTGAATAGTAGGTGATTGTGTTGTTGAACGCTGGTCCTCCATTAGACGAGGCATATTCTCCTTGAAGTTCAAATCCGATAGATCCATCCACGCCTCCAGTACCAGCTGCGACATCGGCCGGAGCCATGTCATGGAAGGCAGTACGCACAAATCCTCCAGCAATGGAGCGTCCAGGAGCGCGAGTGAAAGTACATGGAGTTACCGCAAATGCGAATCCCCGGGAATTGTAGCCATCGTTGAGATATTTGATATCCTCGAGTTCATCGATAGATGAAGGCCAGGTCGCGACACCCAACGCATGAGTGATTAGACTCAGCACCGAGAAGATGAGTAGTATAGATCTGCCCATAGTATCTGGAGTTCGAAGAATAATTGGTCAAATGCAGGGAAAAGATAGTAAAGAGAGTGAGAGACGATTCGTCTCAACAGATAACGATTGGACAATAGCTAGAATGCTATAGCGAAGGACATAAAGAAAGTGAAGAATTGAAGCAATAAATGTACTTACTGAAGAAATACTACTTCCAATACCAGAAGTGGCTGGGCACTTGGTATATGTAAGAACTAGGCTTCAGGGACATCAGGCTGACCCGAAGCAGCAATTTCATGGGCTGAAACTGGGCTTTGCACCATCTTGTCGAGCATGTTTATTGCAGAGAATAAGCTCCAAAGATCCAATCTGCGGGTACGATGGCCACCAATATTGGTTGTTTTCCTATGAGGCAGCTGATTCAATGCCCCTATCGCCTAGAGTACTAAGGCAACAATGGGTAAAATTAGAAGTGCATCATCTGTGCCAGAGAGTGGGTGCGGCGTCAGCGGGAAATAGGTGTGTGATGATTCGTCGACGTATGTTGATGTAGGATTAGGGTGCGAAACCTGTGAATCAGGTTGAGCACATTACAGTCACCTGTTGTATGGCCTGCTAGAGTAGACAAGGCTTTGCAAAAGTGCAGTGTAGTCAGACTTTGGAGCTAGTTCCCAGACTGGCCCCTGTCAAACAATCACTCCACTTTAAACTTGCTCGTCAGCGGTCTGCAATTTCTTCCTCGACTAATAAGGCTCATACGTAGCATCCGTACTCCGTACGGAGTACCCGTTGTGAATCAAGTTCGGCGAAGTAGAGTGGGCTTGGTTAGTATGGGGAAATGTCCACCTAGACCGTTGAGTTTTGTTCAACTCCCAAAATCCTTGCGAGGCAGTGCACAAAGATATACGAGGACGGATGCTATCCTTCGGACTCAGGGTATGGGGTGACTCAGAGCCAGCTACTACAAACTACGCGATATAAGGTTTTGCTTTGCTGTTTAAGAGAATAATATTGAATTACGAGTATACCCAGCCGAGTATGGGTTCAGCCTTGCCAAGATTCAGGGGTGTAAGGCTGTGGAGAATTCGAGTTCCGCATTGACAAGGACATGCTTTACTCTGTAATCAACTCGGCGATTGGTTGTTTGCTCACCATATGGCAGTAGAAGGTCTTTATGTACACTATGATAAGCCAGAACACTTCCAGCAGAACACGGTGAGCGTCGCCCATCTGAGGCATGACAAAGACCGTTTCCCACTCGTCTACCTTGTCAAACTGAGTGTCCATGCGACCGCACCACCGTGGAGGAGCATTGTGTTGATTATAACAGGAACCTTGATCATCTGACATCAATGTGAGCCTACAAGCCTTCTAGGCCTCCAGACCAAGCTGCGTTTCTCGGTCACAAAACAGCTTGACATCTCAAGATCAAACAGATATCTGAGGGGCGACCGCAGATTATACAAATCTGGGAAAACGATATAGCCCGGAACGAATATATTTTATCTTACGAGTATGCTGTCGGTTCTAACCAAGCAGAACACTGTTGTGGAGATTAGGCGAGCGCCCTCAGCAGCACATCCGCAGAGAAGAGCAAGTTTCACAAGGAGCCGCTAGTACCTGCTAAACGATGGTATCATTGAACTGGACCCTTTCCCTTGTGTATTCAAAAGGCATCTATTGTTAATCACATGTCGGCCTCAGTCATATTCCGAGAGTTGTTTCCCGAACGGTGGACCGCTAGTGGTTGACGAGTCACGACATTTCTGGCCAGTGTGCAAGTCGGGTCATTTTTGAGCACCTTAAATACTGCCACTATCTGAAAGTGGAAGTGATACGATTTTGCAGCCTCAAGTGATAAAACGACCTGGCATTTTCTCTTTGATTGAAATCTATCAGCTCTACGGCTCTATTCTCGACGATTGTAATTCCTTTCGCGTCGGACTTCGATAACCTGGTGTAATCGCATTTTCTGTCATATTGTCAACGATGTCTATCAAGTATGAGTTACCAAAATTGGCTTATGCTCTCGATGTGAGGCCTACGACCACAGACTCCTGACTTCCCAAAGACGGGGTTGACAGGGTGATTTGGACTAAAACTAATTTGCTCCTTGACACAGGCTCTAGAACCGTCCATCTCAGGACAGATCATGGACTTGCACTATAACCGCCACCACCAGGCGTACATCACGAACCTGAATAACGCACTTTCGACTCAAGCTGAGGCATTGTCCGGCTCAAACTTGCTCAAACAACTGGAGCTTCAGTCGGCTATCCGCTTCAACGCCGGAGGCCATGTGAACCACACCTTGTTCTGGGAAGGTCTCTCTCCTAAGTCCAGCGGCGACTCCAACATCGCAACTTCTGCGCCTCAATTAGACCAGGCCATCGCCCAACGCTGGAAGAGTTTCGAAAACTTCAAGGCAGCTTTTGAAGCCACCGCTCTCGCGATCCAGGGGTCTGGATGGGTCTGGCTCGTCAAGGACAAGGACTCTAGTGCAATTGAGATCACTACGTCGAAGGACCAGGAGATTCCGCCTCCTCCTGGAAAGCTGGTCCTCATTGGCGTGGACATGTGGGAGCACGCCTACTATCTACAGTACTACAACAACAAGAAACAGTATTTGACCAACATCTGGGACGTGATCAATTGGAAAGTTGCCGAGAAGAGATATCAAGGGGATGCGAGGGTGATCTACGGAGACTTGGCAGGGTTGGCTTCTCACTTGTGAGTATTCAAAGTTTGTGTGACATGCACGAACGGGGTGAGATGCGTGTCAGGACGAGAAACTCAAATATCTTTCTAAGCGCGTTGAGCATATTCTTGATGGTGCAATATATTCGGGATAGCGAATGAATGCTCAATTGCCGGCAGATGTTCCAAACGCCTAGATCTAGATTCATTCTGAGTGGCAGATGTGGGTCGAGAAGTGGGCCTGATATCTGCTCATATTTGCTCATCAGACTTCTGACTAGCAGCCGAGGCATGTGGTAAGACCGGTTGCAACCAAGCCTCAACGAAGTAGGTAATAGACCTGTTCTGCATTGTGAAATGCTGCACACCTTCCCCCATATGTCCAGTGTCAAGTGGGTATTGCTATGAACGAAGAAAATAGAATGCAGGTGAAGCTCATGTGGAGGACTCATTATTTCGTGAACAAGGCAAGGGTGTCATGATGCTATGAAAAGATGCCACGCTATGCTAACCCTAAACATACATTCATAAAGTGATCAGCACCCTGCGATCACTAAACCGCACGCCGGTCATGGCTGGGAAACATTCGCTGAAACGAGGGGAAGGGTGCAACATGTAAAAGCCATTATTACTCTCAGCTCTGTGTTGACTAGGAATGACCAAGTCATGGAGGAGATTGTCTTTCTAGCTCGCCATGGACTGTGAAGCGTTCAACTTGGGCGTCCGGGGCCCTGTCCTGTAAAGTCGACAGCAAGGCTTCAACCCCCCAAGTTCTAGCCTCGTTGAGCAGAATGAAAAGCTTCCTTGGACTCCCCCTGCACATAATTCTTGCGGGTCTTGTGATGCGGTTGGTGTTCACAAGGGCCCCAATAATCGGCGAAGGCTCCTGTTGTAGGAAACAGAAATGTATGAAAGCCTTGGATGTGATTAATGGAATTGAGATGAATTCATTTCGATTTCAATCGGTAGCGTCGTCTGTGTTAATGTTCCAAGACTGTAGTAAATATGAAGCGGCATTCGTTTCGACTGCCGTGACATTTCTAGCCACGTGAACTTCCTTGTTACTATTCCAGGCGTTCTTAATTCCTCTAACTTCTTCAAAAGGAATCTCTTTCGTCGAAAGCCATTTGATTTGGCACGGATTGCCAAATTGTTCGAGTTTTGATAACAAGAGGGCCTGATTAGACTGGACAGGCCACTCATCAGCATTCCATAATGCTTTGATTGATTCCGAGTCGAATGCAAGAGTGTGGGGTGTTGGAGGGGTGTTGCTTTGAGTACGACCCAATGAGTCTCTTGAGTCAAATGTGGTTTGCCACGGTGACTGGACGAAGCTTCTGGTTGGGGAGCTTGAGAAAGAGCTGCTGTCATCGTCTTCCGAGTTTTGGTCCGAGTCTTGTACAGCTTCCCACACGATCCTTCTCCTCTCCGGCTCATAACATATCGTACCAGCAGCAAAGCTATCGGAGCTTACTGTTGGAATTTTCATCCCTGCGCTTGGTGAACTAGAGTCTGATACTGATGACGGACGAATGGATCCTTCACTCCCAGTCGATGTTGTTCTATGAATGTCGTTCTGATGTTTAGGTCTGGCAGACTCTTGGCGTGTTTCCGACTTCATCAGGGCAACACCTGCAAATGAGCCGGATCCATTGACCGAAAAGACGAAATATACCCTGCGTGCACTCTGTGGGTGGAAAGTCAATTGGCTGAAATGAAAAGTGGCTCATGCCAGACTTACCTTGAATGCTATATTGAGTCGGGTGCAGTGTCTCTTTGGAATATACCACTGACCCGTTTCGATACTTCGTGAAAGTGCTTCCAATGAAAAGCTCTTGAGAATGAAATACTTGTCCCCACCCCATTCGGCTTGCAATACTTCGGGGAAATGAAGAAGCTCTTGTGCTTGTTGCTCAATGCTATTCCCTTGCTGTGAAGAGACCGTGAACGAAGCACGGCCTGGATAACTCACGCCATAATGAACCTTTGTTGATCTGGACATAGAGCCTTGTCGAATTCTACAGTCAAGACGTTTTCCTTCGAACATATTGACGGCTGCATGGGTGATGGCTGCAGCGCGACTAGCTTCTGAAGTAAAGTTGACGAATGCGTATTTGGCGTCAGGATTGTATGCAACACTCAGTACACGGTAAGGAGCAGCTTTTGAGAAGTAGTCCCTCAGACTCATCACCGTTGCCTCTGGTGCGATGTTACCGACCCATAGGGCGTGCTCGCCCCAGGTCTTCGATACTTCCTTGGGTGGCGACCTCCGTTTGGGTGGGGGAGCTTGTGGTGCTTGGAACAAAAATCAGTACGGAAGGTGAATAAATATTAATGATGGCAATGGTACCTACCGTTGAATGCATGTCGACCGGACATGATCTCGTCATAATAAGTAAAACCAAGCTTGATAGAAAGCGATTGTTCGTCAAAGGTGTCGAAGTATCTTTTGGAAACCATTTCGAACTGGATGTAAGAGGGTAGAAGTGTATGATGAATACTTTCGTAAGTCCTTACGCATGCATGAAGCGAATATGGTCTGGTCTAGACAAGAACGCGCGGTCGACGTCCGGTATATAACTTGGGGTATGGTGATCCTTTGATATTGGATGGGCCATGCTAGCCTTTATTTGTAGATATGCGCCAAACGGCACATAATCTAGAATTCGAAGCTGGGGAACGGAGAAGGCAGCGGGCTGAGTCAGTTTCCGTCAAATTATTGGGTCAATCCTGTGAATTGGTGGTGCTTGAACTTGCGCATATAACTTGCTCGATGTACTCGGTAGACATTGCATTTCCCGGCTATTGGCAGGGTGCAGGGGCTGAGCATGGCAGTTGGATACCCACTGTGCTTGGCGAGCATTTTAGTTACTGTGTGAGCCCCTGCTTTATCTGCTCTCCGTGGCCCTCAGACAGGTGAGCCAGTAACGCTTCCCTCCTAAAACGTGCTCAAAACCCAACCAAAGTCGACCTTAACCTAGCCAAATAGACACCCTCGTGTCAGCCGCTGCGCCGAAGCCAAGCGATTGCGTTAATTGGAGCTAGAATGACATTCCAGTATTCCCATTCTATCATTGTTGACCTGGACCTTCGGGTAGATGGTGTTTGATGGATCGATGCTCAATTTCTTGCTGATGGATTGTGAAATCGTTATGTTTCGGCACCGGAATCATTGAGAACCTTTAGGTGCAGGTGTTGGCAATTGCCAAGAACCGCCTTACTCCAAGTGGTAGCACACTGCCAACAACTCAGGAAGTCGAAGGAGTCTTCGACTCGGCTGCATGGGTTTATAACCGCCGTGCTGCCCTCAATCCATGAGGGAAAGCGGCGAGTTGTTTGCGCGTCCACGTCAACCACGCCGAGAAGCTATGCTCACAAGATTGTATCAAGTGCTTTCAAGGGCAATCGACAACACTCTTATCAATCTTTGCAGATGTTAAGACACGACTCCTTTGCGATTGCCGACAAATCATGTTACCGTCAACTCTACCCTGGTCCCGGTCCAACTTAGCTCTTGTAGGGGTCATGCAATATCTCTGGTGCATGGGCATCTTCCGTTCCATATGTATACGCGGAATGTGTGCAGAGGTGATGACGACGACAAGATACTCCCATCATGAGCCAACAATTTTTGAAAATGACTTTGAAATTTCCAGAACATTGTTTGCATACGAAAACGCTGTTCGCCGAGCGATTGCGGAGTGTATCTATCCTCCTACTGCCCGGAGACAAGCTCAGTCGTCACATGGGTGTCGTTTTTGGTCAATTTTAGGATGCCCCACAACGGCGAAAGCTTGAACAACGAGTGCATTTATGATCGTATGATATGTTAGAGACTCCTGAAGTTACCTAGGTACTAAGCAGCTCTGGGCACGACAGGGAGCACGCCTTGAGACTTAACGTCTATACTTATTGCTTGAGGCTCGTGCCTTTGAACCACCCGTTTCTCAATCGTCTATCGGGTTAGTCTGCGAGTTAAATCTTTCACGGCTATAAGGTTCAGAATACTAAGTAAAGCTCTACCGTTTCTTTATTCAAGTTCTCTCTTGCCGCCTTCATCGACTGTGATTCGGGCTCGGCTGAGATTCGGCTCAGGCTCGCTCAGGCGGCATCGCCACTCCTCGGGAAGCCCAATTCGTGAGCTACAAGGAGTATTCTATTCTTTCTCCTTTTCATCACATAAAGACGTGCTCAACTAAGTATTTTCTACTCCTACTTACTAGTAGGAGTCTCACTTTTTATTATCTTCTTTTCAATCTCCTCCTTCTCATCTCCCTTCCAATTTTCCTCTTTCCAAGCTTCCTCCTACTAACATTCCTCCTTCGAGTCTTCCGCCTAAGTGATATCCCCTATCTTTTAGGATCTCTACTAGGCCGCTATGCCAAAGGCTCGCAGCATTATCATCGAGAGAGTACGAGAAAGAGGCTTCGACGACGAACTCAACAGCAACATCATCAATAGCGGTCACATATTGCCTAAGCTCCAGCATGGAACCGTACGTAGCCAGGAATTGAGCAGAAGAAAGGTTATCAGGAATACTAGATGAGGGCCAATCACGGCCACAGTATTCCGGTCTGATAGTGCCTAGGTAGGTATGCAATCAAACATTACAGCCGCTTGGCATAGAATGAATCTTGATGTACGTGTTGCTTGAGCTTGGGAGCCTGTTGGTGTCGATTTGGTATGTTCAAGGTCGTTAAGCGGAGCAAAAAGGGGTCGAAGCCCTGTAATCTAAACACCCTGAACAATATGATGTTGTGCATGGATAGGTACTCGTAGGCACTCTATGTAGAGCGCGACACCCAAATTTCCCAATCCGGACCACTCAATACACCTGGACAACGGTCGACCCACGAAGGGTGCTAACAAGTCACGCGATACTAAAAGATTGGATCTGCCACGGTAAATCTTCCCAGAACATTGAGGTCCAGATCCTCACGAGATGGCGGCGAGCATGGACTCGCGTGGTTGACAACATCAAAATGTGGAGAGCATTTCTGAACTTCGAACTTTGAACCCCAGGGGCGAAAAAGGTGAAAATGAACCGTTTCACTACCTCGGTGCCCTAGGTAGGCCGTACGGTATGTTCCTGAAGTATATGGTAAGGTGGTGTGGAGTTGTCGATGTGTGGCCGTAGTTGTGTGAACCTGTGCCCAGTAGGGTTGATTCTGTGTCGACTTCACCGCGAGTTTGGGCCACTGGGTTGAGTAAGGTAGATTGGGGGGAGACTGTATTCACCCATTTCTTGATCGGTCTAAGACAAACTGTGATTAAGTCCCGAAGGTCTCGTTACATGGTAAGACGGCAAGACGATTGAGATTGTATACATGTGTGAATTTCTCGCTTCCATGGCTACTCGTACATGTGGTGAAAAAAAATGCCCGGCTTCTCGAATATACTTGCAATCCTGGAAAAGCGAACAATACTGGCCAGACGTTCAGCTCGAGCCCTTGATAGCAGACAAAATCTCGCCCTGGTCGTACCCCCAAACGGCCTCGAGATCCCTTAGACGCCACAATGCTCCCCAGCCAGTACTCAGATCGATCTTCTTCAGTAATCTCCCTGTGGCGAGATGCTCTTCCGGGTGTGTCAAATGTCTGCCAGCGACATACAGCGGCTGAATAGCATTGACAAGATTGCCGAGGTGGGGATTGGTCAGAGAGATACCGCAAACTCGCTTCGCATGCCAGGTCAGCGAGAGTGAGTGCTGTTGTTGGTGCGAACTGGTGGTAATTCTGGAAGACAGCGACGTTAAATCTGGGCGGCCGAGGGATGTGGTGTCAAGGAGAATGAGGCAGGCGGTATGGTAGAGTTGGTTGCTGGAGATTGCCGCCCAATGAGTGTACAGGATCTCTGGGAAGAGTTGATTGCCGCTTGGTTCGGTAATGGTGATGGGCAGGAGCTCGCTTGGGCGGTGGTCGAGCCAGAACTGGAGTTCGTTCCAGAGGTAATGCCATCGTGTGGCAAAAGGGCGCTTGTCATCGTCCTGCTCACCAAGCTCGAGATGGCGAACCCGGCGGCAAATCAGATCGCATGCTTTGGTGCAAAGGTAAACTGCCCAATTGGCATGCATGTCGGGGCAGTTCCAACTCGTTTTTTGGAAAAGGTGGTGGGCGAAGGACTCATGTCTCTCTCTGTATGTGAGATCGGAAGGGCTGTAGTCCGAAGGCATGGGCGGGATCCATTGTTCGAGTGGAAGAACTGTGGCTTCTATGCTGTTGGAGATGATGACTCCGCAGAGCTCCATCCGAGCATAGCACCAGAAGACAGCTTGCAACAACTTCCCTGAGAAACCCGTTACGCCAAAGCAACCAAAGAGGCTGGCGCAGCCTTCCAGATGGCGTTTCCAATCCCTGGGGCTTCCAGACATTAGCTCCAGACACGCGAGTATACACACGGTAACAAGGACGCTGGCTTCTCGGGCCTGTAAACTTGGTCCCAGCAGTCGAATGGATTTCTGATACAGCTCAAGACTGTCGTAGCTTTTCTCCACGGCATTCTTCCTCTCGATCTGGCGTGCCGAAAAGGCCAGGACGGCATACAGCAGTGCTGGAGAGTGCTGTGCCAGGATCGGTACCTGAACTCCGAAATGATGTTTCTCGTCAAACTTGTCAAGAAAAGGAGCACATTCAGTTATCCAGTTCTTCAGGTAGTTGATGACACAAAGCTTAGAGATACCATCCGGCAGCTTCGTGGAGTTCAGAAGACTCCGTCGCTGGGACGGAGTTGCAACGGCGGTGCCATCAGCGGTCGTCAGGTCGAGACCTTGGTCCTGGAGCAAGTCTTCATGGTCAGGTGAAGCTGCCCGAGATGGCGCTAGGCTTGTTACTCCGGCAGAGAGGACAAAGCGGAGCTCCTTCTGAAGCTCGATGAAGCGGACATTGACCGAGTAGCCGTCACCCACGCTGGAAATGGTGGCGGGCGAAGTGATGCTATTGCGGCGGGCAGCTGATGGCGAAGTCTCGTGTGCCATCCAGGGCTATCATGCTGATTGTGGCACGCTACATACGTTCTCGGCCTGATCGAACCGACGGTGGAATCCCACAATGTGGTCGGCAAATGCCAGGTCGTATGTGGTTCACGTTTGGGGCAACCAGGGCTGATATCCAACGTTGCACTGAGAACGCCGTCGTATGAAAATTCCATCCAAGCTTTTTGCCTTGGCCCTCGGGGTACAGAACGGAGCACGAGTACATGGACTTAAGCTTTTCTGACCTGTCCAATGCCTGTGGCCGAATGTCGAGGCCGTGTGGAGTTCAATGGGTACCTGTTACATATATTTATGGCACTAAGGGCACTTCCGCAGTACACAAGCAAAAGGAAAAACCCCTACAAGACTTTAGAGTCAGGGTTATGACATCGATATCTTACCTCTCGAAGACAGCTCTGTCAACAATGTGTGAGATGCCCTCAACGGGCACGAGCCCCTCATAAAACGGTCATCATGCAGGGATCTAATGCCAATGTCACCCACTTCGACCCGGCATGTCTCTGCCAAAATGTTGTGCCCTAATTACCTACTGTAAGTAAGCACGGGTCCGCGGCTCAATTCTGTAGGCTACAGTTCCCAAAGCAGTCTAGGTTTCTAGATTTTCACAGCTAGCCTGAACAGGGCATATAGCCTACAAGACTCCTGGGATGATGTGTTCATATGAGTGTTGTTGCACTTTGAATTTCTGGAACCCTTCCCCGGATGAAACTCCAGGTTGGTCGTTTTCGTGGTGCCCCAATGCCACGCAGCCCACGGCTCGATGGTGGAGCTTTCATTTCAAGATGCATGTGGGGGTTGGCCACAGGGCAGATATAAAATCCCTGACGATCTCCTGTCGGATGGGATAGATGCTCACTTCTCTCACCCACGCATGACTGGCAACCACACACTTCAACATGGTTGAACAAACAGTTTCACAGGTCGCCGACAAGACTCATGCCAACATGGGCATGGAGGTCAGAGAGAGGTTCATGACCAGCAAGCCCTCACTCTTCCGCTCAATTCGCAACAATCCCAAGGTCGTCTTCATTGCCTTCTTTGCCTCGTGAGTGACACAAGAAATACTCCCAGACAATCTTCAAATGCTGACCACACATCTCTACAGTCTGGGCGGATTCGAATATGGTTATCAGCAGGGCGTTCTAGGACAATCACTGGTCATGTATCGATTCGTTCACAACTTTCCTTCGGTTGTTGAGTCTTCGACTGCGACCGGCTGGCTCACCTCGGTCCTTCAACTTGGTGGTATCGCCGGCTCACTCTCTGCTGGGTTCCTTGGCGAGATCCTCTCACGGAAATACACCATGTTCATGGCATGTTTGTTCGTGATCCTGGGCAGTTACCTCTATGTTGGTGCCACCGCCGGCACTCATGCTCTGTTGTACGCCGGACGCTTCTTCACCGGCATCGGCGTGGGACTCTTCAGCGGTGTCGGGCCGCTGTACAACGCTGAGCTATCCGCTCCAGAAATGCGCGGCTTTCTAGTGTCCTTTTATCAATTTGCGACCATCCTTGGCATCATGCTTTCCTTCTGGGTTGGCTATGGTAGCAACTATATTGGCGGCACAGGCGCAGGCCAGTCAGATCTTGCATGGCGTCTACCGTCAATTGTCCAAGGCATCCCCGCGGCCTGCCTCGCCATCGGTATCTGGTGGATGCCCTTCTCACCCAGATGGCTGGTGAAGAAAGGTCGCAATCAAGAAGCTCGTCAGACGCTAGCGTGGCTGAGAAAGCTACCCATCGACCATGAGCTCGTTCAAGTCGAATATCTCGAGATTCAGGCCGAATCTGTCTTCGAGCAACGTGCTTTTGCAAAGGCCTTCCCCAAATTGGCCGAAAAGCAAAAACAGAATGCCTTCATGGAGCAATTTGCCCAGTACGCCAACTGCTTCAGAACACGAGACAACTTCAAGAGAGTCTGCATTGTTTGGCTGATCATGTTCTTTCAGCAATGGAGCGGCATCGACGCGATCATCTATTACGCGTCCAACGTCTTTCAGAGTCTCGGTCTGACGCAAGGAACCATTGCTCTTCTTGCCACTGGTGTCACCGGAGTTGTCTTCATCGTCAGCACAGTACCAGCAATGCTGATCATCGACAAGGTGGGTCGCAAGCCTATGCTGATCGTTGGGTCAATCGTCATGTGCGTATCTATGGTCATTGTTGGAGCCATTGTTGCCTGTTTTCGCCACGATTGGCCTGGCCACCCTGCGGCCGGTTGGTCTGCTGTCGCGCTCATCTGGGTTTATATCGCCGCTTTTGGTGCAACTTGGTTAGTCTGGACCCCTGTCCTGTAAATCAGATTCGTTCTTGCTAACAAAGGTTCTAGGGGCCCGGTATCTTGGACGCTGGTTTCCGAAATCTTCCCTCTATCGATTCGTGCAAAGGGCGCCAGTATTGGAGCATTTTCCAATTGGATCAACAACTTTGCAATCGCATTTTTTGTGCCCCCAATGCTGAAGCACTGGGCATGGGGCACATACATTTTCTTCGCCGTCTTCCTCGCAGGCGGCATTTTCTGGGTTTGGTGGGTTCTACCAGAGACTAAGAATGCGACACTGGAGGAGATGGATAGAGTCTTTGGAAGCAAAGCTGGCGAACAAGATGCCCTCCTTCTGCGAGAGGCACAGCAAGAAGTCGGACTGTTGGACTTCCTTGACGGGAACCGTGGCCCAACAGATGAGAAAAGCAGCGACAAGTCCTTCACACACGTCGCAAACAAGGCCGATGTTTGATAACGCGCCGTATCTCAAATGTTGTTGGCCAGAACCGAAGCAAACTAAGGAGCGTGGTAATTGGGCGGTCGAGTTGTGACATACCAGGAGAACTGTGTTTGGATATTAGCCAAACTCTGGTATTAATATTGTAATGAGGCAGCATGGGCCTCCATTACGTGGAAGCGTCGAAGTCATATGAGTTGCCTCGGACTGTGTCCATGGCAATTCCTCCGAGGGTAAACATGCCTAGGAGGGAGTGAGGAGGTCTCCTAAATGGTTCTGAATAGTCCTCCAATCCCTCTTACAATATTATTTTGAAGTCGTCCTCCGTCCTCAAGCCATTGTGGGATTCCACCATAACGTTTCCCATAATCAGTGACCCATCGGTATCGAGGGCACACAAAACATTGTCAAACAAGTTGAGTGAATTGGCTATCCTCCCTTCTTTTAGAAAAAGGGAGTGCTATTATGTTGGACTACTCCTGAAAGCCGGAGACACTCCTACCTATCTGGCTATGATAGAATAGAGATATCCTGCTTGATAGGACTACTTGTACACGGCAACAGCGATGAAAAGGCCGTGGTGCAAGAAAAGGTGGCACCGCCACAACAGCTCTCTCAGCTATGGCAAAAGGGCAAGCAAAGATCATATGGATAGGAAAGAGAACGGGCAACATAGACAGAGAGAATTAGAGACTTGATTTCCTACCGTCGAGCATCATCTGCGCGTGAGAAGACCCCGTCAGGAACCCCCATATTACTATCTACCTAGGCATGCTTAGGGTATGCTTGATTCTTCGTGGCTAGGCCGAGGGACCTCTAGGATGCCTGTTCATTTGTGGTGCCTACCTAAGTAACGAGTTAGTTAGTTACTCTATTTTGACAGGCATCGAGTATCAACAGTGCTGCTTAGCTAACATTCACCCGATACCCCAGTCGTTGGGGGGACACAGCGGCGATAGCCCAGGGCCCGAGGCCTAACTATATACCTAGTAACCTAGAGACCCATGCCCACCACTAGGAGATTTAGAGTTCTGCCGTCCCCTCCTAAACCTTTCCAAGCTCTGCTCCTCTGATCTCAGTGTCCTTGTACAATAAGGAGCCAGTGGAGATCAAACGACCGTAAGGCAAGACAGTCACTGGAGTAGGGTACCGCTCGAGGGTTATTCAATGCTAGCTCGGGATGAAACGCCTGGAGTCAAGCGTCGATTAAGGACAGGATGTCTGGCGTGCCGTAAAAGGAGACGAAAATGTGAGTATGAGAGCTGACGTCGACCATCTCCCACAACACCGCCGAGTCTTGAAAGAACCGACATCGGATTAATGCTTTCGACTTCCTCTAGGTGACGAGCACAAGCCCTCTTGCGAAAATTGCGTCAAGCGGGGAGCGCAATGCCAGTATCCAGGGTTCACCTCCGTGTCGATTCCCGCGGCCGCGAAATCTGGCTACTCGAGTGGCAACTCAAGCTTGTTTCGCGCCACGAATGATGATCTGGGCACTGGAGCTGCTGTGCAGGCCGATGATCCGTCTGAGACTGGCCAGGTGTTGGCTGACGCTCTCGTCAATGGCCTGGCCTCGCCAACTCAACAATGGCAACAGTCACACTCAGACCCAACCACATTATCGACGAACGACCAGAGTCACATCAACCTACGGCCATCTCAGGCAACTCCAGTCGAGCGTTACTATCAGGGCGTGCATCTGCCGCTAGAATCCACAACACTCTCGACGTTTCAATTTGGAACCGAAAACACGGTCTCAACCACATCATCATTATCCTTCGACTTACATCATGTGCTGCATAAGCCAAGTTTGCTGGCGCCACGGAGCCAGGTAGATCCCGAACGAGCATCGATTCCCAATGATGTCTTTCCTCCCGACTCTTTGCAGACAACAAATCCAACATCGCTTGCTGGCTCCATTTCATCCACCACGGCGAGAGAGACAGCACTTCTTTGTCACTTTCGCTACAATTTGGCACCTTGGCTGGACATTAATGATTGTGGGGCTTTCTTTGGAGTCAAGTTGTTTCTCCTTGCTCGGGAAACCCGAGCTGTGATGGCGGCGATCTTGTCAATCGCTGCCAGGCATCTACACCTCAAGAATAAGTCGAATGTCCGCGGTGCAGACCTTGAGTGTTGTCTAAGCTACAGACAGGAGGCCGAAAGCGCCGTATTCCACGAAACAGCATCTATTCAGCAGCTGGTAAAGATCCTGCTGGTATTAGAAACTTTCCTTCGTTCCAACCCACAGCAGTGGAAGGATGTGGTGCGTCAAGTGGCCAGCCCCTCAGATTCGGTCGCCTTTGAGGTCGTGGAAGAACCGCTTCGGTGGGTTTGTTTCCGAATTGGTATGCTCCCATGCACACAAGCATCGTATTGAGCACTTGAGGTAACTGACATTTCGGTTTTGGCAGATCTTGGAGCAGCAATTTTGGCTGGCTTACCACCACTGACTCCATGTCATATGTGGGGTGCTTGGAGGCAAGCGTCTCCGTCATTACAGAATCCAGCCACCGTCAACATGGCACCCCTTTCCATTCTGGCCTGCTCGCTGTCATTAGCCTACGGTCGTGCTACCGAGTCAGCCTCTGGCTCACAATCTATGTCTCTGGGATATCATCTCCCGTTGCTCAGATGGACGGAGCTGTGGGCAGATTGTCAGACCTGGTACAGGCGACGACCTGAAGAGCTTTGCCCGGTTCTCCGATGTCAAGCGATTGAGGCTGGACAGATCGACCCTTCGAGCCCGGCATCATTTCCAATCGAGCTCTACTCTAGCGTCATTGCTTTACTCCCCAACGTAGCCTATCACCTTGCGTCACTTTTCTTGTTGTCTTGCAAGCCGCGACTCGTCAAGCCATCGGTGGACTCGAAACGTGCGGTGTCGGAAAGCTGGCATATGCAGTCAATTGCAGGCATAGCCATCAGGAACGATTTCAGAGAACAGTGGGACCCCGTTCTGATTGCAGGACTTCTTCATATTGGACCAAGAATGACTCATAAGTCTCAGCAAGAGGCACTGCTCGGTTGTCTTGCCAGGGCCAGCGCTGCAACCGGTTTGGTGCTCGACCACGAAATCGAGGCACTGCGGTCTGTCTGGGCCTCATGATTTGGTGTCTTGCCAACAGAAAGCAACCAAGACCTGGCCGACTTTTCTCAGAGACTGAGTTCATATGCAAAGGGAACACTCGACGATGCCCCCAGCCGTTGTACAGTAACAGCTGCAGCGGAATTTGCGACTTGCACTGCAAGCTGAATCGGGCTGTCCAAGTGATCCAGGCTTTTACTCGAGCCTGCCACCAACTTGGCATAATGCACCGCAAAGTATCCGACGAAGGTATCGCCAGCGGCCGTTGTATCGACCACAGCATCAACGGCGACACCTTGGACTAAGCCTGCAGTCCCAGCGATAGTGGAGTAGAAGACACCTTTAGATCCAAGAGTGATGATGACAACTTGCACCATTGCAAGCTGATGAATACGCCGCGCGATATCCTTCGGTCGCAGAGTTTCAGCTGCCACGATTGTCTTTGCCGCAGCGGTCTCAGCGTCGACGCAGCTCAGCACCTGGACAGCTTCGGTTTCGTTCATGATCAGCACAGCCGTGCCTCGCAGCGCACTCAAAGGGATACCTGCGGGGAAAACGGGTGCCGGGTTGAAAACGACCTTTGGACCCTGAGCCTGAGAGTTGAAATGGTGCAAGATCCCCAACACCGTACTGCTGGGGATTTCACCCTGCAACAAAACGACATCGCAAGGTGGCTGCTGTTGGGTGATGGATGCAAGAACACCCTCCAGGTCGTTCATGCTGGGAGAGTGGTTGGCTCCCGGTATGACCAGTATACGATTTTCACATCCTGCGGCCTCTTCGACAATAATGTACGCGGTACCCGTATTCTGGGACTCAATCTGCTTAATATACTCCGTGCTGACGCCAGACGCCGCCAGCGTGGGCTGGATGAGGGAGGAAAAGTACTGGTCGTCACCACCAACAGCGCCGATCATGGTTACCAGGGTGTCTGGCTCTTGTCGTGAAGAACGAGAGGTGATCGATGCCCGACCGCATGCCACCGCTTGGTTTGCTCCTTTGCCGCCCATGCTGACCTGTGACGAGCTGGCAGTGAGTGTTTCGCCTGGCCCAGGGCATCGTGGCGTGCGGGCGGTGTGGTCGATATTGAGCGAGCCAACGACGCAGATGTGCGGGCGGACGGATAGAGATCCCATTTTGTTGCAGCGGTTGGAAGGACTCCCAGGGATACTGCCGAATGCCCTCGCGCCACGCAAAATAGGTTTGTAAGGAAACAAAGGGAGGAAGACGGAGTGCAGCACAGCACAGCACAGCAATTCAGACAAGGGAGGTCAAGTTTTGGTATGGATCGTAGCCAGGGGACCGCAACTTTTTAAAACATGATACCAACACTGAATGAACCATACATATGCAACGCACAGCAATGCTCTCCTACCGGCGCCGAGTTTGGCCCCCGATGCGAGGAGGGCCCGACACCATCCCTGCGACCTGTAGGCTACATGCATACATATGCCAACGCCTCAAACAGGTAAGACCGTTCCCAATCATGATTTGCACTGCATCAGAATGCACCGAAATTGAATACCAAAAATAAGCGCTAGTTGCCACACGATGGCTGTCCCGACCGCTGATCTGTGGCCCCGTTTTAAGCGGTTTGCCGCAAGCCGAGTGTGAAAGAAAACTGGAAATCTGTAAACTGCAATGTAGGCTACGGGGGCGGGTAGGTCGGCCGATACATCGAACACCCGACATGCGTGTCCACAGAGCTGTAGGCTACTTGCTGGGTTAGCCACCTATCCAATTACCTACCTATCTCTGTATCCGGAGCACACTCGCGTGCGGCTAGGGCAGGGCAGGGCAGGGCATATGATCGTGCGAATTGGAGGATTTTGCATCAAGAGTCAACACTGAACAGAAACGATGCTGCTCTGGTACGAAGACATTCCGGAACAAATAAGTGTTTCGTAGGAATCGCGATTGCGACGCTCGCATCGAACGTCGGGTCATTTACCCTTGCTACACACGCCTTAGTTTAGCGTCGCATATTTTGTGATACTTTTGGCTATGTGCTAGTATGGTTTGTGGAAGCCTCAAGGGAATGCTTCGAATGGAGATATCGACCAACGGATCTTGAATAGGGTATATCATTATCTGCATCATCGTTGGTGCGGTTCTAGGTGCCTTCATCTTCGGCTAGGCTCAAGTACTCAACGAGATCAAGTAGGTTTCATACCATTCCTCTCCACGAAAGGTCTGGCACTATGTGCCTGATTTTAGTCGCAAGCCCAAAGCTGCACGTTACAGATTGCTGTGGCTAGCTTTTAGAGGTTTCAACAAGACTACAGACTCACCTTACAATCTTCCCCACTCAATCGTGTTCCTGTTCAGTGCTCGATACATTATCATCAATATGCAACGACTGTCCAAATTCCGCGCGCAGATTCTATGGAGAACGTACGACCCTACTGGCGTATCTTTTATGGAAAGGATATTTAGTCATTGTTGCGACTAAATACTTGTTCGTTAGTAATATCTTTAATTCTTTTAGCAGCATACCACGACAACAGCAACAGCAACAGCAACAGCAACAGCAACAGCAACAGCAACAGCAACAGCAACAGCAACAGC